CCTGCGGGTTTTGGCTATTGCAAGAAAAGCCGGACCAAGTAACTTTGAGCCGCATATGGAAATTCCACGGGATCAAATTGAAAGTGACTTGACGCTTCTCGGCCTTGCCGGCTTGTACGATCCACCGCGATTGGAAACAAAGGATGCCGTGAAAGGTATGTTTGTCAATCTCGTCCCCCTTTCCATATCCTAAGCTCAAATGCTAATTCTTGTGTAGAATGTACCATGGCCGGTATTCGTGTCCACATGTTGACTGGCGATCATCCATCAACCGCAACTGCTATCGCCAAGGAAGTCGGAATTATCCCTCGCAACACAGGAAATCTTTCTGCTGAAGAAGCAGCTTCCCTTGTTAAAACAGCGGCCCAGTTTGACGGCATGACTGATGAAGAGATTGATGCACTGCCGGCCCTTCCACTGGTCATCGCTCGATGCGCGCCGGATACGAAAACGCGAATGATTGCTGCTCTTCATCGCCGAAAACGATACTGTGCCATGACTGGTGATGGCGTAAATGATGCGCCTTCCCTTCAGGCTGCCGATGTTGGGATTGCGATGGGCATGGGTGGTTCAGATGTGGCCAAATCTGCGTCGGATATTGTGCTGACTGACGACAATTTTGCAAGTATCGTCAACGCCATTGAAGAGGGTCGTCGGATGTTTGAAAACATTCAGAAGTTTATCCTGCATCTTTTGACATCGAATGTTGGCGAGGTTGTTCTGCTCATCGTCGGTCTCGGGTTCAAAGACAACACCAACATTTCTATCTTTCCGCTATCACCCCTTCAAATCCTTTGGATCAACATGCTGACCTCGTCCTTCCCTGCATTTGGTCTCGGCCGCGAGAAGGCGGATGCAGCCGTGATGCACCGTCCTCCACACGATACAAAAAAGGGTGTGTTCACATGGCAAATCATCGTTGACATGCTCATATACGGCGTTATCATGGGTGCTTGTACCTTGCTTACCTTTGTCATTATCATCTATGGTGTTGGCGATGGTAAAGCATCACTTGGTGTTGACTGCAACCGTACATCCAGCGATGCCTGCGCAACTGTATTCCGAGCCCGCGCAGCAGTTTTTGCAGAGCTCACATGGCTTATTCTAATTTCTGCTTGGGAATTCAAGCACTTCCGGAACAGCATGTTTAATCTCGATCCACTGCGCGTGACTAGCGACGAACGACCCACGACCTTTCCGTTCTTTCGCGATGTTTGGGAGAACCAGTTCCTGTTCTGGGCTGTTGTCATCGGAGCAGTATCTGTCTTCCCAGCAGTATACATCCCAGGCTTGAATACGCAAGTCTTCAAGCATCAAGGTATTTCTTGGGAATGGGGTCTTGCATTTGGTTCGGTGTTCGTCTTCATTTTAGGCGTTGAGGCATGGAAATTGGTAAAGCGCCGGACAGGTTGGTTCGCATCAGGCGAGGATTATGGAGGCGCAACTGTCACGGGCTTCAGAAGACGCTGGCCAAGCCACGAACTCGGCCTGAGACAGGGATTCTTCACCTTTGCGAGGACCTTAACCAGAGGAAGCGAAAAGAGCGCTGGTGGTTTTATAAGTTCTAGGTCTAGTATCAGCGGAAGGGAAATGCAGAGACGGAACACTGAGAACGAAACCGTCAGGCCCGCCGAGCAGGTCTAAAGATTCCGGCATTGTGGCATGTTTGCATGGCTGAGTGAAGCCACCTGAAAAAGGCTGGTAGTGTCGTATAGAATCTTGATATTTATTTGTTTTCGAGAGTTAAATTTGAATGTAGTTAGCTATCGTGTTAAATGTCAATGACAATTACTCGGTATTAAATTATGACCGAGCTTCATGGATTGCGAGGTTGTCTGAGAGCATCGATGCTGTTGTGAGTCGGATGAGTCAGCAAGTCATAGTGCGTTTTTCTTTTTTCTTTTTTCTTTTTTTTTTTTTTAATCAACCATCAAGCACATGAATTCAGCCGCCGTCCCTAAATGCAGATACTCCGTACATCGTTTAATTATTCATATGATAACTATTAATATAGGCTATTCTAAAACGAAATTTCTCTTTTCCCAATGAACCGATGACGGCTCCATTGGACGAGACAAGAGACTCTGCGACAAGTCAGCCGAACTTTGATCTGATTCCCCAGACATATAAGGCATTGAAAACGGGGCCTTACCGTGTAATCCGTGGCAGGGACACCGACCCGATTATCTGGATTTCGAAGCTTGAAATGCCGTACCATAACGGCCAGGATCACTCCAAGGTTGACGTATGCGAACTTTTCGCCGATGCAGCGATGCCTTCCTGCACCAAACGGGAGATATGGGCTCTTGGTTCCCTTTATGGTCACTCCGTAACCGTAATCAATCTTCTCGTCGGCTTCTGATGGTTCGATGACGCTGAACCAACGGTGAGGGTTCCACTTTGCAGCATCCTTGAAGTGATCTTCACTGCGTGCGGTGAATCCGGGAGCCGAGAGCAAAATATGCGATTCCGGGATGACTAGATTTGTCCCCGGAACGGCCATGGTGTTCTTGGCCTTTCGCATGATGGAGTGGATTGGGGCATGCAGACGCAATGTTTCTTTTATGACCATTTGACTGAAGCTCAACCGGTCAATGTCACCTAACGTGATCGATTTAGACGGTCCGAAGACTTGAACCTGCTCTTGATATAGGCCTTCCATAACCTCAGGGTGTGCGGCTAACTGCAGAATTGCCCATGCGCTTATTGCGGATGACGTGTGCTGTCCAGCCATAAGAAGTGTGATCATTAAATGAGCGATTTCTTTATCTGGGAGAGCAGTGCCATCCTTGTACACGCAATTATCCATCAAATTCCAGAGCATATCATGTCCACGTTCTTGTCGACTTATACGACGTTTCTTGATGATATCCATATATACGTCGCGCATCTTCTTGTGGGCTGCATCACGCTTCCGATTATGTGACAATGGAGCCCATGGAAGCAAGAAGTTGATTGGGGTAAACCCGGAATCCAAGTCATGATAATAGTTCGCAAACGAGCTGTCCAGCTTGCTGCGAACTTCCTCACCCTGTAACGTCCGAGCCGCCGTTAAAATGGTAATTTCGGCCATGACTTGAGCAACATTCATCGTCCCCGATTCGCCTTTGAAATGAGGGGATGAGGCGATATATTGCTCTACTTCATGTTGGATTAAGGGCACGTATGAAGCAAGAGCTTCACTGCTGAGACCAAACTTGATGAACTAGGAACCTATGTCAACTATTGAGCTCAGATATCAGCAAGAAGAAGGGAGTGATCAACCTTTTTCTGTTCCATAAGCTTTTGATTTGGGCAGTCATAAATGACGCCTGAGCCAAACACTGGCGTTGTAAGAGGTGAATACACTTCTTCAGCGTTCACGTCCTGCAGTTTGCCGTTTAGGATGAACTCGTTTCCTTTAACCCCCAGATATACAGTGACTTTGCGGCCTAGCAGGACGAAGGTGAAGATGTCACCGTACTAGCACGGGAGACTGGCTCATCAGGTAAAGGTCGGGCTATAATGAGAGTAAAACGCAGGGCGCACGAACCTTCTCTCGACAGGAAGTGAAAAACCGGTACGGATCAAGCCCATAACTAATTGCACTACCAATGAAAGGCACCCAGTGGAATACAACAGGAGGCTTAGCACCACGGCGAGGCGCAAATTGACGCAGAAGATTTCCGATGAAAATCGACAAGACGCCAATTATCACCACTGTTGGTAGCAACTGGACGGTAGGAGAGGGGAAAGGAAGCGACTCCATGGCGAACACATGCCTTAGCTACCAAATGAATATAACACTGGGAGGGCTTCATATTAAATATCATTCGGTATTTGAATCTACGTGCTACAGAGCCATTTGTACTAATGTTGATATCTAACAGTACTTGCTGCGCTGGGCATACTCATTGGTTCCAGCGATTTTCAGCAGGCTTCAAAATTGTTGTGTTCTGGCGCCAGCCGGATAGCCCTATATCCGGGCTTCGCCAGCTTCACTAATTACAGAACCAGAATTGATCTACGCCTATGCCGTCGCACTTCATACCTGTACGAAGTACGAAGTACGGTACATATACGGTGTTGCGAGGGTGGCAGGGCCAGTCAGTCTTTGCGATCTTATTACGGAGGATGGTGATATCTCCACCTTAATCTTCAGGTCCTCGTCATCCGGTTGCTATTTGCTGCTCCGAGCTTTGAGACTTATTTGATCCTTGGACAGTTTGCCGCCCGCGCCGCCACGGGGGATCCGGCCGTGCGAGTTCCTTTACGGAGTACTCCGTGTAGTTCCCTTCTGACACCTCGCTTGGGCTGATCTCAGCTTGACTTTCCTTCACTGCATTATTTCAGTTCTCCGACCACAGCAATTCCAATGTGACGTATTTCTAGAGCGCTAGTGACCGTTGCCATGTCTTTGCCCTCCCTCCGTGGCGTAGATAATGTTGGTGGCATCGAGCATTCACCAGGTCAGAAATGTGAAAACTACACCCTAGTCTGGACAGGTCACTTTAGTAGCTTCATATCTGGGATATGCTTCCATAAGCCTATGTGCTTAGGCCGTTAAATGTACCCGCGATTCCGGTCAGTATTCGGTGTAATTATCATTCGATTGCTTGTGAGAACGGAGTATCGCGTATCCCACAGGATGCTGCATTTCTGGACACGATTATCCAAGGCCTGCGGAGACACTTCGCCTTCGACAGTTCAATAGAGGACAGAAACTCAATCTACCCCCCCAAAAAAAAAAAAAAAAAAAAAAAAAAAAAGAAATCGCCCAGTTAACCTGTTAAGTCCGCAGCTGTGGCCATCGAGCGCGACGCGGCCAAAGATGGAACGTTGTTTGTCGTGCTGCCCGCGGGCCGCTCCTTGAATCGGATAAATATTGATCCATAGCTACATCCGCCAGGGGATTTTCGAAGCACGGCAAAGGCTCAACGGCAAGGCTTCATTCTTCGGAAGCTATCAGTTCCCCTTTTCCCAGCTCGTTGAAATCAATACCTCCAGAGGCATTAACCGAAATGACGCCTGATCTCCGCGCTGCGGCCGCGCGCAATCTCTCTTTGCTCCTCCGCCACGCTCCCCGCCGCACAACAGCACAGTTCCTCCGCCATCATTCCACTACGCAATCGTCTGTATCATCCGATGAATTGACTCATTTCGCATCTCTCGCCAGTAGCTGGTGGGACCCTCTGGGTCCATCGCGCATTCTGCACTTGATGAATCCTTTACGACATGAATTTATAGCCTCCTGTCTCTCAGAAGGAAAACCTGGAGTACCTGATTCTGCCGAAAAGAATGGCAGGCAAGAAGAGGAAGTAGAGAAGCCTGGATTGAGATATCTAGATATTGGATGCGGCGGAGGAATATTTGCCGAATCTCTCGCGCGAACAATCCCACTCAGCTACTCGACCTTTTCCACACAGACAAACGCCTCCTCTCTCCTCGCCATTGACCCTTCCCCAGTCATGATTGAAATTGCCCTCTCCCACGCCCGCAAAGATCCCACTCTTCATTCACACCTCCAATCCGGAAAATTCAAATACAAAACCACCACACTTGAGTCCCTCGTGTCACGTTCTACGCCGTCATCGTCCTCAACAATGCCCTCCGCACCACCACCCCCCACCACCAACCCATCAGATTTCGACATCGTCACTATCTTTGAAGTCCTCGAACACGTAGACCCATCCACCTCCTCTCCGCGTCAGTTCATAGAAAACTGCCTTCGCCTCGTCCGACCAGGCGGATGGCTCATCGGCTCCACTATCGCCCGCACGTGGCCTTCATTCATCGTAAATCAGCTCCTTGCCGAAGCCCCTTGGCCCATTGGCGTTGTTCCGCGCGGCACACACGAATGGAGCAAATTCGTGAACGTGGACGAACTACGAACCTGGTCGAGGTCGGTTAGAGTGGAGGAGGAAGGGCTTGAGTCTGGTGTTTCTACTAGAGGGCCGCCGAGGTATCTTGATACCAAATGGAAATGTGTTGGGGCAGTGTATTTGCCTGGGATAGGATGGAAGTTGGTTCCAGGGTCGGAAGAATGGGGAAATTATTTCTGGGGTATACAAAAGCTGAGGTGATCATTTGAAACAAAAGTAACACTTTCCTTTCTTATCAAGCATATATTTGTACTCGAGGTCGTGAAGGATACTATGATAATATATAGAACAAGCGAAAGCATATTTAGCGAGCAATAGAAACAAAATCTCCATCGCTCGATAGGGATCACATTTATCGCCAATCAAGTCCTGAGATCCAATCAAAATCAATATTAAATGGTATTAATAGTGTTATCAAAATGGTATCAAAGTCACTACAGGGTACAAGTCTAAAAAACCAAACACAAAAAGGAAAACAAAAAAAAGAAAGTGAACCTTCGCATAATTACATTGTCTCGTCTTAAAAATCAATAACCAAGCCATGGCAATCCCCCAAAAACCTGATCGCAAGCATGCCCCTTGAATTGAGATGGTGGAGAGAACAGTTGAAAATAAAAAGGAACAGAAGGCGAATATTCACTCCCGATTCCCACCAGGCCTGACGCCTATCCAGTCTATGTTTCGATATGATCATAGAACCTCAACCAAGCGTTAAAAATAAAATCGAAATATGCCCAAAAAAAAGAAATAAAAAATAAAAAACAATAATAATAATAGTAAAGGATAAATGAGGTGAGATATTAAAAGTTAGTAAGGCATGTAAAAACGGTAAAAAAGGCTGAAGAACGGTACATAAAACAATACTCCGAGGATGCTTCGAGCACAAGGGGGAATGAAGCAATACGAGATATGGAGAGCAACAAGGGAATCTGGATGGAAAAGGAGAAAGTCAAGTGGAAATGCGGTGAGGAATTTGATCGGGTATCTTTAAACAAGATAAATGCAAGCTTCAAAGTACGAGAGTGGACTGTACGTAATCCATTTCAGGCGTGAGTAGCCCAGGGCTCCTCCACCTTCGGCTTAAGCTCATAGTTTTCTGGTTCGGTGCTCTGAGGCCGTCGGATCGTCGAATTGGGGTAATACATGTGGGCAGGCATTCCCCCTGCGAACGGAGGTCCAGACGGCTCAGGATATGTATATTCAGGAGCGGAGACTGACCCAGGCGACGGGACGCTGTTCAAAGAAGGCGACGCCCAACCTACGGTCGTCATGTGCGGACTACCCGTCACACTGCCAGGCCTAGACCCACTATTTGGCGGAGGTTCGAGAGGTTGTGGAGGGCCATAACTTGTAGGGTGCGATGTCAGGGATGGACGGGGGTGGTGAGCGGCAGAGAAGGTAGAGAGAGTTGGAGAAGGAGTGGAGGGTGATGCACGCGGACTCGCTTGCTGAAAATCTCTCAAGTGGGGTGGCAGGGAGCTGCTTGCCATGAAATAATCGCCCATCTGCCGGTGTGAGTGTAGGGGAGGTAGTTCGTGCCTCGGAGAGACGGAACTTCTTTGTGCAGGCGAAGCTGTGCCATGGGGAGAGGCTGTCTCTGAATAAACGCCATCTGGACGAACAACCTTTCCCTGGCGCAAATTGGCTTCCGTTTCGGCGGCAGCTTCTTCTATTGTACCAGTGTGGTGATTTTGATGTCGAGTCAAAGTTGTGCGGCGTGTAAAAGTTTTCTGACAGTTGGCATATGGACATTTGTATGGACGTTTCCCAGAATGTATTCTCCTGTGCCTAGCCAACGAGCTAGAATCGCTAAATGGCTAGATTGGGAGTTAGTAGACTGTGATTTGGAGTTTTCAGCTCGGAAGTTATTACCTTGCCACAGCGGTCGCACATATGGGGCTTCTCTCCTGTATGTACACGAGTGTGTACTGTTAATGCCGAACGCTGGATGAATTGCTTTCCACAACCCGGCCAATCGCACACGTGAGGCCGAATGCCACTGTGAATCCGTTCTAATCATAGGAGTCAGTTACTAAAATCGGTTGCTGAAGGGGGCGGAGCGCGATACTTACCATGCCTTGCTAAATCGCTACGTCGTGCGAAACCTTTGCTGCATGTTTGACAGTGGAATGACTTCGGAGCAGGCTCTCCGGTTCCTCTTCCAGGGCCGCTGTTGCTGGTGGGCATGTTTCGAAACATATTTTCGTGGCCATTCTGTGCGTAATCACCCCGCATCATGGAGGCGTGGTGATTTGTGTGTAGCGGTGAATGATACTGGGAAATTGTCGGCAGCTGGATGGGCTGGTGAGCCGGATGATAAGGCTCAGAATGGCGGCCAGGTTGCTGCGCATCATGTTCTGAGCCCAGCTCTGACGGCGATCGCGATTTGATCTGAGCGGTCTGGGCTAGTTGGTGTTGTAACTGGGCCTCAGCAGCTGCAGCAACGGCTGACCGATTTTTGTTCAAGATCGTAGTAATATCCATAGCCACAACTTAAACCGCGTGCACGGATTGATTTCAAGTTGGATACGGTGTCTAGCTCACTAGGGATAATATGAAATCTTGGAATAGCTCTCAAAGATCAAGAAATGTTACAATGAAAACAGACTTCCACCGAGCGGTCGAGCAGGCGCATATAAAGTAACTGTCTCTCTAGGCGAGTGAGAGTTAGCGGCAGGGTAGGAACATGTTTCAAGCAAGACTAGGAATAAGCAAGTTGGGCTTAGAGATCGGCATGACAGCACAAAACCGGAAACTGAAATCCCATGTTCAAAATAAAATGTGATAACCGCAGAGGAAACGCATAGGATATCCAGCATGCTAGTCTTTGAGGTGCATGGGAACTAAGACGCAACAAAGCACTTGGGAAGTGGATCAGCAATCAAGATTTCAGTGTCACTCACGTGGCAGCGCAAAGATCAGTCTGAAGAATGAAACCAGCTGCTCGATATCCAGTCGGTCAATGGGACAGTGTTCGGAAGGCTGCGTTGCGCGGGGTACAGAGGTTGTCAGATCGCATCTAAAACCGCCTTGTTGATAAGATAGAAATGTGGGCAAGCGATATCCTGAAGAAGGCGACAGCAGGTGGCAAGACGGATACACGACAGTGGAAAGGAAGGACGCCAGGTGGAATGAGGCGCCTTTGCGAATGCAGAGACACGTTCAAGCCAAGTAGCGGTTTTCGGAACGCGAGAAACCGTGGGATTCTCGACAACGGCTAGCTGCAGCTGGAACCCGGTCGTTGTGCCGTCGTAAATTCGAAGCAGGAATTGTCCCGAGGCAGTGGAGGGAACGCGTACAATCCTTGATCGATTTTGCAGCAGATATACGCGGAACGGTCCTGAGATACCTGCGCGATGACAAAAAAGAAACTGTCGCAAAGGTGTGACAGCGTCCTACACCAGCCAACTGACACAGCAGCTAACGACTTATTCACCCAAGCCCATTAGCCTCCCAAGCGGATTGTTTGCGGTATAGAGCAGGGTTTGTCAGGGACCTGTTCCCTCGGGTTTGGATGCAAGGCCAGGGACGGACTTCCGTTTTTGGTGCAGCACAGCTCTCAAGAAGGCAAACAGCGCGGAATGAAGGCGATTCCTCGAGCTAAAGGGCAATTCTGTGTACATAATCTCTAATGTCAGCAAGCTCTCCCGGTGGCAAGAAGGGTTCCACGCAGGTTTCAGTGTGATTCGTTGGGTGACCAAGTTGTGCGGGGGGAATGATGCAAGTCATGAATTGAGTGTCAGCCAAATGCAAATTTCAAGCTTGTACCACTTCTTACAACAATGTACAAGAGAGCAAAGACGCAGAAGAGCTTGATAAAGCAGCCAAAGATGACGGAAGGGTTGTGTTGAGGGAGGAGTAAGTTGCCATACTCGCAGTTGCGTCGGTTATCAAACCAAAAAGGCGTTCGGGTACGGAAGCACAGGACAGTCGTGCAAAAAGGAGATGACCAACCTCTGGGAGCAGTCGACAATATCACAGAATGCCAGGATTCTGTCCAGAAGGAATGTGGTGTGAGTGAGGATGCGCTGAACAGTGCGATGAAGAAGAATAATGGCTTGGGAACGGGCGGGAAAAAAAAAATAAAAATAAAAAAAATAAAAAATAAAAAAAGAATGATGGATGATGAAACCAGCACAAGAGAAAGAAATTCTAGAAAATCACCACATTTGGTAAAACCAACAACGAGGAACCTTTTCTGTGCTCAGTGGCCCAAACTCCTCTGATGAAAGTCACTTCTTACTTACTAGTATTATCCTTGTCCTAAGGCATGCAAGTCTGCAAAGAACAGACAATTGAAACTCGGAAAAAGGACAGGCACAATGGAACGAAGGGAAAAGGACAAATAATAGGAAATACTTCCTGGTCAGACTCTGGGAAAAGAAAAGGCCCAGTTGACGCCTCACACGGAGTACATATATCGCGCAGGGAGAGAGGCTGGATTTCAAAGGAAGCTGCCTGTGCTATTGGTCTTTTTTTTTTTTTTTTTTTTCCCTCTTCCAACTAAAGTTACAGGGCATCATCGTGGTTATGGGTATGATCACTGCTCACCCAGGACTAAATTAACCTGAACGCTAAGTTTACAGGGAACCGGGGCCCTACTCCCAGGCCGAGCAGGAGTCGAGTTTCTAGGGCCACTTCTCGAACAGTTTTCGAAGGTTATGGGCCCACGGCCTGACGACCACACAAACATTGCCTCAAGCCACGATAACGCCTCGCGTCGTTGCTGGTTTCAAGCGCCGGGTCTCAATACCATACCTGGCCGGTGAGCGGACGAGCGGGCGGCCCTTGGGCGATGGCTCGAATTATTTCGCTGCTTGTTCAAAAGCAGTCAACAATCCATACCCACACTCCACCCCTTTTTTCCCCCTTCCACGAAAGGGAGAGGTGCAGACGCATGGACGGCTGTCTCTTGGATGACCTGCAGGGTCCGTGACAGATGATACAATGCAGCAAGGTGAAACGAGCTCAGTCCTTTGAGGCAAATCGAAATCAAAAACCGTGACCAACTTTGTTACCGGTGCGACCGAGCGCATTGATTCCCGCTCTCAACTCTAACTCGGCAATCAATGCTATTCAAAAGGGCCGGTGATCCAGCCAACCGCAGAGCATTTTGACCGAAGCAAAATCAATTTATTCAAAAAAGCAAAGGCGCCTTGGGGAGGCGATTGTTCTATTGCTTCCTTTCGACTAAAACTGATTCGGTGTTTCGACTGTTTGAGATTCCCACCGGCGGCTTGCATTCCTTGCTAATCACACACCACCACTGGTCCCAGGGCGCAATGACATGTTTTTGGCCTTATTTGTGGCTCTGAGAGCTTGGGTGCAAAATCAATGGCCAATCGTATTTTCCAACCCGATCGACGAATTGTTAGCGCTCTTGGCACTTGGTCTGTCATAGGTGCGAGAAGCGATCCTTGCAAGTTTGAAAAGCAAAGGAAATAATTTGCTGATCTCGACCTCTCATAAAGCACCGTCCCTCTCCTTTTACTCTGCACGTTTGTCCGCCTGCTGCTGCTCCCCGTCCAGCAAGCTCTTGACAGAGAGCGGTGGGCCAACTGCGAAGAATTAATAAGCATCCACTTTTTTTTTGTCCTTTTTCTTTTTCACAGCCCCTTCCAACTGCAATTTTATTTTCTCTGCATGGATACCGCACTGTAATCCTCTCCACAGGCTGTCTCCACCTACAGGGCCAACAGGATCAAGAGGGAACAAAGAGAGAGCATCTCCAGGGATGCCATACCAAATAATCGACTAATGCATAGTAGGCATGCGAAGACTTACATTAGTGCTACAGATCATCTCTCGTGCTTGGGCGTAAATTCAACGACATCTCCGAAGTCCAGCCACGAAGCGCAAAAGTGGCTTATTCACCTCGCCATCCCATTTGACTCCTAGTAATTACAAATCAGTGGATAATATAACTAAAGCATTGTCTCGGGGCGTACGGTACAAGTCTAACCCCTCGTCGACGCCTGAGAGAAACCACGTATATACATGCATACGTTACTCCGGTACAAACCATGTGAAGAATGCTGTACGGAGTACAGAGTGTCAGTTCACCAATCGCGATTGGTGATACCTCTTTGTGAGGAAACATTCTTTGGAAAAGGTGCCCCAGGTCTCCTGTTCCGCAAAGCCTTGTTCCTAGCGTCCTTGGCCCTCTTGCGAGAGAGCTACCCGGTACATGAGACTGCTGAGCTGGTGCCTCGCCTGAAAAGCCACGCGCGTGAACAAACGCAGCGTTCGACGACGATCATGACGACAGACCGTACTAAAGATTTCCTCTCGACTCCACACGGCCAGAAAGATCCAAAGCGCAAATCCCACACGCGTGGCTCCATTTAGGTATTCACATCTGACAGGAGAATATTCGCTACGTCCATACGATGTGGCTCCTGTCGATATCGTTCCTGCAGGTTTAAAACTTTCTTTGACAACGAGTTTGTTCCTAAAAAGCCTTACAATGTCCACAAGCGTCACAGAGCTTAGAGGGGTATCCCTGCTGGAGTGACCTTCGAATTTATGTATTCCCGTCATGTCCACCATTCCACGGGAGACACATAACTTACATAGAACGGAGTATTCCGCACATATACTCCGTACATGTAAAATTGAGGGACATGTGCGTCCATCCGTCCCCGACTTTTTCTACCGGCTCCCCTGGAACCCCAACCCACCCGGGCCCCCCTCTACCCTTCTAGAATGTGCGGGAGCCCTTTTGCATAAACAGGGGAAAGGCTGACAGCAACTCACGTCCGACAAGGTCCGGGAGGGGAGAACATATGTGCTCCGTACTTCATAACCGATGATTCTAGGCAACGATTGAAAGTGCTCGGCCCTGCACAAGGAGCAAGCCAACCTGACCCATCGCTAGTGCTAACTAGAAGAGGAAAAAAAAAAAAAAAAAAAAATAGAAAAAAGGAAAGGGAGGAAAGAAAAATCTCGTTAAGCGTCCATTATTCTGTAAAGAGTCACACGACCTGGAAGGGAGGCAAGAAAAAAAAAAAAGAAAAAAAAAGAAAAAAAGAGAAAAAAGAAAAGAAAAGTGTAGGAAAGAAAGAAGCGAGTCAGAATGACTCCGTCCAACGCATTTCAAAAGGGGGCGAGTGTGGGTGAACCGCATAGCGTCGCCCTTGTGGCCCAATAACTATGTAACTGCATACCGCTAACCCATCGCTAACTACCTAGTTAATGGTGGCCGCGCGCTGGGGGAGGGCAGCCGGCGAACAGCGTTGCTAGACCCCGTGGGCTGGCCAGGGGTCAGGCCGCCAGCGCCGGAAAGCGCAGCGCAGAAAAGGGAGGGAGGGAGGGAAAGGTGGGTCCACGCGACGGCAGTGGGTCTCCTCCACCGAAGCCCCTGAGACTTCCAGAAGCCTTCTGGAATCTTTCTGGAAGGGTTTGGGCTGCTGGCCTGCTCGCGATCGCTCGTTGGGGGCGGGCCAGGAGGAGCCAGGAGGGGGGATGCATGATCTGTCGCCTTCGCTCCAATCCACCGACTCTTCAATGCTTCTCCCCGGACATGAAACCGATCATGCGCTTCGCTTCAGCTCTTGAAGCCAATTAGTCACTTAGCCGCAGCCTCCATGCTTCCCCAGGTCCCCCCTCTCTGACCAGCAACCCAAAATCTTTTTCTACACAGTCCATTCTGAACTGCATAACATATCATACTCTTTGGGATGACAATTTGTAGAACTGACTCCTCACGTAACTTCGGAGTACGTAACTCGATCCAGTCCGGCTAGCCGCTCCGCTCCGCTCTGCGTCGCACTCCGAAACTCTCAGGTACATAACAAGTACGTAACCAATGATCGTTCCATTCGCCTCCATTCGCCTGGAGCTGCCATTAGGGGATTGCTCTCCCTCGCCCTTTTGCTTTCCTTCCAGGCGCCGGCAGAATAATACTTAAACCACCCCGTCAGAGGCGTCTCTCGTCAAACTCAACGCAAAAAAGGAGTTGCGCTAACCACGCCTTGGATGATTTGTCAATCTTACGGAGCTGAAAAAGCATATCGACGGAGGACATACGCCATGTCGTCTCCCAAGGAACAAGGAAAAAGAAAAAAAAAAGAAAAGAAAATTAAAGTAACTTCATCAAAAAGGGCGGATGGATTTATTCCGCGATTGGCTCATAGGGAACTTGGCAGAGTGATTGCTGTGATGGACGGAAAAGTACATCGAAGTCAACAAGAAGAATCATGGAGGACCACCAGCGAAGCTGAGAATGTCCGGGCTTTGCATACCTAGCTTCTTTCTGGACGCCACCATGCAGTGGGAAATTGAATGAGAGCCCGCGTCACCTGCCGGATCGGACACTAGTAGAGGCTTCAACCGCACCGCACGTGGCATTGATTCACACGTTAGTTCAACCCATCGACTCACTAGTGAGTGAAGTCACTCGCTAGTGCCAGGCGGGGATGGCCACAATCTCAGTCGGAACCCAACCCTTTTTCTTTTGGAGTAACCTTCGGGGAGATACCTGTACCTCATTCGCCCCCAGGGCATGTTTTATCTTCTCCTGTTTCTTCTTGAAACTTCCTAGCTCTGTGGGGTAATCAGCAACGTGGTGTTGTGCCACTCTTCGACCTGCAAGCGTCCATCTACATAATGTGTTCGAATGGGGAGAGAGAGAGACACAGAGAGAGTGTGGAGAATAATCAGGAGATGGACTGTGGAGCATACCGCAGACCGACACCTCTGACCCTAATGGAATAAATGATGGGAAGCGCGGATGATGGAAAATGGAGGGAGCAGTTATTTACTCCGCACTCCCCTTCCAGTTCAGCCAGAAGTCTTAAATGGCATTTGAACATGTCGAAAGCATGTCAGCGACTCCTTTCCCTACCTTTTTATCGGAACATTTCGAAGCTAGGCACCGGCCATGAATCCGATACGCACAGGACAGGCTGCGTTCTGCGCAGTTCCCTGCCCACCCGGGTGGGTATGGGGTAATCATAGCCTCACCCCGTGCTCATCAGGATTCCACAGCAACTTTTCACAGGTATAATATTCTCTCCTCTCATTTTACAGGGTGTTTCCATGTTGCAGAATCCGTCGGTGGGTGTCTGCGATCCTTAATTGCCTAGTACATTATCTTAACAAAGCCACTTGGTAGAAATAGAGGTCGATAGTGTAAATGAGGAGGAGCCCAGCGCTCTGGATGTTTCAAATCCCGCTTGCTGGGCCAGAACATCGCCGCTTGAAAACTTGTTTCAACTTGCATTCAAAGCAGCTTCAGATCGCGAGATGGAGTCTGCCATCCCCCGTCTACTCGGGCCTATTCGACGGCCAAGAAGAGTTCAAACAGACTTGCAAACGCTATCACCATGCTATATGCATACCCAGCTACTGTAGTCACATGTTCCATCCCAAAAACTGTTGCGGAAATAAAGAAACACGAAACACGAAGAAAAACACCTTGATTCCAAAAGCAAAACACGCCAGTTTATAATAGGCCTTTGGCTCCATGGTGGTGTGGTTGAGAAAGCATCTTCGTGGGGCTTGCGACTCCCGAAGGAAGCCGTGCGGAAAGGATTCCAAAACGAAGAATAACTTCGGATATCGTGACGATGATAGAGATGAAAATCAAGACAATGATAATCCACGTTTGTCCTGCGGGAGAGGTCAACATAAACAGTGATAGAGAAACTAATGCAAGAAGTGCGAAAGAGCAGGCCCAATCAATACTTACTTGACATTTTGTTGTCGGCAATGGAATCAGACAGTATCTCAATTAGATCTAGGAATACCCGACATCGCTCGTTCAATACTTGAATGCGAGGTTTTATTTCTAGGTATTCTCGCACAGCGATATAAAGCGGATGAAGTGTCGGTTCACTGTCCCAGAAGAAATTGGGAACATCGAGCATATTTGAAGCTGTATGTAAATGGTTAGGTTCCAATCAATAGCATAGAAATGGAAAGTATGTAGTTCGATAGGCACTATGCCCTCAGAGACACTCACATAGATTCACTTCAACCCGACTCTTAAACAACTTGCCCATGATCTGAAAGACCTCCTCCCTCTTCATGCCTAGGTGTCCCGTCAAAGCCAACCTTCGCGGAACATCTTTTGCTTCCGCCATCTGTTTTGCCATAACTTCTTCAAAGAAGCTCAACTTGGTACTCTGCGCAATCCCATGGCTAATTGCTAGTTTTATCATATGATCTCCGCTCCGTAACGTGATCATATCATTGTAAACACGAGGACGTGATATTTCCGTTGAGTACTCGAAGTGGAATTCTTCCGTTTCAAAATCTTCTTCTGGAAGTGGATTGGTAGCGAGAGGGATCGGGATACCGTCTTTGCTTGATGCAAAGGCAAGGTCGGCAAGGACGTCTATCTCCTGTCTCTCTGAGAAATTCCAAAACACGACGACCCCATAGCTGAAAACAAACATTTCTGCAAACGAAAGCGCATTTGGTGGGATATTCGACACTCTGGCGGTGGGCGAACCTTCTGCAAATTGGCTTTCAGCCTGCTCGCTTACATCCTTATAGTAGTCGTAGGGTTGATCTCTACTAGGAGAGTGGCCATACGCTTCGTGCTCTGGTTTTTGATCGTGATCCTGTCCGTCCGATCTGCTGTTTCTCTCGGCGCCGTGGTCCTTCACGGAGTGCTCATCCTGCTCAGCGTAGTACTCCTCATGATAATCCCGCTGCTCATTTCTCGCAATCTCCTCGTCTAGAACAACTTTTCCTTCCGCGCTTCTAATTATCGGGCTGCTCCTGATCCGATATCCATCCCTACCAGGGAGTAAAGGTAGATGATACGCCGTATACAAACAGTCGTCATATAACTTTGTCCTCGCTCCATGGCATTCCTTCACAAACATCGCCGTAGAGCTCATTTTATAACCCTGCGCCGTACAATACGCCGTAACACGAGGAAGTTTCTCTGCCCGACGCGCCTTCGGCAACCGTTCAGCATAACTCTTCGCCTGCTCGGGCGCAACTCGACGACGCATAAGCGCCTCTTCCTCTGCCAACAGCGGTCCAAGCTCATTGTCCACGGAGAAATCCCGACTTCGCAACCTTCGCTCGGCCTGTAAGCGACGTAACCTCTCCTCAGCGGCTTTCCCCTCCCCTGCTCTGATCATCTCTTCTCTGGCAGAGGGCGGGAACTCTTCATCTTCATCTTCTTCCAACACGGTCTCGGGTAAAAGCACGAGCTTTTCGCTAACCTTTGTTGATCGTGGCGGGAGATGTGGTAAGGAGGCAAGGCGTCCTGCTGACCTTGGTCGTGCATCGCCCGCTGATCCCACTGCAGACGAACTAGCTCCGACGCCCGCTGGACCTCCTATCCTTGAAGCTCGGGGCCGCACCCGGCCGGGCGGGAGTCTTTGATGCATGGATGGCATATCAGAAGCATATTGTAGCACGTTGTCAACGGTAATAAATCTTGAGGCGGGATTTGCTGGTGCATTGAAGCGGCGTCGGTATTGTTGATCGCGGGAATCCGTGACCTGCGAAACGATGGTTAAAATGATTGAGAATCGATGCTCTTGCAAGTGACATGAAGCAAAAGCCAACATGAATCCACTTACGAGCACTGTTGGATTTCTCTTGCCTGGTCCAGGGCCTCCCTTGGGAGCCATGGTGCTATCTTCTTATCGTCGGATCCTCCCAGCAATGTGTTTGTATGTATCGTAGCAGTCGCGGCACACCACACGAGATATTGTTTCACACACAGGCACCCAGCTCCGTTCCTATCTTTCCAGGAACAGGAAGCGGATCCCGGCAGTGAGTATCCCAAGGTACCTTTGATTTGAATGCTATATGTTTAAGTTTGAGAACACCATTGTACAATTCAAGCGGGAGGGAACAGGTCTTTAAGTTATGTAGTTAAAAGAGCGATGTGCATGTAGAAGTACATAATTGAATCAGCAAACAGTTAAAGCACATCAATCACCACCAGGTATTTTCCGACCGCACTCTGTGAAACTAGGAGGGGTAAGACATTTCAACTTGTGCCGAAGCGTCTGGCCTCATTCTGGTGTTGGCGAAGCTCCAACTTCATGCTGAGCTCATCCGGTCGAGAGTGTCTTGGCACACTTCATCCAGGTCTTGGCAGCTCCGGCCCACTCACCGCCGCCCAGCACACTCTCGGGGTGGTAGCCTTCCATTTGGTACTGTATGGCCTGTCTTGTTGCATCTTCCAAGGGTGCGAGGATCGGGCTCCCAGCAAGCACCACTTCTTCTTATCGGCATGTAACCACGGCATGTCACTAATCTGCCACAGCCATCAATGTCACTACTTGATCATGGCCTCAATCGACAATTATCGGCATTATATATTGTATTAACTCCTCCGTCCTGCTTGTCTATTTATTCATGTTAGGTGAAACAAGTAATCCGTCAAGCAAAATACGCAGCATGGGTTCGATGAATCGTCATGATGATAGTTTTTAGAGAATGGAGGGCATCAATTATCCGTCTTCCAAAAGATATCCTTCCCAGTAGATAAACATATGAAAAGTGCTACAAACAATTTCTGAGATTTCGTGGCCAGAATAGCATAGAAACCAATCTTCAGTAGCAGTCACGTTCCAAAATGCGAAGCAAATGCCAAACTCAAAATGGCCTATCATCGCGATCTCAGCTGACGATCCTCGTCCCAAATCTCCTGCTTCATTTTTTGCAATCGCATGTGCTGCTGCTGTAGCTTGATCAATTGACTCTCTGGAGGAGATGCGTGATTAGTTAACTCCTCATGCAACTTGCGGTATTTTTCATAGCCATGCTTGAACTGTCGCGCTTTTTCCCTCAATCTCTGACGCAATATGGTCACGCTCATGGGCGGCGTTGAATTGCCCGAAGTACTCTCTTCACTGGATACAGTGGATGGTCGTCGCCTCTTATGCTGAGAGATTCGAGTGTCGGCATATGTGATGCCAAGTCCCACAGGAAGACCGCGAGCGCCGGTACGTGGCGTGTTTTCTTCATCCTCGGCCTTTCGCTTTAGTGGCTTGGACACCGCCGGGGCCTTCTGCGCATGTTTGGGTTGCCCGAGCACCGGTACCTTCGTCGCGGATCCAGCCCTTTGCCTTGGAAGATGGTGGATGAGAGGAGAAGATGAGCTGGATGACTGATTTGTACTGGAAGATTTTCCCGTTTTCTCGATATCCGATGCATTTGTGGGAGGTGAGGAGCCTAACGGGGAAGGTTTCTGGGGAGACCTATTATTCGCTGGACGTGATGCAGTGCTAGAAGATGAAACTGTCTTTGATGGACGAGACTTCGGCTGAGACGGCTTCTTATCTTTAGCCGGGGCTGGTGATTTTATCGATGTGGATCGCTCGCTTGGCTGAGAATCGGGAGAGCTTCTTTGAGCGTCGGCAGCTTTGGACGATTGTGTGATACTTGAATCAGCCATTTCGGCATCTTCGTCAGAATCAACCACAAACTCAGCCGATTTGAATTTAGCATCTGGTTTCGAAGCTGCTTTTTTCTCTGTGGCTTTATCAGTCTTCTTCGTCACTTTGCCAGTAATGGTCGAGTTTTTTGGTTTAGGGGCGGGCGCGCGTTTAGTTATAGCACCGGGTCGCTTTTTCAGCCCAGAGGCGTCTGCCTTCTTGCTGATAACTGGAGTGCTGCTTGATGTATTGGGACAAGGTTCGGACTCATTTCCGGTACCGTATCCCTCCTTGGAAGGCTCGTCTGATGGAGAGATATGGATGCGCGGCGTGACGCTCTTAGGTGGCGGGCCTGTATGGAGGTTTAACCGAGAGAGGACTTTGCCTTTCCCTCTTTCGTGTTTTGGAAGAAGCGTTTGCCATAATTTGTCCTGTTTAGAGACCCTCATTCTGTCAAATGCGGAGATGGCATTGTCAATCGCGTCTTGACGGTCATCTTCCGACGGGTATGGAAACTTCCAAACGTCCAAATCCTTGTAGGCTTTATCTTTAAGGTCATACTTTTCCCTGTTTAGTCGGTTCTCCGTGCCATATTTGCGTACAAGGGTCAAGCAATCTTCTTGAGAGGAACGTGTTTTCTGGGCGAGGAACTTAACGGACACCGGCCGTACGGCGAGTAGATGAAGCAAGGGGACACGCAGAGCCTCCAACCTAATCTTATCTTTGTTCTGTGTCGTCGGGACGGATGTTGGAGTAATAGCGGGAGACCGAGACGCAAGAAAAGCGGGACTAGCTGGAGAGGATCGGCTAGCAGTGTTCGTAAAGAATCGTTCTTTCTCCATATCTGCCTTGCTTGTCGACATGCGAGCTAGGCTTGCCGCTTCTCTGCCGGTCGCTGTACGGTTATCCCCGGCACCCAGGGCCCTCATCTGGTCGGTCGTGATCATGGGAGTCCTCTTCGACTCCTTGCCCTGCCGGAAGGCGCTGAGCCTCTGCTCAAGGGTAAGCAGGGCCTCATCGGTGCCTGCGGTGGCTTCTCTAGCCCTCTGGACCTCCAGGCTATGGCTCAAGACACCAGAGAAATAGAGGCTATCCTTGGCGTCGGGAGGGGAAACATAAAGCTCTGAGCGAGTATTCTCAGGATAGGAGTAGAAGGGCTGGGAGCGAGAGCCGAAATGGAGGGACGGGTGTTTCCCTAGGCGGAGTCGAGCATTCTGGTCCTTGCGAAGGCTGTCAATAAGGTCGTCGAGAGTGCTCTGGGCGAGATTCAAACGCATGATCTGAGCGGGATTTCTGGGAGAGTCAGCTGAGGGCTCCCCGGAGCCTTCAGTCCGGAGAAGGGTGAGGCCTCCCTCAGGAATATCAAGAGGAGCCATTCTTGGAGCAGAAGGCAAGGTGTAGGGACGAAGCGTTGGCTGGGACGTAAAATGGAACTGGGACGTGCGTGGATTATCCGAGGGAGGGAGAGGGTTGCAGAGAGCTGCAGCGAGCGAGCGAGCGAGAGCAGAGGCTACAGGAAAGAGTGGACGACAATGGGAACACCTTCATTGCCAAAGGATGGTCGTAGTCTAGAGGAACAAGGGAGGCTGGCGGAGGGAGACAATGATCATGGTAAAGAGCGTGTCATGGTGAGGTTGAATGGGGGAAGAAAGGGAGCTGTGATTGCAGGCTGAGGAATGTTTGATGGTCAGGATGACCCAAACTCCGGGTATTGCTATTATTGATTCATGCACTAATTAATTTTGCCAGGGTCTGAACCTTGTATTAACGAAGTTCTCGCAGGAAGTCAACAGTTCACTATAATTACTACTGCATGTAACTACCAGATCTACCTGAGGAAATACGCTGTTGGGTTCACCCGTCAGACAGCCAGCTGGCTGTCGTTTTTCCAGCGAAGTGCCGCGCGGAGCTGAGCATTGACCTTGCATCCACGGCCCAGCAGCAGGGTCGCCCCAGACCCTCCTCGTGGGCGAAAACCAAGGGAACCACAAAAAGGCACTGCTCAGGTTCGGAGAACCGAAAGAGGAGGCGGCGAAAATGATGGTCTGGGGTAATTAATCATTAGCTTCCGAAGGATCTTCTGGCGTGAGGACAAATGATTTCATGTTGACGCCTTGACTCCCCTCAATTTATCGCGTGCGTCTTCTCCTCCCGTCCAGCGTTTGTCAGAGGGAGAGGTGGGGGGACGACAGGATCCGGTTGCGGATAAATACAACTTCGTGCCCACGGTTGACTCTTTAAGCCTTGGGCGCGACCGTCCTTCCAGATGGCCCGCCATTGTCATGTTTGGGGCCATAATTCTACACCCTGGTTGGATTGGTAATATGGTTAGAGTTAGCGGTGCCAAAACACCGTTGGCTGTTGTGAGATGCTCGCAGCGATTGGATACACTGCCTGGCGCAGACACGCCCAGATTTTCGACCATCCAAGTGGTACTTCTTCCGTTTCCATAAAACGGAAAAAAGGAAAGAGACGAGAGAAAGAAGACGGAGGAAATGTCAAGAATCGGTTGGATGGCGGTGATTTCAAGCGCTGTCTCAGCAGCTGCTTCAGTTGTCGCCCCAGCAGCAAGGGTTTTTGAACCCTGAACGGCCGATCTCCCCGGGCTGCTCAACCGCCCAAGGGGACCCGGCCGTCAGTGGCTCCCTCGCCGTCCTGTGGCTTGACCAGGCAGCCTGTGAGAGGTGCTATTCTTGTCCTGCTCCTTTTCCTCCTTTTTCTTCTGCCTCTTCTTCCTTTTGGCCCCATCAGCATCGGCCGCGAAAGGTTTGAATCTACGCTGTTTCAGCCAATGCATGGAGTAGACCTCGTGTATTGTCCCAAAAAAAAAAAAAAAAAAGAAAAAGGGAAAAATTAAAATAAATAAGTAAATTAGTTGTTGAATGCAACTGAACCGGATATGTACACGTACGGGAATGGTCTTGCTTCGATACAGAGTACCGACACCAGCATGATCGTGACCCGGCGGATTACGATGGGGCACCAGTAAGCGGACCGTGAGTTGGCAGGGCTTCCCGGCCTCCGTTGAAATCTTCGTTCGTCCGCCATCCACCCAGTCAGCCGCCTCAAATACTCGACGTTGCACAGGCACCAAACGCGTCGTTCAGCCTCGGACACCATTTTCCCTCGACTTTTTAGGGCGAAATTTCCTGTACAAAACAATACGGAGTCCGCGCTCGCCACCCCAGCGAGAAGAAGACTGACAAAAAACAATCGGGGATATGGTCGAAAAAATGGTACAAAGAGATCTTCCCTGCGAGCAAGATGTGGGGCGAGGTGGTACTAACACCGCGGAATCCCATCCTCGTCGTATTGTGGGCAAACGCCGTTGGTTTGTGATGTCACCTCCCAAACGCAACAAGTTTCATGGACGGCGACATGTCGAAACGTCCATAAATACGGCTCATTCGCACCTCGTGTGTGCACTTTGCCGGTATGGCGCTCTTGACCTGCCCATTTCCAGGCGGATTGACCGGTGTCTCCTCCAATCACCAAGGAAGCTTTTGTTTGCTATGGGGAGACGCCCTGGTTCCTGGGCCTTCGTTAGAGTTTCGGGCCAACCGCACCCGACCACCAAGACTGCATATGGGAGACACATACGATGGTGTACTTGCATTAGTTACATTCACGGATGCCAACTTTTCTTGACGAAAACCTGCGATGACTGTGAAACGGACTGCCGTCGAGACAGTTGTCGATGACGGGTTGACCATCCCTTTATTCCGACCAGGAATTGTTATGTCCGACCAGCGCTCCGCTCAAGGCTCACCAGGTCATCTTTTTCTTTTCACCCCCGGTTGCCTTACACAGCCGATCGACACAGATACCCATCGGCTGCGGAACCAAATCCCTCAGCGGGATGGCATGCATCAGTCCCCTTCATGAACATTGAAGTGCGGCGTGGGATGGTGAGCACCCCCGCCGCTCGACTCGCCATTCAAGCGATTAAAGTTACACACCTGCCCACTGAGCCATCGCTTCTTGAAAATCATACCTTCGTGGATTATTCTCTTTGTCCCTGTTCCGGAACCCAATCATGCATTCACATGTTCTGAGCGGGGTATTATCCTTGTCACTGATCTCATGTCATACAGTGAGCTGATCCCTTCCCTTCAGACCATTATTGACGCCGGGGAAACAAAAGGAAAGAAGCTCGCTGCCTTCTGGTTCGATTTGGCAGTTCATTTTTTTTTTTTTTTTTTTTTTCTTTATTTTTTCCTTCCTTGAAGAAACTGGATGTGCCGGGGGAGATTCACGAGCCCGAAATCCATGTCTGATCCTGGTTTGCGACATGGATAAACAGCCGAGATGTGCGGCTAGACTGAAGAACTACCAAAGTTTATCAGTTTACAGGTGGTTTTCTCCTTAGACCACGCCAGTATGCAGTCCTCTGATCCAAGGAAAAAAAAGAACCACAACACCAGAACACGCATCTTTTTTCTTCAAGTATGTCAAGCTCATTATATATGACTGATCATGGTTCCTATACACGTGAAGTCATGTATGGTGGGATTGAATGGGTCTGGTGCATCTCTGCTGTTTTTCAATGTAACCAGCTAATGAAGTACATCCTTGAGCTATATGGGAATCCTGGCCATCGTGACCCTTTGGGTCAGGAACGAGGGAGCCGTTTGTCGCTTTCCAATCTTTCTTTGCACTTTGTGCAACATTCAAGATGTGAACCTGTGTCTCAGCGAGATTCAAAGAAACTGCTATTGGAGCTCAATGAAGCTGGTATATGTTATGCATGTGCTCTGTACAGTATAATGTGCATACAGCACATGTGTGAAACCGGTGACTCAAAAGTTAATGACTATTTGGATTTTTGTTGACACGCACTTCACACGTCCCTGTATGTCCCCATCCTATGTCCTAGGAAATCTTATATCCATATGATATAGTCTTTTGTTGATTGATAGGGGGAAAGGAAACACCAAACATTTGGTTTTGTCCTGACTATGTGTTCCAGTTATCATAGTCAACTTCGAGGTTTGTCTGATGACTTGAATGTTTTTCAAACCCAAGCGATCCACATCGCGGAGTTTGCTGACAGCCTGACACTCCGGATGTGGGGCCTTGCTCCAAGGAGATAACACAGGGCGCCACGTGGTGTAACATTCTGATAAGGTTCCATCATTGTCTAACCTCGCTACTTTCGCTTGGACGAAGAAGACGGAATGTCAGTGCGATTAAAATTCTATTTGCAGCTTGAGGTGCGCATACGGGGTCGGTGTTATGTCGAACCGAGGGATTTAAGGTGATAACCTTGAGCCTCCTTCCCCATGGCTCGACTTTATATTCGAGCAGAGAGAGAATAAAATGCCCAGGATCCAAAGAGACTGAGATAAGGTCCCATGTATGGTTACCCCAAGAAAATTAACTCGATTGCTGGTCGATCCGTTCAGAGATCTGGCCAGTTTCCATACGTCAGCTCTATGTTGGATCGCCTGCATCTCGCCGTGGGCTATCAAAAGCCTGAGACGATACAATGATTGTATGGTAGAGCCCATAGATCTTTTATGCAACTTACACTTCCAATCCGTTCTTCATTTATCTCCCTAGGAGAAGTCCAGCTGTGGTGCACGTCCATTCCTTGGATCTCCCTCCATACTCATATGGTTGACCTGTTGGTTCTGCTATTGTGTATTGGCCCATATCCACCTAATGATCACTGGCTGCCTAGGATGGGCTTATGGGTATAGCTAGATTGAATCTTTTACTGCTAGCCTAAGTACAATGTCAGAACACTATGAATAAACAGCATCGGTGTTAATGGAGGAGGACCCCAGTATTGGCGGAGGACCCGACTCTCTATATTTATTTTTATGGCACAGTCGGGACTCTTGGACGCAACAAGATGGGATCAATTTCCAGAGACTTGTGTCCTCGGGTTGGAAGTCTAGTGTTGCCAAATCTCGCAAATGGGTTATGTGTAATAAGACCATGAGATATCGCACGGCCTTTCGCCCGGAAAAAGTGTCACATGAATAACTTGAATACCAATCATGGTAGCATCACTTCACATCATCAGAGGATATTAGTAACTGCATCTTCATTCGCAACAGCATATGCTCTTGCTGTCTTGCTCAATAACAGCAATTAGGCATAATGTTAAGGTTTGTCAGAATGTGGGACAACTTCTATTGATTTCATCAGTGTCATATTTGGCGAGCAGCAGTAGAACACACTTTAGGGAAGTTGTTAAAAGGTTCATGGAGACATCTATCTGGTTGTTCATATTGTGTATAATGGAATTTCCATTACTCCTTGGCTATTTCAATGGGGGAAAGAAACCATTGGCAGCTAGTAAGCTTAACTGCTCGTAAAGACACACAGCTTTGGGTATAATTAAAATCACTCTTGCATGCAATTCCTGAAGCTCAATTCTCACAGAATGTGCAAATTGGCTGTGGATAGGGGGCACCATTGCCATATAATCTGTACCGAGTGTCAGGATCAATGGGGTTAAACATATCCCCAAGGTCTATGGAGTACATCATATATGTTTGATATTGTACTTCATCCTCTGTACCTATGGATGTAGGTGGGTACGTATGTATCTACTAATACATACAATCTTGATTGTTCCCCTCCCGCTAGCTAACAAAGAGAGGGCAAGTTTGTTGCATTGATTACTAGCCATACTCTGTTGCAGAGTAGGGCCTATCAGTTTTGGCGGGCATGATTCTTAGGCTTTTGGCAAAACTTCACCACGAACCAAGGTAGGGAGTACCCAGCCGGTTTGTCTTTGAAACAATTCGCTTGTCAACTAACATTGCAAGGCATCTTTTGGCACATGTGTGAAGCCGATAACCGGCTCAGCATAGGAGAGCCAAGCGAACAGCCTGAACCGAGTTCTGGACGATGAACAGCTTCTCCTGGCTGGCGCTTTTGAGACGGACTGGGGGCATTATTTTCATGCAATTGCTCCCACCAGCATTAAGCCGAGGAATCAGAGGTTGACTCACTATTGGATAATATCCATTTGTTATCCCATTGCGACCAGCTGATGTTCGGGTAAGGAATGATCATTTTCATATTAACATGTACACATCCGTAAGGTGGGTAATAAGAAAAACTAGGGGTTCTCTTTTTGATCAAAAATCTTCTGACGCAGGCTCAATGGAAAATGGGGAGGTTTCACTGACTACGGAGTATAAGCATTGCAAAGACAACTTAAAGGATGCAGGTCCAAGTCTTAACTTAAAATGCACTCTGAGTCCTTCACTTTTATGTGTGGAAAGTGTAGTCTGAGACGCGAGGATTGGTTGGGGAACAAGTTGTTTGACGTCTGTTTAACAATCACACCACATTCGCAGATTATGAGCACCTTACAGCTCCACTGCCTGTTTAATTTTACTTACTATATTTACATATTCTACTCTGTAAAAGTATTCTACTAGATCTTATTTACTATTTCTCTTTTAAAACATGTCAAAAGCTTAGACTGTGGTGACTCCAATCCAGAAGTTAAATCAGAGTCAACCCAGCAGTTCTGAATCTGTCAAGCTCAGAAACTTCAGATCAATGAAGATCCGAGCTAAGAAGTTGAAGGCTAACTACATGGAGACTAGTGTCTTGACAGATAACCATTATTTATGGCTAGATGTTCTGTAGATGATTTCTTTCTGCATTTTCCACTCCTCTGTAGGGAAGATGGTGGGTTAAAACAAGATTCACGTTAAAGTTGCACGTATCATAAAGCAGTCTCCCACCACACTCTAAGGCCTTTTTTTACGACATTCTTTTCATCTTGGTCTCCCTTTGCAAAACCAGCTAACCCAGGAATAGATACTTAATCAAGATGTGCCTTCTCCGCAATGTTTAACCTTTTAGTCTGTCGTAAATCACAACGGACTTTGGTAGGTTTAATTGGCAATACTACTGCTCGGGTCGAAGCCACTCACTCATGTATCAACCTTGGGAGAGAATGTCGAATAGGGCAAGCAAACGCTCCAAACTGGTATATCAATAATTTCTCCCCAGAATACCAGGTATTCGTCTTATCTTCACTACGAAGCCGTTAGAGAATGGAGCCGACGTGAAATTTCCAGCTATCAGGAGCCGTCTCTACGGTGAAAAACTCGTCCTTTCTGATAGGATACTATTACCTCTTGCTATGGAGAACAATGAATCTTCCGTCTTGATATTGCTTAAACTCAGGTTTACCATGTGGACACAAAAATATCGCATTGGGCTTTAAGTTTGGACCGGCTAATTTCTCGCCTGTTACAAAGTGGAGAGACCATAACGGACGGAAGGCGTAGCAGCGGCAAAGAAAGGAGTAGAGAATCCATGCACTCTACTCCGCAGCGCTCTTAAGATCGTATGTGCAGGATCGGCAGCAGAAGACAAGCTGGGAAACCTGCTCGACTGACCTCAGCGTTACAAGTGGTCTGGAAACCAAATATCTCGATATATCTATGGGGTATAATACAGTGCCCGTCATGACGTTGCAGAGGCTGATGGACAATGTCTTGAGAGGCTAACAAGGGAGGCTCTGGCTATTATCGCCTAAGCTCGATCCGGTAGCTTAAGGCTCAAGAATCAAAGGGTCAGCTCGGTAACCAGCTGAGCAATTGGAGGAGAAGCCATTTCTTCCCCTGTCCTCTAGCTTTGCCCAAAAAAAAAAAAAAAAAAAAAAAAAAAAAAAAAAAAAAAAGAGGAAAAAGGATACTTCATGCAGAGTACAGAGGAGAGCGACAGGTCCCAACATGCTGGTAGCCCTTCCCGTCCATATTTGCCAACGTCTGTCAATGGATAGCATGGACTCGCTACTGGATCGTGCCGCAAGGAATAATCGAGCTGCAGTTGGACTCAGTAGCCTCCGCTTTGGCTGTAATGAAACATAGCTGCTATTGGGTACCCTGGCTGGTTTCCCCAGGTTTTAGCTTACCTGGAGGTTCTTAGTCTCCTCGTACATTTCAGACGAAGAGTCTCTGAACTTCTACATCTGAATTTGAAATATGCCTCATTCCCATCCTCGCGTCTTGTCTTCCTTGCTCAGTGTGATTCAAAGAAAACATCGCCTGAGATGGGATGAAAAGCTACCTGGATGCGGAACCCTCCTCCAGAAGTCATTGCTTCCTGGCCAGAACCAAATTATGTCAATCCCGAGTTTCGAGGCCCTCAGTTGGCCATCGTCGGAATCGGGTTTCTTGTCTTATCGCTGATTATCGTCTCTCTCCGCATGTACGTGCGATTCTGGATGAGACGATAGGCAGGCTGGGATGATTGCTGCGTTGGTTAGTAGTCTTCATGCATGAAGTTCATCCCTTCTTTCGTCGCAGGTTCCAAGTGATGATCAACCTCGCATACTATATGAATTCCCTGGGGCATTGATGGTATCCTTGCTGAATAGAAATCTGCTTCCTAGCCCGTTTTGATTGGCACCACAATCCAGTGCATCGATTCTACTAAATATGGATGGGGTTAGTCTTGAGAAGTTGCTTGATTCATCGTTATTTTCTTAAAAATATGCGCTGAACTTTGCTTTTAGGAATCCACATCTGGGATAATAAAAAGGAATGGTACAGTCCATCTAGGCTTGTGAGTCTATCACTACTGGAAAGCATACGTAAATGCTGCATACTAACCGAAGTGTGTTCTAACAGGCAAGCTGGGTCAATCAGGTTGCTTATATCTTCCTTATGAACCTCATACGGACATCAATTTTGGTGTCTTATCTTCAATTCTTTACGACAAGAGGATATAGGGTCACAACGTGGTTTCTAATCGGTACTATGATATTTTGGTGGCTAGGTGTGTTTCATCATCGGTCCCTAACGATACGTGCCCTTTCAAATGCTAACAATAAATATCCAGCATATCTGATCGCTCTGTTTTCCAATTGCTTGTAAATGTACCAGGGCTCACTCCGGAAATGAAGCTCGCAGATTTTGATATCCTCGATTTCTCAAACTTTGTTCCTTTTCTTTTCTTTTTTTTTTGAGTGTCCTTAGGCCCTTCTGGGAGTATTGGGATACAAAGCTCACCTCAGTCTGCATTGATGAGTTTGGGAAATTCTTTTCCTCTGCAGTCACAAATCTGGTTCTCGATCTTTCGGTACTCGTACTGCCGATGCGGATTTTATGAGGTTTCCATCTTCCTGTCCAGGAGAGAACTGTGTTGATGTTTTTGATGAGCTTGGGATTGACGTATGTGACCCCTTTTCAATATGTTAACCTTCCTTACCCAATCCTCGCCAGATACTAACATCATGCCATGCAGCGCCTGCATTGCTTCTGCTGTCAAAACAGCTGAAATTTACAGGGCGATTCTCCTTACGTACGATATTCCGTGTGAGTGAAACGTCATACAATTTCTGTCTTCAATCGCTTGTTGACGAAGCTATCCAGGGAAGGGATATAATGTCTGGCTTATGTGTGCCGTCGAAATAAATCTAGCGATCATATCCCCATCAATACCTGTCCTTCGCCCATTGGTGCAAAAGTACTTTCCAAAACTGTCATTCAGACCTTACCAGAACATGTCCGGTAGAACGCCTAGCCAAGGAATGGATCGCAAGGGTGCGAGAGCGAGATATGTACCGGATAGTATTCAAAGACTTGATGAGCGTTATGGAAATGGGAGTTCTACAGAGGCCCTCAAGCTATCATCATCCCAAACGAGGATGGCACATATGCAGCTGGAAACATCCCATTCGGTATTAAATAATAATTGATCATGATGGGTCCTATTTATTCGTCCTTCTTCAGTATTTGGAGGGGGATTGGTTTCATTCGAAGCATTCATGCCTAGTGACTAAATTTTCCAGCTCTCTTTTTCCTGATAATAGTCCCTCCCTAGGCTCGGTACCAGAAAGGCAAAGGATGTTTCTATTGGAGCGCAGAGTTTGGAGGCTAGCGCTCAGCAGTTCTCTAATATGTCTGAGAGTCGTCTTGGGGCATCGACCCTGTATTTCTTCCTCCAGTCAACAGCTTGCCATGCATTACATTTTCCTCTGACTTTGCAGATTGCATTAGCTAGAAGACAAGACTAATATGTATTTCCCCAGTTTTCAAGGAAGGAAATCCATATTTTACCCTGTGCTCAAGTACATATTTGAAAGTGAAAGAGCTAGATAAATCCGAGCGTTCACAACACCACAGTCACTTCAACACAAGTTTAGCTCCCAATCAGCATCACATTTGGTAGGATATTTCCTCTGGGTTTGGAATTCTCACTATTATACTCCCTAAGATGGTGCATATGTTCCTTTGCTCTTGTAGGAAGCAAGGGCCTATTGAATGCTCTGCTTTTAGTCCGCCTTTGTCCCCTAGCCATTGCGTCCAGAAGTCGATTAGCTAGCGTCAGGTGATTCTTGCGACCACCCCGGCCGACGCACCACAGTTATTACACTAAGGCGCCAGCTCGTCGCAACCTCTGACTTGCCGGTTCATATCCAAGTAGAAAGACAACTAAACAATGCTTTCAGGTGGGTATTCCTTAAGTTTCTTTTATTCTAACTATACAAGTATTAGCTACTCTTGCACTCATGACGTTCCTCCGGGTTGCAAGGTTAGCTTACACGAGTGCTGGGTTGCCATACCGAACTTCAATTTTCGGATGAACTTGATAAAGCGGACTGACACTCGTTTCAGATGCAGATGTGGAAGTGCTTGAGGCTGTCGCAAAAGATGGCACAATGGATTAGTACGGCCCAAACCCTTGAGACATCCCCGGTTCTTGCTGACCCGCCGCGTTCTGAAGCGAGAAATGGCCTGGCCTCCTAGAACTTTTCCTTGATCAATTACACCATGTATGGACCTCATATATCAGAAGCGGACTCAAATTACTGATATTTTGCTCTAGATTATCCGCCATGAGTTCCCGATTCCAAGATTCCGCTCCAATTCTTTCGAGACGATTACAACGATTCCCATTCATTCCACCTACGCGTCGCAAGACCCAAGTTCACAATCAAACAGCAACAAAGAAAATGCACCCCCTTCACAGTTTCAGTCGCCGCCTCGTCGGCCACCGGTTCCTCCTTTCTCCCCTCCTGCCACTAGCATGCGGATTCCTGATTCGCAGTCCCAGTCCAGCCCTTCGGAAACCGACTTACCCCATCCCCTCCAATTCCTACTTTCTTCAATTGAATCAACTCTAAGACAAAGTTTTTCCTCGAAACCACCACATACAATCCAGCGCCTTGCGGAACTCCTTCTGCGGCCTTCGCGGCACTACCGAACACTCCCTGCCTACCTTCGGGCCGTAGACAGAGTAGTATCGGTGTCTAGCGGAGCGGATATATTTCCACTTCCGGTTGCTGTTCCCCCTGGTGTAATAATCGACAGCGCACTTGCGAATGGACTTAACGGCACGACGACAAGTCTTTCTCTATTCAATGACAGTTCTTTGGGAAGCGACGAATCCTTGGGCGGTGCGCTCCTTACTCCAATCCCGTGGCTTAGCAATCCCACCTCACCTCCCGCCAGCGAGGATGTTCTTACCCAGCCGAGTTCTAGTGACGATTCGATAGGCGCGGGTACCTCTGCCCCAAGCGAGCCTAGTTCTCAGGAACAGTACTTATCCCCGGAGACAGAAGGACCCAACACCACGGGAATTCAAGAGGTTCCTGAAGATGAAATGATTCCGCATGCTCGCGGGCCTTCTACTATAGGCGTGGAGGACATGGGACTACAAGATGGAAAAGACGTGCAGATGACTCTCACAATAGACGAATCGGAAGTCACGGTAGCGCAAGACTCTCAAGCAACTTCTGAAGAAAGTGAAAGCAAGGAAGATCCATCTACTGGCCTTGAAGAAGATGGTGATGGAGAGATTGTTATCGATGATATCCCTCCCAGTTCAATGACCCAAAATGATACTCCAAATGATACAACCTCCAGTGAAGCAAATACGGCTGAACCTCGGGCAGGAGGTCGTGCCGAGAATAATACCGATGAGACAGCTCATGACATTACTAAGTAAATGAGATGAATTGGCGAACCGGTTTCTGCATTCATTGCAAGTGTGTCATGTATACTCGGCGTTGGCTCCTCTTTTCTAGTATGTTTTTGTTTTTGTTTTGTCATAGGTAGCTGGAGGGTGGAGTGGTACGGAGTATCTGGAGTAACGAATGTGCGTGGGCAATCAGACTGGTTAGTAGGTTTAATTTTTAAGGTTGAAAGTAGAAGATTTATGTCTTCTAAATATACATCCTTCTGCCCTGATGCTGAGATTCATTAAATGGGATAGTTGGAGGTGATGTCACATGACAGCGTGATTCATCCGCGTCTCCGCGCGAAGGCAACAGACCTCATGTCAGTTAGCACGACGGCTTCTGCGCTAGAGCTATGACTTCTTTGTTTTCTGGGTGATAGAGCTCGTGGTAACTGAACTGCAAAGATGTAAGTGTATCTCTTTGTCAAGTTTAACTCTCGACTAACTCGCCGTTCTTTAGGTGTAAGTTTCGCAGTCGCATCGATCCCCATCGCATCCACTAATCTCCGCTTTAGCGAAGATCGACAAGCTTTCAATACTCGGGTTTGTGCATGGACTTGTGACGATACAGGCCCAATATCGGTAGACAGTCTGCTAACTTGTTTGCTTTACCTAGCGTTCGCTCGTTCGATAACACGCGCAGCGAGACGATTCAGTTCCATACCCCATTAACATTGATTGTTGGATACAATGGATCAGGAAAGACTGTATGTGGGGTTAATAGGGACAATGTAAGGGACGGGTCGTTAACTCCATGTATAGACAATTATCGAATGCCTCAAATACGCAACAACGGGAGAACTTCCACCTAATAGCAAAGGTGGCGCGTTTATTCATGACCCGAAGGTAGAATTTCGCAAATCCCGGGAGATCCTTTATACTGAGATATATTTTAAATAGTTATGTCACGAAAAGGAAGTTTTGGCCCAAGTGAAACTGGCATTCAAGTCTACGTCCGGCGCACGGATGGTAGTCACCCGCAGTTTACAGCTCACGGTGAAGAAAACGACGAGGCAACAGAAAACGCTAGAAGGGCAGTTGCTGATGACGAAAGAGGGCGAGCGGACTTCTATATCCTCTCGAGTTGCCGAGTTAGACCAGATTATGCCCCAATATCTAGGCGTTTCTAGGGCAATTCTTGACAATGTGATTTTTTGCCATCAGGATGAGAGTTTGTGGCCCCTGAGCGAGCCGTCTGTACTAAAGAAAAAATTTGACGAAATTTTCGAGGCGCAAAAATACACCAAGGCGATTGATAATATTAAGGCTTTGAGGAAAAAACAGAATGAGGAATTGGCTAAGTATAAGATTATGGAACAGTATGCGAAGGAGGATAAGGACAAAGCTGATAGGGTAAGGCATGATCTGCGATGGAACTACGCTATGGGTACTGACTCTTCGTAGGCGGAGAAGAGGTCCATTCAACTTCAAGAAGAGATCGAAGCACTTCGAGCGGAGAGCCATGAACTGTCCAAAGAGATGAAAAAGGCTGCAGATCTTGCTGACAAGGCTTGGAAAGAGTCCGAAAGCTACGCTGAGATTCTGGGTGCGTTGGAGGGAAAACGCATCGAAGTAAAAAGTATCCAAACTAGCATCGACAATCTGAAGCAGCATCTTGTGGAGGTAGATGAGTCTGAGGAGTGGCTTGAATCCACATTAGAGCAGTTCGGGTCTCGGCAGGCAGAGTATCGAGAGCAAGAAGAGTCCCTGAAAGAGAAGTATGTGGACTTAAAAGAGAATATAGAGCGGAATCGGCATCAATTGGGCCTCAAACAGGCTGAGTATGGGAAGCATGAGAATGACAAAGCTCAGTTTGAAAGGCAAGTGGAAAGACGTGGCAAGTTGATCAGGGATATCGCCCGACAAAATAATTTACGTGGGTTTGAAGGCGATCTTGATGAGATGGAAATCAATGAATTTATGCAGAGGCTGCAGAAACTTTCTAGGGACCGGAATCAAACTCTCGACAGAGCAAAGCGAGAGGCCCAAGTGGAATTACGCGAAGTGCAAAGCCTGCTGAATCGGCTAAGTCAGCGAAAGTCGGCCCTTCAGGAGGGGAAGAATGCGGCTAGGAATCAAATATCTCAAAATGATAAAGAAGCCGATTCTTACCAGCATCGCCTCAACGAAATAGAGATAGACGAAGGGAAGCTAGCAATTTTAGAGTCACGAATAGAAGAAACCGAAGGGTGTCTGCAGCAAGCAAAGGACAAAGCGAAGACTGCGTCGTGGGAAAAGGATCTTCAGACCAAGAACGCAGAGCTTCGCTCGTTAGAAGAGGAAAGCTCTTTATTAAACGCGGAATTGATTGAGGGAACTAAAAAGGCAGGAGACCTTGCCCGCCTGGATCACCTCAAAAAGGAGCTTAAAGATAGGGAGCGCAGCCTGGAAACGATGGCAAGCGCCCACGGTGACAGGATATCCCAGCTCATAAGCCAAGCATGGAACCCTTCGAATATCGAACAAGAATTCCAGTCGGTTTTGAATGACGCCACTGTTTCTTTGACCAAGGCCCAGCGTGACAGAGACGGGGCAAGCAAAGAATTGGAGTACATTGAAGTGACAATGAAAAACGCACGCAAGTCCCTCCAGCAGCACAAGCAAGAATTGGACGACTGTGTTCAGAGGATTCGCGAAGCCATCGATGATGAACCAGAAGAATATCCCGACGTTGTCAAGCAGAAGCAATCGTCGCTCGAAATGGCAAAAAAAGATGTTGACCAGTACGCAGGCTTAGGGGAGTATTTGGGCAAGTGTCTTGAAGCAGCAAGACAGAAAAAAGTCTGTCGGACTTGTGGAAGAGGTTTCAAAACGGAAAAAGAATTCCATGATTTCAGCCTGAAGCTTGAAAATCTTCTGAAGAAGGCAACGATGAACGCAGAAGATGAGAATGTTGTGCAGTTGGAAGAAGACCTTGAGATTGCCAGGAACGCGCAGACGTATTACGATACCTGGGTTCGTCTCTCTAATACAACTATCCCTGAAGCAGAGAAGGAAATAAGTCGGCTTGAATTGGAACGAGAAGAATTACTGGTAAAGGTGGAGGATCATGATGCGATTGTCAGTGAGAAAGGCGAATCGAAAAGGGATATTGAATCTTTATCGAAAACCATTACCACTATTGCGAAGTATGAGGGTGAAATCAAGACCCTCAAAGTTCAGATCCAAGATCTCTCTACTAAGCAGCAACAGCCGGGAAGCTCGCGAACGTTGGAAGAAATTCAAGACACGATCGCAACAATTGGAGAAGGATGTCGTGAGTTGAAGAGAGCCATAGCGAAAATCACAAACGAACGGGACCAGTCGAGAACCGAAATCACTGAATTGGAGCTTCAACTCCGTGACGTACGTAGCGAGCTCGATAACGCCAGATTCCAGCTGGATAAGAAGGCGTCGATTGAAGCTCGATTGGAAGAGTATCGCAATCTCAATACAAAGCAGCGCGAGAGCATTGAGAAGGCAGACCATGATATAGAAAGCCTTGTCCCAGAGGTTTCGAAGGCGCAAGCCAAGTTCGACGATATTAATGCTCGTGCAGAGCAAAAGGAGAGAGAGCTTCAACAAGAAGTATCTAGTCTGAGCGATAGTTTGCACCAACTTGATCTTGCAAGTGAGGATATTGTTTCCTACAATGATAGGGGAGGCCCACGTCAACTGGAAAGAAGCAAACGTGAGGTAGAGAATATCACAAAGGAAATTGAGCAATTGGAAGCGGAGCAGGGATCGCTTACGAGACAGCTCAATGCTGTTTCGGCTCGATTGCAGGATAGTGAGAACACAAAACGGCAATATTCGGATAATCTTCGATATAGACGGGAAATGAGAGCGTTAGGGGAAGTTAAGGCAGAAATAGCGCGATTGGAGGCACAAAATGCTGAAGTCGACCGCGCTCGATTCAAAGAGGAATCAGACCGCCGGACACGAGAATATAACTTCCTTTCTGCGACACAAGCCAGCAAGATGGGCGAAATGAAGTCGAAGGATAACCAGCTCTTGCAGCTACTCGCGGATTGGAACACAGACTACAAAGATGCAGCATTTAAATTCAAGGAAGCCCATATTAAAGTGGAAACCACGAAGGCTGCGGTGGAAGACCTTGGACGATATGGCGGTGCTTTAGACAAAGCTATCATGAAATACCACAGCTTAAAGATGGAGGAGATTAACCGCATCATCGAGGAACTCTGGCAAAAAACTTACCGAGGCACGGATGTTGACACGATTCTCATTCGGTCTGATAATGAGAACGCTAAGGGCAACCGTTCATATAATTATCGCGTCGTCATGGTCAAGCAAGATGCCGAAATGGACATGCGAGGTCGCTGTAGTGCGGGCCAAAAAGTGCTTGCTAGTATTATCATCCGCCTCGCCCTGGCAGAATGTTTTGGCGTGAATTGCGGCTTGATTGCGCTGGATGAGCCCACGACCAACCTTGACCGAGACAACATTCGGTCTCTGGCGGAGTCACTGCATGATATCATTCGGGCTAGACAGCAGCAGGCGAACTTTCAGCTTATTGTTATCACACACGATGAGGAGTTCCTAAGACATATGCAATGTGGCGATTTCAGTGATTATTATTATCGGGTATCGAGAAGCGACAAGCAGAAATCGATTATCGAGAGGCAATCTATTGCTGAGGTGAGAATTCTTCACTACCCTGTTGCATGATACAGGCTAATCTTTTTCCGTTTTAGGTTTTGTAAATGTCGGGCTTACAGCATTTTTGATGGTTTTATTGAGGAATATTGAAACTTCCTGGCCTGGGTTTGCATTTTGGTGGAATTTTATGGAATGGTTACGATAGCTCAAAGAATGGCGGCGAACATGTTAGTTAGTTGTTCATGATGACAAATTTTTATATTGCTAAAATCCAAAATGCCTCAAAGTTAAACTGATGATTTGGGTAGTTAAGTCATGATAACATGTTTTCTAGAGCCCAGACATAGAGTTGTTGAGGATTGATAGCCAGTCATATAGCTATTGGAATACAGGAACTATACAAGGATAAAATATACACATGTATTAATGCAGCAGCTGGACCATACATTTGCTAGATGTGCCAAAATAAAAGCCTCCGTGACTTTATTCTCCTAATTCGCCTCCTTCATCGTTCGCTTCATCATCAACCAATGGAACAAACCTAAAATCCACGAAGCTGACATTTTCGAGAGTACCTGGGACCTGCTGTGTCTTGGTTGACCCATGGGGGTCCGACACCGCTTCTCCAAGTTCAATCATAAACTGAATACTCAACACGCCTTGACTATCCCCACGAATACTAACTTTGCTCGCTGCGGCCATAGCACGCAGTGCTTTTCGGACAAGCGCAAACCGGTAGCTCTGACGCACCCTGGCTCTTGACGAAGGCGGATGAACTAGAAATGTCTCTGCTACCGAAGGAGCCAGCTTGCCTCGTTTTGGCTGCCTGGAACTTCCATTATTATTCAGGGACTTGTATGAGGGATCAGCGAGAGCATCCGGTTCTTTGTCAATTGAGAATTCAACAGTTGATTCGCCGAATGGGCCACCGGAGGCAGAAAGTGCAAAATAGGGGGCCTTCTTCGGAGAAGCGGTTATCGTCAAGACGGACGGGTTGGTAGAATCTAGTTCCATAATAGCATTGTGCAACCAAAGAGAGCGCATGATAATCTTGAACAGGATGGCATCTCGTTGAAGGGGAATATCAACATCTTCTGAAGACTCAAATTCCGGATTATCAGGCTCGTAAGTTGTCAATTCACATGTCGTAGTAACGCCAGCTTCGCTAAGGGTAATGCACAATGGAGATCCAGGTCTCAGGTAGCTTATGGTGCAGGTACGGTTAAGAAGCAAAGCGGGTGTGGAGAAAGCATTAGATGCTGGGCCAGTTATCGGGTTTGATATCGGGTTAGAGTGTGGAGGAGCATCGCTCAACCCGAAGATCTGAAGAGTCTCAATTAGAGCAGTAAGCGAAATTAGAAATCGTGGATATGCTGCAGTATCTAATTCCTCCTCGACAACGTCTGTATCGGTAGCCACACCATTGTCGCTAGGTACAGGATTAAAAACATAATTGGCGAACAGCGTTTTATCCAGAAACGCGAGACCTTGCATGACCCTCCCATCTTCGGCAGAGAAGCGTATGCCTTGTGGGGTGATTTGAATTGCGGCTTTCGAGGCAAAGCCAATGCATCGTAATATAAGGTAGAGATGATGGGTGAAATTGGAAACGGCAGAAAAGATTGGTGCGCCATTGGTGTCCATTGCGGTGAAAGCTAAATCATTAAATACGCAAGGAGAGAGGGACCAGCCGTTTCTTCGCGAAAAGGAAGAGGAAATCGAACGCGTCCTATACGCGATCGCGACCCGGATTTGTTATCAAGCCAACTATGAAGGGAAACGGCGAGTAGGCTTATACGTAAACCCCGACTGCGCAAATCATGAAGACAGCCCCGAACCTGTATGGGTTAGAATCGTGCTGTTCCGAACATTCAGGGGAGGTAATACTGACCCAAACGCGAGCGAAGCAGGCACACCGTATAGGGGGATACTCAGAAGAGATCGATCTGGCGCAATTAGTAGGGGAACCTCATATCCCTGGTACTAGGACATACTTAAGCCGAAAAGCCCGGTGAGAACAAGACCTATGAGAACCATTTAGCAAACTGCAGGCTAGATATCTGGAGTAGCTGGGCATTCTAACCTGCCAATAAAAGGGTAGATGCAACGAAGAACTGATTATCCTTCGAAACAAGTGGATAGAAAGGGTTCCCGGCCGCAGCAACCCACGCGTCTTCAAGAGACATTTGTACGAGCTTCGGGGCGTATATCAATGCAAAAAAGGTCCGGAGTGCAAGACAAAAGATTGCCCAAAAGTCACAATTGGTATTCGGAGAGACAAAGTGATGATTTCCAAGCGGATTATATGATAGTATGCCTTTCTTCAGTTGCGCGGAGAGCACGCTTCAATGGTGCTCTGGACAAGATTGGCCTTCGCCAGGTGTTCACTTCGGATGGAACTGCCACAAGAGCTGTCCGGATTTACTTATGTCCGAAGGACGAGGATAAACTATTTACCGACTCCGACAGCGATATCATACTTACCCTTTCTGGAAACCGCGACGTCCAGATTGGTTTAGGACGTCGCGACTTGCGCCCTCCCGCTTCTGGAAAGTTTGTATGCATGGTTATGCGCCATGGCGCCGATTACGGCTGACCGTAAGCTATTCTTTCTGCCGACTGCACCGGCATCATGGCGGTACTGACCCGCGCAGGTAGCAAGCGCAAAGCGACCGACGAGCCGAGCACGCCAGATTCGAAGCAAAAGGTCAAAAAGGCCCGGACTGAGTCCCCAGGCTCTGAGATTAAGGTTGGAATTGTGATAGTTCTCAAAGTGTGTGCCCATTTCTAACTCTAACTCGCAGGATGACTCTGCCAGCAAGCCCACGCTCAAGATCGTCCCATTCGCCGAGAAGGTAAGAGGAGCGGGAACATACCGCGTTTATGTTGAAATATTGCTGATGGAACCTCCGGTGCAGCCGGCAGTGCTGGAAGAACGACGCGGTGATATAGAGTTCCGAGTGGTTAACAACGACGGGTCCAGAGAGAGCTTCATCATCCTCACAGGTCTCAAGTGTATATTCCAGAAGCAGTTGCCGAAGATGCCGAAAGACTATATTGCGCGACTGGTATACGATAGGACCCATTTATCCATGGCTATTGTTAAACACCCATTGGAGGTAGTTGGGTACGCAGCCGCTCCGCTTCCTAGAGTTATCGGGGGACCCCCCACTGATTGTGTGCAGAGGGATTACATACCGGCCCTTCAAAGGGCGAAGGTTTGCAGAGATTGTGTTTTGCGCCATATCTTCCGACCAACAAGTCAAAGGTTATGGTGCTCACTTAATGTCTCACCTGAAGGTAATCGTTTTCCCTTAATCTTTCATGCTAATCAAGACTAAGCATGACCGGGCAGGACTACGTGAAAGCTACTTCTGAGGTGATGCATTTCCTAACATACGCCGATAATTATGCCATCGGATACTTCAAGAAGCAAGGTTTCACAAAAGAGATCAGCTTGGACAAGTCAATTTGGATGGGTTATATCAAGGATTACGAAGGCGGCACCATCATGCAGTGCACCATGATCCCAAAGATCCGGTATCTCGAATCTGGTCGCATGCTTTTAAAGCAAAAGGAGGCTGTTCACGCCAAAATCCGGGCCTTTAGCAAGTCCCATATTATCCACGCTCCACCCAAGGAGTGGAGAAACGGGGTCTGCGAGATTGACCCTCTCAGCATTCCTGCCATAAAAGAGTCTGGATGGTCTCCTGATATGGATGAGCTGGCCCGCCAGCCACGACATGGCCCTAATTACAATCAACTTTTACATCTACTCAACGATATGCAGAATCACAGCGCAGCTTGGCCCTTCGCACAGCCGGTGAATCGGGACGAAGTCCCCGACTACTATGAAGTGATCAAGGAGCCGATGGATCTGTCAACCATGGAAGAGAAACATGAAAAGGATCTGTACCCTGCTCCGCAAGATTTCATTAAGGACGCTATGTTGATTTTCGATAACTGCCGGCGTTATAATAACGAGAATACACCCTATGCCAAGAGCGCGAACAAACTGGAAAAATTTATGTGGCAGCAGATAAAAAATATCCCAGAGTGGTCGGTAAGTGCTCTGCGATCGGCTTTGAACTGCTTTTCGGTTTTTTGGCAGTTGCTGATCCTGCCTGTCCTCCTAGCATCTGGCGGAGGGTCATTGACCCAGTCTGGAGACTGCACTCAGCAGAATAACACAAGGGTTATTTTATGTTTTTTGCAGTGAGCGCTGGTTTTGTGGTTTTAATGATTTCACAGCGGGTGAGTTTGGAGTCCTGGAAGGGATTCTGGGGGGCGTTGGAACGGAAGGACTTCTTCCTCATTTTGCAATTGGTGGTATATTGGTGCATGCTATGAGTAACAATTGTAACCCGCCCACATATTTACATGGATAACAATGTAATCTTGTCAAACCTCAAAGGCAATGCCACAGTTCCCGCACAGTTTCTCCTTTTCCCGTCAGTAGTATTTTCGGCGTCGGAATAACAATGTCGCGAATGTGTACAGTGATTAAACAAGTCGACGAATTGCGGCCCAGCGCCCAGCAACGACCTCTCCGAATCTCCATCCCTTTCGAAGCCCCCGTTTCACTGCCGTCTCGCAACAGTTTGACCATTCTTTCGGGTCGTCTCTTTTTGAATATTAGCAAGAGTACTTCTTTCGATTAGTATTGTGACTAATCTGCTCTTTTTCCTTCATTATATCGCGGTTGACATGAGCGGTCGGAAGAGTACCTAACCCGTCACCGAGAGATTGGGGGCTGAATCCGACTTCTTGACCCGGTCTTTTACTTTTGCTGCATCCTAAATTGGAGCATACACGTTCTTTAAGATATAATCGTCTTCAGAATTACCCAGCGTCGTTTCCCCACGATAAAATGGCGTCCTCGTCGTCAATCCAGGAAGAAGAACATCGCAACCGACTCCCTACGCTCCTTGAAGTCCTTAGTCGAAGAACGTTGGCCCCTGTTGACCTCTTCTCGTTTTACATTTACATGAGAGATCAACAATGTTCCGTGGATTATCTAGATTTTTGGTGAGTTTCTCATTTTCGCCCAAAATGTTGATGGAATTGGCCGACTGACCCTGCGTTAGGCTTGATGTATCTCAACATATGTCCCTATGTCGCCACTATGTCCGCGAACTGCGTCGCTCCGTGCTCCTTGAGACTCCTGAACCTGAAAAATTGGACTCTGAGTCGCCGGGTCTCGCACCCAACGGTGGTGGACCTTCGGGACCTGGTTACCCATTTGACGGTCTTGGCCATGATAACGATCAGAGATTGTCGGCGTTCCTGAGGTCCGAAGGACGACCATCTATGTACTCTGCTCGAAGCAGCATGGACTCTGGCCGGTCAGGGCGTCGATTTTCTTCTGTTGATCGACCGCGACGCGTGAGTGATATGTTCCCACAACAACATCACAATAATTCGAACGGCTCACCGGGACACACGGTCGCACGATCTGATATTCGGGCAAGCGCTGTGAGAATTCTGTATACATACCTCCTCCCGGGATCGGAACGGGAGGTTGTTCTTCCAGATACCATCGTTGGGGATATTGTGCACATGATTGAACAGGAGGGGAGAGATGACCCAGAGGTTTTTGATACTGCAAAAGACTATGTCTTCCAGGCAATGGAAAGAGATGCTTTCCCTGGGTTCTTACAGGCGAAAGCGCTAGGAAATCTTGTGCCACCAAGCATCCTAGCCCGGCTTGTCCTCGCCTTGACAAGCTTGGGGGGAGGGTTTTGGGGTGCATTTTATGTTGTGCTGACGGATCAGCCACGACACGTACGATGCTGGGTATAAACAACCCTCCTCAACTATTTTTCTTCGGAAATACATGTTGCTAATTGTGCATGTCCCAGGTAATTCTACCTTTCATCGTGGGGGCCTATTTCCTGGCATCCTATCAATACAGGATGGATCCCATCCTTGCATTTATCGGCTTCAGCGAATATACATTTATGAATTGGACCTCAGTTCGTGAACCATACGTTCGCTCATTGCTCCTCAAAAGAGCCTTTGTGTCTCTTGCATTCGCCACCTTCATTGCCGTCGCACTGTGCGTTCTGTTCATTTTTGTCCCTGGGACAAGGCTTTAGCCAGTGGGCTTCCCATGATGCCTGATAAATTCCCTTTCAGCATATCCCCTCGATATTCCTATTGATTTTCTTTGACAGCTGCAAAATGGAGATAACCAGGATTCGGGTGCTGCTAGCATTGGTGTATGGTGTTCTTATATCGCTTGAGGTTTTGTTTTGTCTCGTGATTCCTGCTTTACGATATTTCTATGGCCTTAATCCCCTTTCATTCCAATTTTACACACCCAAGATACCCCCCTTTAAGAGTGCTTGCCCTTTGGCTCTCTTAAACATGTTTATTACTTTGAGGGACAGTTCTGGGCGTGTTCAGCAAGCCTTGTAGACGCCAACGTGGCTACACTAAGTACAGTACAATAGCAATAATGTTGCATGAACGCTCATGTTTTTGTATTGAACCTCATTTGTTTCGATCTAATAACTGTGTTTGATTAAGCGTTAGAAAGGCCTTCTCATCACAGCGTATAGCCAATGCAGCTCATTAGTTATCCTATGGTCTACCTTGGACCCCCGACGCTCTCTTCGCATTCCTCATTAAAGGCCCTGAATCATCGCCATCGATGCCCTCATCAACATCCATCTCCGAACCCACCCTACCAGGAGGACCGTTCCGCTGCCCAAAATCGCTTGCTGCATTAAAGCGTTTGTTCCCGCCGCCAAATCCAAACTTGCGTCCACCTTTACCGGATCCGTCTTTCGACGGACGAAAAGAGCGTTTTGAGCCAGCACCTCCGACGTCATTGCCCCCAGCACTCCCGTCGTCGTCACCCTCCCAGCCACTGAGACTGCGCTCAACACGGTGGGCATGGATTTGGGCCTGTAGATGCCTTCTTTCCGCATCGGCGCGTATCTTGGCGATCTCAGCTTCAATTCCGCCAATGACATCTTGACAACGGCCCTGCCATTCGGTGAGGATTGATATCATTGTGTTTACGGTTTGAGGGCGAACGTCGCGAAGAGGGGCGATGGAGTTGACTTTGATGATCGGTGGGGAGGTGGTTGGGGAGAGACGGGCGGATATCAGGGATAAATAGATGGCTTCTCTAACAAGGGTTTCAAGTTCGGCAGGCGTGGAAAGGGAGAGGGATTCCATGACTTTTGAGTAAGTGAGGGGATTGTGTGTCTCTGCGAGGGTGAGGAGCGAAAGAAGACGAAGTTTCTGAATTTGTGCCGTGTTTAGAGTGGGTAGGTTGGGAGTTGCTGTAGGTAATGATCAGCTCGTGTTTAAGCCAACTGCGGGAGGTCTTTCAGGCGAAAGAACTCACATTTGTATTCCTGCCATGTTCCCCATGCAAATATCTCTAGCAGCGTCAGGGAGGATCGATATTTTTCGGGCGTTTCAGGAGACCTAAGTGATTGTATAGCGGGAGTATCCAAGAGCTCTGCGAAGAAGAAGGTGCTCGGGGCGGATGTGGCATTGGTGATGAGGGTTGCCAAAAAGAGGGGTGAAGGTGATTGGTTGGAGGTCGCAATATGAATGAATGGCTGGATAGCTTCAAGAGCCCTGTTGTGTATTTGCTCCATGTTTGCAAACTGGGGTGGCCGAGATACTCCCCGCCCCAGCTGGTGGTGATAGACTTGATAGTGATGTTTGGGTGAATACGGGGTACGAGAGGGAGCAATCAACTGTCGAGCTTGTTAGCAATAGAAAAGATCCAAGGCTATCGCCAAAGAGGCAACGGAACGGCACCCACTAGGCCTCTACCCGACCGGAGCCCTGAACGTGCCGCTGTCTTCCTGTAAGCACCATTCGCTCCGCGACGATGACGATGATCTGTTGGTGTTTGCTGACTTTGCATCACGCCTTAGTTAGTTAGTTACATAAGCGGGTCGGCACGCTATCCCGCACCCACACTAACGTCTTTTCCCTCCGCATCGGAGTACCTGCGGCGATGCGCCGGACGAATCGGACGGCCTCGCTGTTATTTTTGTCAGCTTTCCGCCTCTTCCACGAACCGCAAAACGGCACGCTGGTGTTGAAACAGCTGTTTTGACAGAGTTTTATCCGGTTGCAGGTTGCGCCGCCGAATCAGCATTGCCTCCCGGGGTTTCAGCTGAGCGTTGGCTACTTAACCCTGCAGAGGGAAGAGTTGAAAGAGTTAACGTCACATTGACCACACGATCCCTCCACCATTTCTCGGCCGCTTCCGTATACTATAACACTTTCTCTAATAACCCCTCCCATTCTTTACTCCTTCAGGAGCTGGCCTTCTTTTTTCGCTCGTTGCGATTTTTTCGCTCGTTGCGATGTGCGAGATCTTATCAACCCTATAATTTCTCCGAAGACTGTCATCCCCGTCCCTTCCTAGGGCCTCAAACCGAGAATACCAACTCAGAGAACCGGCATTAGTTTTGAGAAAACCAGTACGAACTGGGGGCACCTCTCTTATTCATCCTTGAGCGCATATATATCCAGGCGCTATTGATGTTATGAGTTTGCTTTTGCCGAATAACAACAATGGGATCACACTCTCGCTCTACCCTCCTTCCGGTTCATCCGACTAGTCCACCGCTCTCGAAACCCCCGTCGAACGTTGCGATGGCTGTCACAACACTGAAAGTTGACGGTATGACGTGCAGCGCCTGCACGTCCGCTCTCGAGTCTGCGTTTAAAGATGTTGACGGCGCAAAGAAAGTTTCTGTCAGTCTTGTGATAGGGAGAGCGGTGGTAGAACACGATTCAGCAGTCTTGCCTCCAGAGAGAGTGAAAGAGATAATCGAAGATCGCGGTTTCGATGCAGAGGTTTTGACAACGGAGTACTCGAAATCCGTTGACGATAACCTAGATATGCCCTCGAATAATTCTATTTCTGGAGTCACAGCTTCGACGACGACTCTCACCGTTAAGGGGATGACATGTAGCTCGTGCACATCCGCTATTGAATCTGGATTAACAGGTGTTAGTGGTATTTTTGAAGTCACTGTTTCGCTATATTCGGAACGGGCTGTGGTCAGGCATGATGCCGCCCAAATCACACCCCAACAGATCGCAGAAATTATTGAGGACCGTGGATTTGAGGCCACTGTTGCGAACCTGGAAAGCCCTAGTGCTACCATTGGTATTAGCACGACAAGTAACGAGCCCTTCTCAAAGGATCAATCGGCACAGATAAATACTACAATCGCGATCGAAGGGATGACATGCGGAGCATGTACATCGGCCGTCGAAAACGCTTTGAAAGACCAGCCAGGCTTACTTAGTTTCAACATCAGCCTTTTGGCCGAGCGCGGGGTTGTGCTCCACGAACCGTCGGTTCTTCCCGCGTCAAAAGTTGTCGAGCTTATCGAAGACGCCGGTTTCGATGCACGGGTTCTGTCATCGGAGGTGAACTCGTCATTTTTGAATCGTACTTCCGCCTCTCTCAATTTCAGCATTTATGGTCTGACCGATGCGGTCTCGGCTACATCTCTGGAAACTCGGCTTCGTAACACAACGGGAGTACTAGCTGCGGATGTGAAGCTATCGAATTCTCGCGCGACAATCTCCTACCAGCCGTCTAGAATCGGCATCAGAGCTTTGGTGGAAATAATCGAGAGCGGTGGCTATAACGCCTTGCTCGCTGAATCGGAAGACAACGACGCTCAGCTGGAATCACTCGCAAAAACGAAAGAAATTCAGGAATGGCGCAAAGCTTTTTGGTTATCATTCTCATTTGCGGTCCCGGTAATGCTAATCAGCATGTTAATACCAATGTATCTTCCAGCTCTTGATTTTGGAAGATTCGAAATCATCCATGGGTTATTTTTGGGCGACATTGTCTGTCTACTCTTGACTATACCCGTCCAATTCGGCGTGGGCATGCGTTTTTACCGATCGTCATTCAAAGCTTTGAAGCATCGCTCTCCTACTATGGATGTCCTGGTGATGCTGAGCACGAGTCTAGCGTTCTCATTCAGCATCTTGGCCATGTTGGTCTCTATGATTTGTATGCCGCACTCTCGGCCAAACGTCGTGTTTGAGACCAGTACGATGCTTATCACCTTTATCACATTGGGTCGTTGGCTGGAAAACCGAGCCAAAGGGCAGACTTCTCGCGCATTATCCCGGTTAATGTCTCTCACCCCATCCATGGCTACTATTTATGACGATCCCATCGCTGCCGAGAAAGCGGCTGAGCTATCCCATACTGTGGGTGATGCGGCTGAAGAGAAAAATACAATCTCGGTCTCTGTGAAAAATACGAATATGAAATCCATTCCCACCGAGCTGATCCAAGTTGGTGATGTTGTTTGTCTTCGTCCGGGCGACAAGATTGCGGCAGACGGCATTGTTATTCGCGGCGAGAGCTATGTCGATGAGAGCATGGTTACCGGCGAGGCCAACCCGATCCGCAAGATACGAGGAAGTCAAGTTATAGCAGGTACCGTCAACGGCACTGGATGGGTTGATTTCCGCGTTGTCAGGGCTGGTAAAGATACACAGCTAAGCCAAATCGTCAATCTCGTGCAAAATGCACAGACAAGCCGAGCCCCAATTCAGCGTATGGCCGATATCGTCGCTGGATATTTCGTTCCCACTATCTTAACTCTTGGGTTGGTTACCTTTTTTGGATGGATGATTCTCAGTCACATTCTGCCCAAGCCACCCGAGATATTCCTTCGGGAAAGTAGTGGTGGAACTGTAATGGTGTGCCTTAAACTGTGTATATCTGTGATAGTGTTCGCATGTCCGTGCGCTCTCGGACTTAGCACACCTACTGCTGTCATGGTTGGAACGGGTGTCGGAGCCGAACACGGCATCCTCGTCAAAGGTGGTGCAGCACTAGAAGCAGCAACGAAAATACAACACGTCGTGTTTGACAAAACCGGTACATTGACAACAGGCAAAACAACCGTTGCTGATGTGAAAATTGAACCGCTTTGGGCATCCAATGAGTGGCGTCGGCGTCTGTGGTGGTTGCTTGTCGGACTTACAGAGATGACCAGTGAACATCCTATTGGCAAAACCATCGTGTCTGCCGCCAAATCTGAAAACGGAATCTCGAACGATGATCCTCTGGACGGTTCAGTGGTTGATTTTCAGGCCACTGTTGGGAAGGGAGTATCAGCCATCGTCGAGTCGGCGTCTAGCGTAGAACGAACCAAATATCGCGTCATTGTTGGAAATGCAGTGTTCCTTCTGTCAAAGGATATCCGAGTACCCGCTTCAGCCGATCCAGACAGCCAGGACCCCACGCCCGCTAAGTCCGGGGTGCATACTTCCCAGTACGATGTATTGAATGGGACAACTCGAGTACATGTCGCCATCGACAATCAATACGCAGGAACAATTTCGCTTCAGGATTCTCTAAAACCTACGGCGAAGGCGACGGTTGCAGCGCTTCATCGAATGGGGCTTACAACATCGCTGGTCACTGGAGACACTTACTCTACCGCTGTGGCCGTGGCCAATGCCGTCGGCATTCCCACAGATTCGATCCACGCCTCAGTCACCCCACCCGAAAAACAGGCAATCATTGCGGAGCTCCAAACCGTGTCAGGAATTTCCGTCGCCATGGTTGGCGACGGAATCAACGATTCTCCCGCCTTAGCAACGGCTTCCATCGGTATTGCACTCTCCTCCGGCACAGACGTCGCCATGGAAGCCGCCGATGTTGTTATTATGAGACCCGATGATCTGCTCTCCGTGCCCGCGAGTCTATGTCTTGCCAAATCAATCTTCACACGGATAAAGCTCAATCTCATCTGGGCCTGTATGTACAATGCCATTGGGCTTCCTTTCGCAATGGGAATATTCCTCCCATTTGGAGGAATATCTTTACATCCTATGGCTGCTGGTGCTGCAATGGCAGCTTCCAGCGTGAGTGTTGTTGTGAGTAGCTTGCTTCTAAAGCTATGGAGACGACCACAATGGCTGGATGTAGACAGGCTGGAGAGGGAGGTTGAATTGGGCAAGATCGGCGCGACGGGACGCGGCCGTCATGGAGTTGGTGACTGGTGGCGGAAGAGTCCGTTTGCATCCCGTGAGACTGGAATATTAACACAGAGTATGGGGTGGATTGCGCGAACGACTGCGAGTATGATGAGCCGAAAGAAAATACGAACCGAAGAAGAGGGCTACGTGCCTCTGCAAAGCGTGGAGCCAATTAACTAGATGGCTGTTTCCCGCCCTTTTTTCTTTGAACTGTGTTTCTTGCAAGTTTTTGGGGCATTTTGTATCTATTACGGTTTGAATGAAGTAATATATACCCGCCATACATTTATGTCTTTTTGCCATGCACTTTTTCCAACGCTAAATAATCACTGTAGAACAGTGAAAGTCATCAGATTTGAGCAATTCCACATAATGATGTTCTAGTTTCTCCTTGAAATGTGTATAACAGGACGGCAGTCTTGTTGACTTATACGGAGTAGATTAAAATGTATATAAGAGCTTTGGTTTAAATTTTCTCTGGTACTTTGTCCGTCTACATGGTTACATCTTCGTTCTCTTTACCGGAAATTCGCCCATGTGCACCTCGAAGGGGATATCAAGCCCAATCCAATTATCAAAATAGCAAGAAACCAGGCATCAAAATCATAGCGCACAACAGCGCTGTATAATATCCGAAACAACATAAAAAGAAAATCCAACCGTCGAGTTGTTAATAAATCTTGCAGATTTCAGGTATTGCAAGGAGTTGACGAAAGAACCGGGGCCGCCCCAGCCAAAGTACTGGCCTCCGGCTAAGCGTAAGAAACCTTCCCCTTGCCCGCAGCCTTCTTCGGCGGCGGTGGAAAGTACATCATCGGCTGTGCCGGCTTAGCAGCTTCCAACGTTGTCACTGATGAACTCGTGGTATCACCGCGCAACGGAAGGTCATTTGCACCTCCCAGCTGATTGAAAGCCATTGTGCGTGGAGTGATTGGCTGTAGGCCATTTTCGCCTTGGTAAAAGTTTGGATAGCACGGCGACTTGAGGGACTTGAGTTCCTCGAGGGTTTCTAGCTTCTCCCGTTTTTCGCGCTGTCTTGCTCGGGTTTCTTCCGTTGGAAGGCACGATATTACCGCAAGGACGAATTGAGCAAGGAAAATAACGCTGCGAATGTATTAGACCGGAAAACAAACTAGCGCAAGAAGAAAAAAAGAAAAAAAAAAAAAAAAGGCCTTGTAAGTGGCGGTTAGGGGAGAGTTCACATCAAGATAATAGTGCAAGCAAATCCAGACTTTGCCTGTTTGCAATATCCGATGTTATTCCGATGTGATGCGACGTTGCAGTTCTTGGTGATATACCACGGAGGACCGGACTGGAGATGCTCTGGGTCGCTCGTGTCTTTCCCACCCTGCCATGCTGCGGATACACAGTAGAGCACTATCAAAATAGTATGGACGAGAACGGATAGTGGTGGATAGAAGATGTGTAGAACAAACATTGGTGTTTTGACTAGCAGGAAAAACATGCTTAATACCGATATCACAAGATTGAAACTGGTAATACTATGGAAGAGAGGTTAGGATCGTTCGTGAGAGTATTCATAGGAAGAGGGGAAAGAAGGAGCTGAAGAAAAGCGCTCATACAACTGGGTCCAGGGCCGAGGAACTGTATACGGCTCATAGTTCGCATATCTGTAAACCAATTCATCGGGGGAACTATTGAAGCCGTTATCAGCGCCATCTTGCCAGAGTTTTGTCCGATATAGATTTGGAGACGCGATTCCGAACAGAGCCAGGACTGCCACGGTGAACGGCAGCTCAACAGCGATCAGGATCTTGAATGCGAGCGGAGAAATATATTTTCGCGGCAAATACCACATTATCTTCCCCATGATGGGCGAAAGGGCGAGTTCGCTGAGGAATCGACAGCTACGCTGACGAGAGCCTAGACGAACCAGATTCGGTTGCGAACTGTCAGCGTTGGTGGAAGTCTTCACGCCAGGCCAGCTGGCTAGGAAATGAGATTCCTGGGCGGGTTGCCAGCCGTTAAAGGGACATGCGATACGATAGCAAATCAAAAGTTAACTTCAGACTCCTCCTGCTCGATGGGGGCAACGAAATGTCATGGCTTAACAGATATCCGTAAGCGCGCAGGTCGGAGGAGGTCTCCTCACGGCCGGGATGGCTGCTTCTCTTGGTTGGTTCAAGCATCATCGCCGCACTCGCTGGGCTTGTGGGACTGGGGAGCGGTTCTGCGAGCAAGGGTTGAGGTGATGCACAGATTCCCGCCAACCAATAAACAGCAGGAAACAGGGGCTGTCGCTGCATGTTCATCACACACTAAACCAAGCGACTGCAGCGAAAGCATCTCACTCGCTGTTCAAGGGCGAAGCCCGGCGGCAACCATCTTACATAGCACGACCCATCCAATAACCCACTAGTTAACCAGTCGATCCGCAGTCAAAAGGTTGTGGTCATCATGCCATTTGCCGAACCTTCCATGTGTTCATCATCACCAGAAATTGAGGCGGATGGAAAAGTTTCTTTGAATCATTGATGAAGAATGCAGAACTCTTCCAGCACCACCCAGAGGCCCAATCTCCAGTTCAATTTCAGTGCTTTGTAAAAGTGTGTGTACCTCGAATAATCAAGAGATGATTTGAAATATCCCAAAATGCTACGTCCGTATGAGGCACAAAGTAGCCCAGGAGGCAGGCTGCTTTACTAACCTTCCTGTAACAAGTTCACACGCGAATATTTTTCCCTCTTTGTCGAATTGCATGTAGCATGATCACAAGTTATTTGGTAGTCAAGCCCAAAGCTTGCCTTTGCGTCAACGGCCCCGGAAACATTGACCGATGAATACCCCATACTCGTAATGTGTTACTGTATAAGTTTGTTAAGATGGGGTTTTAAACCGGTTGAAAAGCTTGGATTTTGGTATAAAAATATAGCGAGTAAACTTTCGACTTGGCTATTTACCCACAGTTCGGAATCCTCTCTCTCAAAGGGCTGTAACTTCGGGGATGGCCTCTGAAAAAGCTGCCTTGTGACTCCAGTCCGTATGACGTCCTCTACAGCCCATATATGTACGGAGTACAGTACATAGCGTCAAGCTACAGAGTACTCGACTCTGCACTGGTTAGTTAACAAGGTTCGGGATGGATCATCTGCGTAGTTAACTACTCCACCACCAAACATCATCATAGTCATTGACTTCCCACAGCCTCCTATGGAATCACACACATAAAATTACATACATTCGTCTTTGACTCTGAGAGCCAAGTTTCAGCAACAGACCATATCTGAAGCAGCCATTTTGATCTGGTACTCCCTCCACTTATAGTAACTGTGTCTTAATTTGCAATATCATGACTCTTTATGCAAAAGCTGAAGATGCTTAACTGACCATCTTAGGCCGTCTCTAAGATATCCAGTTTCAATGTACGAAGACTGCCTGCTTGCATGAGAAAGGAAAGATGTGGTCTACTGTCCCAGAATGAGATAAATAGCAAAAGGCCCAAGTGGACTTTCAAGAATGCTTTGGGGTGTTAACTGACAGATGTGATAATTGAAACGTGGCCGTCATCTTCCTTTCAGCTTGGTCTTCAAGACCTATTACCTGATTCTGCTTAATGCTTTCTACTCATATCTCCACCAAAAATAAAGGGACTCCAACCGCGGATCATGCAGCCAGATTATTAAACACCGGTTATCACATTTTCCCATACTACAGCTGTTTTGCATCTACCCTTGTTTAAAATATAGCAGAGATTTTCAATGGCTAACTAATGCATAAAATAGTTGGTGGCTCGTACCCCTAATCTTCAAGGCTCTCCGCTGGTTGGTGTCAACTACACCACCCTCCTCCATCAGAAACCAATGCCAATGCACTCCGACAATCTCCCTATAGTCCGGGATCATGTGAAGTCCATTTTGATATAAATAGCCAAAGATATCATCAACGCCATGTGGGCTTGAGCAGGGGTTGGTCATTCTATGTGGAGCAGCACATGCCCGTTGGGTTTCTATGCAACCTGATCTGCTTTGTTAGGTCATTGTCAAATTCCCAACTAAATTCAGTACGATTGTAGGAAGGGCATCGCTGTTCAGGCTTGATGAGCAGTTAGTTTTCTTCTTATGGAGCGGCACCGCAATCAAGCGGCAAATGTGCTCAGTCAGAGCATATGAAGCAGAACAGAATACATAAAAACCCCCTTCGAGGCCACAAGCTGCAAGTGCTTTCAGAGATCCAAAAGCCCCAGAAATATATCAATCGATTCCTCCTAGACTCTCCCTTTTCTAATTTTACCTTATCCTTTCTTATAACCCCAAACCCACCCCCACTCTCCTCCTCTCGCTTCCATAATCTTAAGAGAAATGATTTACCTCAATGCTGCATTCGTGCGCACCGCAGTCATAATCGCCCTTCTTGTCTGCTTGGTTCAGGCCGTTCCGGCTCCACACGCTGAATTAACACTCCACGACGGCACTGAGATTCCAGATGGGAAAGAATTCATCAAATGCATGAAGCATAAGTCCCCCGGCTTTCCGGACGAAGATGCCACGGATAATGCAGTTATCAAAGCATGCGTGGGTGAAGAGCGACCGAAGCGACATGCTGATAGAGCCTCGGTCCCTCTTCGCGACGACAAAAACCCGCAAACACATTGGGTCGAGTCCAACTTCATGAAGTGCATGAAGAAGAAACATCCCAATTTTCCGAATGAGAAAGTCACAAATGCGAGTTCTATTTTTGAATGCGAGGGTATGGAGCATGGGAAACGAAGTGTCGACCGTGGCCTAATCTCCCGCAGTCTCAGAATCGATATCCTTGGAAAATCCCTTACGTTCAAAGCCGAGTGTGGCGAGGAAGAGATTCCAAAAAATTTCAAGGAAGCTGGACCGTTCCGCTCTGAAGCCGGGAAGTGGTGTGATAAGATGAAAAAGGATGTGCTCGATAAAGGTGCAACCACACTCAGCGAGACCTTATCTGATGCCGTCACCAAAGAGGCTTCTTGGTTTTACCGGAATAAGAAAGTTGTGCTCACATTGGCACTTGCTATTTCACCACAGGGCGAGGCACTCCTCCGAGATAAGGAGGGAGCAGATGAGGCCTATGACAAATGGTGTAAAGTTGCTTTTGAACAGTTTGGCACCAAAGGCAAAGGATGCACTAAGGAACTTGGTTATTATAAGGACAAAATCCCATTCCTCTGGATCCCGATAGGGAGTGCCACCACCACAACAGTAACCGACGGATTCATGAACTTTATGGAGAAGCAGACAATGATTGGAAGCCTAGCAGTTGATTGGTCACGGCCTTAAAAGATATAGCTAAGATGCTCAATCCTTTTTCTTCAAATATCCTTTGAAAGGACTTTGTTTATGATGTGAAGTCAAATTGCTTTTCCTTTGGAAATTGGTTGCCTCCCTAACACAGTTTGGAAAGGAGAAATAAAAAGGCTTTTTGTGATCTTGATGCTGCAATTTTGGACCTATTGTTAGCTGCTGTCTTCTGTTAACTTGTCTCCACCTGTATATCACCTCCATCCACTCTGTATGTATCCTTGATTGGAATATGTCCTGCTATCCTGAGTTCCGCAGAGCTACTCCGTGCGGAGTACGCTGTTCCACAGAGGTTTTCCGGGTTTCTCCCTGCAGATTGGGCGACCAAAGTCTCTACTCTGTACAAAGCAACAGATCATGAAACCGGCTAGGAGACGCCACTCGCTCTTCAGCAACGGGAACAAAGTAAGTTGAGGAGGTCATGCCACCATTTATAGGATGATCGCAGGGGACCCTACGCCGCACGGAGGAGAGCAGGATGCTCCCGGGTGTTGGGTGGAGGTATTGTTTGTACGATTAGCACTCATTGCCGAAAGGTGTTTGACGTGTTTGCCTGGTTTGCATCCGTTTATGGTGTCTGCGCGAATCTAACCTTTCTAGGATTACGTGTAGATTTCGGTTAGCTTCGCTCAACCTGCGAGACGCGACACGACGCGACGCCAAACCCCACAAAACGCCGTTAAACTCCAAGCTCAACAACAAAGCTCCAACCTCGGTTCACCAGCTTGTCTTGCTTGTCCTAGTTATCTATCATTTCTGTTGCTGGACGCCCCACTTGTGCTTATTTCTGCCTCTTCGCGTTCCGATGGGTACCCGAAGCCTGATCTGCGTCTGGTACAAGGGCCGCTTCGTCATCGCCCAGTATACCCAGTTCGATGGCTATCCCGAAGGTCAGGGAGCTGATATCCTACGGTTCATATCTGTCAAGGGGAACATCGAGCGGCTCAAAGCTGGACTCGAACATGTCAAAGCCATCAGTGACCAAGAACTCAATGAAATCCATCGAAAAGTTGATGAGGGCCTCAGAGCCAGACAAAATGCCGGAGTTACCACCTCACCCATGAACATGATGATGATGACGGGGGGGTCGGGAATGGACAGCCTCTACCCTTCTCTTTCCCGCCTTGCTGGTGCTGGTATCTTGGAAATTGCTGCCCAGGCCAGTGCCGACAAGCCCGTCCCGGTTTCTCTGGATTTGGAATTCGCCAATGACTCCCTGTTCTGCGAGTGGGCTTATTGCATTGATCTTGATACAGCCGTTTTTGAGGTGTTTGGAGGCGGCTCTTTAAAGGCAAATTCCGGCAGCAAGCGATTCGAGGATGTCGGGGGAGCAAATGATCCGGTTCCTACTCTGATTAGGAGTTTCTCGCTTGACAATTTGCCCGAGAACCCGGACGCGTTTATCGAGCTTTTAGGAGATGTGTATGACTCTGGGGATGAACCACAGGAAGAGGAAGAGGAAAGGGGCCTAGCGAAAACTGTTGATGGAGATGCCGCCCAAGACGATACAGTCATCAATCCGGCCGGATAACTGCGCAAAACATACGACCCCCACCGTCTTCTCCTGTTTGCACCATGTATTCACCACCTACTCGTAGGGCAATGCCATGGTCTGAAGGCCCGTGTATCCATGATCATTTTCAAACTGCTTAGCTACTCACACCGCTTGCTGTTAAACCTAGTGCGAAGAGGCAGGGTAATGTGGGTGCTATTCCTCCTTTTTGCGTTGGTAAAACATTCGATACCCTCTGGCATGTCGCCTACTATATGTACCCGGATGTTCCAGGGGTCGCCAATTCGTTGCGAAATGATTGCTTTCGCCGTTGCTCGGCCATCCTACATAAATAGGCGTAGATTCTACATAGGTACCCTACATCCTAAGCCTGGGTGTTACTACCAGCCTCAAGAAATACACTCCCTTGTGGGTATTCACGCCTCAAATTGATTTTGACGATGCGGCCGAGATAAGTCTCACCCCAGTTACTTCGTATAGAGCGATTAGTCAAACTCCCTTTGGTACTCTGACTGTGTAGACACAAGATCTGTTGTGTGGTCTTCTCTATGTTTATCTCTATGTGAAGTCCCGTCCATCATCATAAAAGTTCCTATTATCCCTAATGCTGTCAGGCCGCTACCACTGGCTCGTGAGCTGTTACCATTTCCCCCAATCACTCACGAAGGCACTAGGTTGCATGCACATCAGGCGCAGCAGGCAATCCATCCCTATGATGTCTACCCATACATCCACAGGTCCACCGAACAAGTCCGGTGTTCCTCACAAAATCCGTACATCAGCGGAGCCCCGCCAAAACGCGTTATACCCGGTGCGGCTGTCACATATCGAGCTCGTTAATCCAACCATTCGACTTCTCAGATTCACCGTTCCACCGCAAAATATCGATAATTCAAACAATGTGAGAGCACCCGACATGTCCAAGCCTACAAATAGAATTCTCAACTCTTGACGTGGTGCTTGCACCTCTGTCAAGACCTGTACACGCAACTAATTCGAGTACTTTAGCATGGTTCTATCCCTTCAATCCCATCGAAATTGTTTACTTTCCTTCCCGGCCAATGGTTAGACATGCATATCCCTACGCTTCGTGATGCTGGAGGCTTCACGATAACATCTACTCCGCGGGAGGCAAGCCCCGAATCCTCGAGCGAGCCGTATATCGAGCTCGCTGTGCAAGCCTTCCCGTCCAACCCCGCAGCGGCATGGCTGTGGCGGCCTGAAAACGAGGTTCTTGGCGCTGAGGTGCAAGTAAGGGTGGGCGGGTCATTCATCTGGCCGCCTCCCACGGCGGAGAGCGGGATTCCGCTCGCGGAGATTCGCAAAATTATCTTTGTGGCAGGCGGAGTGGGTATCAAGTATGTTTCTCTTATTTTTTCCTATGTAAATCTTCCTTGCACATGTAAGAGTTATGCTATCGCTACGCCCTATTCCTTCTGAGGCGCAAGATCTTTCTGCTCCACATTTGGTTTTGACCATTGGCATGCTCAAAGGTGATTAGATCTAACAAATCACTCAAGCCCTCTCATGTCCATGATCTCGCACATCCATAATACCCGCTCGGGCCTACACCCGTCCACAGAGGTTCACCTTCTCTATGCTACCAGAATCCCTTCAGCATCAACGGTTTCGTCAAACTCAGGCACATCAAAGGCTCAGAATCTGCTCAACCAGATCCTCTTCCTTCCACGTCTCAGAGAGATAGTTCATGTAGAGCAAAAGCAACAACAGGAGCAGAAAACAGGCGTTTGTTTCCAACCCCTTGATGTGAGATTGTATCTCACAAACCTCTCTTCCCACAGAGGCACCAGTGCCGGCGAATTAGAGGCCGAGTTGCGTGGTGACATATCAGTTTATAATCGCCGCATCATAGCGGCTGATTTGCAGGATCTTATCGGTAGCAATAGAGTTGAGCGGGCGAAAACTATATGCAACGTATGCGGGCCGCCACGGATGACGGATGAGTTCGTCGAGGTTCTAAAAGAGATCGTGGGAGACAGAAGAGTGTTCTATGAGAAGTGGTGGTGATAGAACGGTAATAGGGGTTTTATGGGATGTACTGGTCTGAAAATACAAGAAGGGAACGTATCGCGTAGATGGGATATTAAGACTTCAATATCTTAGGGAGGCTCTTCAAAATTAGAAATGGTACTAAATGGAAATCATAGTCATTAAATGAACAACATCGTGTATAGTACACTATTGATGAATCAAAAGAAGGGTTATGTTGGTGATAGAGCACCGGCTCATATATAAAAGGAAAGCGAATCAAACTCCGTATACATACTCCGTACACTGGCAAAACTGACCAATAATGAATTAGGAGCCATACAACCAACGAGGGTATAAGACAGCGGACATTATCCGAGACGGCTACTTACACCAATAAACCAACGCCTCGCCTCTAGCCGTACATACATTACACAGTAGAAGTTGTATTCAAATAGCTTGAGGAGGGACCACTTTCCCACCATCGACAAGCATCATCTCATCCACTCGTTCCTCAGTATTTCCAGATTCGAGGCGTTTATAAGATACAATTCGAGCTCTATTCATGTCAATGTCAAAAAGTCGAACTCGACGGATATATCCGCCGTATCCGCCATATCCACCGAAACCAGAACCGCCGGCGTAGCACATCCACAACGCTGGCAGGTCCTTTGCATTCTTTTCAAGCATGCAATAGTCGTTTGCATGGTCACTAGAACAAGGAAGTCAGTAATCCAGGGCAGAAAAAGAATCAGCATGGGATAATTGAAATCAACTCACTGTCCACATGATATAAGAACAACATTCTCCTCTATCAAGGCGTCTTTGAAGCCAGAATTAAACCTCGGCGCCGTCGGAGCCTCAAGCCAATTTCCATGATAAGAGCCTTTGACGTTTCTGTACTCAGGAAGCGGAATATGAATAAATGCCAAATTCATATGAATGTGGGTGTATGCCTGGTGGTCCTTTTTGAGACTTTGCGCAGTATTCTTGAACCAGCTTATCTGACTTGGCTTTAACCAATCGTAACCGGGATATTGCCGTTCATCAGGGGAATATTTATGGGTGTCAAGCATGTAAAGACTCAGCGCAGAATGGGATGAACTGTGGCCGAGAATCTCGACGACATAGTTGCCAACGCCGTCCACATCGACAGGACCGGGTTTGGAGAGAGAATAAGGAAGATTCTGCATGAGGGTCATAAGAGCGGTTCTATCAAGGTTCCCTTCATCATCATGATTCCCAAAGATGGCTGCATAGGGAATCTTGCGTTTTATGAAGAGGTCGGCAAACTTGTAGGTTGCAGTCTGAGCGTCGGGAGCAGTGTCACCATTGATCTGATCGCCACTCAACACCACCAAGTCTGGCTTCTCCTCATCAAGCAGCTTACCCACAAATTCAAGGGTTCGGGGATCAGCTTCGCATTTCTCTCCATCACGAAGCTCGGGGACAGGGTCCCGACAAACGCCAAACCCTGTGGCCAGGTGTAAATCCGAGACTTGCATGATTTTAAATTTACCATCTTTCCGTATCCTCGGGACGGGCATCTCGATGTTTGCACTTGCCCCTCTTCTGACAGTTAAACGCGGCTCGGTATGCGTATCCAAGAGCAGGGGGGTATCCTTTATTTCCCAGTTCGGGCGTGGGTCCACGGCGTCAGCGCCAAAGAGCACATCGACTGCCGTAATCAGCTTCGAATTGCTGGTGTGGTGCGACGATTTCAGAAGCCAGATTCCCCCCGGCCTGGGTTCCCATTTGTTATCAACTCCAGCCCCGGGATCAAGTCGACCCATTTTCAAATCCACAACGATCTTATCACCCGGCAGCAGCTCCTCCTCCTTCTTCCTCTGGACATGTAGATACGCTTTCGACGTCCATCCGGTATTCAAGTAAAGATCCTTTTCCACGCGATACCAAATATTCGGGTCCAATCTGCAGGTTGAAAATAGATTAAGCGTGGAGCAGGTAGCTATCGTGATATCCGTGATAACGAGGCCTTGGTGATGGATAGGTAAATACTGTTGTAAGCGGGAAGGTATAACGGAGACATGGCTATCGAGGATGAGAATGAAAAGTAAGACTACCACGACAAGCGCTCCGAGATTTGAAATCGTTCGTAACTGGACCGGATAGGTGTTAATTTTTTTTTTAGAAGATAAAAGGCGACGAATAACACATACGATTCTGCGGTTCATCCTGGCCACACAATTCCGTCTTGGGAGTACAACCAAAGCAGCAACCCCAAGGCTATCTCTTGCTTGTGTTACGGAAGAATGGGAGACTCAACGCCGCAGCTCTGCACATTGTGCAAGCAGTCTTCATGAGGTGGGGAAATGGACGGAAGCATAAAAAGTACAGTCAAAAAGGGAAACTTAACAACAAAAAGCCCGCTCTGAATAATTATAGCAAACCCGTGACGGCCTCACGGTAAACGCTACTTGCGAACACAGGTACAGTTGGCAGTTGTTCATTCTGAGCTGCGGATTAAAGTTGAGCGAGCTGGCCAGACTCAGCGGAAATACTATCCGCCGATACGCTGAACGAAAGAACCTTCTTTGAAGCAACGGAGAGGTTTCTCACCCAAAGGAGAGCTTCGTTGAGCAAAGCATTGGTTGGCTGCGGACCTCAGTTGCTGTTGTTGCACTCTCTGTACCCTCCTATATTCCCGTCGCTCCGGTCTATTGTTTAATTCCAGGAATTCGCGATCGTATATCCCACGTCATTGAATGTCTAAATTCCTCTCTAATCTGCGCCGTTTTCTAACACGGTCAAAAATACCAAGCTCATATGGAGGGTCGATAGATACGAATTTCTCGAAGTTCCAAGAAGGCGATGTAGTGATAATCAATGGGAGGAATCCATCATTGACTAAGGCCCTTGGGCGGAACAAGCAGACGGGGGTCAGTCGCGGGGTTATCCAGCACAATGATATCATTGGTAGAAGACCTCGAGATCTTGTGAAGGCACAAAAAGGTATCTAGGATTGTCCCAAGTGCATGGCGTATCGCTTGGCTCACCGTTTATTTTCTGATTCACCCAGGACCTTCTTATCGAATTACCTTCCCTACGCTCGATGAATATGCCACCCTGAGCCCACGACTAGTGACTCCAGTATGTGACACTGTTGCGTTGCCAGAAGTTTTGGAATGAGAAAAGCAGAGCGCATTAAACTAATTTGCGATCAGTAGGTTTATCCTGCAGATGCCAATCTTATCGTGTCTCTTTTAGACATTCATACATCCGTGCCTTCGGACCAACGCGAACCAGACCAACCGGTAGAAATTTTGGAAGCGGGAACTGGTCATGGATCACTGACGCTCCATCTTTCCCGTGCAATAAATGGTGCCAATACCTGTCCGCCCCCAATTCCCGCCCATTCTCAGCTGAAAATTATCCCGGAAAACTCCAGTGGGCAAGAAACAAAAAGTTCAAAAAGGGAAGGACAACAAATATCAGACGAAAGCTCCTTGAACCAAGAAGCATGGGACTCTTGGCGCTCTGGACGCCGAGCTATCATACACACGGTAGAAATCTCTGCGAAGCATTCGGCCCATGCTGAAAAGATTATTCGTGGCTTTAGACGCGGAATGTATGCCGGGAACATCGATTTCTACGTTGCCAGTGTAGAAAACTGGATCGAAGAACAGACTCGACGTCGCAACAGATCGCTATTTTCAGGAACGTTGGAACCATTCCTTTCATATGCCATCCTTGATATGCCGTCGGCACACCTACGCATACCCCATGTTTCACCAATCCTCAAAGTGGACGGTGTTTTGGCCGTGTTCATGCCGAATGTGACACAAATAGGCGACTGTGTGAAGATAATCAATGATAAACGACTACCATTGGTTTTGGAAAAGGCCGTGGAGCTCGGTACTGGTATCAGCAGCGGAAGGCTATGGGATATTAGGATGGCAGTACGACGGTCCCGCCCAGTCAAGACCAAAGAAGCGGAACAACCAACAGGAGGCGAAAATGGAGAGGAGTCGTCTGGAGAAGTATCTGAAAGTAAAACTCAAGATGTTTACACTAGCGCGCTGGCTGGAGAACCACAGGCGGGTGACCCAGTCCTAGTTTGCAGGCCGAAAGTTGGAGAACGCATTGTTGGAGGAGGTTTTGTAGGATTATGGAGAAGAATCAACGAGCAGTAGAAGGAAAAAAATTAGATACCAGCTAGCCGAATCCCGCTATCTCGTCGGCTGAAGGTGCGCGGGGAGGCTGCTCTCACAATTTTGCCCTCGAACCAGGGCGTTCTTCATCTGACCTTGAATCTGCTTGGGCAACATTATCGCTACGCGCCAGGACCCACTCGGCTACATCTTTGACGAGCGCTTCCTTTATTCCCTCGGGTTCAGCATGTAGTTTGTGGTAAGCACCTTCATATACCTTGAAAGTCTTATCGGGGACAGCGACAGCCTCCGCGAAATGTTTAGTGGCTTCAAACTCGTTTATTTGGTCGGCAGTTCCGTGACCAACCCAAAGTGGTGGAGACTTTGAATGCGCTTTTTGCAGTATATCTTTCGGCAGATGTTGGAGCTGATCCAACCAGGCGGCTCGGTCCAGCATTCCTGCAATCCCTTCCAGGGTGCCCGTATCGTGGCAGAGAGGATCTTGCTTCCATTCTTCGCAAACGCGTGGATCACGGCACATTAGAGATGGATCGAGGGGCTTGTAAAGCTGGTGGCTGGGCCTCAATTTTGCAACCAGTCTTCCCAACGCCACCGTAAGTTTGTAAGGGCGGCTGCTTGGGTGTAAGCCCACGAGCGGGGAATATGCTAAGACTCCCCGGATCCACGGAGGAAAGGAAGTAGAATTTAGCATGTAGTAAAGGGCCTCTCCACCACCCATACTATGTCCCATCAGGAAAATATGCGGCGCCTTCAAATCCACTGGAGCTTCGGCATTCCCTTGTCCTTGCAACGAGTGATACACGCTTGATAAAACAGAGTGGATATCCCCGATGACGAGTGTAGTATCGCCCGTGAGACCCCGAGATGCTGCATCTGGTACAGAGCGCCCCCAACCCCTGCAACCTAATGTTAGGAGAGGTTCATTTCATTCACAATCTCTATGAGACATTTGAATACATTCGAATGCCATAGAGGCGTACTCACCGCTGGTCAAATGCTCGCACTTCAATCCCATGTTTGGCTAAGCCAGGAAAAAAGTCATAGTACGCATTGCCTATAGAGCCATGTCTAAGCATCATAAACCTAACCGGCCCAAGTTCAATGGAGCATACAGTGGTCACTGAAGCCGTGCAGAAAGACAATGACCGCCTTGGGAGGAGCATCAGGCTGTACAATTGCCCCACTAGTCAGCCTTGGTCCTTGCAGCATAGGAGATTAAAGCAGGTAGTGAATCATGGGTCAAAGGGATCTCAAATTCCATGTGAATGTAATCATTCCAAATGCCTAGCTATGGGGTTGAGTCACTCACCTTCCATGTTTTGGTGTACACTTTCACCCCGTCCGGGAGAGTGTGCCAGCCTTCTTCAGTTTTGGTTGCCATTGTCATAGTTGACTTAACCCGTTAAAAGGATATTGAGATAGAGGGGCTCGCTGGGAATAAGTGCAAAGGACTGGATGATAGTTGGTGTGGATGTGGGTTGAAGGTCATCGGGAAGTCGGGCCTTGGAAGCCCTTCACATGCTCGTAGAGTATAACTTAACCAATGTGAGACGCCGCCAGGCTCTTGAATGTACGTCTTGTATTTCTAATATTTTGCAAGTGCACCCAAATTTTTATACCAATTGTCCCTCGAGCCTACAGAATGCATCTATGAGCCTTCGCGCAAAAGCTGCTAGCCATTATAAGGAGCAGTTATAGCACAGTACATTGCTCCCATGCCCAGGATGAGCCAATGATTAAACCATTTGCAATGACCGATAGCTTTGTTCTATATACAAAATCGCATCTGTATGCAGATGGTTTGTGAACGAGTCGTGTATGCAAAAATCTCCGAATGTCAACGCCTGACTCCGACTCTTGTGCGCTTTGACTACGCGGTGACCAGCCCACATCAATTTTCCAGACCTTCTTTATCTGTAGTTCGCTTTCGCTTTGGCTTCATCTTTTCTCTTCGTAATCTTTCTTGCCTTTCCCTCTCTTGTATCTCCAATCCAGTCTCGGTAATCTCATGCTCTATATCCAAGTTATGCCGACGGATGAGCAGACTTACACACAATCCGATCGCTGCCATCGAAGTGTAAAATATCCACATCACTCTCAGGCTCTGATTATATGCATTCAATGCTGGTATTTTCTCCTTGTTTGGAAGAGTTTTCACAAAATCCGTCGAAGCGCTAACAGAACGACCCTGTAGCATGTCCGCAGTCTCAGGAGATAAAATGGAGCCCAAGCTTCTGATATTAGCTCTCGTTTGATTCTGGAAAATCACTCCTCCCAATACGACGGAAACACTATTTGCCATATTTCGAACAAAGCCGGCAGTCGCAGTTGCGGTGGCGCTGTCGAAAGGTCTCAGATGACTTTGCAGTGCGATCAGTGGTGCTTGGAAGTTTGGGCCAACGCCAATCCCAGCAACAAGCTGATACGTAATAATACGAGCCCAGGACGTGTGCGCTGGTAGATCGATGTAGAGACCAACCCCGAGTACTAGTGTTGCCATACCAGCCCATATGGGTGGAAGAAAGAGGCCAGTTTTCCTGATTAGGTATCCGCTGATGGCAGCGACCAAGGCGACAGAAATGACAAAGGGAAAGAGATAGATGCCGGACTGTAGAGGAGTCGCTCCAAGAACGACCTGAAAATAGAGGGGAAGGAAATAAGACCCGCCAGTATAGACAAATCCTTGGGCGAAAATCATCCCGTATGCTGCAACCGTAGAGCGAGAAGAAAATAGCCATAAAGGTATGATCGGATAATATGCGAGCTTCCATTGGATGAGCAAGAAGAGGCCAAGGGTGCCAATGCCGAAAGCTATCAAGCATACGACGGGAACGGAGGCCCATGGGAGCCAAACTCCTCCATATTCAAGTCCAAGGAGAAACATGACGGTGCCTCCGACAATGGTCAATGAGCCTAACCAGTCTATAGCTCTAAGCCCAGCAAACAACGGTGTCTTTGGAGTGTGAACCTCAAAAAAGAAAAATATAATAACAAAGGCGATGCCATCGACAGGAACTATTTTCAGTTAGTGGTGGCCGGTGTTATTATCGATTCGAGTTTACCGTACGATTAATATAGAAACACCACCGCCAAGTGACAAATTGTGTCATAATTCCACCTACCACCGGTCCAACGGCTCCTGCAACGGCCCATACCATCCCAATTATACCAAAATATACGCCGCGGGACCTATTCGACATGTCAGGACATGAATATCGGAGATAGTACCAGGAAGTCGTACCGCATGCTGAATAAATCGCCGATACTGATGTTAACCAACGCAAGAAGGCCGCCACCTCCAACGCCCTGGACGCATCGCCCACCTATCAGCATTCTGATGTTAATGCTGATGGCGCAGAGAAGTGAACCAATTAGGAAAACCACGTTCGCCGCCAATAGAACTGGCTTTCGTCCGAAAATATCGCTGACCTTTCCCCAGATCGGCGTTGCCGCTAAATAGGCTGTCAGCAAAGTACAATTGGTTGATGTGCTCGGCTCCGTTTCAACGTACAGGCAGCAGCAAGCAAGTATGCCGAGCCAACCCACGTATAATTCGCCTCAGACGTGCGAAATGCCCTAGATATTGTGGGTAGGATAGTGGTAATAATCGTCTGACAGATCCTTTTATCAATGGCTCGTCCACCAGCTGTAATTCATAGAGCCTTCGAGTCAATCTCACCATATCAAGGGCAGCTAAGAAAGTGGCAAGCTGAATGCTTGTTAGCCTCTATGTAGTAGACGATGGCTGCAATGGAAAGGTACTCACGCAAAGAGCTGTCATTATAACAGCAATCTTGCCCTTAGTCATCTTGTTCTCCTCAGATGTATTTTGGCAATCATCCGGGAATAGCTCCGCCGGGCCTTTGAAAGTGGTGATTACCGACAAAGACGCATCGCTGGCCGTGTCAGTGGTCGCTCGTGATTCTTTCTTCCTCTCCACGACGTCATTGACGTGACAAATTCCAATGTCTCCTTCTTCAGACGTTTCAGCTTTCTGTTCACAATGCGCATCTGACTTGCGCCACACGAAAACTGCCATAGCCAATTCCAGGGGAAGAAACTATTCAGCATGGCAGATGCTCAAAACGGACTTTATCTGATTCAGGGATGCGCCGAATCCGCCGAGAAAAAAAGATAAAAAAGATAAATTAAAAAAAAGAACAGAATACAAGTTAAAAAAAAAAAAAGGCAGAGTTATATTATACCATATAACTAACAAGGCTAAGAAGAAACAAATCAAATGAAACATAACAAGAAGAAATTACGAGCACGCTATGTTGATCGCGGGCTATCGGTGGGAATGCGAGGTCATAGAATTAGGCAGCCCAGAGGATATTCGCGTCATCCCAGCCATAGTATCCCGTATACCTCATAGCGCACCGTAAGGCTCGAGATGCCGACCGCCATTGGCGAAATGGTTGTTGACACGCTTTCAATAGCAGAACGGGACTCGAATCGCAAAGTTCGCTGAAAGGGCTGGTTCGGAAAGCCGTTGGAGATGTACCAGCGGAATACACGGAGCCAGGAGCCCGGTCAAGAGCAAGAATCAATAGCATATTCTGAAGATACGATAATGGGTTAATTGGGCGGTTTCCGACGAGATATCTCGTCCATTGGGACATGCGCTCTGTCCTTCAAGTCACCTGTGATACCCTTGCTACTCATTCTGGTTTCGAGATATGTACAGCACGAGAAAAATTTTTCGTAGCTGACTTGAAATCCGCCGCGGAACGGGGTAGCTTTACGCGAAAGGTGCAGAAAGCCGCTATCAACAACAATAATGCTACCGTGGATCACGAACAGGGTGCAAAGTTCTGCAGGCGAAAGCAGCGGTCGAATGCCAAGAAATGACCATTCCATTCTAGGTTAGCGTAAGAATTTCTTGGTTATGCTTAAAACTTGTGCTCCACGCGAAATCGCGCCCCACACGTGGATCGACGAGGATGGATGCATCAACACACAGGACACCGGGACGCCAGTCCGGACGAGAATGCCGTTGGTCCGAGCCACAGGCATAGGGAGTGCCTGATAGTGCCCCAAGCAGATATGCCGTTGACTCTTCCGTGCTTTTCTTGTTTTGCTACTCCGTGACTAGCCGTCAGCCTGATATGGCCAGAGCCTCGAAACACGGTGTCTCTCCTCGTCATGCTTTGTCAAACCGATAAAAGCCCTTCTGAATTTCTTAACATTTTCCACCGCAGCATCGTAATCTCGGAGGTGGAACATGCCATCAGCGGATAACATTCCCTCATCTCGAAAGACTTTGAGCATTTGACCCACGCTGTCCATATTCTCTTCCTCTTTACGATGCAATTCGAGTTCCTGTTCCGAGAGGCTCACGGGGCGCTATATATTAGTGTCAACACAGATTTTACTCCAGCGCTCCGCAATGGCGATCGTTACCTGACGAAGGGATAAGAGGCCTTTGCTCTCCCATGTTCCGATCAACAGCTAGGCTGGTTTGCGTGTCATTGGTATATCTCTCTGTGCAAGCACTGACCAATGAAGGAGCCTGTTTGCATATCTGAGCCTGGTAGTATTTGTGCATAATTTAGCCTTTGTTGCCTTGTTGACTCTTTCGTTCTCTTTATCATCGAGATCTTGGAATTTTCAGGGCGACAAGCGACCACCCATCTTTTTCGAACATAACCATCATATCGAAACACTGTGGGGACATCCGTATGGAAAAACAGCAGAGCAACGATAACACCTTGCCAATCAGCAATCCGAGTGATTTGATGTGTTTTCATGGTTGACGAAGACATTATCAAGGTAGAGATCTAGATACGAGAGGACGTTACCGTTACTTTCGATGTCTGTGGGAGCCAGAAACTTGACCGCATCCAGAGACTGCGATAGCAGAGAGAGTGCTTCCTCGGGATTTTTAGTTTCGGTGAGTGACCGGTAATAGCTCATTCACGATGATGCATGAGGCTTTATCCATGCTACCTCATTTGTCCCACTGGTGGTCAAATACTCGTGCACATTTCTACCTGCTACCATTAGTGATATGCGCTTTCGCTGTGAAGAGAACAAGCGCACAGAACCTCGACCAATATCCATGGCCTGTCGCCCACTTCCCCAAAGATCTGCTGTCACGAGTCGGCCCATTACAGATTGATCGAGAAGCCGAGGGTTAGCAGCTGAATCGATTATGACGCCTCCCTCCATCGTAGGAGAAGGCGAAAGGTCTTTCATAAAATATAGGCATCCATGACTAGCAAAATTGATCGAAGCGAGGACGTTTTCGATGTCCTCGACCTGCTAAATTATCTAAATCCGTAATTCCCAAGGCCACTGCTGCCACACACTCCCAAGGCAGTCAAACCTCTCCCAGTTAGTCCGGAAAAATTGATCAAAAGCTGTCACCTGCGGCTTTCGTAGCCTCATGCATATACTCCGTAATAACATGGACCCTGAAGATCAAAACGTTTAAACCTCATTCGTTGACAAAAAGTAAATAAAGCTAATTTCTCGACGGCACCAAACCCAGCAAACGAAACTACATCAAAGAGTTAGGGAAAACCTCTCATTGCTCCTCAGATCCAGCCCCGGCAACTTAACCATAACACCGCTCAGCAGCCCTTGCAGCGAGAGAGACTACGGTAAATGAAAGAACAGGATAGAAATCAGGGGTAAGGGGTCCACATAACGCAACAAGAGAAGAATACTACGCCATCGAGGAAGTTTCCAAGAACAAACCCGAGTGACAAGATGCGTGCAATACAGTGTGACAACATCAAAAAAGAAAACAGAAAGAGCAATAGGAAAAATGCAATAAAACTATGAGGTGGGAGAAAATAGCAAACCAAATCCCAAGCAGGACCCCATACGTAAAGATTCCGAAATAAGACGCGGAGTCATCAGCCCGTCGGCAGCTACTAATAAAATCTAGGAAGCTCATCACATCGTCTTGTCCCGTTGTGGTCCGAAGTCTGCCTCGACGGGTTTATTCTTCTTGCTTTTCACTGAGAATTCCGCCATGAGTGCCAGGTGGTCGCTGGGGAAATGATAGTTCGGGAATCCAGGGACTCTTTTCAGATATTCCTTGTCGACTTCGCCAAGTAAGGCAGTTACTTGGAGAGTATTGGAAGAGTACCAGATATAATCGATCACATCTGTAAATCCGGGAGTGTAATTGGTGAAGCTCAGCTCCCCAATTGTCGAGTATGCCGACTTCAACGTGAATGGATGAGACATTCCCATGCGACTCAGGTTTCCGTATAACCGCTTTTCAAGATCCGGGTGCTCCTCAGCCATACGGCCGTGAGCCAGAAGATTATAAACGGCTGATCCTGGGCAAGAGTTGAAGTCACCACAAACAAGGATAGGAATTTGGGAAGCACTGGAATATTCTACCGAAGGAGCAGGTTCCACGGGCGTTGATGTCCCTTGACTTTCTTTTCCGTCTTCAGGCTCAGAGAATCTAAATGCCGTTTTATCGGTGCATGGAGGGATCTTCACGTATTTCTCTGCCAGCTGAGTTACCTCTTCCATCATAATGGCAACTTGAATTAGCTTAACGTCTTTATAAGCCGGATCCCAGTAAATGTGGGCGTTGACAACAATCATGCGCTCCCCTGTAAGCCTATTCTCCAGGAAGACAATGACGGCGATATTGTCCTTCTGCCATAATCGGTTGTAAATATCGTCCTGTCCTTTTGCATCTGGTCTCCGGACGGCGGTTTGTCCAAAATGGATCATATTCTTTTCAAGAAGAATGTATTTGCTGCCCTTGAAGAATGTTGCACAACCGTCAACCAGCTTAGCCTCCTCTTCTGGCATACCTTGAGCTCGCCCCTTGGGCCAATATACACCCTTATAATCATTGTATGCAAGCTGCTCGCGGAAAAAACCATGATAGCTGCCCTGGTCGATCTCTTGCAAGCATACGATATCGGCATCATGCCCTCTAATCTCGTTCAGCAAGAGATCGCGTCGAAATTCCCATGCTAATGCTCGTGATGGTGCATATCCGTATTGTTGGTTTGTGGCATATCTATCGCACAGGGTGTTGTACGTTAGAGCAGTGAATTTATTGTCGTTGCCTCCATTAGCAGAATTCTTGCCAGTCTCATCGAGAATAAGCCAATCACGGTTCGAAGGAGGTAAATGAACTATTCTACAATTAGCTACAATACAGATTTTCGATAGTCTGCGAAGAAAATCTACTTACCGGGCATTTCCTCTTTGAGATATTTGATGAGCGACTTTGTGCCTTCTTGCATAATACGGGACTTCAGGACATCCGCTAGTGGATTGCCTTCAATTCCGAGGGTGTCCAGCTGGTAAAGATAACCCAACTCAAACGGAAGAGTCTGTAGGCTGTTGTCGAAAAGAAGGAGCTTCTTGAGGTTCGTGAGCATACCAATTTCCTCCGGGATTTCCGTCAACTCATTGCTGGAAATGTCCAAATGCGTTAGGTTCTTCAGTTCCCCAATGCTTGAGGGGAGGGACTTCAATTTGTTATGGTTCAGATAGAGCTTGTCGAGAAAGCTATAGTGAAAAAGGCCATTTGACAGTGCACGAAGGCCTTGTCCACCGAAGTCAAGAGCAACCCAATCTTGCCGGCGATGATCTTTCACTGCTGTGGCCCGATTCCGCTCTTCTGTGCCGTTCTCGTTGGGATCAGCTTGGTTGGATGATAATTGAAGGCCCTTAGTTTGCTGTGCAACTGCTCGCGCATAGTAGTGCGGTGAACTCGCTTGTCTTGACTCGGCCGCGAGCTGCAGCTGCTGCTGCCAATGTTCATTCATCGGCTCTTCAATCTCGTCCTCAACATTGGACGTTGTGCCATTTTGCAGGTGCGCCGGGGTGAAGTGCTGGGCGGCGTTGGACAATGCTCCACCGGAGAAATTGTGCTGGTGAGCTAAGTTCTGAGTTGATTGAGAATGAGGATGATGGGGTTGTTGTGCGTGATGCGGGTGGTGAGTAGGGTGTTGGAACTTCGGCATCGGCATTCCAAACCGTTGATGGGACTGCCCATTCATCATGACGGGCTGACCCTGGTGGCCCTGGGAGTACATCGTGTACGAATTGTGACTAGGAGATTGATTTAGGGGAGGAGAGCGCGAAGGAGAAGGAGTATCGGTATTGTTGAACTTTACTCTCCCGGTCGGAGAGCTTGTTCCGTTTCGAATGAGGTGTCGTTGGTGAGCGGGGTGATGATTGTGCTGCTGAGTTTGAAAGTAAAACTGCCCGGCCCCAGGCTGCTGGAACCGGTAGGTACCATCTGCCATTTAACGAGGCAGATGAGACCGGGGGTGTATTTCGGGGAGGGTCAAGCGGGAGATCTTGAGAAAGCGTTGGGGGGTCGAGTCGGTGGTTGGCGGTAGAGGAGCTAACAGACGGACTTGGTCTCTTCGTTTCTTCAACATCAGGTCCTGAGGGGACGTGCAGCCAGGCCTGATTAACGCACGTAGCGAAATTGTTCTATTCAAGCCAACACTGTATTCACCAAATCTGTTTTCATTAACCAGCCAGAGAGGGGATCGTTGTCGGGGAGTAGCGCCAAAGGTGACAAGGGAGCGTCAGCTATGAAGCAATGAGTCTTTGTTCTCGAGGGAGACGGCGTGAATGGCGGGTGATGGGGTGATACCACGTTGCAAAGAAGTAAACTATTGACGTTCAGATGGTGAGAAGCTGTTCATTGATCAACTGGGTCCCTTTGACTGCCCTCAACCGGTCAGGAAGCAGTTTGCAATCCGGGCGGGAGAACCTTGAATATCACGTGATGTTGGGGTCCAAATCGAGCAGCGAGGGTCATGTGATATTCCAGATTCGGGCGCCCAGAGAGCCGCATCGCCGTCAGGTCAACACAGGGCGTCGTCGTCTGGTTTTCTCGTCTTCTCTTGTTATACCTTGAGATGACTGCGTCCTCTCGCGTTACGATTTTTGAGTAACCCACCACTTGTTGGTGCTGCTGCCACAAGCTTTTGATGACGCCCAGAGTTCTGGTTTGGCGCTGCGCCCAGGCAGTCTGCTTCAACATTTCTTCTTCGACGCGGCGAACCCTTGCCGCCTGGCCACTTTTACAAAAAGGCTTTTGGGCCGTCTAGAGATCGAAATACTACTGATGATGGAACCAAGCACTCTCACAGCGTTAATTTATGATTCCTAGAATCTGGTCGGCTCAGTTGTGGTGAGGCCCCTGACTCCGTGGGCAGGAGTAACTGCTTGGTCTATGTGTTCTGTCGGCTTCTTAGGCTCCTGTTTCACCCCTGAGATGCCTCCATCGAGGCAAGGTTTAGCCGAATTAACAAAGCGCACTATGTACTGTATGCATTGTCGACAACCACGCAGCCATCATATTTCGATTGAGCCTTCTTTTTGGTCAGACGTTATTTTGCGCCCGGCTAACACTGCTGGCGTTGAGGAGGCTGGCTCAGTCTTGGGGACGATCGATACGAGATTGGCATTGGCCAGCCAAGTCTGGTTCGAATCGGCGATTTTTAATCCGGGGAATCACTTCACATGGATGGAGTTGAGTGATTGCTGGCCAAGCTCTTCTGGTTATCTCCATATCTGAAACGCAACACCACCAGGATGGGAAAATTATTTCTCTTCGGGACTATCCCACGCGTTTTCAAAAGAAAATGTCCTTGATATCATACAAGAGCACGCCCTGGGCGGAGGATAATAATTGGAAGATGCTTCCCACGTAGTGTTGGAGCCCGCTGGGCGTCACTTTAGATGCGACCAATCGCTGCTCCTGAAGCCCGAGAGCCAACGCCGTTCCATTGGCGTGAAATGCAGGGGCAAAAGGCACGAGAAGCTTGAGTTGCAGATGAAAAGTTTTCCAGAATGCCTCTGAACACCCAATTGCCGGCTTTCTGGAGAAAAGCCGACCACACCTAAAGTAACTTCTTCACTCTTTTGTGTAACTCGATCTCGGCAACGAACCTTTTTTGCCTTCGTGCCACTTCACTCCCGAAACGTGGGAGGCGTCAAAACGCGGGGGTTCAGCTCTCATCCTATCATAGGCGTCCGTGTGCACAGTAAGCTGGAACATTTGGCAAGAAGCTCTCGACAAGAAACTGTGCTGAGCCAGCGCCACGAGGCCATTTGACGGCTACTCATGGCGCCCAGAGATCTCCAGAAAGCCTAGACGACTCGAGAAGATAATGATACGGGTTGGTTTCACGCTTGTAATTGCCCCGCAGCATTAGACTCTCCTGAAGGCCAGCCAGCCTGCTCGAGGACATCGCTTTTAAAACAACCTCGACCCTTCGTAAGATGTGATCTTCATGCTGGCCGTCAGCTCCTATCAACACATTATCCTGATCATACAATTTGTGTACTTTAGCATATTTCGACTCCCTCATAACCAGTTTCCGTTCTGCCTTGTCTTCGCAGCACCGTCGCGCCCCTGACCGAACTACGAGGTAGCTATCGAAAACAGGGGGCTGGACGGGATTGATCCTAGAAGCATCCATTCTTTCATGGAAGTGGAGTTCAGAACCAATTTTTATTATTAAACGACTCAAGAAAATAGGTCAAGAGAACTAGGTACGGAAGACTCCGCAAAAGACCACTCCGCCCGGAAAAAGGTGATCGTACGAAGATCCTTACGAATGACAAGAATATGGCTGGACCCGCTGGATTATCTTACCTCTACATCCCTCCAACGTCTTTCGCGAGCGACTCCAAACAACATGAATACTATAACCTCTCCAGTATGACCATTGCTTCCTCATCCTCCACCTCCTCGTCCTCTACAGACTACACAACTTATCCCTTGATCAGTCACAATGGTCGAACGTATCTCCGGGACCCAGACAATCCGTATCCACTCCCTTGCGACCTTGCGGAAATACATCGCCAATCGCTGCGATCGCTAATGCTGATGCACGTCTTTGGCGCGCCGTTTTGTTCTCCTCACTTTAACGAGGATCCTCCGAAACGGGTACTCGAGATCGCATGTGGATCTGCATTGTGGTCGAACGCCTGTCACGAGTATTTTGCGAAAAGGGGACATTCGAATATTTCCTTCACGGGAATTGATATAATAAACATCGCGCCGGATTTACAGAAGCAAGGTGTAAATTGGCAATTTAAGCGCCACGATCTACGAAAACCCAAGCTGCCTTTTCCAGATGGATATTTTGATTTTGTTTTTATCAAGGACGCAGGCGTCGCTCCCACCGGTCCAGATCTGCAGGCTGTTCCACTCGCAGAACCACTTCGGGTTTTGAGACCGGGAGGTGTCCTCGAAGTATGGGAGTCAGATTTCATATTCAGGTCACTGCTTCCTGATCCCCCCGCAGCGCCTGGTTTGTCTGAGCGGGACCAAGAACAGGCCGATGCGACAGGCACATATACCATCTTCCCCGCTACGCCGTTTGCGGACGCCCAAAACCCCTATTTGCGCGACTATAACTCCTGGGCAGAAAAGGCATTTGAACTACGCAAACTTACGCCCATGCCGTGCGCCACGATCAATTTGTCCTTCACTTCTGAGTCAGAGTCTTTCCAGAGTGTCGATAGCCGTAGGATCGCTATACCTCTCGGTGAAGTGAAATGGGAACACACGTCAAACGGAGGAACGACTCCACGGAAGCATTTAACGGAAGACCAATTGACCTTGCGTCACACTGCACTATTAAATGTTGTCCAGATGATTGAAAGTATGGAGCCTATACTGATGGAAGCAAGCGAAAAAGGCAAAGCCGAATGGGATCGGTGGTGGGCGGGTATGACGCAGGATCTGTTGCAGAAAGATGGAGTCGCGAGCGGAGAGTGTTTAGAAGTCGGCGCTTGGTGGGGACAGAAGCGATGATTGAACAGTCCTGCACTAAAGTTTTAAGACATGAATATTTGCCTGCCGCTCCGCAATTCCCCCCCATATTCACGATCATCAAATTTTATATACCACTACTGCTTCCGGTGGGCGTCGACGGCTGATTTCGGATTTTTAGGAGTTGGTATAATGGTTTTTAAGATAACGATAGCGTCTCAGGTAATATCTGTGGTATATTGCTTTTAGCAAGGCGTTTCATCTGGCTGCTGGTCGCTGGTCGCGAAACGGGGGTTGAGAATAACAAGAAAATGGGAATGCAGGATAATTAGGCAGTGTGATCAATTGCTGAGGCACTCTTCTGTGTAGATTATGAAGTTCGATTCGTGTAAATATATCAAGGTACTCGAGGCAACTTGATACTTGCCAAATATATATTTCGTTTCGGACGAAAGAAGATAAGGGGAGAAAGTCAAGAATAGTGAATTGGAGGCTGTTACTCACAATGCTTCGATCTCTGGTGGCCATATTCCCGGAATTGTCAGACCATTGCGAAAATAAGCCGTGAAAGATTATTACAAATACGCAGAGGGTATAATCTAATTTTGGCACACCTTTCTTCACGAACTCCGCTCTCTGTATCCCACTTCGAATTTGGTCCTCGTCCTTCAAATGGGCCTGACTCGAGAACGCACGGTGAAGTCGATCGCGGAAGAACTGATAGCCAAGTGGGTAGTTGCGGCCTAGATATAAGAGTTCTAGGGTCCAAAGGGACTGTTAGAACCACTCTTATAACACTTGGGCGTGGATGGTATGGGGACATTCTGCGAGGAACGACTTACCTTTGTAGATCCGGATGACCCGGTAGCGAAGAGTCTTGTCCATTTTCACAAGTGTGTTTACCTATTCTAGCATGGCTTATTTTCAGAGGTGGATGGATAATTGAGGCGGACGAAAGAAAGATGACGGCATATGTTCGGGTGTCCTGGTGGTCGAGAATGCTGGCTGAGTCGAGATAGTTTGCCGCAAATGGGCTTGGCGGCAGGGTTCCTTTCGAGGAATGAAGCTTTGCTCGCTCTGAATCTCCTCCCCTGCAATTAAGCCCTTCCCCCAAGCATATCTGTTAACTACCCCAGAGAGCCTAGGATGTATTGAGCTTGGTCTTTCGAGTTGCGGAATTGACGTCTCGCCCTTTCGGTCGTGCAAGCCGAAACCGTCGGCAGGGAGATGACGACATGGTCACGTGACCGACCCCCGAACGCCGAGGGCCGATGAGTTGCGCCTTTCAACAGCCACCGGCGAGCGCTTTATCTACTTTGGCGGATGCCAGGAGCCATTGTTCTTCCCCAGGCCCAATTGAAGGAGCAGCGGGTCAAGGGAAGATGGTTTCCAGCTACATGACGCGAAGTCGATTTATTCGTTTGAGACTATGCCTTCTACCACGTATCTATTCCACCCGATCTATTTCCACAACGAGCTGCCTGAGCTCTGGCCAAGCAGCGCAACCGTCACCCCGTTCTAGTGCCTCGACTTCTCCCGAGAATTATAAACTTGACTCGAAATGGCTTTCTGTAACGAAGAAGCGGCTGGGGAAGTGCTTGCAGTTTGGGCTGCAACCTGAGCAAGTACGTGCTGCAGGTGACATTTTGAAACAGGTAACCCGAGATTGGCGGGAGCTTGTTGCAGGCAGCGAAGGCTTTCTCACTGGGGAGGATAGGCGAGGGTTATTCCGGCATAACGTTGTCTGGGGAGAGATGGTATAGATATTACCCGCCATACCTTGTAGTTTCGGTTGTGATATTGCTGACTTGGCTCAATTGATGGTGGGCGCATGGTAGGATGTCATGGTAAGTTCCCAATCCCCCCCTCAAAGGGAAGCTCGACCCCGTGTTGAGGTTGCGAATTCGCTCCTCTAGCGCTTATTGTTCAATTCTTGAAGCTAACCGTTTTGATAAAGGGTAGGTTTGCTGCTTTCCAGTCTTCGTCCATAACACTATTCGCAAGCCTCTCGCCCTAATACCGCAGCTTCTCTTCGTTTGCAGGGCATGTGAACAATGTGATGTACGTTCGATACGCAGAAACGGCCCGAGTCAATTGGACGCGCAATTTCGCTACCTACCATGATCCCGCACACAAGAAGCAGTGGCTGGAGTTGATCGGATCCACGGGTATTGGGTTGATTCTCAAGAGTATCAAAATTGATTACAAATTTGTCAGTAGCCCCATTCTTGGAGACGTTCCTTCCAAGGCCTTGCTGCGTGTATCGGCTAACGGTTGACTATATTGCAGCCGATGACATACCCTGATAAAATTTGCGTATATCATAAGCTAGTCCACGCACCGCCGTCGCCTTGTTCGCCGAATCCTAACGCTTACCCCGGTTTGATTTTTGACGTACTCATCCTCTCCGAAGCAAAACAGCGGGCGGCGGCACGGTGCCACGAAGACGTTGTCCTTTACGACTATAGAGTTGGGCACAAGGTTTCTGAGCTCCCTAATTATATGATAGATCAGTTCAGACACACCTGGGAGCTTCAGCAGGAAGCGAAGAGGGTCAATAGACACAAGATCCAGGAAATTGAGATGAAGCTAAGAACTCTAGAAAAGACAAGTTGGGATCGAGCAGATGCCACTGAGGATGTGGGCTCTGCGGCAGGGAAATAGACTGCACGCTCTCTGCTCTAGGCTTCTAGTCAGAGCCTCGACTGGTCGGGATTCGGTGAACTGACCCGGAAACACCACAATGGGAAATTTCTATGGCGTTCCTAAATTATATAGTTAGAGCACAATTAAGTTTATTCCCATGTGCGACTTCAACACGGAGTTACCCCCGAGCATTTTTCTCCCCGGCAACAGGGATGGATAGGGCGGTGTTGAGCTCAGAGTTCGAGTACTGGACTATGGATGGCTTGCAGATTTTGTTCCTGGTAAACGGGCATGTGACCGCAATTCCCCAGGTTCCGATATTCTCCCCGCTGCCATGCCCCCCAGGAAATTACATCCCTGTTCGCTGTTTGCCTTCAAACCCGGGTTCAACACAAGAGTGTCAAGCATTTCTCTGGCAGAAACCAACGGCTGTGCGGAGCTACCGCCAACAAGCTCCTTTTGATGCCTCACGCGGAATTACAACGTCAATACAGCGTAACAGACCCTGGAAAATAGAAACACGCCGCCCGTAACTTATTTGGATTGGGCCCATCGAGATGAATTTTACCGTCTTGGCGGTGTGAAGTGCAAGGAATTGATCGACCGGCAAACCTTCCCTCGAGCTTCAGAGCGGGGACGGACCAGGTCTCGGTTTTCGCGCCCTTCTGGGTGAAAATCTTGGACATCTGGCTGAGAGGTTGCAAAGTAAGAGGGAGGTTCTTCTGTGCCGGACTGAAGACGGCGGAAGCCACGCTCTGGTCGATTGACCCTAGGAGTCTTGTTTCCCGATGTTCCACGATGTTCAAAGTTCCTCATGCAGGAATGCAGGCATCAAGAAAAGGGATCAAGTTAAAGTTTTCTGCAGCATTCACGATTTCATCAAGCCGAGACTTGGTCCAGGCGTCATTGTGGCAGAACAATCAATTTTTTTGGAGAACTGTCACGTGGAAGCGCCGACCCGGAACCTTCCAAAATACGCAGTACATAGTAAGTTACTGTAATTTCTATACCAACGTCAAGCTCTGTGTTCCGTTTTACCCGCATTTCGTCACCGAACACTGTGCCGCTCATCGATCATGCCTGGAGATGAATATGGGGCTCTGTACTTATGGGTGTGTTGAGCGAGCCCACGTATGTATGTAGTTGGTTCTGCCCTTCGAGACTCGAGTTCTCACGTAAGATCTGTGATCGTTTGCAGCAAGTCATGACGTGATAGGTTCACGTTAACAATCGCTTTGAATCCCTGTCCTCTGAACAACGCACTCTCCACTTCCTGGACAGACCGCCAATATGCACGAATGCCCCGCGTTTCCTCCGAGCTTATCGATTGAGCATATATTGATATGGCTTGAGGGGCAGTGGTCTTTATGACTCGAACGCTATGAGCGCACTGTGTCGGAGTGCTGGGGGAGAAGTCGATCAAGGCAGCATCTAGTCCCTCTGTAGTTATTCGTGCAGGAGTAACCACGGGAGGTCACCGAGTACAACATTCATCGGGATACGCCCAAGTCACGACATACGCACATACATATGTATTGTCCGGTTGTCCTACTCGCCGTCCGAGAGACCTGCTTTGCTTCCATCCGTTTGGCGCCCAATGGAGCCTGACCTTGTGGTAGTTATGTTAAACCCGATTGATTGAATGGTTGGAGTAAGTCTGATTAACGAACACAGTTTGCTGCTCCCTTAGGGTTTGCCCATGGACCGGTTCCGTGTGTATCCTTACTTTCAAGGATATCGTAGCAATGCGCATCTTCCGTCCCTAAAAAGGGCCAAACAATCCCTGAATAGGCATAAGGCCGATGAACAGACTGTATGTTTCTAGAAATTTCACAGCCTGCGTTCAATTCCTTCTCATGTATCTGCACGGAGTGCACCGTATTCCATGGCCAAATTTGGGTCAGCCTCTCCCAACAAACCATTTCACAATTTAACCCCCGTGCTTACCGTCCGGTACAGAATTCAGGAGAGACTTATCTGATGTATGGAAACATGCTCAGTATGGAGTGCGCTCCGAACAGAGGACAGACACACTCTGATAGGCGCATTGCACGGGGGAGGAATTGAGGAGCCGCAAGGATCTGCAGAAGATCTCGTATTGATATGCGTTCACTTGACACCCTCAATTTGTGTCAAGTCTCCAGGAGATGTCGCTCCCCGAAGGCTACCCACTGCAATTCGGGCATTTGCATACGGAGTACGGAGTACGGAGTACGTACTTTTGGACTCGCTACCCTTTGGGCAGAGCGGACCCATAGAGCTCCATGCTGCATGGGCTAGGGGAAAATGCGATGGCCGGAAGTGTGTTCCGTATCGTTATGTCACACCACGACAGTCGGTGTATATTACAGAGAGAATACTCCGTACTCCGTACGGAGTACTCGCTTCGGTACGGCACTTTACACCAGGGCTGACGTTTGCCGTCTGCCACGGCGGCTGCTTACCTAAGGTCACTCTGAAACTTCGATTGAAAGTCTGAAGTTGGTGAGAAAAAGCAACGATTGACAACATCAGCCCTGACACCGACAACCCATGGCCTAGCTGTTCTTTGCCTGGGTCTGGCGACGCAGTATCATTATTTCCCCCCTCCCCTTTACTTTCACCTCCATCTGTACATTCCAACCGCCTCCTTCGAGCTTCGCACTCTCCTCCCCCCAGTCGTCCATTCCTTGGCCATCGGCTGCCAAGTGGATTTGGACGTTGAAAACCGGCTCTCTTGTCCATGACACGACCAGGAGGAGCGGCAAGGAAGAATCACCACGGTAACCGCCACGAGAATAGCCATGCCTTCTCCGGAAAAAAGGTTGCAAAACAGAAGTCGAATGGCCATCTGAATGGAACACCAAACGGCCAGCACCGATCGGACTTGCCTGCCCTCACTCCTCGCAACACCTCCGGACCGCAGCAGCAACCAGCATTGCCCTCGACCGCGAGTAACAAGCCGAATGGGGACGTGGAGGGACAGAGAATGGAGTCCAATGGGCAGGTTCAGGTCAACGGGCACGGGAAGGGCGAGCAAGTCCTGCACAACGGTCACGCGTATTCGTCGAACGGCGCGATGTCAGACACCAGAGTTGAAGACCAGGCGTCTCACCGGTTGGAGAAAACAATCGGCTCGACGTCGAACGTCAAAAAGCCATACGCAGGTAAATCCGTCAATCCGTTTCACCTCGCCTCCACAATCCTCAAAGCTTGCCCGATGGCCGATACGATCGCGATTCTCATCTTCCTCCTTCAACTCCCGCCTATCGTGCTTACCTTGGTCCAATTTCTCTACGCGTCGATGACTTTCATGCTGCCAGCGGGCGTATCGACCGGTACACTCACGTCGAATTTCGATATCTTCCAAGGCCCTGCCGGTACACCTTCTCTCGGAACAATGATCGCGATGGATGCGTTTTGTCTACTGGTCTGGGGCCTCTTTATGTGGAACTGGGCTCGGAATTTCGCCATCGACCTCGCCCATGTTCAAGTCGCCATTGCTCTGGGTGCCGGGAGTTCAGGGGATACGGGGGGTGTCAACGCATTTTGTGTTACTATCCTTTTGGTGGTGCATTTGCTTCGCAGCGAAGGCATACAAGATTTTGTTTTCGGACATCTCATCTCGGCAAATATTATGTCAAGCGATACCTTGGAAAAGTATTCAAATTTGATCCCAACCGAATTTAGACGAATGGAGACTCCCTCGCCTCCGAGCTGGGTGAGAAGTCTCCTCGCTGTTCATATCCTGGCCCAAGCAGGAACAGCCATGGCGAGACGGTCTATGGCTAAAAATCGGTCGCAACCTCGAGCCAAAACCGGAAAACGACAAGACGCTGAGAACTCTGCTGGCAGCCACGTTGATTCTTCTGTTCTTGAGTCCGGTACCCCGCTACCTTCAGTTGTTGGTTCGGATGTTTTATCTATAACTGGTTCCATATCAAAGGAGGGTCGAGATCGAGTTTCAAGTGCGAAAAAAAGAAGGCGTCAAGCGAATGAAGCGAGACGAATACAGCCGTTTTGGGCCGCGTTAGCAAGCACAAAATTGACCGTAACTCGTGAGTATGACCGATCGAGGCATGGAAGTTGGTACTCGCCGAGTTTCCCTGTGACCGAAGACGATCTCGACAGGACACCACCAGGAACCGGTTTGATTTGGATTACTCATGTTGATAGCTGTTCGATTAAATTTGCGGCAAGCGATTTTACCGTTGAGGAAGATCCTATGATAGGTGGAACGTATGATGGTAGTGTCTCTGATGCCGAATCACACCCTTTCTATGTTTGCGTTAATGGAGCTCACTGGGCACCGGTCAGCCTCTCGAGGATAGCAGATAATTCTGATGAACCTTCATTAGTTCATTGGAGAGGGGAAATAGCTGGATTGGCACCTGATTGCGCGTATACATGCAGCTTCATCCGCTGTGATACCGATGAGGAGATCTGCGTTATGAGTGTGAAAACGCCCGTTACTTCAGACACAGATCAAGGTAGGTTCATTTCTACATTTGTTTCATACGGAAACCTGACATTTGACACAGCTTCCACCACTCCATCTATCTCTCCCTCTCCTCGCCAGTCTTTGCGACCATCATCTCCGACGACCACCATAAAGAACTCAATTATTAATGCTGAGGCTAAGCTGAATGAGCGACGGGCTAAGCTGAAAAGATCAAGGAATGACCACAAACTTCAGGTATCCAAGATCAGAAAAGACCTCGACAATTTTACCCATCGCCTCAACAGTGGTGGAGATGAAAGCAGGCAAAAGCAACGTTCCCTACAATTGGAACGCAATATCCGTCAAACAGAGGAGGCAACGGCGGTCCTTGAACTTCAACTGGTCAACCTCGAGAAAATACCAGAGGAAGAGCTGCAGGATTGGAAAGCACGCAAAAGTGCCTTTGAGCTAGAGACTGAAAGGCTGAACTCCTTGAAAGAGGAATTGCATGTCGCAAAGTCTACCATGGGGAGTAAAGTGTCTTCGGCTGAAACGGAGCTAGCCAACATTGTACAAAAACGAGAGCGCCTTCAAAATCGCCGGAACCGGCTTTCTGAGCAATATGAACGTATTACAAATGCTAACAAACAGGGTTTGAATGAGCGTGAACGTCGTGCTGCCGAGCAGTTAGCCAAAGAGCAAGAAGTTGCGAGAATCGAAGAAGGCTTTCAGGAACAGCTAACAAATATCACTCGTTCTCTTGAAGAGTATCAAGTGCGCACCACCCAGCTCTGGCAACAAGCCACAGCGATTGAACAAGCCTACCAGCAACAGCTCTATTTGAATTCTGGCCCACTTACTCCCGAAGGCGAGCTACCTGGGACACAGCGACCACTGATGGACATGAACGCTAGTAACAATTCAATGAGTACAATGGCTTCTGGGAGCAAATCGAACTTTGGAATGGCCTTTCCGATGCATTCCTCTGCTGAAAGATCAAGCCTCGCACATCGGTCATCAATGTCTCCAATCATACAGACATCGTTGCCGGGGGTATTTTCGGAGCCTCACTACTACCCATCGTCTCCTCTTGCCAACAAGCCTTCAGTCTTAGCGTCCGAGCAGGGTCGTTACCGCGATCGCTCCATGTCAAATCCTTCCGCCTCCCTATCACAGGTGGAATACAGCACTTCAATATTTGCAGGCGATGGTGCTGATCCTGATGTTAGCCGAAGCAGTGGTAGTGCGAGCGGAAGTAGCAGTACTGGTAGTCCTCATCCTGCTCTGGGAAAGTCTGTCTGGAGCTGATGTGGATGGCAAAAGGAAAAAGTAGTCTATTAGGTCTTTCAAGGCTCTGGCGAATATCCTTGCTTCTGTTCAGACCCTCTGTTCCTTTTCTGCAAATAGCTAGCTATGCAAATCAAACTGTAAATCGCTTGCCGCAAATCTAAATGTCGTATCACATGAGCCAATATCCCGCCTTGCGTTTGCTCGTCAAGTATTCCACCCTCGGTGCTTCGTACAGGGCGATCATTCTTACGAAGGTTACCTTAACATCATGGGTGATAGTGCCGGGTTTTCAAAGCAAAATAATGAATATGCTGTAGCGGATTTTGGAAAATAGATTGAAGAAAACATTTGTATGTTTTAATATTTATTTAATACACGATTGGAACGCAGTAGTCTATCGTACATAAGTGATCAAGGTGTCAAACCATGCGAGGAGTATTCACCCAGGCTATTTGGGGGTTTAGGTCTAGAAAATAATAACTTTTCCGGGTATTCTATGATCAACTTTCGGCGAGCTGGACCGGCCAGATAGCCCCTGACGGCGGGAAGTGAGGTTTGAGATGGAATGAACACGGAGCCCGATCCGTGGGTCATGATTTCGTGACTGAGCGGTTCACTTTTGAGAGAGGATTTATAGTTTTGCCCATTTTCCAAAACCGAGTATCTGCGTAGGTAAGACATAGCTCGTCCGCCGAGTGTGTAGTATCCGGCTCCTGCATCTGGTTCTGCGGCTCGTCGCCATACAGCTTCACAACGGTCCCCAAGACAATCACATGATCTCCAACTTGTGCGCTTGAGGGATAGTATTTACATTCGAGTATGAACGGAAAATCAGGCCGCGCATCACTCCCAGGAAACCTCGAATTATCTAGTTTTCCCTGGTGAATAACGAGTCGTGGCGGTTCTCCTTGGTGAATGGCTGGAAGTCGATCTAACGAAGCAGGTGAAGTAAACCGAAATGTATGCTTCTTATCTTCTAACAAAATATTCTCATGACCCCTTGAAAACTCCCTTGCAAGGTTTGCGGTGGCTGCGTTCGAGGATAAGAGATGTACGAGAAATCGTTTCGACAAGCGGATGGCATCGTATGTTTCGGAGGGAACTTTCACGTTGAAAGAGACGACTGGTTCTGGGTATAGCGTCACAGTATTAAAAGATGATACTGTCATGCCACGAAACGCGGATTCAGCGCGCGAATTTGGGTGGGTAGATGTTATAATTGCGACTGGGTGGGGAACCAGGCGCATGAGTTTGCGAACCTGGGTCTGAATATCCGTGTCAGTGACGGCGGGGGAGTATGGTTCTGTAGATATGTCGTCTTCTGGGGCCTCAATATTCTGCTTGAAGATGCTGTTCCGAGGAACATATTGTGCTTCCCGACTCTGCGCCGGTGCGAGGATTCTCGTGAACTTCTCGACTTCTTTGGGTAGTGAGGCTATACCCGGAGGTAGGACCGGGCGAACAACATCGGTGATGCTTGCGACATGCTTCGACACAATGGTCCTTAGCATACGCCCATAATACCGTCGCAACTGAAGTTGTGGAGGGAGAGCCGTGGTTTCGGACACCTGGGAGTTCCGGGCTTGGAAGAGCAGTGTAGAAATTCTCAGAGACTGAGCTAGTCTCGAGGGGCGAACCAAGGGCATCTTCCTGCAAAATTAATCTTAGACATTAACGTCTGATACTCATTCATCTTTCAGGCTAATCTTTCCAACATTTATTAAACAACATCGCCATTGCGCATCTGACGTTGAGTGAGTAAACAGTTTCTTCTGGGACGGGCTGCCGGCGAAGTTGGAAAATCCTGCTTATCTAATCTTCGATATCAAACTTTCAGTCTCAACCCTCTGCATGCTTCCTTCACTCCAATTCTCACCGAGTACCAAATCAATTCATCTAAAAGCGGTGGAAAAGCGAAAGACAGCCGTCGATTCTGAACTGTTCAAACCATCCTATCGTCAAGATGTCAATGCACCTTCCCCTCCAACGAATCGGCACCACGAAACTCTCTTCGACCACAACCACGTACATCTGCTCACAATGCAGACACGCAACGCTCCTCCGGCGCCCTAAACGGCCCTACACATTCACCCAGCTCATAACTCTTTCCGACGGGAGCACATATACCCACCGCACCACTTCTCCACAAGCAGTTTACCGTTCCACACGCGACACACGCAATGCGCCGCTCTGGAACCCGTCCAGCGAAAAACTACTCAATATCGAAGAAGACGAGGCCGGCAGGCTCAGAGCGTTCAGAAATAGGTTCGGAAGAGGGTGGGATGCGGCCAATACAGTTTCTTCGGATGCAGCGGCTGCCGGCGAGAAGCCCCAGCCTGGGAAGGATGTAGCACAGAACGCCGCTATGGAAGAGATGGAAGATGAAGATGATAATCTGTTGGATTTGATTAGTTCGTTTGGGCAGGAGGATGCACAATCCAAGCCTACGAAAAAGTGATGAGACGCTTGATTGGGTTTGAGTCGGTCGGTTTATACTCATTTGCGAGAATGAGGACGGAGACGCGAAAAGCTCATTTTGTTCTTCGGCGAACGGTTGGATTGTACGAATATGGAGCCGGGATTTTATGTGATGCTGCTTGCTGCCTTTTTCATAATAGATTCGATGGAGCTTTTCTATCAGCATACTCGAAAATATCATTTTTACTTGTACAAATAGATAACACATTTGAGGACCCTATAGAATATTATCTGAATTCAGTAGGATATTATTGTCCCGTTGAGCGAAAGATGAAGTGATGCGCCAACAAATAGACCCTCCGAGCACCGTACCCAGAAGCATGAGCAAGGTATCAGGTGCATCATGATGAAAATAATCTGCTGATTTGCTCGACCAAGATAGGATATCATACAACTAGAATTTACGCCTCTTCTTGAGCTGAGGTTGGCTCAGTGCTCTGTGAAACAGATCCACTCTCAGTTCGTTCATGCTGGGGCTGAGATGTTGGCGTCTGAGCTGGGTTATAAAATGGATTAGTCTCGTCATCTGCATCAAGTTGCAAAAAGAATGTCTCCCATAACTCGATCAACTATGCACTTAGTCAGTCGCGGCCCTAGATGACCGTATAAGAATAGAAGAAGGCAGATAAGTTTCCATACCTCTTTTTGTGCTTCAACAGCGCTCTCCAAAAATGTCTCAACGCCAGACTTGAAGTCTTCTACTTTCTCCCTTTCAAACCGTTCCAACTCATTTCGCATTAATTTTCCCATATCCTCAAATAATAACCTCGCTTGATGTACTTTTCTCTCGGCTTCAACCACGTCCGCGTTCGCTTGGTTCAATCTGTCCTGCTGAGATTTCCCTTGACGGAGCAGCTTGTCCTGTGCATTTCTCCTTTTCTGCAGGTCCGATTCAGCAGAGTGCCAACTCTGAAACGATTTCTGTCGTTGATTAAAGGCCGTCTTTACACTGCCTATAAGCCGGATGTATTCATCAATTGTAATTCCTAATGTTAGAACATCTTGCTGGGCTTGACGTTCGTGGAGTTCTCTTATTCGAAGTTGGACTTCGGAAAGTCGTTCTAACGGGCCAGAAAGAGCTGGGGACAATTCAACACCGGCAAGGGAGTGTAGAGACACTGCAAAATCACTGGCCGCCTCTGCAAGCCCTTTGCGCTGTTGCACGACCGTATCTACCGCTTTCATTAAGCCCTTTAGTTGATTTTCAAGAGCCTCAAGGTATATTTTTCTGTCGTGGAACCACTACCTACAGAGTCAGTAAACACTATCAAATCAACGTGGAGTGACTCACGTCATCATGTTCTATGAACTTGCTTCCTCCACCGACTGATAGACCGAAAGAACTAAACATTCCCTTGCTTTGGCCCAGATCTGGCTCCCGGTTCTCCTTATTTTTCACGTCCAAGTTGAATGTGTCGCTTTCCAAAAAGATCTTCAGATCGGCGTCATGTTGAAGTACTGGGTGTGCGGCAATTTTATTCAACATACGCTCCAACGCTGCCCTTCGGGATTCGACAAAATTGGATTCAAACCGACCAACTGCCTGTTTCTCTGGAGGTGGCGGAACGACAATTCCGGGATTGTTGTTATGCAAGGAGTTATATAGCCACAGAAAATCGCGGTATCGCCTTGTAACTGTAAATTCAGGCCGTACGTATGCTTTTGAGGTTGTCTAAATGGGGCATGTGAGCTTCCCGCCACAATGTGATGGAAAATGAACAGACCTTTGTTCTGACTTGATAGACAATGTGACTGCTCGTGAGATCTCCGACTTTATGAGGATCACCAACTGTGATATAAAATGATGGCTTTGCAGCTTGTTCAACGGTCATGCTCGACTGGATTTGCTTTTTTGGCGCATCGTCGCTGCTAGATGGGGGTTGAACAGGCGGCGGGGGTCTCATCCTAGGTCGCGTTTCGCTTTCATCCTCCAAATCCACTGACTCCATAAGTCCAGCAATACTAGACGATTGGGATGTGGATGAGGTAGGACGGGCATTGCGGGCGGGAAATGGCTCTTTCTGTGGCGGGACAGGACCCTGTTCCGAGATTGGAGGAAACGACTTGTCGCCTAGCGGGCCGAGGGGGTCACTCGAACCGTCGACAGCTTCAAGTCTGGTCACTTGAGGGCCAAACTTCCTTGGGGTCCGGATTCCTCTTCCAGGCGGAGATCGAGGACTTGTGAGCGCCACTTCCGAGGGGGCGTCATTCTGTTTGCCTGCTTGTCGGAGTCAATCGGAGAACACTGGCGCGGGAAGATTAGGCCATAGCATACCAGATCCATCATTGTTAGGCGACTTGGATTGCGAAGGGACATCTACAAGGAGAGCAGTCAGATACTAGTTCAAACGATACCGGCGGTGAGCGTCCCGGATGCCTGACGTACCGCCCCACGGCGAATCACCTCCCTCCAAATCCATCCTGAAAGGGGGCAAATGTGAAACGGGAATGTGCCTGTTAATTTACAGAGAAGCTTCAGCAGCGACAATAAAGCTTAAATAAGTACCGAGATGCGCTGCCAGCTGAATGGTATTGAAGATATGACCTGTGATACAGAGAGGGATGTGCCTGCGGAGGTCTGGGTTATGTAACCAGGTCGTGTTTGGCTCGTGAGCGATATTGACGGCTGTGACCGCCTTTTACAAAGCTACCTTTTTGCCAGCACAAAACACATATGAAGCAGGCCACCTCAAAACCTCTACAAGAATGGAATTTTGGTTGATTTCCAAATTTTCAGGTGCAGATTACTATGATAATTGATACTGTTAATGTTGGTATCAAGTTATTCCGGAACACAGCTTCTCAAACATTAGTGGTATTTTGTCAGCAAGCCCAAAAAGTCGTTGCAGTTTCAGGATTATCCCCCCGTGATCATTGAATCCATGGGATACCAAGTTTATGCATTTCAACAGCTAGCTGGAAAAGATAGTCCAAGCTCTCGCACTGGGTCTTTGCCTTTGCGGGAGTATCTCCCCATACATATCTGTTCAATCTGGTTAGCTTGTTTCCCTCTGAGTTCATGGATTGACCACATACATTCCGTGTCGACGAACAAGCACCGCATATGTATCTGGATATTCATCCATAGCTTGCTCCAAGCTCTCAGTCAAGTCCTCCTCAAAAGCCGTGTTTTCAATGATCGGTATCCGAAGGGTGTCAAAATAGCCCAGCATTCCTTTGCCTTTGCCCTTGGGAATTCCCTTGATCTGTTCAATGTTGTTGATCTCGAAACAGCCATTTTTGCCCTTCTCCCTTTCCACTAAAAGTGTCACCAGGACAGCCCACTGTGAGTGCGTGTGGATGGAGCAACCTGCGCCCCTGTCGAACGCGGCCAAAAATAGTGGAGTGCACGCCGAAGGCTTCAACTCCCGTGGCTTGCGAATATACTGTCGTGCAGACGGAGGATATTTTGGGGTAGGATATGAGAGGACGAAGATATCTTCAGATTTGATCATTTCCTTTTGGACTCCGGAGGGAGCTATAAAGATATGGTCACCCCGCCTTATGGAGGTCTAGTTATCAGAGCAGCGCTTAGATCAGCTTTCGAACTCATGGCAGGCGTTCTCGTTCATGCCAAATACTCACACCACCTCCCGTCCCGGTGACCCATCCTAACGTGTAGAACTTCTTGCAAAGCTCCGGGATCAGATTTGCAGGGTGCTCTGGATCTGAAGACTTAACAAGCTGGTCATTGTTTTCTGGGTCCGTCATTTTGTCAAGTTTCGTAGCCCCGCCTGTCCTCAATGAGCAGAAGCAGCGGGCTAGAAGTAATGCCCTGTCCCAATGGAAGAGGAATCAGGTCCAATTCGCAATTAAATACCGGCTCGCGGTTCAGATCCAGCAAGGTCAGGGAGATATCCGCCAAAGCATAACTTCTCAGGCCAGCATTCAAACGAAGAACCCCTCCAAGTGCAAAATTCCGGCGGATTCGATCGCGCAGCTCAGCGGCCAATCAGCGTCCGGTGTTGCTGCACTAGCAACCGGCGAGCCTTTCCGGATGCGGCATAGCGCTGTGTCAGGCCTGTAATTACCGGGTCACAAAACTGTAAGTGTAAGAAAGCGTTGAGGCTCTGCGACACAAAGCAGGACTCGACATAAAACAAGATCATCAACAGGCCACCGGACGAAGGACATTTAGGTGATGAAACTGGCATTCTGTGTGGTGGCATCTGGAGCTGGAGATCAACAATTGAAATCACACTTGCTCAAAACAGGGCAGGGCCTGTGCACCCGGCCATAGGATTATGGATTTTCTCATCCACTTCTGCCTGGTCCCATACGGGGAACCGGTTAGGTCGTGTTTCCCTTGAGATGCACATTCAAAACAGATAAAAGAAGGCATCATGTCTTTACTTAGCTACACTATTGGGCGCACGTCTTATTTTTGTTCTCTGATGCGTAAAGTATTATCACAAGAAGATGGATATGCCCACACCGGTACTCAGTCTCTACCATGTCTTGCCGGAGTTGCACCTCCGACCCATCCTCCTCTTAAAACGGACAAGAGCGACGCGAGTTGATCTTGTCGGCCGCCAGGTGTGGAAGGCAGAGGGAAGTGCACCTCAACCCTCCCCCCGGACCGCCGCCCACGAGTAATGTTTGAATATAGATAGATTGATATTCCCCCCTCTTTCACGGTAGTATCCGTCCTGTTCAACATGCCCTGACATATTGCATTAAATAGTGCCATGAGTGATCCTCAAGAAAAGCTCTCGTGAGCAGCAGTCTCGATTTCTAAAATACTCTCTGAGAATAGAATCAAACATGATATTTTTGGAGGCTGGGCAGTCAACGCACTCAGCGGCAATCGAGCTACCAAGGATATTGATTTGATGGTGGCAATTGGAAAGGATGACCTTTTGCCGCTGATGGCAAGAGAAGTGGGGCGGACCAGAATCCCGAACATGCGAGAAGACTACGCCCCTTTCTTCTGAGATGATCACTTAAAGAAACCTCTTCTGTTGAGATATTCATAGGTAACCATTGCCATCTCGGGAATTGGAGCACTTTGGTAATGGCTCTAGGGTCGACAACACCCCCAGCAAACACTGAAAATGCAAATCGAGGGATGCAAGCTATTGATACTCAAACTGTACTGATGAACGGCAACCCAGTTCAGCTTCTTGATGTAGTCTCAATTTTCAAGGGCAAGCTCAGATCGACATAAAGTGTCGGATGTTGCAGATCTGGAGTATCTTATAAATTCGTACGGGCAAAGTCTTCGACCATACGCCGGCAAATTTAACCTTAGGGATGTTAGCAAAGCGGTGAGGAGGTATCCTCAGCTCGCTGGGCTATTTTCTCGAATTCAAATCGATGTGTCCCAGGCGCAGGGGATACAATCCGATGAGAGAACCTGGATAAACCGGCCTTCTTATAATGCCCAAATTGGCATCATTGAGTAACCTAAACCTGGAGTAAGGTTCTTATTGTTAATAGCTTGGTGTTCACGTAGATGATTACACTTTAGCAGTCTTTGTGATAACAAAATCCTGCCCAGATTGAGGGAACCAGTAGTTTAAAAATCCCGGTGCTCGACTACCTCGGGAGTCATATCCTAGCTGGTTGCTGCTTATAATCATACCATGCTGTCGGAATTTTGTATCCCAATGCGTATGCCCAAAGATCTAGTGGTGAATTATCTTGGAACCTCGCCAAGATTTGACTTGGGACTCGAGCAGATCCGAGCAAAATGCAGATCCCCAAGGATTTGATTTATGTTTTGGGGTCAACAGTTTTCGTGGCACTCGGGGCGTGATGCGTGACAATGATCAAGTCACGCCTATCTTCTTCAAGAAAATATTATGAATCTCCTGTTGCAACCACTGTACATCTTGAAGATGTTCAGTATTATGGTTCTCAACCGTCCAGTCATTGATTCTGCTGAAATCAGCCACCTTCATCCTAACCCACAGCTGGTATTCCTTTGGAATATAGGACCACAAGGTGCAGCCTATGATTGTCACTCTTCTGTTGATGTCAACTCGGCTTTGATCAGAACAGAGAGTCTGCCAAGCAGCCGCGGCTCAACTTCAAGTGCCTTTACAGCTTTGAGACCATCTTCTCAAGAGATTCCGTAGAACTCATGGTTGCCAAGGACCAGGAAAACACGGTCAAATCGAGCGCATTGCGAAGCTAGGAATGCGACATACCCCGCATAGTTACGTAGGCATCCGATGTCTCCAGCGAGAACCAAATAAGGTGCCGCCCTTGGGATGATGAAAGTTTTGTAGTGCTGGCCAACTTCCAAATGGAGATCAGACATATATTGGAAAGCAACCGGATGGGAGATGGCTCTACAGAAAATTGCTGATCTGAGATACACCATCCTTGTCATGAGAAAGAGGAATGCTGACCTAATCCAACTTGATGTCAGTGGTAGAAGATAGGGCTGGTTCCCTTTAATTTCTTTCAGTTGAGTCTGCTGTTCTCGGCTCCAGCTTAGCTCATTATAGCCCGGAATCATGTGCAGTGTTTGTGCTTCTTCTTCTGTTGTGATGAAGCAGGTGATGTTATCTGGATCAAACTTGGATATCCGCGACCCTTTGCTTGCTATAAACTCCAGGATGCATTGGATCTCTCTGTGTTGACTGGTGTCAAGGTGATCAAGACACCAGGTTTCATCCAAATTCATGCCATCCACTAATTGCTCTGCACATATTGCCACGGCATACTCATTGATTCAAGGTATCTCTGAGCTGACTCTTGCAGGAGAGTTGCAAGGCGGGGCACAGGGATAGATGCAAGAGCGTTCAAGCCTATTGAATAATCAAACTGCCGGCTGAACCTGATCCGGCCTGCAGAATACGCCTCGATCTGAACAATATTGTCTTGAAGCGGGTCGAGGTGGTAAAATGTGTCTGGGAACACTATCACCCCGAGGTTGCGCCCTTCAATGAAGGCCTGGAACCGGGGATAAGGCTTTTTGTAGTCTGTATAAAGGTTGCGATGAGCTTCCTCCGGCCGCGGAAACCGTCGAAAGATGTCAGTATATGAAGCAATCTGGGATGCTGCAGCGGAAAGGTTGTGTTCGGGAACACAAATTTCAAGGAACTTTCTGCCATCAGTATCCAGCGTGTATAGCTCTCAGGAGTTGACATACATTGAGGAAACGGGAACATTGTAGTAGTTCAACGCAGCTTCATTAACAATGCAAAAGGGGATGTTTCTGGGTGCAAACGCGGCTTTTATTGGCATCAATGACTTGGATCTCCATAGTGAGCTGTGTCAGAGAACTAAATATTTCGCTCGCTTCTATCGACAACCAGAGATGTTTATATAGAATGCATGGAGTGCTCTGTACTCTAGTCGTAGGGAAGATCGTGGTTTGTCTCCAAAAGTAAGACCGCTAGTGTTACTAGTGCGGGACTAGTGCGGGACTAGCTCGGATTAGTGTGATCGTGGAGATAAGACCCTGGCCCGGCGAGGGAAAGAGGCCACCTTTCACAGCGCGCCGATTGACCAAGCTGCTGCCCGCCGCCATCGACTTATATTTCACTCCCACCGCTTCCTTTCACCACCGCGCTCCCACTTCGTCTCTGCTCTCTTCTTGAGCTCGAAGAACAGATCTATTCTCCTCTCTCTCATTGTGCTTGCACCCCAATCCGGTGTCCTCTCCGAGGATCTACATTAACAATGCGTCTCAACGCCCGCACCGCCTCGCTGATCCTCTCCTACATAGCTCTGCTTGGCCAAGTCCATGCTGAGAGCGAGGCCACAAAGGAAGAGCCAACTGCCACTTCTATCAGTAGGCCAACATTCACGGTAAGCACTTGCTCGGCACCGCAGCTTGGAGCTCCGTTGAGGATTCTGACGCCTCCCCATGCAGCCTACCACATTGAAAGCTCCCTTCTTGGAACAATTCACAGACGATTGGCAAACGCGATGGACCCCTTCCCACGCGAAGAAAGAGGACTCTAAATCGGAAGAGGAGTGGGCATACGTCGGAGAATGGGCCGTCGAAGAACCAACCGTCTTCAAGGGCATTGATGGCGACAAGGGATTGGTGGTGAAGAATGCTGCCGCTCACCATGCCATCTCCGCCAAGTTCCCTAAAAAAATTGATAACAAGGGCAAGACTCTTGTCGTTCAGTACGAGGTCAAGCTTCAGAGTAAGTTGTTGATGCCAGAATAGCATTTGGGCTGGAGGTCACGGACTGACGCGCACATCGGAATAGACTCCTTGGTTTGCGGTGGCGCGTATATGAAGCTACTCCAGGACAACAAGAAGCTTCATGCTGAAGAGTTCTCTAATGCTTCTCCTTATGTTATCATGTTTGGACCTGACAAGTGCGGAGCCACTAACAAGGTATGTTTTCTTGCTGTTGACTATGTTCCTCCACAAGCAGGACAACTGCTGACACCACTATAGGTTCATTTTATCTTCAAGCACAAGAACCCAAAGACCGGTGAATATGAAGAGAAGCATCTTAACAATGCTCCGACTGCTCGCGTTTCCAAACTATCCACCCTCTACACCCTTATCGTCAAGCCAGACCAGACATTTCAAATTCAAATCAATGGTGAGGCTGTCAAGAATGGAACTCTCCTTGAAGACTTCCAGCCTCCTGTCAACCCTCCAAAGGAGATTGATGATCCAAACGACAAAAAGCCGGCCGATTGGGTCGATGAGGCCAAGATCCCAGATCCAGAGGCCAAGAAACCGGAGGACTGGGATGAAGACGCTCCCTTTGAAATTGTTGATACTGAGGCTAAGAAACCTGATGACTGGCTGGACGATGAGCCAAGCTCGATCCCCGATCCAGAGGCTCAAAAGCCTGAGGACTGGGATGACGAGGAAGATGGTGACTGGTTCGCTCCAACCGTTCCAAATCCCAAGTGCGAGGAAGCCTCTGGCTGTGGAAAGTGGGAGCCTCCCATGAAGAGAAACCCTGATTATAAGGGCAAATGGACTGCACCTTTGATCGACAACCCAGCGTACAAGGGCCCATGGTCTCCCCGCAAAATCGCCAATCCGGACTTCTTCGAGGATAAGAAGCCCGCTAACTTTGAGCCAATGGGTGCTGTAAGTTAATCCCGTTTTTCTAATATGACACACACACACACACACACACACACACACACAGAGAGAGAGAGAGAGAGAGAGAGAGAGTCGCTGACGAACCTGGGACTAGATTGGCTTCGAAATCTGGACCATGCAAAATGATATCCTCTTTGACAACATTTACATTGGTCACTCCATCGAAGACGCGAAGAAGCTTAAGGCCGAAACATTCGATATCAAGCAACCCATCGAGGTTGCCGAGGAAGAAGCCGCTAAGCCCAAGGATGAACCCTCTACTGATTCTGGTCTCAACTTCAAGGATGACCCAGTCAAGTACATCCGCAGCAAGGTCGATCAATTCATCCTCATGGCAAAAGATAATCCAGTTGAGGCTGTCAAGACTGTTCCCGAAGTTGCCGGTGGTTTGGCCGCTCTCCTCATCACGTTGATCCTCGTTGTCTTCGGCGCTATTGGTCTTAGCAGCCCTGCACCCGCTCCGGCTAAGAAGGACGCTGGAAAGGGAAAAGAGAAGGCCAAGGAAAAGGCTGCGGAAGCTGTGAGTACCGGAGCTGAAAACATTAAGGCCGGTGCCACGAAACGATCAAAGTCTAGTGAGTGAATCAAGCGGGAAAAAGCGACCCTGCGCGTTCATATATAGCAGCGGATTTGAAAATACTTCCCGGGAAAAAAAAAGTGCATGGCTGGCCTCATCTTGGGGAACAACACACGTAGGTATTATACGATCGAGCATGGAAGTATGGCGCATGTGCCAATTGGTATTATAATCGAGAAAGGCTTTTCCTTTGCATGGTTCGTGGGGAGGTCTTAACTCGGGCCATTTGACAAATTGCCTTATGGGAACTTGTATGACTATCATGGAGTCGAAATTACGGTGCAGAGTAATAGTTTTAACTTTTTTTTTCCCCTTATTTTTTGCTTCAATCTGATAGCGATTTTCCTATTTCTCTCGAAGCGTACCCCTGAAGGTTGGAATTTGTATGTCCTTTACAGACTATTACAAGTTGCCGTTTCGGCCTTGCGACCTTGCTTTGGTGTCTTCTGTATTAAATACATTCATAATTTCTAATATAAACCAGACAGCACCTACAGAGTACAGAGTACATTACTTTTCTCTGAGATCAGGAGGAGGTCTACGTGATTTTGGTTGGATAGAGGCAACCTTGTATGTTGATCTTTTTTTCTTTATCAATGTCCCTTGTCAAGTAGAGCGGGGAGGGGGATTGGGGTTAAACCATGACCTAGGTGACTGGGTAAGACGGGCATTAAGCGACAACTGAATCTCTGGTACTCCGTAATTGATGATATTTTATTTTTTTTTAAAAGTCCCCATTTTTTCTTCAAATAGAAAGACATACAGTAAGTACGGAGTATGTATTGTACATACAGTGGTGGGGTTCACTCAACTTAAAGAGGTATTCCAAAATTTCATAGGCGCTTGTCTAGGGCACAAAAAGCACTGGCATACTGAAACATCACCAAAGCACAAAAAAGAACTCCACTTAAAAAAAAAAAAAATAAAAAAGAGTAAAAGCGAGAAAAAAAAGCCCATCAAATTAGACCCATCACTAGCTAAAGCATTGCTAGCTTATTGGTGTGTCGGCATAACCACGCTTGCTTTTGTGTTAATTGCATCCTCACTTCTCCACAAGCTGGTGACGGTCTTAAGCTGGGTGTAGAAGTTCAATCCGGGCTTTCCGTAGAAGGTGTTGGCACCGCCACCGGCGATACTCTTCTTGTTTCCGGTGAAAGAGAACATTGGGAGAGGAACTGGGATTGGACTGTTTGGCAATAGAAAGGGAAAAAAAAAAAAGGCAGCGTTGTTAGCCTGAGGATTGCATTTTCAAAACTTTGGGAATGGATGGTGACTTACACATTGATTCCGAGCTGGCCGGCCTCAAGCTCGTGCTGGAAGCGGGTGGCAGTGGGACCGGAGCGGGTGAAGACAGCAGCACCATTTCCATACTCGTTGGCATTGATGAGAGCAATAGCCTCGTCAACGGTGTCGACCTCAAGGCAGACGAGAACGGGGCCAAAGATCTCTTCGCGGTAGCATGTCATGTGTGGCTTGACGCCGGTGATGATGGTTGGGCCGACCTAAAAGACAATAACTATTAGCCAATCTGGGGAAATCCACGCGAAAACAGAGGATCGAGGAACGTTGCAGCAGGATAATACATACCCAATTGCCATTGGGATACTTGGCAGGCTTGTAGCCGCGTCCATCGAGCAGGATCTTAGCGCCTTCCTTCTCGGCACTGGCGATGATTTCTTCAATGCGCTGCTTGCTCGCAGGGGTGATGACTGGGCCGAGATCGGCACCCTCCTCGAATCCACCGTTCACATTGAGGGCCTTAGCGCGCTCAGCAATCTCTGGCAGCCATTCCTTGGTTTCTCCGACCATGACGAGAGTAGAGAGGGCCATGCAGCGCTGGCCGGCAGCACCGAACGCAGCTCCAACGATGGCGTTGAGAGCATGGTTCTTGTTGCAGTCGGGAAGCACGGCGGCATGGTTCTTAGCACCCAAGTTAGCCTGGACACGCTTTCCGTTGGCGGAACCGCGGGTGTAGATGTATTCTCCAGCGCGGTTGCTGCCGACGAAGCTGATGGCCCTGATGGCGGGCTCATCAAGGATGAAGTCGACGGCCTTGGCAGCACCGTGGATGACGTTGATGACACCATCGGGGAAGCCAGCCTCCTTGGCTAACTCGACGAGGATCATTGCAGCACCGGGATCACGCTCAGAGGGCTTCAGGATCAGGGTGTTTCCGGTCATGGTGGCAATTGGAATGCACCAGAGAGGAATCATAGCAGGGAAGTCTGCGACGAACAAGGTTAGATGCGATGTCCGATCTCGTACATATACAAAACGGGCTAGAGAAGAGAGAGGGAGAGAGGGGGGGGGGGGGCCTATCACTTACTGAAAGGGCAGATGGCAGCCACAACACCCAATGGCTCACGGTAAGTTCTCGTTTCCATATCCTTGGCGACCTCGAGCAGCTCGCCGGTCATCTGCGTTGTGATTCCACAGGCAGTCTCCGCGACCTGCAGTCCACGAAGAACGTCACCTTTGGCGTCAGCGAAGGTTTTGCCCTGCTCCAAAGTGATGCTGGCGGCCAAGCGGTCCCAGTTGGCGCGGATCAAGTTGACATATTTGAACATGATCTGCTGTCTGGCCATGATGCTGGTGGTTCTCCAGGCGGGGAAAGCCTTCTGGGCGCTCTCGACGGCGGCCTTCATCTCCTCGCTCGTGCTCTGGGGAACACGGGTGACGAGATTGTTGGTGGCGGGATCGTGTAGATCGATCCATTGGGTGGCTTTTGATGGGACAAACTTGTTGTCGATGAAATTGCAGGTGTCGATCGGGGAGGCGATCCTCTCGTGGGTGGTGGGATACTCAGTGGCCGTAGAGGCAGCAGAGGTAGTGGCGGCCGGCATCAGCTGCTGAGCCGTGGCATGTAGTCTGCGAGCGGCAGCCATTGGTCTGAGAGCTTGAGAAGAAGAGGTGGTGCGAGATGAGAGGTAAGAAAGAGAGCTGCGGGGAGAGCTAAGAGTGCGAGAAGAGAGGGTGGGGATGGTGCGGGAGACGGCTCGACGCGCGGCCATGGTGATGCAGAGTGGCAGCAAAGGGAAGCACAGGAGCACAACAGCAAGCTGAGATGGAAGATGAGGAGATTGCTACCTGATAGCTTGCAGGCGATGAGGAGGAGAGAGGGGGGAGAGAGAGAAGTCTGCAGCAGGCGAAAATAAAGCCAGCTGTGCTCCAGGCGGTGCTCTCTTATCGTGCGCAGGGCAGCTGGCCGTCTAGTGGCGGGTTCGCGTTCTTCCTCGGATAAGCGGTTTGAGGCGGCTTAGCTGAGCAATCAGAGCGCGGCTTGGCGTCTGCCGCTCGGCCGGTTCGCGCTGTGGGGAAGCCCTTGGGGAATCGATGCTTTCCCCGCTCTTCCCCCTGCCCGGCCGCTGTCGGCGACTTTCCCCCTTTCTGCCGGCGAGAGTTGCAGCAGCAGAGGGCCAGTTGGGAGGCCGTCGGTCCCGGGCACAGGTTCTCCAGCCAGCTTGAAGTGTGCTTTTTTTCGGCGTGAAGGAATATTATTCTTATCTCGACCACGGAGGTCCCTCTCTCTCTCCTGTCTTTTTTCTTTTCCCCCCCCCCCTATCTCCAGATACACCTCCCAACCTTCCACGACAAGAGAGGCCGATGCCTTATCGTGAGCGGGAGATGATCAGACGAGAGCTACAGAGTACAATGGGGCGCTAGAACCTCCAGCTATATACACTGCTGTTTCTCTCTCCAATGGCATCAAAAGGGCGATGCCTACAGCAGAAATTCGGTTGGGGCTGATTTTTGAAAACCCTCCCATGGTGGCGATCGTCCAATGGAGTCCCCATCGGAGTCCCGGTGGTGTCGGGAACGGGCCACCGAAGCTGCGAAAACGGAACTCATAATGGGTGGTTGCGCAACTGGACGTGCTGCTTGAACTCACTCTTTGGATGCGTTCGTCGCAAATGAAATAATCATCTACCAACAGTGCAAGCTACTAACAACATATTAGCAACTATTGCGTGTATGAACAGACGGGCCCGCCCAAGTGCATAGCTAGCGAAGTGTTAGCCAAAGAGCAATTGTGATGCCTTTCCGCTCTTTCTGCTACACGATCTCGATCACACGGCACTGGCTGGGAGAAGACATAAGATATTAAAATAAATGACTCAAGCCTGTAGTTGTTGACAATTGTATATTTTATTGAAACTGCCCAAGCCACTGGAGAGTATGTATGTGAACAAGCAAAGAAAGGTTGTTTATATTGTTTATACTCTAAAAGAAAATATGGTCTTTCATCAGACAGCCAACCGAAAAAACAAAACCGGTACCAGTTCCTCTATCGCCCAGTATATGCGGCGCATTGGGGTAGATGCAGAAGATGTAATCCAAAAGGATAGTTAGCTTAAAACAAAATTCCCACATGGAAAAGTGGGGAAGGGCATTTGTGGCCGGCGGGGATATTTCCGGTGGAAGAAACCCAAATTGAATCATGTAAGGGACGATCCAAAAAATCCAGTTAGTTATATAAAGGAAGGGCCTGCTTATGCCTCGCGGCCAAGGAAGTCGTAGACCAATCTGGCCCTGATGACCTTGCCCTTCTTCTCAGCCACGACGCGGCGAGTATATTTTCTCACGCCGTTGATGTTTTCGAAACCCCAAATCTGTCATTAGAATGAATACCAGGTTAGAAGAACGACAGGCTCAAAAAGTGCAATCTTCTTTTTTTTTTTTTTTGGTGGGGGGGGGGGGGAAATAAAATTAAAAAAAAAAAAAAAAAAAGGAATTGTGTTGCGGCAGCCTACCTGCTCTGCGGTCCAGCCATCGTTCACGCTCTCCACCCAGCTGTGCACCCAGTAGTCCTCTCCCTCACCGGCCACGAATCCTTCAGTCGCGGATCCGTCCGCCAGGATCTCTCCACTCAAGAACCGGGCGACGGCCTCTTGATCCTTTTCGTTTCCAGCCTTTGTCTGCACTTCGACGGCTGGGCGAATTTTGCCGTCTGCGCCGGCAGCACCTCGCACGAAGCGGGACCGGCCCTTGACGGTGCCGAAGATGTGGTCGGAGTGTTCGTTCTCGTCCCAGTTGAGGGTGCGGTGCTCGGTGGTGCCGGAAATGCCACCGGTGAGAGTCTGGGCGATATCGATGTGGACAGTACCGTCATCGTCCTTGTACTCCTTGATATGAAGGGTAATGGTCGCGATACCGATGGCCTTGCGGGTCAACCAGGAGATCCCTTGCTGTGGAAATAGTGTTAGGTATTTTTTAATTCCTTCTTATTTTTGCGCTGTTTTTGTTTCCGGATTTCCAAGGGTTTTGGACCTGGGTGGAAGGGCAGGCTCACGAGTGATAGAATTGGATCGGCATCATTTGAGACGGTTTTGTCCTGGGAGCCGTTAGAAATCACGAAGAAAGAGCTGGTTGCAACGGCTGGGTATATAAAAGGAACTAGCAAGCCAATCAACCAGAATACAACCATGGGCCTACCATGCAAAAGCGACCGTTGAGGTCCTGGATGGTGATTTCAGCGGGAGCGGCCATTTTCAGTATCTTTTTGGTGGGGTGGGAACTACGTAAGAGGATGAACGCTGGAGGGGTATGTGAATATCGAGGACACGACAGGAAACAAACACTCTATTAAGTCTGACGGTGAGAGGAGAGAGGGAAAACGGAGAGAATAACTGGAAAGGAGACACGGTTGATGGATGCCGCCCTTTTAATATACACGATTCCCAAAACGCGATGGACGAAGCTGTGGGGTTGGTCCTTGAGATCAACGTGAGCCTCGGAGTGACCGTTGGCGATGCTGCAATCATGTGGGTGAATTTATTTATGCTGCAAAACGGCGCCAAGATGCAGCCCACCAGAAGCACATGCTTTTTGATTTGGGACCACAGCGACCATCGTCGGATGGATACATCGAGCTATCTTTCGCTGGCCTTTTTGGTTGGTAGCGCGCAAATTTTCATCGCAGGAGGCGGCCAGGGATCCATGGAACAAGGCTGCAAGAGGATCAATGGCTTCTGGGTCCAACAGCGAGGAAGAACCGTTCGGTTCCTGAGCGATGTCTCGCTATCAAAACTTGTAGAAGATTTATCTTCCCGGAATCAGAGGAGGGCTCGGCAGGTGGCTTAGCTGTCTCTAAGATCAATTGGCGAGTTCCAGACTGTTGATGTAGCTTTGTATGTACGTCTTCGACCAGCCTTCAATCCGGGAATTGACTTTCACTGCCCTCTTGATGTTTGAAGATAGCATGTCTGTAGAGCAGTCTTGATGCCAGATGGTGCTATTTGCTAGGTGGGCTTTCAAAAGCAAAGGTTCTTAGATTCCAAACTCTCGTCGGATGGACGGGTTGTTGCAGGCGAAGGTACAGCCAGGGCCAGGGTCAAGATGACATCGAAAAGGACCACCACTGTGGCCGACTTCACAACGTAGATTCTTGAATGGTCGGTGGCTCTCACTTAAGCTTAGCACCCCTATCTGGCCGAGTCTGCTGGATTGGATGCCTTGTTGTTCGAGACAATACGGGCCTTGGCCTCCGCATCTAATCTCCAATAGACGCGTATCTGGCTATTCTGGTATCCATCCTCACGCGATCCATCAACTGCCGCAGTGTGCTTTCAAGCCCTACGAGGGTCCCTCGCCAGTTAACTAACTCGCTCCCTCACTCTTCCTGTCAGAACGGTACAAATTACGCCCGTCCACTAGCCTAATTTAGTAGTCACACCTAGTTGATTACGGTAAATGACTTGTATCACTTGCTGACTAATGCATGTTTACTTCCACGTGAGGGTTGCGGCGAGTCCGCTTTTGAATGACGGGCGACAGAAACGAGCGCAGCCAGTGCATCGCTGAGAGTTCGTAAAACAGGACAGTTAGCGATGGCCTTTAACAAGAAGTATGCCGGTCTTCCTGACCTTGTGAGACTGCCTTTGTTGGATCCCATTTGAGAGGAGAAGACTGACGTGCATCACTCCCCAAGGACCTCGCGCCGGACATCTATGAAACCCCCGAGCTCACCGATGCTTCCACGCTCCCCGTGAGATATATTCCTCTCTAAAAAGGAAGATTTCACAACGTTCATAAACTGACAAATAATTGTCTCTAGACTGCTACCGTTCGATCATCCTCACCTTTCCAGGAAGAGACATCTACCCCAGGAATTGACCGGCAACGCTTGCAACCCGACCATGCCCGCTCACAATTCGAGCCCGTGAAGGTGGATGCAAGAGATGTAGATTTCTCAGATAGTGTTGCATCTAAGAGGAAATCATATCGGACTATTAAACGCTCAAGGCGGACACGAGATGATGGAACAGAAATCTTGGCAGATATTAGCGACGATGAAGAGGAATCATTGGAGCGGAAACTGGCAAGATTACGCAGAGAAGCAGAGGAATTGAAGGATGAGCTTTCCAACCGGAAGACACAACGGAGTGAACAAACGGACGAATCGGAGATTCAAGTTACAGAAGACGGCATTCTGGAACTGACCCGGTCTCTGGATAAACTATACGCATCCTCCAAGGGGGAACAGCAAACGTCATTCTCCTCAGAGGCGGCATTGATGAGGAGACTGTCTACCACAATCCAGTTTCCCGGACCTGAAAGTCAACTAAAAGAGGCCGAATCGTCCGTCTCTCAACCGGCCAGAATACCCTCCACACTTTTGTCAAACGCCGCATCTTTCGACGCTAGACTCCGACTACTCGAGGCCGCCCTCGGACTATCCCAAACTCCCGTCCCCTTATCCCCCGACGATTCATCTGAATCTGACCTTCAGCCAATTCTGCCGACCCTAACCCATCTCTCCTCCCAGCTCTCCACCCTCACGAGCACTTTAACCGGATCTCCGTCCAGCGGCCCTGCAGCCATCCCCACCACCCTCACAACGCCTCACCTCGAAGCCCTAACCACTCGAATCCGCAAACTCACCGCCGATGCCGAAGCGCTCACTGCAGCCCGTCGACGCGCTACAGAGGCCGCCCGCGCCGTCCTAGCGGCACGCATCGCGGCAGCAACGACCGACGAACCGCCCGAAGTGCCCGCTGCAGCTGCACAGGCCACCCCGACCGAAACAGAGGCTGCGGCCAGTGAGCAGGCAGCGAAGATACAAGCTCTTTATACCACTTTGCCGACAATAACATCGCTGCATCCACTACTACCCAGTGTGCTAGAGAGATTGCGCTCGTTGCGGGCGATTCATGCTGGTGCGGCACAGGCCAGTGAGGATTTGGACACCCTGGAGCAGAGGCAGGTGGAAATGAGGAAGGAGATTGAGCAGTGGAGAGAAGGTTTAAAGGCTATGGAAGAGAGGGTGAAAGAAAGCGAAGCGGCGATGAAAAGCAATGTGGAAGTTATGAGCCCGTGGATTAGAGACCTGGAGAGGAGGTTGGCCGTTATGGGAAAATAGTCCTAGTCAGACCTCTTACTTTCTCCATTACCAGATCGGAGGACATATAGCTTCAATTTTTTTGACTTGTTAAATAGCTACCTTTGCGCATGTTAATACCCCTTTCTGCAGTTTAATACATCCAAATGATGATATGCAATTGTTTAAATCGAGTTTTACGCCTCAACGCCTAAAATATACCGGAATCTATATATAGATATATATCGACCGAAATTCAAACCCGCTACTATCGCTACCAGGCCCTACATACTTGAATATCTAACCTGCTTCATGATCTTAATTTTTGGCACTATCCTAATTTCCGCCCACCACCCACGCGTAAGATGGCCTCTTGCATTCCGCTGAATCCACTCCCATACACTCACACCAGCATCTCCAAATACCTTCTTCAGAATTCCCATCTCTACCCGCCCCAATCTTTCCCCTTGTCCAGGCTTCAATAAGCTAATCCCACCAAACCCTTTAACCTCTTCCAAAACCACCCATTTCCCTCTGCCCTTAATTTGACTGGGGTCCTCAACCAACGCATAATCCAGTCTATCCCAAAAGATAGCGGATCCCTTCACGCTTTCATCTTCCGTCTTATCGTACTTCCAGCGCGTCGCTCCAGAACGCAGTGTCGGGACATTTCCATCCGGTGAACCGCGGAGGACGAGCAATGGACTTTTGGGTGGTGGTTTTTCGAGGAAGTGAGTTACCCCCGTTTGACACGCTAGTGTGTCAAGATGCACTGCTATCACTGGCTTCGAGCCGTGGGCTTGGTCGTGCAGCTTGTTAAGTGCGAGAGCGCCTGGATAGTTGGCCATGGAGACGGGAAGGAGGATAAATGTGGAAATCGAAAAGGCAGCGAGAGTGGAAAGAATGAGAGAGATAGAACCAAAACGGTAGAGCAGAGATTTGGTACGGTGAGTCCAGATATATGATGCTCCGAGAGCGGCTGCAGTGGTAAGGGGTGGAATGGTGTATATGATAAATCGCCATTCTTTGTGGGGCTGGAGGCTGTACAGGGCGATGTATGCAAGGGATGGTGTGAGGAGTGAGAGGGCAGCACGCTGCCTGGCTGGAACGATACATGATAGGGGAATTGAGATAAGGTAGGTTAAGGGGTTGAGAAGCAACCGAGGAATGGCGCTGGTAAAGTAGAAATGCCATGGATGGACTCCCCAGTCAGATGCCTTCCCGGAGACCACGTTGTATAAGAACGCTGAGAGTTCGGGCCAGAGAGGAAATTTTTGCCAGAAGAAGGAATCAATGGGAACCGAAACGAGCAATGCAATTAAAGCGCCAGATAAACCAGCGGGAATAATTTCATAGCGGATGCTTATGTTTCCTTGCAACCAGTGATAAATAGTGATGGTGCCCAAAAGCAAGGCTATCTCTGAGCGGAAAACGATACCCGCTACAGTAAGGAGATAGAGACAAAGCCGATACCTTCTGCTAGAGCTCCCAGGAGTTGCATCCGTATCAGGAAGAAGGAACCGCAAAGCCAGAGTAGCTGCGTAAGGCCGCTGTTAACCCCATGCAAAGGCAATATGATCGGATAGAAAGAGCTCACTGATGCCAAATGCAAACATATTCGGAAGAGTCCGAGATGCATAGTATACCACATGAAATTGACTGGCTTGGAAAAAGATGTACCACATGCCAGTTTCTTTGCCGAAGGCTTTTTTGACTGCCCGGGCGTAAGATACCAACGAAAGGGCATTGAATGTACCCAGGATTGCTCTCACTTTGTCAAATCAGCAACAGTTCCTTGAACAGAATCGCAAAGATGTATTCCCAGTGAATATTAGGGTCTCACACCTAGGATTTGAATCTGGAGCCCGGCCCTTAACCATATCAACGGTCGCGCAACTCCAGCGAGTAGTAGAGCTCCCACGAACGTCCGCGGTACAGCACCCGGGAATGTGAAGTGATCATAGTTTTCGCGGAACTCGTTAGCGATATTCTTTGATGGAATTCCATATCTTAGAATGTCGTGGGCAGCCTGGATGTTGAATGACTCCTCCACCTTAGTGTATGGTGATAGGACGAGGTGGAGGTAGATGAGGAAGGGGATAGGGACGAGCAGCAAGAGCTCTGCGGCAGTGTCAGCGCAAGTTATCAGAAGAAAGCATTTATACATTCTACTCACCAATGAGCCTAGCCATTATTCATGTCTTGCTGCCCATTCGCGGGACACCCTTCGTTGCGGTCGTTTGATCGGAGCTCTCCCACGGGCGTTGTTCTCTCGTGGCCAGGACAAGCTCTCCACTCTCCAGCAGCTCACCTCATCCGTCTTCCACTCTGTCCTATCCCCGGCCTAACCACGACCAGCGCAAATCCACACCCATAATTCACCAAGAGCGCCAAAGCTCGATTTACGTTTCCAAATGTATTTTCGATAGATTTGCGCATACAGATCAAGAAAAACCAAAATGTTCTTCTTCGTATTTGGCAAGCTTCTTTACGGTATTGTTCAACAGCTCCGGGCCATACGCCAACTATTCCCACACGCAGAGCTAACTAAATATCCCTCTCTAGTCGTCGTCCTAATTATCAACGCTATCGCCATCCTCTCCGAAGACCGGTTCCTTGCCAGAAGTATATCAACTCCATCCCTTGTTTCTCCTTAGCCGTCTTCCACCTTTGCGCTCCGCTTCCAGCAGCCCGCTCGCAAAATCCATATAACTACAGAACAAGAAACTGACAGATTTCTCTTCGCAACCCATAGTCGGCTGGGGTCGTACTCAATCCGACCCAGGCTTCGGCGCCACGCACGATGACTCCAGCATCAAGGCCAAGTCCGTGAATCTGATCGCCAGTGTTCGAACGGTTATGAGAAGTACGTGTCACTGTCTTTTGCCAATCTATTTCTTTCGCTGTTTTATCGTCCATGCGTTACACACCTCCATGTAGCCCTTCTACGAGGAAGGAGGCAACACGTGGAAGAGACATCTTAAAAAACATTCAGAGCTAACTCGTTTTCAACGCATCAGTTCCCCTGATCGCTATTAACACCGTGATAATTCTATACGAGATTATATTGGGGTAAAAGAGAACCTTTCTCTTTTTATTTTCCCGGGATGATTTATTTGGACCACAACTCTTCAATACCATAGAATATGAACTGGGTTCTTTTCTCTTCTTTTATCTTTTTCGCAGTTGTTTCAGCTTTTGGCATGAAAGCTGCCTTGGGCGTTAATGTCAAGCTTATCTATGGGGCATTACATGACGGCGTTGATTCCATGGTGTCATTGACATTATGTATAGATAACAACTCTTGATGTATGGGAGCACCGAGCTTTGAATGCCGGGGTGTGCACAGAGGGGTGGAATATATCAGAAACAAGAACTTGGTAACCAAAGTGGGATCTCTCCAGACAGTCTAACAACATGTTGTTGCTGCACACAAAGGCTTCTAAGTTCTTCTGGTAACTGATGCAATTCACATTATATTTAATTATCATAGAATGCCTCAGACATGCCTCATCCTCATTTAGCCAAGACAAAAGCTACACCTAAAGAGTGCGCCACACATTCAAGCTATACTACCACCTAGCCTCAGTATAGGGCAAACAGCTGCAAATATATTCAAAGAAGTAGAAGAAGAAAAGAAGAAATGGCTCGAGCTTAAAAGAAGAATTTTGATGGAAACCAAGATCAAAAAAAAAGGGAAAAAAAAAAAAAAAAGGCTCGAGACAGGGATGTAATTAAGATTATACACCAGGCATTTTCCCGATCCAAACCCATGTCAGGGGGTTAGAGAATATCGCCAGAAGAAGCGCATACAGACATGCATCGACAAAGGCGTTGGACAGGCCCAAGAGTCGGCACAATGAAAATAGGAGACAAAGAGAGGCTGTATTCACATCATACACAATTCATGCGCTCCTAGATGCTCTTTTTCCACATTAATTTTTTGTTTTCCTTCCGATAAACAAATAGGAGATAAATCGGGTAGCCCAGCAGTCAATACATTGCAAGAATATAAAATTGAAGAAAATGGAAGAGGTGTTTTCCATATGCACACCGGGACTCCGAATTAAACCACACCAAGGAAAAAGCAAATAACCATCGCGATTCCTCTTGTTCTTCTTTTTGCCAGAAGAAGAGTGAGAAACTCAGGCTGAGAAAAAAAAACATAAAGTGGATCTATATACAAGTCACAAACCCAGTAGCGGAGGTGTAAGCATGAAAAAGTGAGTTAGTAAGGTTCTCTTAACAGATTTTTTTCTCGCCCACATGAAGGAAAATGATAAGAAATGATGGCCATGGCAGTCGAAGGGAAAAAAAAAAAAAAAAAAAAAAAAGAAAAGGAAAAACACAAATGTATAATTTAGAATACATTGAAGGATCTTTTTCGTATATTGAAACGCGTCTTTTTCGGGGTAGCCGGCGTCTGAGGCGTTTCCCGAGAGTCAGGCGTGTCGCTTGTTGGGATAGGCGGCAGAGCCTCAACATGAGAGGCCAGAGGTTGTTGTTCCTGTAGGGACACAGCGGTAGTATTTGCAAAGTCGGCCTTGTCATCATCGGTTGACTCATTGGATGGAGGCACTCGTGATGACACGTCGGTGGCCGATTCTGGCAAGCTATTGGGAGGGGGCAGTGGCGGAACATCCGGGACGTCGTTCTCCTTTGCCCTAAGAAAAAGCTTTGACTGACTCGCACTCCTGTTTCTGAGCTTAATTTTGTTAAGGCCAAAGAATCCGCTCTCCTTGTCGCCTTTAACGCCGTTACGGCGATCCTCTTCGGCCTTTGTGATTTTACTTTCCTCCATTGCAGCTTTGATATAGGCCTGTTCCCGCTTCTCGTCTTGCTTTCTCTGAAATTCTTGTCGTTTAGCCTTTTGTTTATCAAGTTTCGCTTGCTCCTTTTCTGCTGCCTTTCGATCTCTTTCCTCCTTCACTTGTTCTTTGTCATTTTTTGTCCGCTGCCGTTTTATATGTAAGTCCACCTTGGGAATGAGAGATGAAAGAGAGGGTCTTGATAGCCCATTAGATGGGGGCGAAGAGCTCGGCTCTTCAGAGCTGCGGGGTAGTTGCGAGGGAGCAGTGGGCGTCGGCTTGATAGGTGAGAGACGGGCGCTATCCAGGGTTGGTACTGCATCCGTAGCAGTCTGACTTCGGTCAAGCTTCATGGGACGAACGGGATGACCGTTCGGCTTCACCAACGGAGCAACACCATCTTTTGTTTCCGGAGTATCTCGAGCACTAGCTGCGTTCTCCTTTGCTAATTCCTGCTGCATCGCTTCGTCGGTCGTTTCTTGATAGAAAAGTATGTACGCAGAAGTTAGGGTAGGACGATCTCCAAAGAAATTTTGAACGAAACTCTTGTCGACAGGCTCTACCATCTCGTCGTCGAAGAGAAGCCAGCCTCTATCCTCGGTTTTAATAATAGCAACATAATGTCCGTGGTATGGCCCACCGCCGATATGGACCACTACGGCATAGAGTTCGTAGAGACGATCTGGGTCCTCGACATCATCGGTGGTGTTGAACAAACGTAGATAATAGGGATAAGTCACCCTATGAAATAGCTTTTGCAGTCGGTCTAGATCTTCAGAATATTTAAACCTCTTAAGATGGAGTGCTAAAATTTTGGGCAAGCGTTTAATCTTCATTCTTCTCTCCGCCTCTTGTAGGCCGCCACAGTTGTCGCAGTGGAACTTATTGCGTTCACAAAGGACTTCCTCTTCGGAAAATTTTCGTAGACATGCCGTCACCGAGGAGTGCTCTTCGAGATCGACTGATAAATCCAAAAACACTTCGTCTCGTTGCGAAACCGTTTCGCACGTGAGGCATTGAGTTTCTGAAGTTAGCGTACCTTCAAACAACTGATGGACCCATCGAGTGTTTCGCGATGATTTTACGCCATTGGATGGGAGAGTTGAAACAGAGCCGTCGGTGGCCGTTTCTTCGGATGTTCCCTCGGATGTTTCCTCGCTGTTATCCGATTGCTCGTCGGCATCCGACAGCAGGACGACGTCGTCCTCAACATTGGATACAACTTGGTTGAGCAGCAAGTTAAGGAATTCGTGGGCATCCTGGTGCATGGTCGTTCTGAACATTTCATGTTCTCGTCGCAGGATCTCCAGAAAATGATAAGGACGAATCACGCCGACTCGTTCGGGGCTGGCAATGACGGCTTCAAACAGATCCTTTAGAGAGGTGAAAAGTGACTCTTTCATCCCATAACTCGCAGAATTGTCCGTCGTCTCCAGCAATGGCAACGTGTGTAAAGCCACCTTCTTCTTGTATTCCGCTGAATTCTTGTCCTCGGGCTTCTGTACTTGGAGAGGCGAATTACTAGGCTTTCCAGGGGTAGTAGGCGGTGGTTTTGGCTTAAGGAGCTCGTCAAGGGGGACGCTTGGGTCAGGATACCGTAGATTATTTCTAAGAGCATTCTGAAGGACGTCTGGGGGTGACCGTCGAGGGTAATTGATGACGGACTCTCGGAAAGGAACGGAATAATAAAGACATTGGAGGATAGAATTACAGTAGCTAATGAGATAGGGGGTCAGTGACTGAATTGGATTAACAAGCCCGGGAGCAAAGACAGGGGACAAACCAAGTGTTGCCGAATTGCGCCTGCCCACCGTTAGCACCGTCGACCTCTGGCATCGGAAGCGATGGGAGTCTTACGTTCTCCATGCCAAAAAACTTATCGCTCCCATCATCCCGCACGGGCCCGGCGTCCAGCAGCATTTTCTGCAGAGGCGTCAAAGGAGGAGGCACAGGATCCCTTTTGGGGGGTGCTGAAGACTGGGAGCCATTCCCGGACGCCTAGTGCGTGCGTTAGAATCGGATATGCAGTCAACACAAAGGGTGAGTGTTATTCTAGACGATTGGGCAAGAGGTGTGTAACACCTCTCTGCACAGCGATCAAAAGGGAAGATGAATCAGGTAACTCACAGAGTTGCCTCGGAATTTTCCTAGCAGGATAGCCATTTTGAATCAGCGGAATACTCTCCAATCACTCAAATCACGGGTCGCCGCGCTGCGGCGGACCTCGACCCGCCTGTCAAGGCAGCAACGGAGAGGGCTGTTTTTTATATATGGCTCGAATATGAAGACGCAGGCCTTTAGGCGGTGCTCGAGGTTAGGTAGCAGTCAGGAAAGTGAAACGATCGTGAAGGAGCCAGCGAAAGCGGAATAAACGGGCGTCGAGAGGCACTGTCGGGGCTGATACGGGACGGGTTACAGGTGATAACGAAGTGCTTATCGCGCAACCGCAAGTTCGACTCCACTGGCCACGGAGGGAAGATCAAATCGTGCCTTGGAGTTTCGTCGCACAGGTCAGGGAGTAATAGGCTGGCGGAATGGGTGTTAAGAAAACGGCGGAGGGAGATTGTCGCCAAGGTGGAGAGATCGAGGAAAAAAGGGAGCGTGCACGGCTAAAGCAGGCAAGGATGGAGGAGTAGGAATCTGGCGAGGGTCGCAACCCAGCGTCGCGCTTTTTTCGTAACGGGGGGCCAGTATGGAGATTCAGTTCGGGATCTTTTTTGGTTGGAGGGATGTTTGTCTTTTAGGTTAATTTTTAGTGGCAGATTGGAACTCCCCCAAGTAAGTTACCTACTCTGGAGTTACTCTGTGCTTGGATGGCGGTTCAGACGGTACGAGGCCGAGATGCGATGAGAAAAAGGTTCCGGCGGGATAATTGTCCTGAATCAGGCGGAGAGCGACGGCTAGATCTACGACCGCAAATGGCGTTTTCTTTTTTTTTTTTCAAGTTATTTCGAGAGCATAGCATGCAAGCATCCTCCCTGGCTTGGTCACTCTAGTTACTAGTTAGCAGTTACGGGATTTACGGATGCTTGGGGATTTGGTAGATGGTTTAACTACTCCATGGTTACAACATAATATTCACGGAATGTCGCTGTCGTGCTTTTGTTGGATCAAGCGTCGCTCTTCTCCCTGAATGGCGCAGCATCAGCCAAGAACGGGAATGCAGCTCATTGGGCGTCGAGCATCCCTAAAAAAGCAATTCATTTCTCGGCAGCGATGGAAGCCGGGAGAAGGCCTTGAGACATCGTGTTTGGGGTTCAAGGACCTTCTCCCGTTTGCCGCACTGAACCCGGCCGTCTCAGGCGCACTCGCGCTAAGGGCTTAGATAATTCGGTACGGAGTAATTAATCGGGGTTACTTACGCCTAGCGAGAAACCGGGCGCCGGGGCTTTGTGGGTTCCTTGGTGGAGGCAACGCCGCTCGCAGGTTCTGGCCTCAACCACAAGGGCGATGGAGGGACAACCTGAGGATCTTGAAAGACAAGAGGGCTTTCCTCTTACCTTCAGCATCTTAAGCACTACAGGATCCAGGCCAGGTGGCTTCCTCCGATTTCGTGTGCCAGTTGCACCGATACTCTCTTGAGGGCATGGGAGGGAGTTAACTAATTAATTTTCCCCGTGATTAAATAACTAAGCGCTTGAAGTCCATGAACTAACTAGCGAGAGTGCACTTAACGGAGTATCCTGTACATCTTGACCGCCCCATCCACAGAAAATCGCCGGCTCTCCCCACACCCTCCTTGGCCACGCGACAACCCAGCAGTTCACCTGGCCGGATTTCCTTGTCACACTTACATATTGAGCTGGGCGGTAGCATGCTAGCCAAGGGGGTTGGACGAAATCGCAATAAGAGTGTGACATGTGCTGAGCACACTCCTTGCGGATAGGCCGGGATAGCCCTCCCACGGGCCAGTTCGTCCTCATCGATAGTTGCCGTCAAGTTAATAGCTACCCTTTCCGACATGAACGGTTAAATCAACAAGCTCGACAGCCACAGTCCCGCCAAAATCTAGCGTCACTTGTTACCGTGGAAGCCTAATGTAGAGAAGCCCTAGGAGCCGTCTTCGGTTTATCCGTCCACCTGTCTGCCTCCGAAAAACGAAACACTCGAGAGAGAGCAGGTGTCATAGATACAGAAGGAGGAAAAAGTATCCTGTAGACAAGCTTTCAGGCCACGCTTATTTTATCTCTTACTCCGGAAAAGCACGGATACTGCTTAAGTTCCCAACATAATCAGGCCCTTCTGGAGTTATAGTGCAGTAGTTAAGAAACGTCCCATAATTGTACCTGCTAAGCAATGACGATGCCATGGGTATGACAGCCTGCTTAAGCTCTACAGATTCGCGGGGATAAACCTTAGAAGCATCTTAGCATGGTGCCTTGTTAAAGACTTCCTAGGACGGAGAATTGTTCCCCGCATTAACCAGCCCGATAATGTAGGGGAGTATATAATTCATACGGAGTATCCGTATGGAGGACATATAAAGTAATATACCTAGAGTGCCATATTTGACCTGTTCGGCTTCGAATGGGTCGGACGTTGGCCGCGAGCATGTACAACTGCGTATGTACATGACATTTTCGGCATCCACATTAAACACCAGATAGGCTGCGTCGCACGGGAGGCGCAGGAAATATGAGGCCGCCTCGCTTCGTTTGGTTGAACCCGGCTAGTCCCAGATGTGTCCCCGCTAAACATACTGCGCGTCCCAACAACGGTGCTCTCGGGTGAAAGCTGACGGGCATCACCAAGACTATGGAGCATCCATCGGCTTTGCTGGGACCAGAATGGAGCCAGCCGTCAAACCCCACACTCGCTGAGGTTTCCCCACCCCTGCTTTCAAACCCTGTGCTGTGGCTTGGGATTGGGACGATGACTTGCATCCCACACCCAAGGTAACATCTTCTCGAATCAGGACCACCACCCACTCGTCTCCTCGCTCAAAAAAGGGGCAAGAAAAAAAAAAGACAACAATGGGTGAGCAAAAAACATACAACAGCCTAAGTACGCCAGTCCTCAACCGCCTGCTTGCCGCCCTTGTTCCCGCGAATTCAAGGGCCTTCCCGGAGCCTTCCCGGAACCTCTCTATCATGCACCCGAACCAATGCAGGTGGCTGAGATCTGTTTTTATGATGCCAAATAGACAGCAAGTCCTCATAATGGATGCCTTTGCAACGAGAATGGGGAAAGAAAACCCCTTTCCTGCCCGCCCTGCTGGGGAGCCACTCATCTTCCCCACAGCATGGTTGAACTGGCTTGTTAAGAGAAGACAGAACAAGTAGCATCTGATCTACTTAGAATGGGTGGCAATTTCTTTGCACGGCTTGCTGAGGAAGCTGTGGACTTGAAGAAGTACAACAATAAAGTTGTTCGCAGGGCGGTGCTGCCTTGTACTGAATCCTCTTATCAGGAAACTCTTACTGCTTATGACATGTTTGTGCTCCTTTGAGTTGGCCATAGGAACCTTCCTCCAGATTACTGATTTTGCTGAGATCCAGGTGGCGTGAGAAACATCTGGAGGCACCATCTCCACCAGATATACAGGCTTACAAGGCATTCTTGGTTTCTGTTGGTCGGGCAAAGAATGGTCGGATACATGATAGACCTGTGCCGGATACAATGGATGGGTTTCAAAGAAATTTTGAAGCAGGTTGGCAGCGGGAACGGAACTGCACATTTCCAGAGTCTGTAACTGTTACCATAAGAGAGGTCCGAGCTGCCCTTTCCAGATGACTGTGGCTTTCCGGGTTATTAATACCAGTGTTTTTAGTTCATCAAGAGCGACTTGATGAAGGAGATTGGCATAAAAGAGGGGGAGATGGAGAAGCATTACCTGTCCCCAGATGATATAAAGGCTGCTCTTGAATTCCTGTGGTGTAGGGACTATCTGGACTACAAGGGCCAATTCAGAGAACAGAGCAGAGTGGACCTGGCACATTCAATCCTTCTATATTGCTATACCTCAGCAAGAACAGGGGAAGTCCATGAGTCAACAGCACAAAGGGCCACAGCCTGCCATAAGAATGCCCAAGATGCAAGCGACAAGGATCTCACAGTGAAGGATGGACTTGAAGATAAGCAGGGCCTGGAGGCACGGGTGCTTTCCACATGCTATAAGGCGAGCTGCATTGTTGTTGGTTTTGCGGAGATAGCTGATTTATTGCCAGCATTTCAAACCTTCAGTTCAATGGGTTGAGGTGAGGTGATGCTTGTGCTCATGTATGAGAGGGAGTATGTGAAAGGACATTGGCGGAAGAAGAAATGGGACCTCCCAAAGCACATCTTCTATAAGATCTACAAGCAGAAGACTCTGCTTCTTGTAAACCTGCTTCTCTATTTCCTTCCATCAGCAACTGCTGACAATGCATTCTGCAACTACAAATCAGTTGATGAGCTTCTTGATTATGTTGACTGACTAGACAAATGGGAAGGGATGGAAAGTGTGAAGGTTGTACTCATTCATCTCAAGAAGAAGGTTATGGACATACCAGTATTCCAGCCATATAGGGAGCTATGCATTTCAAGTGCGATAGGGTCCGGGAGGGGCGCAGATGGGTTTTACAAAACATTTGCAGCTCTCAGTCGCAGGATGGGCAGCATTTGGAATTTCATGGTATGAGCGGAGATGGGTGTTGAACGAAGCAGGTAACTCAGCCTCTGATGATGCGCAATGCAAATAACTGACTCAACTGGTCCACCAGATAAGTGATATTCAGAGGTAGCAAGACAAAAGTTTGCAGGGCAAACAGACCGTGATATATATGGCAAACTTATGCTCATCCTCTCTCTGAGATTGACGGCCCGGCGACATTCCTTGGAATTGAGGCTCGCGAAGGGGCACATCAAGAATTTAGATTCAATGGCAGAGTATAGAAACCACTGAACCTCTGGCAATCACTGCCATCCAAGGAGGAGAGCAAGTTCCAAGAGAGGAGCGATATCCTTGCACTTGATACAGTCATTGATGAGCTCACCAGCACAATCACCATGGCCAAAGAAGAGGAGAAGCGGGAACTCTACTTGGAACAACGCCGATTGCGCAACCGAAAGCATCAGCTCTACACTGACACACTCCAAGAATTTCAGGAATCACATCCACGAAGGCCTGGAGAAACCACCAGAACAAATCCGGCCACCTCAACCTATTTCCATTATACCCGCCGCATTATGCTGGAACATGACGCCCTGGCTCGAATACTTCCAATGAGCGTCGAACTGCGAAGCCGTGAGGGCCGTGAAGCACTCCATGCAATGGAGGCCCTGTGCAAACAAGATTGCACTGTTGTCTATCGCACCAGTTTGGAGCCAATTGATTGGAAATGCATCTGTAAGCAGCAGATGGACAAGTGAGTTCTTTGATCAGACCTGTAATACATCAATGGTTTCGGCTAACTTGAGGCAAATAGATTGTATCCCCACCGAAGATGATCACACCTGTATAACTGCTATCGAGAGCACATCAGGAAGATGGATGGCAGTGAATCTGCTGAGCTATGCTTCAAATGCGATCTCTGGTTCCAGGGCAAGGAGAGCTGGAATAACCATTGCCAAGAGCACCTGGACAAGCCTGAGAACCTTCTCAGGTATGACTGGATCATATTCCACCAGGCTCCTATAAAGGCAGGATTCTGCGGCTTTTGCTTATGGGATACAGCCCTCCCCCGGCGCATCGTATGCGCCAATACATTCTTGACCCGGATCGCTCAGACCTTCGTGACCATTACAATGATCACCTCCGGAGAGTCCAGGAGAACCCGACCTGCAATCATCCAGTCTGCAGAGAAACATTTCCCTCGGTTGCAGATCTCCGACACCACCTTGTGGACTTCCACTGCGCTCCTTGATCCGAAGACGTAAAGCGGAAACGGGAAGTCCCATCAACATCAAAAATCCAAGAAAATACGGATTCTGGTCTGACCAAGGCTAAAATGGGGAGAACTTCAGAGAATCCTGAGGACATCGCCAATGCTCAATGTCCGGTTTGCTCGAGAACCATTCATTGGTACCTTATTTCAGCAATATGCAAGAGGTAGGAGCTACATGACCTGCAAAGAAGAGCGACAACTCTGCAGAGCTCATCAGGTTAAGGAAGCACAAGAAGATTGGGTTCGATGCAGCTAACCCTCAATAGATTGGAATAATCTCTGTGAGCATCTGCAGAGTCATCGATTGCTTCTTCAACAGATCATCCAGTCACCATCACAATTCTTTTTCGAGAATTCTCTAGAACACAATATACAGGCGTTCCAAAAGAGGAGGAAAGATAGTCAAGGCAAGTCTGGTGTGCCGAAGCTCCCAGATTATCAGACCCATGGTTACAGGTCCTACAGCCCAAAGGCATATCATGTTCTGTGAGTCTGTCATTCAGCAGCCGTTTCCCTCCTACGGGTACTAACCCATCAAATAGAGGTGCTGAGATCGCGTGTCTGGTAGCAGATGATCTGGGAATTGCTGCTGTAACAAAGCCTCTGATCCGAAACTGCGGAGGGGTGGCAGATTATATTCCACAGGTCCTTGTGCCTGAGGTTCTTATTCAATTTATTGTGGAAGACATGGCTGTAAGTAGTGTACAAGCAAGGAGAGTCTTGGAGAAGAGCAGGGAACTTGGTGAGATACTCAATGAGGGGTGAACATACTATCTGGAAGACCAATGCAAGAGTTCGTTGCAAGATCTCTGGGAAAACTTGGGAGGCACAGCTTCATCTGCTCGGTCCCAATTACTGTGAAATCTCCCTAAAATGCAATCGCACGCAGGTCTCCACAAGCTCTACCTTTTCATAACAAGCACAGATCATTATCTCCAAGTTGTCATTACACTTGTTCACCTTCTCCAGATCCTTCCTTAGTCAATGATTGTCCTGCTCAGCTTTCTCGGCAACGTCCTTCCAGTACTGAATCTCCATCTGCACGTCACTGCTGTCCTCAGAAGGTTGTCACCCGCTGCTGTGGCACTCATTGGAAATAGACTCAAAATCCGTAGGAGCGGCGTAGAAGTGTGTTCCCACCCCTTTGCAAAGCAGCTCAAAAGCTCAAGTGGAGTGGACACTCAAGTGCTTCTGCAGAAGACCAGTAAAAGGAGCGTCCATTTCCGTCTTCCGCACTATCCACTGATAGGCATCATGTGCCTCTGGCTTTAATCACATCTCTTCCGGAGGCACTGTAATACCTAAAGCTTTCTCTTTCTTAGTTGTTAGCCAATTTCCTTACTCTCATCATACTGCAACCTACCAATATGCTTGGATGGTGCTTGGCGGCATTCTTGCCTTCTTGCCCCGCGATTTATATTACCCCTTGATGGCATTTTCATAACTATGTCCTTTCACAGTACATAATCGACAAAGGTAAAGAGCACCAAGTGTAGACTTTATAGCTAAATCTATTTGATATTAATCATTGGCTATTACTGCAGCATTGTATAGGATACGGCGATGTTCACACGCAGGGTACCTTAGAATAGCATCTTTGCACGAGGCCACATCTCCCTTTGACGCTGGTCTATACTTGGTAGGGGCGTCAAATAACCTTTTGGATCCTGTCAGCCGAGAATGTCATCGGATCGGCGTCAATTTGTAGTCCGCTGTCGCTCGTTTAGTAGGACGAGGGGGTTGAATCCGCCACTAGCATCTCCGGTCAACGTATCGCAGTTGCCCTTTGGTGACGACGTCGATTCAGTGCATAAGTAATAGTTTCCACCATCATACTTCTTGTGGTTGCGTCCAATTTCTCTTTGGTACCTCTCCCATTCAATCCTCCATGTATCTAGGTAGTGCCTCTTTTGTGTCTTTTCCCAGATGAAATCTTCCACATCATAGTATCTTGCATCCGAATTGTAGATATAATAATCTTGAATCGCGAGGTCTAATTGTCTCCCAGCTTGCACCCAATCCTGTCGACCTAACCTTAAATTGATGTCTTTAAGTCTACTATTCTGCCTTCAAACCATGTTTATCCCCTTGTCCGTAGATTGAGGCACAATTAGCGTGGTTTCTAGTGTGTAATAGAATACGGAGAACTACACATCATAATTGATTGATATGGACTTATTACTGTATGCCAAGGTTTCAGTAACTATGGCCATGTTCTATTGGCCAACACAGAAAGTCTAAAAAGTATATTGCCCTGTTCCACTGCCTAACCATCTGGCCTAGCAAAGAGTATGAAAATCAAGCCAGCATTGTCCTTTCAAACAGAGATCTACATTCTTACATTCAACACAAGCTACCTGTGATCTTGGAGCTTGGATACTCTTCAAACAATGCATTGCAACTTTGTTGATGATTCCAGATGCTCTAGCCAATAGATTTGCATTTTGATTTGCAGTGAACTCTATGTAAGTAGTATGGTGTTTCATTGGTTTTTGGATCAATGCTAATCGCGAGTGTTGTATTCAAAAAAGACCACGCTAATTGTGCCTCAAACCTACGGACAAGGGGGATAGCTTCCACTTATGTTTAGTAGCCTTGTAGGCCCTTCGAGACACCCTTCTGCTCCATAGGAATTAAGATGTTCCATGCCGAGTCCTTGCCTTCTTCAGGGTCCCAGTCAAGCACAGGACCGTTCATTGGGTTGTTCCTCCAGATTCTTTCCCTTAACCACGGTTAGTCGGGCTGAATACTTAGGGATAAGGTATTAATGCGTCCCTCCGCTACGAATACCAATCGCTTCCCCGTATATCGGTAGACACTGTAACCATAATGGATACACCCGATTTCCATACCGGTGAGGCAACTCACTGCGACAAACCTGCCAGCTCAAACACAACCAAGCCAAGAAAAGCCCTTCTTAATCAACTCATCACACTCTCGGCCGCACAAGCAGAGGAGGAGGACATGCGGGCGGTGCTACAATACGCCCAGAAAAGAAGCAAATTCTATGGTCAATTTTACCGCCGACGGGAGGAGATCCAGCAGCTAGTAGCCTTCCACTGTGGGTTGACAGATCCTAGCTCGGTACGAGTGCCGGAACTGTTCAATGGAACAGAACTTGTATGGCCACATGGAACCTTTAACATGTGCATTCCCATATGCATCGACAGTGCTCGATCCGATGATGCTGGAAGACCGCTATCATCCAAGTTAGGATTTCGCGTGCCTCTACCATATAAGCTTGGTGAGGAACCATTCCCAGGGAACGTTGAGGAGAAGGTGCGGTCTGAGGCTGCAACATATATCTGGATTGGTGAAAACTGCCCGGATGTGCCAATCCCAGCACTACGAGGGTTTGGACTACCTGGTGGCCTTACTGTCAGTCTAAATATGCTCCTCCATTCTATCAAGAATACCATTGACTGATAGCGACAGTATAGTTCAGTGAACCCAGATCTGTTCCATTCTGGCAGAGGATCAAGGTTTTCATCTGGAGCTTCGCCCGTCGTTTGTATTACGGCTCGGGTTCTCATGCTAGTGGATATGTTCCATGCAAAAGAAGAGAGATCCTGGATCATGGCTATCTTTTGATGGATTGGATTGAGAATGATGATCTGCAAATGCTGTCTACCAAATTCTCCAAGCCACACACGGTTATGCAGGTCGAGAACCTTTATCGAGGCATGTCACAAATTATGATTTCCATGGCTAGAGTCTCACAACCTCGAATCGGCTCCTGGACCATTGATAACAGGGGTCAGATCACTCTAACCAATCGCCCCATGCTCTGCCATCTTCACCAGTTAGAGAACTGGTCAATTCCGAGTGATATTCCACGGAGCAGGACCTACACGAGTGCTGATAGTTTCTATCTTGATTTGCTTGCTGGTCATGATAACCGTCTGCGGTACCAGGGAAACGCTGCAACATCCGAGATCGATGCACGTGGACAGGCGACTGACCTTGTGCTTATGAGGGCACTGCTCCATCAATTCACCAATCGGCACCTTCGTGATGGTCCCTTCATCATGCAGTTAACCGACATGCATGATAGCAACATCCTGGTGGACAAGGACTGGAACATCAAATATGTCATTGATCTTGAATGGGCATGTTCTCTCCCGTTGGATGCCCTTCTGCCGCCGTTTTGGTTAACTGGAAAGACAGTTGATTGTCTGCACGGGGATGAGTATACTCGTTTCAAGGCTCAATACAGCAAGTTTGTGGAGATATTCGAGCAAGAAGAGAGGAGTACAGTGCTGCATCAGGATGGAAATTTCTACTCCCGGGGGGCAACCATGAGGACGGCTCTAGACGACGGTCGATATTGGTATTTGAATGCTCTGCAGTCCCCGAAGGGTCTGTTCAACATCTTCCGGAGGCATCTTCAAGCACGGTTTGATAAGGTGTCTGACAATGTACTCTGCGCAGGAGTATCCCCATTCTGGACACCAGGAATGACTTCATTCGTACAGTCAAAGCTGGATGACCATACACGGTATCTCCAAGAGGTTGTTGGTGTTTTTACTAGTGAAAAGAGCGGTAGACCATACTAGAAAGAGGAGTGGATGAACAATAAACATGATCCTGTATGATTTTCTGTTGCTCTCATGGCCGTTCCCCCCTTTTAACCCGCGCAGAACGTCCACTGCTGCTCAGCTGTTGGGCTGCTTCAGGGTTTGCTGTCATTGAAGTGACAAGTCTCTCAGCTATCCTTTCCTCCAGTGGTGCAGGTGGACTCCCATTTACCAGGGCAGATTCTGTCCTTGCTATGTCCCCCGCAACCCTACCAGCAGTATCGCTCGTTGAAGAACCATAGGTAGCAGCAATGCTATCACCCATGGATGCAATTGTGGATTGCTGAGAGCCGGATCGATGTCCTGAAGGGGCGCCGCCAGTGGTGGCAGTTGCAAGGCTTGAAGTGTCAGGGCTCCAGCGGCTGATTTCCTCAATTATTGGCTGGCTAACTGTGGTTCGACTCGAATCCGAGCGATGTTCCGCGGTGGACCGCGAGTCATCGGATGCGCGCGTGCGGCCAGTTTGGCTGGAAGCAGGCATGATCACGGAGCTGGTACCCTTGCTAGTATTTAACCGTGAAGTTCTAGAGAAGCACTGTGGACAAAATCCTTACCTTGGATATCGTGCAGGTAAAATTTGGCTTTCTCCCATTCCTGGGAATTTATATGAGCCTGAGAAGGAGCGAGCGATGCCCTTTATGAATTGCTGAGAATGGGGGACGTAGGGAAATTACGCAGCAATCTAGGTAGCAGGCCTATTGACGTAGGCCAGTTTGGGTTATTGGTTTACATGCAGGACGGCCCTGTCAACCACGGCACCCCGACCAACCTGGCGCATCTATCCTGGATCTGTTGCGAACAATCATCGGGGTAGGCTAATGGAACAATGATTTCTCCGGACAAATAGTGGCCTCAAGAGTGTAATCAGGAAGTAGGGGTATAAGATTGGATGATGGCTTTATACTCTCATGTTGATGCTCAAGTGAGGACATCGTGAATAGCAGACTACAAGCATTATCAACACACCCGAGCAGTGCTTCTCTTGGCAACCTACCTTGGTCAGAGCATCGCTGCCAAGCACTCCTGCCAGAGTCACATGACTTTGTGATGCTTGGACCGTGCTCGTTCTCTAAGCTCACACAACGATGAGAGGATCAGTTCTTCTAAACCACCTTTTTGTGCTCATCACTCTCGAGCATGACCAGAACCCGGCGCTTGCCGCGGGGCGAGATAACATACTCCGGGGCAAAGGAGGAAGAAACTAATATGCTCATTGCCCTTGAAGACTACGGCCAAACTGTCAAATACTTTTCTCATCTCCTCAAACAATCCGACTTGATCTGTAGAGCTGCTGCGCACCATCTCGGCATATCGCCCATGGAGTGTGAGCTCGATGCCTTCAAACACTGGTTGTATGGGAAATTCAATGTCTGTATTCCTATCCGCATTCGTGGTCGCAAGGAGGTGTTGATGCGGTTCCCCATACTGCACCGTGTTGGAGAATCATTTCGACCGGGCAATGCCGATGAGAAGATACGATGCGAAGCTATGCATGGCTGCAAGAAAATTGCCCCTCAGTACCTGTGCCTAAACTCTACGGATTTGCCCTGTCAACGGGTCAAAGTGTATGGCAGGGGATAGCTAGATCTAGAATCCACTGAACTAGCAGGTTCTCTTCAGCCTTTGTCAACTTGGTTGAATTTGCGCGTAGGCTGGTTCTTGCGGGCCGGCCATTGAGTCGATAGCGTAGAGTTGAATATGGGACTTCAAATAAGCGAGCAACGAATTGAGCGAACTTCTTGCTTTTTAATAGCAGATATCGCGAGTTCAAGTCTTCCCTCTATCTCTATAGAGTTTCTTGCATTTTTACTGCGAATTGGTGGCATATTCACGCGTTGAAATGGGCTAATTAGAAAATTGAAGATATTTTGATTTTGGAGAGCCGCTCGCGGGTGGATTACGTTACTTACATGTTTCGGGTGGCGTTACTTATAGATGAATAATCCTTACCCACTCTGTGTATAAATGGCCCTTCAAAGAGAATCATAAACAAGCGTGGGGTTTCCCCATACAAGGAAAGACTATGGAAAATTGCTCACACAAGCCACTGAGGATCAACTTCAAACACACGAGAACACCTTGATGCTATGCTGATTTGCTTCATGCGAGGGAACCCAAATTGAAGGGCAAGACCGATAAATATCGAAGCTTGAGAACACATGGTTAACTAAACAAAGATTAAGGCAAGAGTCCGGTTTCAACCAAGAACCTTGGCGAGAGCCAGAGGGCAAAGTGAGGGAGCCTCAGGACACATGGGACAAAAGGGCCGCTAACGGGAGTGGAAGTGGTGTGAGCTGTGTGCTGCTGCACCGCACCGCACCTGGAGCGGCAAACGGCCGGATGTAAAGTAGACTTGTCGAAGAAGAATTATTCGGGGTAAAAGACCTGGGGAGCTGGATGTAGGAGATAGGACATAGGACATCAGAAAGAGCTCAGGTGAGGCCAAGTGAGTGGTTGGAGTGATGGGAGGTGAAGGGCGAAAAATACAGATGATCTTGCGAATGTGCAAGGGCTGGTAATAGGCTGGAAAAGCGGCGAGGGGCGCTCGGTTGCATAACTAACTATGGGGGTGGCCGTATCTGTCTCCAGAGGCAGCGACAGAAAGGTGAATCACAGCAGGGATTCTCTGGTACATAGTTAGTTACCCACCACTGAATCGATCACCTGTCCCAAATACGTGGAACAAACAGGGGGTATGCCTGTCGAAAATTAGCATCACCGCCACATTGATCGACGGGCAACATGAGCTGTTGGCATCACCTGCACAGTTATCTACGCACTCTTCGTTCATAATCCACATGATATGTGTATATCACAAGCTGGAAAAAAAAAGGCTTGAGTGGTAACAAGCATGGCTACAGAGTACAGGGTACCTCCTGTTTAGTTATGCATTCTTTTTGAAAATCCATCTATATTTTGGTTCGCAAGCCACTTTTTGGTACATCTGAAATACTCTTTAATGCTTTGCTTCAGGTCCAAGGGTCGTTCTATGGAATAAAGCTGAACTTTTAGATTGTTATTACTATGAGCTGGCTTGACAAACACAAATTTCCCTATTTGCAAAATTTCGCAGAGAATTCTCTGTGGTAACTAAATCCTCAAGGCATGCCTTTTGCTTGAGCTTCCATGAAGCAGGAGTTGTTCTTATTTGTGCCATTTTTCTTCCAAAGTGATGCATCGAAAATTAACAAGCAAATAAAATTGATTTGCTATGGACTGCCCTATCATGAAAGCATCCTTGATCCGAATGAAAAGGCAATCATGATAGCGAACTGAATACCAGTATATTTATTCAAACCCCGTCCCTAACTGCTATACATTTCTTTCATACTCTCCGGCCCAGTCACAGCCCAATAACCATACAGTGAACTGGACTTTCAATATATAGGTGGCGATCATGTTGCGAACAATTTACTATACTGGCTGGGAGGGCTTTGTCCATGCCCGCAGTTGTCACTGTAATCCCAAGCGATGGAGGCATCACCTCATTTGTTAACTATATAATTGCCTCCTGCGCCCTCCCAAATACCATACGATCTTCTATCACCCGCGTCCAGCAAGTCGCAAACAACCACTCGAATCAACATCTAAATACGAAAAACAATCGAAGGGAGGCCAAAATTCGCCCTGCAACGTAACTGCTTCACAGACCGGTTCCAAAAAAACGTGGACCTGATTGCTCCATAGTATATACACCAGCAGACATCGCCATATACAGCTTTCTCAGCAGCCATGTCAAGCTTTCCACGTCGCCCAGCACCAGTCGCACCAGGACATCGGCGATCCCGTGGTGGTGATATCGAAATGGCACCGATCAACCTGGGCGGCCCATCGAGAGGTGAAGTGGGCTACCGAGCCGCACGCTTTGGAACACAAGGCAGAGACGATGAGTGGGTATGGCTCGGAAACAGTTCTGCGTGCATAGGAATGATTGTCTTAGTCGTGGTTGTGGTCGTGGCGGTCGTTCTTGGAGCCCTGATGGGGACGGGTAAGATCAAATCAGGAGGGAAAGAGTGGTAGTGCACCGGCCACGAAAGTCATGATTCATGGACTATGAGGAGCAGTTCAAAATAGGTGAGCTTTGATGCATCCAGTATTGGAGGCTTTTGACGCAATAATTGCTCTACGGCCGTGTGGCTCAATTCTTATATATATAACACGTCGCGGTCGCTGGTGGAAAGCGGTGTCGTAGATAGACAACAATCTGTTCGGGTTCATTTCCCCTGGACAGGTAAAAGAACAAACCATGGCTGGGTGGCTATATTCTGTCCACATTTGCAAGGATTGGTATCTTATATTTTGGATTGTTGCTGTGTTTTATAGTCCACACAGAATCTCATCTTTCTGCCAGTCTGCATAATTAGAATTGGGGAGACAAGGAGCGTTGCTGTACAAGAGATGAAGCTCTTGTCCAGATTAGCTTCAAGATACTTCTTAACAATCTCTAGTTCTTCCACACTTATTTTGTAGAGTGGTGTGTGGCCAATACCTCTGTTCAGGTTGGATCCTTCAACCAGGTCGGTGGATGACATAATCAATCAATCAATCCAGCTCACCCCTCTGACACGTGACCTAGGTAGTTAGACCACTGTAGCAACCCTTCCGTAATAATATGACCAATGAACCGTCTGCACTAACACTATTGCTCATAATTTTCCCGCTAATTCCGGCTGCCCTTGAGGTAGAAAGTTGATAATAGGAAAAGGTAGGAAAAATGGTCCAAGTCATTCAAACTAAAGATGCTACATATACCCACTGGCCAGCCGCCCACGATTTCCCTTGTAACAATGCGCAGGTCCCCTTTCCAATTGGGTGTACGCAGTTACATTATCTGAGCAGTGAGTTCGGTTTAATTTGTTTGCGATGGGTGAGACTGTGGATGCAAGGCCATTGTTACAACGTCACGCATCAGCACCGCTGATCCACTGCCATGCTGTCGACGCCGGAGCCACTGACGACCCCGCCGAACGTTTGACTGTCATTGAATGCCTAGAAGAATTACATTACAATGAAGTGGCGGTCCTGAAGACGGAGTTAGGCGGTCGTATCAACAAGCTTTCCAGTCTGCGATTGAAACTCGAGGAAGAGAGTGCAGAGCAACAGGCGGCAATAAAGCACGCAGAGAATAGGGAAAAGTCAAGGAAGAGCAGTGCACTCAAAAGGGCCTATTTGCGGGACATGGAGATTGCTTTCCTGAGACATGAACTTGAATATCAACAACAGATCAACAGCACCCTTGAAAAGTGGGGAGAGGAAGCACAAGAGGCACTGAAAATGATGCAGGAACGTGTGTTCAGCATCTCATTTATCAGCTTGATGATATGCATTGCAAAAAGGAGCAAATTGCCAACCAGGCTAGTTCTCTTGCGCGGATCAACACAGCACTGTCCAAGAAGAATGTAGCCATCCGGAAGGAGACAGAAGGGTTCAAGCAGGAAATGAATGTGATTCATAAGAGAGTACTAGATGCAATTGTTCATGAAAGAGAGAAGGCGGGCATTGCAAAGATTCAGTGTGACTTGGAGCGTGCCAAGTGTCGACAGTACAAGATGGGCCTGGGTGCCTTTGACAACACTGCCCGCGACGACCATGTCATGCGTGCCATGTCAGCACGTCCACCATGCACATCGAAATCTTATGAGCGTGAGCGGTGTATGAGATGCGGGAAGGGGCCAGGCACGCAAATCAAATTATCCAACAGGGGAAAAGCGAGATCAAATGGAGATGCGGGTGGCGAGCCTTGAGCAACAGAATCTTGCACTTCTAGCAGGCATTGATGGGCGTCGGGAGGAAAGTGACAGATTGAGGCAACTGAACCGGGAGCTCATTGCAAAAATATCACAAAGTAAAAAAATCATCGAGCACCTCTCGGAGAATTACAGTTTCGGTTTACCGGAGGAGTACCTGTGACAGGATGTCTTTGGAAGTGGCCTGTTAGGGGAGCTGATAAGATTGTCGCGGAACGTGGTGAACGAGTACGAAGGTTCAGGGAATTTCAATAGCTTAAGGTTCGCGGATAAGTACCTTGCTTTTAGACGACATCCACTGGAGTGGGAATTCCATTGCAAACCAAACCCATATCCATGGCCAGCTCCAGTCAAAAGTTCTGATTTCTACTCAGTCATGCATGCAGGAATGATAGTTGCCCAGTTGGTGCGGGGTAAAGCGAGAAAAGCAGTCACCCAACAAGACTCGAGTGCCATGGCCCTTTGAATAGAAATCCCCCTTCTTCACCCACCGACTTCTGAAATTTCTGAGTGATAATCATACATAATATATGATTGTCCCTTTCTCCATGTCACAAAACATTCCACTATACGGCGATATTAAGTATTCCAACATGTCCGGGAACACGCAGCCAACCTTGCGTCAAGGCATCATTGCTGAGCTGGAGGCGAAGAAGAGGGAACTCGAGGAACTTCACTTACGCCAAAACGAATTAATCAGTTTCATAAACTCCCTTCGGCACCGGCATCAGGAGCTAGAACAGCTCACGACAAGTGCTCGGAAGGCCTTCGATGCTCGATCAACCGCGCAAGTTGGCCTCACTCTTGACCAAGAGATAGCCCAATATGAGACGGAGCTAGTCAATATCAACAACAGAATCTTCACCATTCAATCCTCCATTGAACTCCTTTCCCAGCCCTGACAAAAACCGGCAATAGTGGAATTCCGATCACTTTCTTCGAGGAAACACAACAAGGGTGCAGGCTGCGATGAATGTGGCCCCGATTAATGGCCAGTATACAAGACTTTCTGAAAGAGACAGACATTGTGCGAAGCCCTGGAGACTGATTTTTCGCTGGTGCAATGGTGGTGATATGTGGTTGCTTGGTTTCTCCAGATTATTTGCAGGCTTGCTATCACTCTTTTCAATGCTGTGTGTTTCTTTTTCAATGTGGAATTTCTCACACTCCTCATTAAATAACTCAAGCTCTTGAAGTTTTTTCTGCACTGCTTCTAGTTCAGGCTTATGTATCTCTAAGCCAAAGAAGTCATCCATTCTTCTCTGATAATGAATTCTCTCGTCCCCATAATGCTGATATTCGAGAACAGACCAGTATATATTCCCAAAATAAAGTGGTTGCAACAGTCCGTGTGCAATAAAAAGGTCTGGAGTCCTGAGGGTTTCCCTCCAAATCCCTGCCAGCGGGAGTTGATCGAGGTATCGGCATTCAGGATGATATTTTTTTTCGCGTCGCCTGGTCTCCATTTCAAAGTTGAACACAAAAGTCTCATAAATCAGCCGACTAGGCATTTTTGCAGATCCCACCAGTTCAAGCCCATCAAGCCAGGATGGAGGCACAAACATCTGAATGGGAATGGTGTGGCTCCATTCCCAATCCAACACAGAGACAATATTCAAGTCATCGTCAACCAATATATTGGCGGACCGTAGATCGCCATGCATCAAAATAAACGGGCCATGGTTATATTCAGGCCTTACCCACTTCATCAAAAACTGACGAGCTTCAAGCAGGCTGTAGATGTAAGCGCGGGCATCTGCCTGATGGTCGACACTGTCTCTCCGCTGATGAAAGTCGTCAAATAGAGTCTGATGGAGTGTATAGATGTAGTCGATGGTAGAGTGAAAAGTTTGATTGGGGCCGGTCAAGCAGGACGGCTTAATTCCTGCTAGGGTCTGGTCGTTCATTAACACAGAAAGTGGTCGATTGTGATCAAAAATCCAATTTTCATCTCTCTCATCCAATGTAAGAGCGCCAATTCGGTCAAATTTGTGCTGAAAAAGCTGGAGATAGATCTCACCAAGGTTGCCAAACAATTTTTGCATCTTTGGGGCTGGAAGGTTATGAACTTCCAAGTTGAAGAGTGACTTTCCTTCAACATAACCCAGCAGCATAAACGGGAGGCCCAGTGGGTTGTCATGTGTGATTGAATATCCATGTAAGCGCGGGAGAGGTATTGCTGTTCTTTCACAGAGGAATCTATGGCAGTTAAATTTTGTATTAGCCATAAGAAATGCCAGTACTTTAAACACATCCCCAGGTGAGTAAGATGGACAGCCTAACTCACTTCATTGTAGCAATTTCACCGCGCAGTTTTTCCTCTGGAAAAGCCAAGCGGGGCAGAATTGGAATTCGAACCATCCATCGTTCACCCGGTGTATTGTTGTCTTCTTCTGTAAATTCAACCGGAAAGCAGACATTGAACCCGCCTTTCTTCACGTCATCAAAGATGCGACAGCGCTTCTTCCCTGGGTGGAATGATGTTGCTAGTTCACAGACAGCAGATTGATCTATAGAGGCAATAAAGTCTTCCACCTCCTTCTTTATTCGGTGTTGAGTGATAAGATCCATTTCTAGACACAGCCTCTATGCAGCGCAATATTATCCTCTTTTCAAATGGTGGTTGGGGGTTTGCAACGAGGAAAATGGGAAAAATGCTTAATCCGCTCCGATTTGGCAGGTGCTAAATGATGGAGGGCTTGTCATTCACTAAGCTACCTAAAGGGGAATCTTGGCTAATCTATGTGGGTCACGTGAGCGAGGTGCTAGTTGGATTACCTAACACCTTCAATGACACCGGATCATCTATTCTTCCGAGAAAAATGCTGCCCAGGTGACTCAAAGAGTAGGTTCATATGGAGTACATTGAGGTAGTAATAGAAAGGTAGCTGTAAGAGAGTGAATTCGCGATTTTCCCTTTTTCACCTCTCTCAACAAATGCTTTTTGGATGAAGGCCCTGATCTTGAGACTTCCGTGGCCTCGAGGAACCACACCGGTGCCCAATCCGTTGCGAAATTTTATCCCCGCAGCCACCACGACCACTCCGGCCGCCTCGCTCGCGTCTGTCCCTCCCTCCAACCACCCCACTTTCCGACCTCGCAACCAATTTCTTTCGCCGTCCTACCACACCAAAAGCGCCGACGACAAAATGCCGAAAGATAAAGTGACATTCAACCTCAAGACCCCCAAGGGCACGAAGGACTGGGCTGGTCCTGACGCCCTCCTCCGCGACCGCATTTTCTCTACCATCACCAACGTCTTCAAGCGTCACGGCGGCACCGCGCTGGACACCCCCGTCTTCGAGCTGCGCGAGATACTGGCGGGCAAGTATGGTGAGGACTCGAAGTTGATCTATGACCTACAGGATCAGGGCGGGGAGCTGTGCTCCCTTCGGTACGATCTGACGGTTCCCTTCGCGCGATGGCTGGCGATGAATCCGGACGTGCGCAGTATAAAACGATACCATATCGCCAAGGTGTATCGGCGTGACCAACCCGCGATGACCAAGGGCCGTATGAGAGAGTTTTATCAGTGCGATTTTGACATTGCAGGCGCGAATTTTGATGCTATGGTTCCTGATGCGGAGATTTTGCGCATCATATCGGAGGTGTTCGAGGACTTGGGATGGAAAGGGAACTACCTGATTAAGATCAATCATCGCAAGATTCTTGACGGAGTGTTCGAGGTTTGTGGCGTGCCGAAAGAGAAGATAAGGACTATCTCCAGCGCGGTGGACAAATTGGATAAGCTCCCCTGGGCCGATGTGCGCAAGGAAATGGTTGATGAGAAGGGACTGGATCCGGCAGTGGCTGATAAGATTGAGACATATGTTGTTCGAAAAGGAGGTAGAGAGCTACTAGACTCGTTGAAGTCTGACGAAATGCTCGTGGGGAATTCGTCTGCGAAGACTGGGCTAGAGGAGATGGGGCTACTCATGGATTATCTCCAAACCTTTAACATTTTGGACAAGATATCATTCGATATGAGTCTGGCACGAGGGCTGGATTATTATACTGGTGTCATTTATGAAGTTGTCACAGAAGGATCTGCTCCTGCTACCACATCTTCGGCGCCAGAAGCGCAAAAAATACAACGCTCAGGGAAAAAGGAAAAGATCAAGGTAGATGCTGACGAAGATCGATCGAATGATCCATCTGTAGGCGTTGGTAGCGTTGCAGCAGGAGGTCGTTACGACGAGTTAGTCGGCATGTTCTCGAGCAAGGCTCAAATACCCTGTGTTGGCATTTCATTCGGTGTTGACCGAATATTCTCCATCACAAAGGCTCGTATGGAGCGTGAAAAGAGTGAGGCTCTCAGAAGCAGTGAGGTGGACGTTTACGTTATGGCTTTCGGAGGAAAAGGATTCACTGGCTTGTTAAAGGAGAGAATGGATATTTGCAGGATGCTATGGGACGCTGGCATTAAGGTAAGAAGATCATTAAGAAAACCCTTTTTTTACTTTGGACATAATTTGGCTTACCAGATTTTCTACAGGCCGAGTTCTCCTACAAAGTCAAGCCAAAGCTTCCTCAACAATTCAAAGCTGCTGAATCTGGCAGCGTTCCCTTCGCTGTCATTCTTGGCGAAGACGAGCTTGCAGCTGGCGAGGGCCGAATCAAAGAGATGGGTCTGCCGGAGGGCCATCCGGAGAAAGATGGCGTACTTGTTAAAATAGCGGCGCTTCCGACGGAAGTCAAGACCAGGCTCGAAAGAAGGAACGCCAAAGTGAATGGGGGTATTAATGAAGAGGCTGTAGCGAAGCAAGTGGAAGATTTGGAAGTTTCATGAAAAGGGAATGCTGCAAAACAATGCATCTCTTTGAACTATCTGGGCATCTAGCGTTTATTGTCCGGGAGATGTTGGAGCAGGAACACATTACAAGTGGGTTTATTTTTATATTTTTATTTTTTTTAAGAAAGATAGACTTACGGATAATCCGTGGCTTCAATTCTAATGTTTCGGGGCTTTCGTCATGGTCCACAGAGGGAAGTTTATGCTTAAAAACTGATATGCAATCCTTGGAGTATAGACTAGAGCAAAGTAGCGGTGCTATTGCACTTTTGATCCAATGCTCTCTGATCGGCCAGCGATCACTCTAAGACCAGAAAAGACTTCCAATCACAGCAACTCTGTTGTAGTGCTTCTGTCCCAGTAGTGGGTATCAGAATCAAGGTTGATGATGTATTCAATCACTTAAGACAATCTATGAACACGTTGATGAATGAAGCATGTTCATGCCCAACAATACGGCCGTAGATACAGCGTAAGAAATTGTTTTGATTTTGCAATGTTTGTGCCATATAGGCTAGGTAATATAATACATATATCGAAGAGGATACATGGAATGCACATACAAACCACACACATACAAGCGTACCTCAGGCGCCAGATGCCAGTTTCATCAAGAAGTCCTTCACGAGAGGTATTTGGTTCACCGTATCCAGGCCGAATCCCCTGGCCCACGCCACGGGTCCGTTCCCAGGAACATTATACAGCTTATGAAGAAAATCGCACCCAGCGCCGATCTTCGCATTGGGAATCCATCGGTCTGCAGCATACCGCTCCAGACTTAGCAGGTCACCGATATCCATGCCGTGTTGCATGGCATATTCAATCGTGCTATGCAGAGAAGCAACATCGGCAATGCCTAGGTTCAGCCCCAGTCCACCGAGAGGATGAATAACGTGTGCAGCGTCTCCGACGAGGGCGATTCGTGGTGAGATATATGTGGATGCGTGGCGGTGTCGGAGTGGGAATGAAGCGATGGTTCGCGGATGAACACCACCCACCATAGGAGGAACAAAAGATGCAGTTGGGGTGTGGTTTAGGCGCCAGGATAGTTCTTCGCCGTGTTGATTTGATGTATCTGACGATGAGGACTTAAGTGTGAGCATGTATTTCAAGTCCGTCATCGACAGCCGGAACGCAGCGTTCACCATTGACGTGAACGCCTCTGGAGTGAGAGATTTTAGGTATGCCGCATTTTGAATCGTGGTTGACCAGACCAGCGTAGCGAAGTCGCCAGGAAGCGGGAGCAGAGCAATTGGACCACCAATACCGGGGAGAAATCGCTGATAAGCTGTAACTGGTCTTGGAGCAGAAGAGGCGGAAGCGGATAGCTCCAGAGTAGCCACAACACCGTACCGATTGTAGTCCCAACCATCCGTAGATATACCGGCGAACGATCGAACAGGGCTATTAATACCGTCCGCCCCAACCAACAACCGTGCAGCAGCAATCTTCGGCAGCTCAGCCTGTTTGTCATTCGCGGAAGTTGGCGAGAGCGAAAGCACCGGCCACGCGGACAGATCAGGGCCATCTGCATGATCCACCCCGTTCTCAATCGAAGCAACAGTCGTCGATGAAAAGATAGACAAGCCCTCCCCACCCAGCGACTCAATCCGCGAAAGTAAACCCCTAACCAAGTTTGCATTTTCCGTCATCGTCGCAATCGTCTGAGAAGCACCGCCCGGAAGCAAATTCGACGACCAATCGAATGAGATCCGCGACCCGGTCACTCCGTCCCACACCTCCATCTCCTGGTACGGCTGTACGCGGGAGGTGTCGACATGCTCCCACGCTCCGATATTCTGAAGAAATGACACCGACGAAGGCGTCAAACTACTCACGCGGTTGGAGAACTGACCAGAACCGAGCTTCCAATCTTTTGCTTTGCTGACATCTTGGCTTTCGACGAGCGCGACTTTGAGCTTCGAGGTGAGAGGGGAGGATCCTGGTTGTTTTTAAGTTATTCGGTTAGCTATATACATATCCCAACACGATTTAATAGGAAAAGCAATTGGACGGCATCATGCGGTCTTACTCAAAGCTGCTAAGAGGGCGAGCCCGGCCGGCCCGCCTCCAACGCAGACGATGTCATAGATTTCCGGGACTTGGGGTGTAGTAGAAGTAGAGGCAAACCTCTTCTTCTGGAGAAGGCCTCGTCGACAGGACGAGCAAACATATGAAGAGAGGTTTGGGCGTAGAAGCAGCCTCATGATGGAGTTGGTGTGTAGTAGATTGAAGTGAATGTTGGTTTGTCCAGAAGCTTTTCCATTTAACTAACTATCAAACCACTCCACTTTCAGGCGGGCCGGAGCTCAGGTTTGAAAAGCATACCAATGGAGCCGACGTTGTGGCCGTCGGGCAATTCATCAGAACGAAACAGATAGTGATATCCAAAGGGCCATTCATAGTAGCATTTAAATTTCAAGAAATTTATTGTCATTATCATCCTCATTGCAGATGACTACTACGGAGTAGTTAGAACAGAGAAACAAGCTGTCCATGCGCAGAAATAAACTCCACAGCTCAATTTGTGAATCATACAAAATAATAAGCGACTCCAACATCATCTTCAGCTACATCAAGCTCATGACACTTCATTCATCGGTCTTTGGCTTTCCTCGCCATTATCCTCGCCATCTTCCATCTCGACAATGAACCTTTCCCAAGTCGCAAGCACTCCTTGATAAAACTCTACATGCTGCTGTGCCATCGCGCCCAGAGTATCACGGAACTCGATGGCTTTGATGCGCTCGAAATCAGCGATCTCTCGAACAACTTCCTCGTCAAACATCTCAGATGTCGTTTTCGAGCTTTCAACTTCACGAGTCAACTCATCGATGCGAAGCTCTAACTTGCGTACACGTTCTCGACGGGATTGCTCATGGTCGACACCTCTCATGTCTTCCATCTTTGAACGGATGAAGGAGGCGGGATTGCTTGTCAGGGGATTGGTCGCATAATATGATGAGGGGTTATTAGCCAAGTTATCACGGTCTGACACAGCCTTGTTGCGATAGTCAACGAGGGCTTCGAAATCAAGTTGTTTTTGTTCCCGGGTCTTAAGCAGCGTCTTCAATGAGATAATATATGCTTCCATGTCGCGAAGGCTTCCAAGATAATTCTGATCGGTATGGTCCTTCAAGGACTTGATTCCTCGTGCGGTCTCTTCGATGGAGGCAGCGAATATTTGCAAGGGAACTTCAATATCGGGTTCTAACGGTACAAGCTTGCGGAACTGCATCGCAAGCTCACTGTAATCGACTTCTAAATCACTCTCCCGTCTAGCCACTCTAGCAACCACCTTTTCAACATGGTTTAAATCTTCATCGAGCTTGTCTGCTTTCTCTTTAACTTCGATGAATCTCTTATCGGGCTTATGAACTTTGGTGAATGCATTGACAAACGTGTCTGCGAAATTATCAAAGATTCCCGTGGGCCCACCGTCCGATCCACTGGTAGAAGCTCGTGATGGCCGCATCCTCATGTGTGCATTCCAGTCTGGCGATTCAAGGAAGACGACGAAAACAGGTGCGCGGCGGAGGACGGGGTGTAATGTAAGTCTTTTGATAAAGCGATGCAGGGACCAAGCTCGCCGATGCGTAAAATCGGGACCAAATCTATCCCCGCGAACATATTCCATCTTGTGTTTGTCTGGCAGAGGAGGTACAGCACATGCTGGATATTCCCGGTAGAGTGTCTTGTAGAGGTAGTAGAAGTCTGTGAAGCGTCGGCGGACGGTGAAATCAGGTTGTTGGAAGGATTTAAAATCAGTCTACTCCAAAAGGTCGTCACAAATAGACAGTGTTAGAAACTGTGCACTCATCTACTGGGAAAGGGGAGTTTCAGAGACATGGGGAGGACTAACATGGGTAGTAATGAGGTAGGAGATAAAAGCGTCTTTTGTGCCATCATTCTCTTTTAATGGCGAGCTCACTGTGCAATCTAGGATTCCATCAAGGCCTGCGAGGTCTTCAATACCTTCATGTGCGAGTTGAGGCTGCTCGTCGGCCACCGAGCTCATCCGCCGCTTGCCGTTGACATCATGGGTAGATGGTTCGGTGTCTTCGGTATCAGTGTGTATGGCCGCAGGTCCGGAAGCTTCACTCTCTGTGTCATTTCTCCATGACACAGCATCGAAATCATTATGATCCATTGCACAATTGTTGATTCTCCTGCTCTCCCCTCTGTGACAAAGCCGCCGCAGAAGCAATCTATGGAGGACGCGGGCACTTGCAATAAGACTTGGCGGTCACAACTTGTGAAGAATCAACCAAGGAGCAGCTCAGTATAGCAAAGGCCTCAGGCAGAAACAACAGTTCTCAGAATGGATTCTCTTCATCGGGCGGTAATATGGCAATCTCAAGAGAAATGAGAGTAGGTGAGGCGCCAGGGCAAGCTGTCAGGTTGATGACCTAATGCGGGAATTCACGTGGTGTCCGGTCGGAGTGCGTCACTTTGGCTGAAAACCCCCCCACAGAAGCAATTCATCCCAGGGATTACAGAGACCAAGGAAACATATTCCAGCAATCTATTACGTCCCATCTCCTTGAACACTTTGACCTTGATGAGAATATAATTGCTATATTCTCTATTGGACCTAAGTTTCTGGCTATGAATTCCCCGTGTGGATAACTGCAGACACAATTTTTAAGGCCTTATCTGCCGCCCACGCAGCCAGAAAGTTGGGGGACCAGGTACTTAGCAGAGTATATGTTCAGGTTTTATCCCATGTTCTCCGTGCCACGCCTAGGTTCGATGAAGCTGCCTTGTACCTGATGGGCGACACACTGCAGAAAGCTGAGTTGTGGCCATAGACAGTGTGTGAATGAGCAATAGAACTTGGCTTTTTTGCTGTCCTTACAACGTTTTTGCTTGGTGTTACCAGGTAGAGGGGGCTACCGATATATCGATTTAGCGCGAAGCCGCATCGAAAAAGAGATTGATTAAAAGGTATTAAATATTGCGCTCATAAAACATCAATTCCCCTAAATACCCTCCAAAATGACGCTTTCCGTCTCGGCGAATCGACAAACAGTTATCGTGACGTTGCGAAAGATAATAAAAGTAAAGGTGGGTACTCCGTAGTCGAAACTGAATTCGTCAAATATACGGAGTACTGCTGGAGTAAGGCTAAATATCCTTTTCCGACTTTTCTCCTTCTTTTTTTTACCTTTTCAAAAATTTGAACTCCAACATTCAAATGAAACCGATGGAGAAACAAAAGCAAGACCGCTCCAATCGGGAGGACGCAATGCAAAAAAAAAAAAAAAAAAAAGCGAGAACCAATCAAGCAAGCTGCAGCTTCACGTCCGGGCTGGCCACCCTGACCTTCAGGCAGATTACATCGCGGCCCAGCCTGGTCCTCAGCAGGGCGAGTGTTGCGGCTAGATTATCTCTGTCCAACGACGAGCTGGGCGGGAATGTCAGGCCGGTGCCAGAGCTCCGATCCCATTCAACGTACAGACCGTCGAAGGCATATCCGTCGGCAATTTCGGGTGCTCTGGTGTAGACCTCCTTTTGGATCTGGTTGAGGAGGCTGGGATATGTAGCGTTTGAGTCGAGGAGGATTGGTGTTGAGCTGAGGGCATTGATGCGGAGCATGATGGGGATTGGTTGGTTGGAGGGTTCGACGGAGCGCTCTATTCTGGCCATTTTGGGTATGGTGTTTGTAGGTGTATATGGAGGTGTTTGCGGGGAGATGTGCGAGGAGGATTGGTGGAGAGATTTGTTATTGCTGGCTCTTGCCACGGATAATCGAGGATTATGGAGGACTGTTATATTGGATGCGAATGGGTAGGTAGAAAAGTGCGGTCAAACTATGAGCTGGATTCAGAGGGATGAAGAGTGACTGCGGTTTTGTATGTATGTATGTGCATATGTATATGTACAACGTCAGCGAGAAATGATGCCTGTGATTTCAAACACGTCGATGGCCGATCCCACCGCCTCTATATATACTTTCGACAGCTTGCCGTCCAGATCGAGTACAGAGTCAACAAACCCAAAAAGCGCGTGAGAGACGCAGAGGACCCGCCGCAGAAGCAGTCCCATGATCCCATCGTTCAATGCCGGCCAGCTCTGTCGCAATTCCTCCTACGTAACAGCAACCCCGGGCTCAACCCCACCGTGGACCCGCCGCCAGAAAGGAAAAAAAATCGACCCAGCGGTTTCACAATAATCCAGCACCGTCATTTGCCCAGTCACCCCGAGTCCAGTTGGAACGGGGCTCCCTTGGCAAGTTACTGCAGAACCGATGCATGTTAGTTAAACCGAATTTGGATATTGTTTGCTGCCATAAGTTTAGGGGAGGGACCTTCCAGAAGTCAATCTCAATCATCATCAGGCCACAAGCAGCGAACTTTCCCTCCAGCCTTCGACCGTTACTCTTCATTTTTCCCTCAGCTCAGCTCATATTCGACCAAGTGCATTTACGGACGACATCTTTGCCTCCCATGACAATCATAAGCAACGCATATATGTACAATATATGTATAGATCATCTTCCGGCCTGCTTGAAGAATCTAAAACCATCCTTCATCCCCTACCGCCTGTTATGCTTATGCGGCAAATCGAGCATGACTCACTCAGTTACTAACTCGGCATAGAGCCTCTCATCGCGATGTCCAGCATTTTCTACTCCACTATTGAATGGTTTTACCCGGTATTCGACAAAGTCTTAAAAGAGGCAAAATCTCATACCTTAATATCGGTTTAGTTCAAAACCTTGTGCTGCCATAGCAAATGATGTTCCCTGCTATACAGCTTTCTTGCACCTTTGGCGCTGTATATTGTCTGCTTCTCTATTTCTTAGGCCACGAAGAAATGTCAAATTATGCTGACCGTGCTCCGCATTCAGGGTCAGTTAGGAAATACATCGCTGATCGTCAAGTTGCCGAGCTGCAACTGCTCTGGTGGAAATACTGCTGCCATGGCACGTAGCCAAGCATCGCTGATTGTTACACCTTGTTTTATTATTATTATTATTATTATATTTTCTTGTTTTGTATGGTAAAGGTTTAAGCACTCGACCTGCTGCTCAGAGTGATTTACACAGTACCTCAATGCTCTGTGCACTATGCTTAGGCCTTAATAGGGTGGGTGGGCTGCGGACTGGGATTGAGGGTCAGGGCTAGGGAGCTTAAGTGCTCTGGGGAGAAGAGTGGTTAAGGGTGATGGGCGGTGGCTGGGATGGGCCAATTTCTTTGCTGCAAACTCAGGGCTTAGGCTACGGCTCTTCCAGACAAAACAGGGCGTAATAGTCTGCCATACCAGAGCAGTGGCAGACAAATACATATACTCCGTACGGAGTACAGATGCTGAGATTTCAAACCCAGGGCGTAAGTACTAGCCTATGTAAGAGTTTCCACATTCCCCATCATCATCATCATCATCCTCTGGACACTGGACTTTGGACTCAGTATACCCCGTACCCCATGCTCCGTACTTTATTTTTTTATGGGCCGTTTCTTCTGCCCCTTCGTTGAATCCTCACGTGCGCTGCCGTAAATAGTATCACCTGCGCTTACCCTCGGTCGAGTGGCGGGGCCACAGTTCACCGGGAGGCGCAAACGATGAGGCGCGAACGGCCTGGATTCGCAGGGCATGCTGCTGGACCAGTGAGAGACGAGCTTCCCGCACAAGGAGCGGTGGAAGAACGTGCTGCCGACATCCGGGCGCCCAGGCCGTGGGGGGCAAAGGTGGGTTTTGCCCACCTGATTTGCCACGCGGTCATGTGCGAGGGGCTGCCAACTTTCGAGCCCTTGGAAGAGGCGTGCCTGGGAGTCAGGGAGTCTGGGATTCCAGGACTCTGGCCGCTCGTCTGGCCACCGTCTGGCCCACGTCGGCGGGAGAGTAGGCCAGTCATGTGCTTGTTGAGCGTTGAGGGAGCCGTTTTCCCCCTTTCTACCAGCTTTTTTTTTTTTTTTTTTTTCTAGCTGCGAGTGTAGCTACAGACGAAGTACTCCGTATGTAGTGCATGTATGTCTATGGAGCACAGCACAAATTGCATGGAGTGGTCTATGTAGTTATTGAATCAAACACCCAGCAAACTTGCACTGCTTTCTTGCACGCCCAAATTAAAAAAAAACAAAAAAAAAAATCTCGCAGACAGAAAGCTACATGGAACAAAAAGACAGTAAAAGTGGTATCCTAACGCCGAATCGCGAACGCGCACCTTATTCTCCACCTCCCCTCGGCTTCTCACTCCACTTGGGAGCATCATCGTCGTGCTCTCGTCCCCTTGAAGCGTCATCCCCATCGCCATCGTCATCTTCTCCATCATCGTCATCGTAGTATGGCTTCTCGCCATCCTCACTATCGCTGAAAATCTCCTCGTCGCTCTCCCCAGCGAATGCATCGTACAATTCCCCTCCACGACGCCGTCTCTGCGGCTGCTTCTTGCCCATCGGCACTCCGGCCCCTGCTCCGTTCAGAGGATATCCTTCTTCATCCTCAGCTACCATCTCAAATTCGTAGTCGTCATGAGGATTGTTCCGGCGACGCTTCTGTCGCTGGATAAGGAAGTAGACTCCCAGCGTGACGCAGAAGATGAAAATCAGAGCGATGGAGCCGTAGATCCAGATTTGCGTCCGTTTCGAGACGCCAAACGTGGGGAACGGCGACGGTAGGAAATTGTCGGCATGCGCGGAGCTGCTCGGTGTGGCAGCCGCTGCTCCTGGGCTGGACGAAGCTGTGCCTGTTGGCGACAGCGCGGTTGTTGGGCTGCTAGGTTTAGCGTTGATGGGCCGGTCGATGTGATTGGTCGGTTTCTCCGTCGCTGTGGGTTTGCTTGTCCCGGTGGCAGATAGAGTGGTCGTCTCGATCTGTGACGCAGGCTCGCTGGTGTCGTGCTCGTGGTCATGGACATCCGGCAAGGGATGAAGCTCCTGGATCTTGCCGTCAATGGCTTCGCCCCACAGTGAGAGCTGCCAGTCGAGGAATCGTCCAGAATATTCGTTGACTTCGGTATCTTTGACAATGACTGTCCATTTTCCTTTGCCCGTTTCACCCCTAGAAGAGATATCGTATCAGCGTCGACTCAATTTCGCATGTCCCGGAAAAGGTCTTCGAGCTTACCAATGAGCAACGGACATGAATGTCCAGTCGACATATCCTTTCTTTTCAAAATCTCCGCTCCTTGTCGTGCTGAGGTAACTGATGACACCGCTTGGGCTCTTGAGCTCGACGCTCAAGTCGCCGCGACGCGTGTGATTGACATTCATAGTCACTGTCACATGTTCAACACGCTCCAGGTTGTTCTTTTTCAACAACTCCTCTGTAATCTCAAACGAGCTCGCCAGTCCCTTGGAGCCTTGAGGAATGTCATGGTGGACCTTTAGCCAGGGAGAGTGCAACCAAGCCTGCGGCTTGACCAGTTCCCAATTCTTTGCTAATTGGACCAGGGAATATGCGTCAACCTTTCCATATCCGAAATCGTGACTAAACTTTTTCCCAATTGCAGTGGTCTGCCACCCAGGTTCTTCGAGGTTGACGGGGATTGCGGTTTCGACAATTAGATACTGGATATCTCTCCAGGTAAGGTCCGGGCGCACGTCGAGAGCGAGAGCTACAACTCCGACCACAAGAGGTCCGGCAGCCGAGGTACCACCGTGTCTATTGGAGCACGTGTCCAATCCGACATCCGTCGTGGAAATGGCATCGGTGCCACCGCTGCTATACGTCACGACCAACTGGGCGGAACAGGACTCCGAGTAGTAAGGGTGTTTGTCTTCGCGGTCGATTGCCCCCACAGTTATACTGTAGATACTGTTGGTGTACCCGTCGAAGTTGCAGTTATCACCACTGGCAGCACCGTTTCCTGCAGCGAACACGAATATTGATCCCTTACCGCCTCGTCCCTGCTGGATTCCATGGACCATCGCGCGACGAATGAGAAGACCAGGGGCATCCATGGTCGCACCGTTATCCACCGGTCCCCAGGAGCAGGAATAAATCTGGTTCTTTTGAAATCCATAGTTGATAGCCGCTGCTTCATCCTCATCCGTGACGGGCTTCGACAAGATGCGGATGCCCGCCACTTTTCCGTTATACGCTACGCCAACACCGCAAACATCGTTCTTGACGGCAGCAACTTCTCCAGCGCAGCGAGTGCCATGCTTGTCATCGACGAGGCGAGGCCTTGGCTCTTTTCCTTTATCGTTAAAATCATACGAGCCTTCTGCAAAGTAGTTATCCTTGAGATCGTGGCTGTACATGTCCAAGCCGTCGTCCACGATCGCGGTCACCGTTCCATTTCCGGTGATCCCTTCAAGCCACAGGCCCGTCACGTTTAAATCATGGCCAGGCTGCTCGGTGTTAAACAAGTGCCACTGGTCGACGAAGATCGGATCGCTGATCGATAGCTTGTCCGCGAGCTCTCGCTGTCTCGCTATCGCCGAGTTTTCGCCCTGAGATTGCGGAAAACGCTTATATCTCTGCTTAGACGGCGGCGGAGGAGGAGGAGGAGGAGGAGGAGGAGGAGGTATGCGTTTGTGTAGCCGCTGTCTCGGTATCAGCTTCTCCGAGTAGAGAATGCCATTTAATTCATCGTCATCTTGACTTTTGTCTAGCTGTGTCCCTTCTAGTTCTAAGTATCTTCTTCTTCTTCTCCTTCGCTGTAAATCATCCAGTAAACTGTCTAGGTCCCCACCCTGGCCTTTCGGGAAAGAGAAAGTATGGTGGTCTTGTAACTCTCCTATGCGCCCTTCATGCCTGGCGCCTAGCAGCTGAGCCACTCGATTCGGGGATAACGAGGGACGGAGGTGGAGGGCAACGTAATCTCGAGCATCGTAATCACGAGTGTAAAGACTGGCGGAGGAAAGGGAATAGAACACCGAAGCGAACGCAAAGACGCTTATTAACCTCATTGTTCAAAAGGAAATAGAATTTATGAGCGTTTAGCGACCACGTCGGTCGCTATCGACGTCGGGCAGGCCACCGGTTATTTGAAACGGAAGAGGTCACGCAAGTCCGGCTTGCCATGAACAAGAAAGACGAGGTGTTCGAGAGGCGATAAGGAGAGAAAAAGACAAAAAAGAAAATTTCCAATGACAAATATGGCTTTCTTAGGCGATTCTTGAAATCGAAAAGGTTTTTTTCTCCGGAATGTTAAATCTATTCGCCAACGGAAGCCAGGAACCAAATGTCCCGTGGAGAAGCCCGCGTGGTGGCAACGGGCAAACGTGACTATTTCAGTCGTGCAACGGTTTGCGAGGACCTTGCAAACTTGCAAGCTGTCCAAAGGGAAAACCGCAACACAGGACAACGTCGTCAATCAGCGACACATTAACAACAGAGAGCAACAATGTGAGCGTTGCATCTGCTGGGAAAGAAGCCACGAAGCGAGAAAACAATATTAACTTAATAAAAGCATTGGACTTCCTGCTCTCCTTAATTGCTTTGCTTGGGGATTCAAAACCGAGGGGGTTTTCTTAACATGTGGCTTTGAACAGGTGCGAGCTTCACAGGACTGGTACGGAGCAAGGCTTTTCGCCAAGCTCAATTGAGGGACGAAATTTGGAGTACTGGTGACTGGAAAGGATGCCGGCTGATGGTGTCTGCGCTAGGATATTTGCTTCCTTCGCGGATCAACCCATGCAGAAAGGCGCAGTTAGCGTTCTGTTTCAATGTTTTATCGGCTTTACTGCGAGCGCCAAAGACGCCCCCAGAAGCTGGCACTCGTGGACTACAGCGACATACGTGACTGAGCCTACGTATGTACTCCACACGTACATTTAAAGAAGAGTCTTCCGTTCGAGAAACGCAGTTGTGATGGCTTGGTGGCTGAGATTCTCGACCATCTCGGAGCGGCCGGCTGAAGTTGCAAATGGTCAACCTTTTAGGTTTTTGTCCGGGGTCAGAGTTTCTTTTGCTAAGGCCAATGTTAGAGTCGAGGTCGCTTGCGCATTCATCATCGGTTTCACATTGGAGACTGTCTGAGACCTTGTGGGAGTGTATTAAGAGGACGCTCATACTCCGTAGGTGCTGAAGCAACGAGGCGCCCTCAGCATTGCTCTTCGGAACCCCAGGCGTGCACATGCCAAACAAGCGTGGTTTGCTACTAAAGGCACGGGCCGTACAGGATGGAGACTCCAGATATTAATGCTTGAAGGATCAAGTGCCGGATAACTCTACGGGTATCAAGGGGTCTAGGGATAACAAACTCCGATCATACAAGTGGGTGAAGGTCTACGTAGTAGAAAAGCATTAAATCGTCGAAATCAGCCACAGTTGATCCTGTCTACCACAAAACTCGACACACATCCGCCGGTTTGGCTCACCCAAGCAATAGGACAAGCACAAACTGAGAGGGAGACAAGCTTTATTCTTGCTCCTAGAACCGTTTGGGGCGATCAAGCTGCATCGGCAGGCACCTGTCTGGGGATGTCAATAGAGTCGAGCAGAGGAAACAGCCAGAGTTTCAACTTTTCGACGGAGCATGACAACACCCGAAGCAGGGTATCAACCAGTGTCGTGAAGCCGTCCGGGGGAGTTAACTTTCTGTCTACATACTACGGAAGGGCGACGCCTCCCTTTTCTTCATCCCAGCGGTCGAGCAATAGCGATGAGTTTGACGACGAGCAAGAATGGATCGACGTTTGTAGAGAGACGGCCCGGACCAGTCAACTATCACCGCACCACGCCAAAGCTTCCTATACCAGCTTCTCGAGTACTCCTCCGTAGCGGACTGTCATTTCTGCGGCACGTTGGAGAAACGGCCTTGGTTGACCACTGCTTCAGGCGAATTAATTCCTCCTAATCTACTCCATAGTTCCGAGTAACAAAGGGTCCTGTATCTCAGACCCAGTGCCCAGTAAGCTTTTAAGGGCGTGAAGATGCATTTTGGAAATATAGGACGTCATCTGGGAGCTGCCAGGGCGTGGCGTGCGGAGGCTGCGAAGGTTTGGGTTGCGGGAAGTTGATCAACCATGGGCCACAGTAGTTAAACCCTATCTTATATTTATTAAATTTTAGATGCTTGTGCTGGCAACGGTTTCTGCAAGCCCTCGCTCTTTGCGCTTCGGAAGAGAGCAGCAACCGTTTCGTAAAGATGCCAGCGGTGAAGACGGAGAACGAAAGCGATGGGATTGGGCACGATGCCGTGCAATTGGCTTTCGCGTGCCCAGCCACCCAAAAAGGGCACATGCACCTCGCCGTCAGCACCTCGACGGTCTGGAGTAAAGACAAACTTTTCTGCAAAACAGGTCATGCTTGAACTCCTGGTGCTTGAAGTCCTCAGGCCACTGCCCTTTCTCTCTGAAAAGCGTCCTCTGGAGTGCTCGCTGAAGTCACTCCCATACAAAGACCTCTTATCGCTGGCGAAATTCTTATCGGGCGCGGTGACGCAAAGGCCCAATCGGAGTCAGACGACAAACAGCTCGATCAACCGCTGCGAGTTTCAATTGTCTCCGTGCACACCGCGCATGCAGTTGCTGGCTGCTATCAGAATGTAAGGTAAATTTGCTGCATTCATCTTGACTCGTCCACGGATCGACCTTGGGCTCAGCCACCTCCCATCCAGCGGGATTGATTCCAGCACGGAGTCCTGTTCGACAATCTACCAAAGGCAGCCGACGCTCAACCATTTCTTGAAACTTCATCGACCCACGAAGTGGCTATACACATACACTGTCTGACAGCCCTTGATATACCCGATTGACATTCCGTGAGAAAGCACAACGATGTCGTCGGCCCAGCGACAAGCAACAACTACGCGATCCAGATCCGCTTCGAACACGCAGATCCCTGCGAACGGGAAAATTTACACCAAATCTACCCAACCGCCATTCGATTCAGAGTATGACGACCAATGCGCCCTGCCATCGACTCGTGAAGCTCCTATTATACGTGGAAACTCATTTCGGCGTTCACATGGCCCAGAACAGTCAACCCGTGTTGGAGTGAGGTCTTTCGCGGAGCGTGCGAGGAATCTCCCACCTGAGCGCAGGCTTCCAGAGCCGCCTCGTTCAAGTCCAACGGAGACTGTTCACGGTACTACGTCGATAGGGACTTCCCCCGCAAATCCAAATTCTAGATCGTCGTCGGTCCAAAATACAGCGAGCAGTATATACCAATCTCCCCCCGCTCCACGTTCTATACCGCAATCACAGCCTAGCGAACCGCCTTCCCCTGTGGCCCAATCAAACCCAGACGCCGTTCCAAAGAAAGATGATAAACGACGGCGTGATCGCGACTGGGCGCCCGCCCGATCTCCCTTGCAGAAATTGGAGGTCACATTGAAGGATATCAGCAAGGAAGAGAAACGCGCGAGGGTGGAAGAAGCGGAGATGCTGCTGAGAGAGGCCAAAGCCGGGCGTCAGAATCGTCGCATTAGTCAGGACGTGCGTCCGAGTCCGAGACTGAAGGAGAATAGCCACACTACAGAAACTATGTCTCAGCAGCCGCCGACCCTCGAGGAAGCTGGGCTGACAAGAAGTCTAAGCACTAAACAACGAGAACGGCTACAGCAAAGTGCTGTGATAGAATCAACGAAACCCTCACCTGGTCGGTTTTCAACTGATCGTGAAGGATTCGATTATCAGCCACTGGAATCAGAAGGATTGAGGGAACCTATGGCGTCCGAGATGGTTAATCAAGTGCGTGCTAGGCCGGATCAAGATCCTGAATTTTCCCTCGATGGAGGAGCATATCAATTCATGGCTGCGGCCAACGACGACGAGTCGACTCCACAGCAGAGAGTAGCACAACCGTCTGTAAATCAGTTCAAAAGCCGGGGTTACGCTGAGGACAGACGCTCATGGCAGCATCCACATGCCAATCCTCCTTCATTTACACCGGCCGCGCCTGTACAGAGGAGCAACAGCCGAAAACTTCAAAAGCCTATTCTTCGGGAACTTAGAGAACAGCCTGCGACAGAATATCCTGCCAATACAAGCCCAGCTTTCAACGCCAGTAGAACGAAACCGTACGATCAGGCTCGGGCGCTAAGCTCGCCGGACCCCAAGGACCAGCCTTCACACATCAATAAGCCCGTGGATGGGCTACGGGCGACTAACGATGATCCAGTGGGCCAAGGGTATGCCAATGCCAGCAATGAGGCCCAATCGGACGACCTGGACTCCATAACAGGACTGAAAAAGAGTGAAAATAAACAGAAGCGAGTTTCCGTTACGTTTGCTGTTCCTCCTCCGACTCCGCCGCCGCTTGATGAATGGAGAAATGCAACAGTGGGCTTTTTGCTACGGGATGACTTCAAACTTCAAAGCCTTGACGGAAAGGCCTGGTGGGAAGGAAAGGACCCAGAGAGACGCAAGAGAAATCAATCTGTATCCCAGAATATACCCCGGCCTTCTCCCAAAATAAAGAGTGAGTTCAGCACTTTAATCAAAATATTTGCAACCTAGAATTCTTTATCCTATATGAACTAAATTCCTTTGAATTGTATAGAAAACACTCCGTTTGAACCACCTCTATACTTAAAGTGCGGACCGCTACTTCGATTCACCGGTATAAAACGGGAGCGAATTGACAGTCGTACCGGGCCCGCTGAGAGAGAAATTTGGAGAGGAAGCATCATGATTGCTACCAAGGACTCTGCGTCTTCATATGATATTCCGCCAACGCTTCGCATTTTTTCTCAGCCTCGAGATTTGTTACCTCCACCACCCACCGAAATTCGCCCTGAACACGGGGAGCTTGCACCAGAATACGTTGATCCGATTGCAGGGCTCACAAAGCTCTCGAGAAACGGAAAGCTACTCTATGTCAAACCTGTGGACCACGTCGAAGAGGCAAAGGACCTCTGTTTTGTTGAAAATGAAGACGGCCTTTTTGAAGAGTCACCCAGCCCCTTGGACTACAGCACCAGCAACCGGGTCGGTAAATCGCCTGATGCGAGAGTCGGAGACCTAGACGGGGAATCCGTTGGAAGATACAAAGAGATCCCGGGATTCCGACTTTACGCCGACTCAGCAAGAGACGTGACTTTCTGGCGGTTCAACATTCAGATCGAGCTCGGAAGCAAACAAGAGCACATCGCCTACCGTATCAACCAAGGTTCTGCTCAGGGTTTTTGGGTTCCAGCGAAAGGGCAGATGATGAACATCATGTTCCACAGCGGCAATTGCTTCGGGGCGTCCGTTGACACTGATAAATTTAGCGGACCCGATCCGTTATGGCGGGATGCTCTCAACGTCCACCAGACACGGCCATTCCACGTCATGATCGGCGGTGGATCTCAGATATACAATGATGCTGTAGCCTTCGAGACCGAACACTTTCAAAACTGGCTGGATATAAAAGTCAAATATGAAAAATACCAGCACCCGTTCAATCTAGATATCAAGGCCGAACTCGAGGAGTTTTATTTGGATAACTACCTGCGATGGTTTTCTCAGGGTCTGTTTAGCATGGCAAGTGCCCAGATACCGATGGTTAACATGTGGGACGATCATGATATAATTAGCGGATTCGGATCTTATTCGGATGAACTTATGACCTCACCAGTATTTTCGGGATTGGGAAATATTGCGTTCAAGTATTACATGCTTTTCCAGCACCAGAGCGTTCCGGAAGAGACGCAGTTGAACGAACCAAGTTGGATAATGGGTCCCGCTCCGGGTCCCTTTATTGAACAGAAAAGTCGAAGTATTTTTGTACACTTGGGTAGGCGGGCGGCACTTTTGGCGGTAGACTGCCGAACTGAACGGACCGTAAGACCGTCTCCCTTGCTGATCTGTTTTGGTCATTGCTAACAAATTTTCAGCGATACGATATTTTGAGCGACGACACGTATGATTTGATTTGGAATCGCTGTCACGAAGAGATCATAAAGGGAGAAACGAAGCATCTTCTCGTGCTCATTTCAATTCCCGTCGCCTATCCAAGAATGGTACGTGTAAGCTCCGTGCACTCTGAATAAGCGCCCTAACGCGGCCTTAGGCATGGCTTGAAAACGTAACGAGCAAGGTCATGGATCCTGTCCGATCGCTGAGCAAAGTTGGATTGTTCGGGAGCTCAGAGACTAAAGTCGGGAGCGGTGCAGAACACTTGGATGACCATTGGACCGCAAAATTGCATAAGCTTGAACGGAGATGGTTGATCGAGGACCTTCAAGAACTCGCGGCAGAGAAATCCGTCCGAATTACCATTCTGGGGTATGAACATGGCATTTTTCATCTTCATTTCTTTTCTCATTTTTCTTTTCGGAAACAAAACCTGACTGTTTTGGACATAGAGGCGACGCGAATTTGGCGGCAATGGGCCAGTTCTACACGGACCCGAAGCTAGAGATTCCGAAGGATCAGGATTACAGATATATGCCAAACGTGGTCTCTTCACCGATTGTCAATGCACCCCTGCCACAAATGATGAGTGACGCACTTAATCGGCGAAACAAGGTTCATGCCGTGGATACGAAAACAATGGAGGACATGAGACCGATATTCACCCACGACGTTGACGGCAAGCCCAGAAATAATAAGCGTCTCCTGCCAAGAAGGAACTGGTGTTGCATCCGGGAATACGCTCCAGGTATGTCGTGGCAATAACTGTCAGGCGAAGTGAAAGGAGAGTTTTGACGTAGAACTACAAAAATCGATACTAATTACTGCCTTTCATACATAGGTTCAACGCCAATTGACACACCTTCAGAGCCAAGCACCCCGGAACCCCCCAGGGTGGGGAACCTTGCTAGATCGTTGTCACTTAGTCGCGGGGAGGGCCGAGGTTTGGGGAGGTCGTTTTCTCTCTCTCGCCGGTTTTCAGCTCGCGGACCGCCACCATCGAGATATGAACCAGCGGAATACACTCAGCGCAGCATGAGCTACGATGGCTCGCAACCCTTGGAGGCGCGAGATAGCCCATCACAGCAGGGACAGGCTCACCCTTCCCAGCAAGCCGACGGAAGAGAACCCGAGCCCGGGGATTTCATCCGACGACGTACTGATTTAAGTGCAAAGCAGATCAAGCAAGCACTCAAACGAGGAAATGACACGCATCATTTCATTAACCTTGAGGGTGGATTGGATATCACGTTGAACTGCGAAGTAAGTCCGAGTGATCCTGCTGGCATCACGACGCCGTACAGGGTCCTCGTACCTGCATTATCATTTAACGGCGAGTTTGAGCCTAGCATCCCTCTCCAGAAGAGACGGTGGTGGATGCTCAGACGAAAGAAGCCAGAAACAACGCAACACGAGGATAACAGCGATGGAGAGTATGATTATCACACCAACCAGGGTGCCGAGAGGCCATATACCCCGCCGGCGCAGGAGAAACAGGGTCAATTCTCATCCCCTGAAGGCGTGGGACAGGGATACGGTGGCGTGGAAGCGTACCGGCCGAAGAAAAAAAGGTTTGGAATCTTCTGAAACTCCGTTGAGAATCAACCAGCGAGGTTCTACAGTTTTGTTTTAAATTCTTTTCTTGTGAGGCTGGAGCGCCGGAATTGACCTCTCTTTTTCTCTTTTCCTTTCCTTTTTTTTTTTTTTTTTTTTTTTTTTTTTTTTTTTTTTTCCTCTTGCGTTCCTTTTCTGTTGAATGTGATGATCCAGTGTCACAATTTCAAATCCCAGTAATTAATAGTTGCTCTGTGTGCATGTATGTACGAGTATACCCCTGGACAGCGAAGTCGGTTTTGCATTGGCGCCGTGATAGAGTTTTGTCAGGGAAATGATTCAATTGTGGAGACGATCTTCGCCATCGATCGACGGCATCACCGCCCAGGCTCAAGCTACTGTAGCATCTGCATCGAACAGTGCCATCCCCATCGCCTCACGAAACGTCAAATTTGCTTTACGGAGCCCAGCTGCGGTAATCTCTTGCCTGGTGAATTTGTAAGCTTCAAGTCCCAGCCCAACCCTGGAGCATCGCCAGAACAATCCAGACCCTACCCTCGCTTTCGCATATAAAACCAAATTCTCTCACATAAACCTTTTTCGCTTCCTCGTACCCGCCAACACCTTCAAGCTGTTTTCCTCAATCTTCCGCCGCCGCGTCTTCTCCCCCGTCCGCTCTGGTGTCGGGCTCTCTGTTGCTGCTGCGGCCACATTGCAACACCGAACAACACCGTCAGGACCGGCAAGTATATCACTGCAGCCCTCGGCGCCCGTGAGCGTCAAGGCAAATCTCCAGAGCAGAATGGCGCACTCCAAAGTCATCAGTGAGTACCTATGCCCCTCCAACCAACCCGGCGTTTTCGCGGTTCGCTACTGTCCCCCTCTTCGGTATGGATCTGAGCGCTGATTGCTTGTTCCCACGACAGTCATCGGCTCCGGCCCCGCCGCCCACACGGCCGCTATCTACCTCTCGCGCGCAGAGCTCAAGCCTGTCATGTACGAGGGCATGCTTGCCAACGGCACCGCTGCAGGTGGCCAACTGACCACCACCACCGACGTCGAGAACTTCCCCGGTTTTCCCGCCGGTGTCGGAGGCACCGAGCTCATGACCAAGATGCGCGAGCAGTCGATTCGCTTCGGAACAGAGATCATCACAGAGACTATTTCGCGTGTGGACCTCTCTAGCCGCCCGTTTAAGCTGTGGAAAGAATGGTCCGATGGACCCGATGATGCTCCCGCACATACGGCGGATGCTTTGATCATTGCCACTGGTGCTAATGCGCGTCGGTTGGATTTGCCCGGTGAAGACAAGTACTGGCAGAACGGAATCAGCGCGTGTGCTGTGTGCGACGGTGCGGTGCCAATTTTCCGAAACAAGCCACTGTTTGTGATCGGTGGAGGAGATTCTGCCGCTGAAGAGGCGATGTTCTTGACAAAATACGGCAGCAGCGTGACTGTGCTTGTACGCCGGGACAAATTACGAGCTAGCAAGACCATGGCTACCAGATTACTGAATCATCCAAAGGTTGAAGTGAAGTTCAACACCGTGGCCGTTGAAGTCCAGGGCGAGCCGCAGCCAAGGGGCTTGATGACCCATTTGAAGATCAAGAACGTGGTCACTGGTAATGAGGAGGTTGTTCCTGCTAATGGACTCTTCTACGCTGTTGGACACGAGCCCGCCACCGGATTGATAAAGGGCCAGGTTGAGACCGATTCAGACGGCTATATTGCCACCAAGCCAGGAACTAGTTACACAAGTGTCGAGGGTGTCTTTGCAGCGGGAGATGTACAAGATAAGAGATATAGACAAGCTATCACCAGTGCAGGTGAGTATCCTTTTGATTACCCACAGGAGGCTGGGTGCAACTTACTTACATAACCCTTTTATCTACAGGGTCTGGTTGTATCGCTGCGCTCGAGGCCGAGAAGTATATCGCTGAGTTAGGTGACGTCGAACAACCAGCAAATACGATACAACAATCTGCGACACAGGCAGAGAAGGAACTCGAAGAGAACCCCCCTGCTTCATTGGAGTATAAATCCAACCCCTTGCTGTAGATTTTATCGTGTCATTTTCGAATCCATTAACAACATAGAATTTCTTTCTTTGTCAATTTAAGATGAAGGAGACTTTGAGACTTACCCTGCCATGGTTGTTTTTTTTGTTAGAGATCTGGGGCATCCTTAGCTTTGCGTTGGTTCAAGTAGATATTTAGTTTTTAGATGGATTCTACATTAGATGGTAGCAAGTCCTTGCAGTACATATTACATATTGCCATTTTACTCTCCTTTCGGGCCTTGATACCGGATGAACGGGTGCAAGATCAATTTTCCCTTTCCGTTGTGATGAGCTTCGATGCGCCTATCTGTCTGGAGGGAATATTTAGAGCTGCTACGGATACTTGTAGCCTCTGCACACTTGTGAGTAATTAGCATTAAAGGCGCAGTTCCTCAACTACTCATATTTCGTTGCTGGACTGCAGGACAGCGTGCATTATATCCTCGCGCCCTCGACGATCTGGGAATCGCCAGCTTCCTTTTTGCTTTGCTTTGACTGGATAAAATCAGACTAAATTAGCCCCAGATTTGGGGCTGGTTGGATATGAGCATGAAGAACCAGCTAACGGTAAAAGGACGCAAGTTGCTCATATCTCCAGGAGTGCAAAAGATGAACAAGAAGGGGTGGATAAAATGGCTCTCGCATTGGATTGCTTCACGGCATGCAAGGGGATAGGGAAATATCACTGAGGAAGGTGTTATTTCATGTCAAGACCTATGTAAAGGCCTGAGGTGAATTTATATCTGTATGCAGTCACCTTTCACGGGCACATCCACGTTCGCTGTGGACATAAAGGAACGGCAATCTAGGACATATCATAGAGGACCCGACGCCCATATCTTCAAAAGACCAGTGTTCCCTTATCAACAGATATCAACAGACACAGCGAAAAGGTGTGCAAAGCTTGTCAACAGGATACTAAACCAGTACTAGCGCCATCTGTAGCCAAATCACGGGATATGCCGCGAGGGCTTCCTGATATGGGAACACAACCCTCTCGCACAAACATCTTACATCCTAGAAAGATAACTGCCCCCAGGTCCTCTTGTTCTTTTGCTCTTCGTCTGCTTTCTCTATTGCTGTGCTTCACGGACCTGGTTGTGCATCCATCATCATTCTTCTTCAGGCACTTATACTTGAAAGCATCCCTTTAGAACAAAAGTCCAAAACAAAAATGGATGCTTTTCCCCGACGCGTTTCTCATGCTGTTGTTGACCTGACACCTAATCAACCTCCTGGGGCACCATCAAACCAAATGCTGGTAGAGAATCAGGCTGCTTCGGCGGGACAGGAAGTAAACCGCATGCCAGCACGTTTTCTTAGTTGGGTGCGAATCATCATCAGCATCACATGTGCTCCTGAGCATCCCGGCGTCAACGGTGGCAACGGGCGTGAATTCAACTTCTTCGATTATATCCCGCGTGATATGATCGGGCGCAGACTCGAGTCCTCCAACATCCGTTGGGAACCCGCAGGTCGCTATTTTGCAGGAATCCGTGACAGATACCACAACGTCGTCTTGAACTCGCAGGTCTGGGATTGCCAGTTCTGCGGTGAGATCTCAAAGCACCTTTACATGTCGGGCATGCCACGTCTCATGGACATGCGTAAGTGGCTTGTCTATGCGATTCCGATTTGTCGTACTCTTGGGCCGTGCGACCGAAAAGCCGTTATGTTGGTCGACCAAATTTTTAGAGAGCGATTCCCAAGGGTTGCTATTCCTGATGGTCCTTGCTGTGAAGTGTGTGGATTCATCCACAATCTTAAGCAGTGTACTCGATGCAAGATGATCCAGTAAGTCAAGTCCCTTGCGTTGGCCCCTTGGAGTCTTCCGAATATAAAAGCTGACAAAACGGCCTATTTGTTAAGGTACTGTTCGATTGAATGCCAGGCCCACCACTGGCCAATCCATAAGAAAGACTGCAGAAATGCTGAGCGTGAGATACTTGGTATCAGGGAAGGACAGAACTGAAGAGGCGGTAAGGCCACACAACACCACCCTCAACATTCCCCCTTGACCAATTGCTAATGCTGATGCCAGAACCCCAGAAAACAAGGAAGGATATCAACCATTGGAATGTAGGAAAAGGCCTTCGGGCAAATTCTTATCTTGATTGGGGATGCTTTTGAAAAGTTTTTGTATGTGCTTCAACCAGGGGAGTTTATTCTCTCAATTGAATAAAAAGTTGTGATCTTTTTCCAGGTGCCTTGATCAACCAGTGTCTATGGAGGGATATCCTTTCCTTTTTGCCTTCAGGCCAGGCAAAGAAGATGTCTGAGTTGGAAGCCTTCGAAATTCATGGCAATTGCTCTTGTCATGTAGCACAAGCAAGGTACTGCATTCTCCTGAGTGCTTTTTTCCAATTTGGATGTGAAGCTGAAGCTGAGGCTGGAGTGGCTGGTGGCAGTGAAGGTTTGTGCCAAGCAGTCTGACTAACTAACTCGTTAGTTAACTAGGCCGCATGTGGCTAGCCAACGAATTCAGCTCTCTCCAGGCTTCCAACCCGCTTCCGTCCGCCAGAAGCATCAAAGAAGCACCTAGAAGTTTGTCTCGGGTTTGAGCTGGCACCTGGAGCCGAGACAGAGCATTACCTTAAGTGTGGAGTAAAGTCCAACAATTATCAATCGGGCTGCATACAGAGTGGTTAACGTCACATCCATTATTCAGACCCAAACTATCCTGTATGTGTCATGCGCTTGCTCATCATTCAGCTTGTCCTCAAACGGTGACGCCGGACATTGAGAAGCATTTAAAGCCATGGGCCTTTCCAGGAAGTTTTGGATCAGACATGCAACAGGTGTTTGGTGTTGCAAGTTGTGTTGATGCTTTGTTATTGGATTCCCAGTTTATCTCTCCCTGGTTTTACATGATATTAGACTCTACTCCGTGCATATGGCGGAACAATCCTTACATCTTTCCCATGACATTGTCCGAAGCGGTTCTTGTCTCTGCGGCCATGTTAAATACCAGCTCACTGGCGAGCCAAGCAATGCCTCACTCTGCCACTGTCTCAACTGCAAGAAAACTAGCGGTTCAGCATTCTGGTGCACAGGGTGGTTTTCCAAGAAGGTGAGCACAACAAGGAGAGATCTAGCCGGCAGAGCTTCAACTATGAAAAGGGGGTTGCTCCGTTTGCAAAGTCACCGAGGCAGAACAAACTAATGGCGCCTACATTGTACATTATGCCTCTAATTGCTAACAGTATTCTCCCAACAGCAAATGACCCTCACAGCTTCCTCGCCGTCCGACCTTAAAACATACGAAGATAGGGATACAGAGTCTGGAAGTCCGCTGTGGCGCAAATTCTGCTCCAACTGCGGTTCTACACTATTCGCTGAGTCACCGAGGACAGACGATTTCATTGTAGTGGCACTTGGCTCGTTGGATAAGGATCAGAAACCCTGGAACACAACAATCGAGGTATATGCGAAAGACGATTATGGCTGGGTGCCGCAGAAAGAAGGCGTCAAGGTTTTCCAAGGAAAGATTGAAAGGATTTGACCCAGAGAGGAGGGAAGTCAGAGTCGAAAGACCAAACTTCCACCTTGTATAGATATATTCAGAATTAACTTTAGCAAGTTCAAATGAGCCGCTGAAGCTTGGGTTACTTCGATTTCCATATCTAATTTATTGTGATGTTTAACAAGTTTAGAGGAGTAATTCTTCGAAGCTACCATCATATATAGTAGTTCTAACTTTGTATGCGCTTTCAGCCGCCAAGCTCCCGCTCTACCTGCTCGCCCGCTAATTAGTGCAGAGATGAAGTGAGTCTTGCGAAGTACCGAGTACATAATTGAATTATGAACAGAAATGAGGAATAGAAATTCGATGTCAGGACTCATGATTTTTCCTCATATGGCAAGCAGCCCACGAGCCAGCAGGAGATAATTCAATATCAATATAGAAGAGTCGAAGGTTCCAACATCGAGTGAACTCTTCCACAGAGAAAAGAGGCCAAATATGGGAAAGGATATAACAGAGCAACCTCTATGGAACATCATCCCTGCCCTGAAAACGCAACCGACCAGCAAAGCCCAATGCACCCACATCTGTAGCACCAGTCAACCGAAAAGAAGTATAATCGCTAAAGCTAGTCTACAACCATGCAAATATCACAATAACACGAAAAACTCCAATTTTTTTTTTTTTTTTTTGTGGGGGGGGAGGAACTTGAATAACATCTTAGTCGATCCTAGTTTAATTTATATGTCCTCACCTTGGCATTGGCAACCTTCTGGCTATCCATCTCTTTCACGAACTTACTATACGGGTTTGCTGCGCACCATCGATCTTTGATCTCAGCGGAGTGTCTCTCCCATACTGTAATTCGTTCTTTCCATTTGGACATCTTCTCGTTGTTGATCTTACGGTTGATCTCGATTTGGTCGAGGTACCGCCGCCTTACCTCCTCTGATGCCTCACGCCACATCTGCCCAAGTGCTTGCCGGACTTCATCACGGGGAGTTTTGGCGGCGGGATTGCCTGTGCTGCGGCGACGGACCTCATCGCATCGAGCTTTGCAGACGAACCAATAGTCTTTTTGAAATAGCAAGAACGGATTTATCGGTTCTTTCCGTGGTTGCTTCTCTGGATCGCCCAGTTCTGCTTGAATGGCCCGGGATATAGCTCTACGGTATTCTTCAACGAACGCCATTTCATAGACAGGCCTGCCCTGGCCAGATGGCGTAGCTGCCGGGCGCTCTGTAGAGTTTGGATGGTCCACCGAGCTTGATTGGGGTTCCTTTCGTTTCTTTGGATTTATCATTGTTTGCTCCGGAGCGGCCGCTGGAGGCGTGACAGGAGTATGGGTTGACGGTGTTTTGGTTTTTGATACTACAAGGGGTGTGGGTACTTTAATTGGTCCAATCACCGATTCGAGGACCTCCTTCGCCACACGGAGCCCGGATAGATAAGCACCGTGTACAGTAGCAGGGTGAGTGCCGCATGTTGCTTCGCCAGCAAAATATAAGTTTCCGGTAGATTTAGCCATCAGATCATAATCTCCAGGTAAGGATTCTGCAGCGACATAAGAATAACTGCCACGAGAAAACCTATCTTGGCCCCACCGTGTGACGATGGTCTCCAAGGGGTCGGGTACTGCGGTACCCTTGAAAATATTTCGAAGTTGAGATGTGACCTCGTGCAAAATCTCAGAGTCAGGGAGAGCTTCTGCATGATGGGCTGAATCGCCTGCCATCAGAGCTATAAGCATAGGCAACCCGCTGGTCTTCATGCAGTTCCAAAATAAATAGAATCTGCCCCGACTGGAAGCGTAATCGGCTTGGGACAAGCTTTCGGGAACCGCCGGCTCCCGTAAAAGTCCAATCATATCCCTTTCCACATCCCAGAATGGCTTCTCGAACACAAGTATGACCTTGTTCATAGTCCCGAAGCCCAGGCGATCAATAGCACCAGTCTTCCATGCCGGCAGAGGAGGCGAAAATGTGATGGACTTACTTTTCAACACGCCCAAAGGAGCTGTAAGCACGACCTTGTCGGCAGTTATAACTTCTCCATCGTCAAGGTAGATACGCGCTTTGCCATTGGGGGAACCATTGACTTTGTATGAGATCTTTGTGACCACTTTGTTGGGGCGAACATCGAGCTTCGAGGGATGTGACCATAAGCCCCGTGGGACTTGTTGGTATCCTCCAATAACCTGCGCGTGTTCACCTTCAAATTCGTTACCCATATCTTGATCCCACCCAGCTAGACTGAGCTTCCCGAGGTTTGCAGCGTTGGCATATTCTAGATTTGCATAGTGCCAGTTTAGCAATCTCATGTCTTTTGGAGTTAACGGCAGCCATTTGTGGCACTGGCGGATTGCTTCGTCCATAACCGCACCTAGCGTTTGTGTCTTTGTGGCCCCAGCAACTTCGTCCAACAGGAGTGTATCCGCATTCGAAGCACCTTCACGTAAGTTCCATCCCATGGCTTGACATGTTAGAGCAGCAGGCATACCATTGGCAGGTTCCACATGGGATATTTGTGGGGCCACCACCGGTTCAGAAATCACAGTAGGCCCAATCTCTGCTGTTCTGTGCCCAACCCCCCGTCGGAGTCGTTTAGCTGGTAACAGCAAATCTACAGTCCCTGACGCAGCAGCATCCTCGTATTGTCTTATCGTGATGCCATCATCCAGAAGGCAATCTCGCGCAGAATGCATTAGCTCTCGGTCTCCTCCAGCGGTCTTGTTTATAACCGCTTTATGGCGATATATTCCGCAGCGGTTGAGAATATCGTTATATAACTTCTCAACCAATGAATCATGAACCTCATCTACCGGGGAGCCATCGGTATCGTAGATCGTTGAAATATCTCGTAGAAGGTGACAATGAAGTGCCAGCTGCGCGCGAATGATGGGGTCCAAAGGGTTACCGTTGTCAAACCCGACAATAATTTGGGCGCCCATTTCCGCTGTCGGCCGTAAATTAGGTACTAATGTGCCCGGTTTTAAAGATTGTAGAGGATGAGAGTATATACGGCCGCCAATGCGTTTTCTACCTTCTAGTACGATAACTTTCGCGGGCGCCGTGTCGCCACCGTAGTGTTGAAATAGGCTCTCTAGCTGTCTAGCACACCCCAGTCCGGCCATCCCTGCACCAATGACGACTATTGTCGGTCCCTCTCTCCTGCGTCTTCGTTTGGTGGGACGCGGATTTTTCGAGATGCTAACACATCCAAAGTTGATATAGCCATTGCGCACAAGCCAGTCGTAAGCAACCGAAGCAAGGTTCATCCATCGCCGGTCCTTTGCACAGCCAAGTGCCTCTTCTTCGGTAACCGTGAGCATGGGATTTCGTGTCCACAGTCGAAGAATGCCATTTCGGATGTTGAGATACGTAGTCACATGAAGGTGGCATAACGAATCTTGCAATATCTCTTGTTCGTCTTTATGGAGCGCATACGGGTTGAGTCGAGAGGCGTAGGCTGCAGCGAGGCACTGTTCAGCATAGAGTGTTGGAGCCATCCGCGTGGGTATGGATGACCTCGGGCGGGCTTCAGTGTGAGAGGAAAGCGGAGGTTGTTGTTGCTTTTTACGAGAGGACGACGGAGCAGAGACAGGGGCTGAAGCAGGTGGAGTATTTAATGTTTGGTTTAATTGAGCACTAGGAGTAATCGACTTTTCTGTAGAGAATGGCGATATCAAAGACGCCGAAGTCGTAGAACCATTTGGAGTGTCGTGGCTTTCACTGAACCGTCCCAGCTCTTTACAGAGCTCACTGGAACCTTGAGAACTATCGTCCTCGGGATATGATGTCGAGAGCGGAAACATGTCTGTGAGCTGGTTGGAGCCGACTTCGTTCTTCCTATCATCGCCGTAAACGCCGTCATTCGAAGTTAAAATACCCATTTTCCCATCTTCTGACTCGGAAGTTGCTGTTTTTGTCAAAGCAACCGGAGCTGGCAAGTCACGACTTCCGGACACGCCACCGTCCACCTCGATACTTGACTTGGTCTTCATCGGCGGAATCTCGGACTCCACGCTCTTGACTGTCTCCGAAGAGCTCTCAGCATTGATCGATGCGCTTCCGTCCATAGCGACTATGGTGAGGTAGCGAGATTCTAACGGGTATGAATCTTAGCATGTCCAACCCACCCGTCAGAGGCAAAGTCGCTGGCGACTAATTGTCAAAGATCCTTCGCCCTGTCGAGCTTGTCTTTGATGTCAATTGCAATATCAAAGCACGATAAATCCTGCCATTTTTATAGACAGGGGGTTCCAATTCGGCGACTACCAGTGATCTAGTGGAGATGTAGAACCACGGAGTGTGGACAGACGTTCGATATGTTGGAAGTAGGTGATTTCTCGTAATAACTGGACAGAAAAGTCAGAACTGCACTATCCTTAAGATTATGGATATTGTAAATTGTATCTATGTTGCATCTTACATGGAGGAAGGGGGGTTGTGGAGTTCACACATGCGCTTACACAGTCTTCGGTGGGCAACGTCCACACATGAACGGGAAAAAAGCTTGTTAAGTGAATAGTACGAAGTTTCGACTCTGGGGTTCAGCAACTCTTCAGACAATCACATTCAATGACATCGAGCGGGACGATAGAAATCCACCGGCCGCTGTGGGAGTACATCATCCACCTGTGAAGGATGTAACTTCGAGGTGTCTTCCCCCCGTCGCCGCCTGACTCGGCACCCCGTCGCCCGGCGTACATTTCAGACTGACGTCGTTCTCTCAACGTCAACCCTTGATTGCACCAAAACTGTGACTTTCTAGCGATACATCGGAGGGGCACGGGATGCTCTGAAGCATTGAATCACACCAAGGCCGTGTTTATAGGCTTCTGGAAGACGATTTGGAACATATCAGTTGTTCCAGACGGGGCTGACAGGCCGACGGCCCACGTCTTCATACCCATCGTGGGATGGCAAAGCCACGCCCGAGATAACCCCATGCACAACTCCAGTTTCCAGGACAAGACATCTCCAACAACTTTACGAGGTGCTGACTTACAAACAGTTCAAGGGTTCTCCAAGCCCTCGCTACCAATCTCCCCGGCGGTGGTATTGCTAACAATTGTGAGATAAATACATTCTGACCTCACCGTTTTTAGACCCTCATCGCGATGCTGCCCTCTTACGCGCTTCGCTGCACCGCCATGGCGTAATTCGTTCAATGTGTTATGAAAGAGCTACATGAGGCGATAATTCGAACATATGTGCGACTCTTCCCCGACGATGCTCCTATTGCCGGCGTGTACTCCGTATCATGGACAACATTTCCAACCTGGTTGCCCATAATTCTAGCCTGGATATTCGGTTAGTTCTAGAGCGTAACTCACCCACTTTTGTTCTTTTCCCCCTTACGCGGCTAATATCTTACAAAACAGAAACCATAATTGAAAGTATTTGCGTAGAACCCTCCTGGATACCGTTTCACGCTGCGATATTTTTACAGTCAGCGGCAACACCTCAAGAGCCAAAAGTGAACTGATTGGCAGATATGACCCAGACATGTGTCCTATATGTGTATCCATGGTATTCGGGGTGTTCTGGCTGAAGAATGCCATACAAGTTGCGACCAGGCTCTTGGACACCACAAGTCGAGATACTTGAATTTTTAAGGCCCCGCCAGGTAGTAATTAGTATCCGAGCCAAGGGGTCAAATAATGCCAGACCGACCCATTGTTAACCAAGCCACCAGCCCAAGTATTTATGTATTCTAAACCACTCCATAGAAGCAATTCTATACGCCGATATATAGCCGAAGCCAAAGCACAGCCATACATGCATCATATATGCCGATGTAAACTATACGTTTCCTGGGCCCCGTCATACCCATCCCCGGCCCCAAAAACGTCGGAATCATTGTCTGTAAATTCGTCGCGGTAAGCGGTCGTATCTATTGCCGTGTTATCATTGTCTATGTCATCAGTTATACCGTTGCCAAAGCCCAATCCCTCTTCTTCGTCGCGTCCGAACTCGTCAGGATTGTCGACAAAGGAGCCGGGTGCAGGAAGTTGTGAAGAGTCGGTAGTTGCCTGAGCAGTAATGGCTCGTTCCTCGGCTTCCAGTTCGGCGGCACGGGCGAGGGTGCTAGATAAACGTTGTCAGACGAGGTATGCCTCGGTGGGGAATAGTGTAGCCCTGACGTACCGTTTGTATATGTACCATCCTGTAAATATGCCAACACAAACACCAACGACGATGCTAATAATATTAATCGCCTTTGTGCCAGCACTCATCTCTTCCCCACTCTGTGCGAGAATTCGTAGCCGACTTCCGATGAATGCAGACACCAAAAGTTTTGGTGTTATGATGGCCGTGGCTAGTCCATACATGAGCGGGTGCACAGTTGGGAAAGTCGAAATGGCTCCATTGCATATCGAGTAAGGCAATGGGCATAAACGTATCATGCAAAGAAGTTTGAGCCCATCATACTTCAACGTCAATGCAAGAGCTGCAAAGCGCTTGTCATGCTGCACCAGGCGGTGTACGAATTTGGAAAGGACTGTCCGGGATAGCATAAAGGAGCATGTCGACCCAACAACAGTCCCAGCAGCATATATCGCCCAACTCGAGGAAAAAGTATGTCAGTGTCGTATTCAAAACATCACAGAGGCGTAGTAGCACAACGTACCCTTTCCAGACACCGAAGATGAATCCAGACACTGTTCCAACGGCCGACCAGCCGATTAGAGGTGGAAATGACACTATAAAGGTGCAGAGCCAAACTATAAAATATACCAGCGCAGACTTCTCAAAATCCGCCGCTACCGGTTCCAACCAGATGAAAATATGTCCCGAGAGTATCATGAAGCCGACCCCAAGTGCAGTTAGTAGCAGCGAGGCGATCACCGCCGCAATCTTTTGCCATATCGTCAACGTTATCCATATTTTGGATATCCTACCCCAAGTTCTCTCTATACGGTTGATAACTCTGTCGCGGGTGCTAATGGAGGCCGAGAGGGAAAAGGAAGGTGAGGCGCGTCTTCCACGGCTTAGACTAGTGCGTGGCCGGCTCCATGGTGGGTGCGCTGACCCTGAACTGGGGGAGTTGGGGTGATCTCGGATTAGAGGCGATGTTGGGAGAAGTCCATCTGAAGATATATTGCTGTTTGTTGTCATTGCAAAGTGATCCGGTGGATGCTGGGGTGTTGTGCTTGGGGCGGGATTCTGTGACCGTATAGCTCTGTCCTTTGCTCTTTTTAGGATATCGATGTCCGGTTAGAATTGAGTGTAGCTGAGGAAGTTAATATTGTTTTTTTTTTTCCCCCTTTCATAAACCAGATGTCTGCCTGAGAATCACACGTTGTCTCGGTGGTTTCCACGATTCGGTGCCCGTGAGCCCGTCGTTAGAATTGGCGGAAGGTGTAAAAGAGCCCGATGCTCCAGATTCGTCAGCAAGCCCAGAAAAGGGAATCCTCCGGAAGTAATTAAACAGTCTCGGAGGAGTGTTTCCTTTTACTTTTATTTGAATGCAGTGATTGACGTCCAGTTCAGGTCATGTCTATTTTTGGATCCTGATGTCGATGCCTTGCTGACTACGCCGTAGTTCGACCGGGCTCGTCTCAGCTGCGAGCCTAGGCGGGGCCAAGGCTGCACCATTCAGCTCTGGCCAAGGAGCGCTCACCATGCCAAAGTTGTCGAGTTCAGATCGCGCACTTTGAAATTATTCCCTGGAAGCACCGAGACCTTGGATTTGTTGGCAGAGGTACAAAGCCCGGTATCAGCCAATAGATAGAAAAACATGATTAATAGGCTGGTATTCACTCTTGTGTCGGTGGTGTTAATTAAATTAGGGTTGAAGAACCACCTGTCACGCCGTTTTGGCTTGTCGTCATTGTAATCATGACAGATAGAATACAAATATTACACCACTTGTCTCACTGGGTACTCAGCGATCTAACGATACTGTTACCGCCCCGGACCACCCACCCAGGAGACAACAGCCATCTTCACCCCCCAGACCGATCGACTCTTCAGCTTCACATTGCTGAAGATGCTGCAGATGGTGTCAGGCAACTGGTAGCATCACTGTTTGGCCTGTTTCCTCCTCATATTCTTGCTAACTCCCATACTTTTTTGTCACTCCTTTTTACTGTGTTTTGTAATCACCATGTAAGTTGAAGCTGGTTATACTTCGGTCATCTTCACGTAACCTTTAATTCACCCTTATCTCATTCACTCCTTCTAGTTCTCCTTCGGTGCTGCGGGTTCATATTTCATCATGCGCAACAGCTGTTCATCATAATCGATAGCCAGCTGTCTTCATTAGCCACCTCCTTCCAATCAGTCTAATAATTGCACTCGTGCCACAATCATGGTTTCAGAGGAGGTCTTCGAATCATGCCTGCCCATCCTCAACAACGCTGAGGTCGACGAAGAAGAGAAGGTCGAAAAAGTGGAAGAGTTCCTCCGCGACAAGGCTGCATTGACGGGGTCAATTCTGGAAAATGCTGTTCTGGACGTTTTATGGCGCCATCGGAACTCTCTAAAGGGCGAGGCCTCCCCTCCCCCGCTTCGTCATACTGTCATCCGCCGCTCCTCTCCAGCGCCGTGGCAGATAACCCGTTCGTCCACTCCTCTTTCGTCTCCCTCCAATAGCCCCGCGGTTCCTTCAGGGTTTCCGGTTCCTCGTGGCGGCTTTCCTCGTGCGCCCAGGTCATTGACTGCCTCCCCCTTTACCTCGCCGCGCCCGTCACCCCGCTTGGCTTTTGCGCAGCCGATCCCTCACAGTCCGAACCTTAACGCCTACGAGTTTGCCGAGCGCACTTCTATACCGGAATATGGCGATCTCGGGAGTGATAATGTCGATTGGCTAGTGAACGACGATGCCAGGAGCACCGCATCGTCCACTGTTTTGAGCGGTGCGGCCCCAGAGTGGATTGCGCCCGCTGACATGAGCCCCTACGATATCCTAAGATCGGTTCTGGGTGACCGGAGGTCCAACGACGAGATCGAGGCGGCCCTGGCGGCCAATGGATATGACCTTGGAGCGACGATAGCGGCCCTGACGGAACAAGACGCACACGGCAACACTACAGCAAACAATGAAGGTAGAATTTTAGTCGGTAAATCTATGGCTGTGGAACAGACGCGGCCGTTGACCCCGTCGGGCCAGGCTCGGAGTCCGGTTGTCTGCAAGTACTGGTTATCTACTGGTCAATGCCTTCGAGCAGATTGTCGATTTAGCCATGACTTGACCAACCATATTTGCAAGTAAGTGAAAATCGATCGGTACTTTCAAAACTAAAATACCTAACAAGCCTCTAGATACTGGCTGATGGGAAACTGTCTTGCGGGAGACGTTTGTCCTTTCTCTCACGACCCATCCGCCTTGGTAGGGAATCTCAATATAAGTGATAGCAGCGCCGGATATGGCAGCCCATCCACCCAGCCACAGCAAATGTTCTATCCTCAAGATAACTATGAGGCCTTTCCAGCCTTACAGCCCGCGATGGCCGACCAATGGTCGACGTTTTATCCCCAAAAGCATTCCACTCAGTTCGTGTACGGCGTGAATCAACATCACCGCGGAAATTCTCCCTCAAATATCAGAAATAGGAATATGCTTCTTAATCAATCGTCACGCCCACATTCTAGGCCTACAAGTCGACACCAGCAACGCGACTCTGGCGGTTCTGCTTTATCAGTCGATGACCCCGAGGCCTTTCCCACTCTCTCCTCCCTTAACCCTAAGGCATCTGGGAAAAAGCACCACGGCAAGCGAGGCGGTCATAACCACAATCGCGAAACTAGCGGAAATAAGGAAGGTTCTTCAAGCTCGCTAACGGACGCAGTTCGAATGTCTCCATCCTCGAACCAACGCAAAGGAACTCCCAAGATTGCGAAGCCAGTCAATGCCGGCCGCGAGAACAGCGCAGCTGCCCAATCCATCCCGACACCAAAGCATTTACCATGGCTCGAATCCGGTCCTCGCGCAAACCCCCAATATCTCAAGTGTCGCACAGACGCGATTACTCATGGTAACGTTAGAAACAAGTTTCTCCAAAGGTACGTCTAAACGAATGTTTTGCCGTCGTTCAATGCCAATCAGTCTTCCGCTTCTAATACGATTACAGTGCCGCCCAAGCTTGGAATCGTAACGATGCGCGGGCTGCGAAAGCCCTCTCACTCCGTGGCCAAGCTGAGAATGAGGCAATGAGACGTTGTTACCGTGAGGCTGCTCGCCACCTTTATGAGGGCCGTAGCAAGAATTCAGATAGTAACACCGATGACGAAATCTATGTCGATCTACATGGCCTTCATCCAGGCGAGGCAATCGAGTACCTGGAGAGTATTCTTAAAGAAAACGCAAAACTGGATCGTAAGCTGCTATACGCCATCACGGGCACTGGCCATCACAGCAGAAATGGCAAGGACAAAATTGGTAAAGCTGTCAAAAACTGGTTGGACGATTGGGAATACGTCTACTGTGAATTCAATGTACCCAGCGAGCGAGGTGGATACGTCGGCGGCGTTCTAGGCATTGATCCAACAAGTAGTGAGAAGAGTGGGCATATTACAAAGACCAATGGAAAAAGTGTCCCGGAAGAAGATAAGAAAACAGTCCAGGATGATGAAGCTGACAATAAAGCCGGGAACTCGACACCAACACTTACGATGGGCAAGATACAGCTTTTGAAGCGAGACGATTCCGGGAAGAAGTAGCTGTTAACGAGACTATGGAACTCGACAATATGTGCCATAGCCCGCGTGGCTAGAGAGGTGTCTTTGCCTCAGTTTGATTACCGCCACTTGCCATGAGCTTTTGGGCCTTGAAGCAATAGACGAAAACCAGCCATTGGGCTATTGTGATGCTCGGGCTTGGTTCATCTCCAGTTTCCATGGTCTTTTATAGCCTAGACGTGGTAGAATTTGGGATTTACGGACTGCTTCGAATAGGGTCGAGGCTGGTAATGATCGAGTTACCATACGGGTGTCACGTCCCTCATGACGGGCTATATTTGATCTATGGCTGGAAGGCTCTTTTAGGTTTTCAGTTCAGTTGATAGGATGTTTGGAGCTATAATGCTCAGAATACATATTTGGTTATGGTTTATAGCTAGAAAGAATGAATTATACATACATTACCCTTTTGCATCTATGTTAGCTAATGCAACATGTAAAGCTTTGTGAAGCCCTCGATCCTTTTTGGAGTTAAATCATCTGGGGGGAGCAAAACTGTGCGCATCCATATCTCTAAGCATTCTGGTTCGCCATGTACTGGTACATATTGGTTAGTAAATAACCCCGAGTGACAGGGCTCTGGGTACAAGCACCCAGGGCGAGTGATTGACAGCATGTAAGGGACCAAAGATCTAATCTACTCAGGCTCTTGGTCATGCCACTCTCTAATCAGATCCTTAACATTCATACCACATTGTTCGGCTTTCCTCACAATCGCTTTGGCCTTCCCCACCACAGGAGCATCGATCATTTTCCCATCCAGAGTCCAGGCTCCCCTGCCTTGCCGTGCGGCCTTCTCATCTGCAATAGATACTCGAACCGCCCACACAAGCTCCTTCGGCTCGGGACTAAATACCGCTTGCACAGGCGCGACCTGTGAGGGATGAATACATTGCTTCCCGTTAAATCCAAGCCTCTTACCGTCCTGGGCTTCTTGCTTGAGGATGGAGGATGCCTCCGAATCAGTATCAGGGTTCCGGGCATAAGTTGTGCAAACTAGATCAATCACGGACGGAATATTATGCGCACGGGCGGCAGTTACTATGGCGGACCGCGCGTATAGGAATTCTGTGAGGGATGGTGTTCGGGTTATGCTTAGGTCAAGGGCGAAGTCTTCAGCGGCAAAGATGAGGCCTGATAGCAGAGGCGTTGCGGTGCAAATTTCAGAAAGATTGGTTATTGATTTTGCGCTTTCAATTAAAGCGAGAATGGAGATCGGTTGGCGCGGGGAAGAGGACGTGGTGAATGACTTAGTGGTGGATATGCTGTGCTTTACCATGTCGTGGACAAAACGAAGGTCGGAAGCAGAGTCGACTTTCGGCACCACGATTGTGGTGAGATATGGAGAGTCCAGCTATAACACATTCGTTATGATTAAGCCTTGGGTTTCCGTGCGCAACAGAAGATCCAAACCGCTCACGTCCAGTGTCTTTGGGAGTTGCGTACCATCGAGGTTAGGTCTTTCTCTGCCAATCCACTTCCAACTGAGTTGATTCGGACTGCTGTTTCGTGGATTGAATGGGGCTTTGGATGGTCAAGCGTACGTCTAACCAGTTCACGAGCTTCGTCTTTATGAGAAATAGTTACACTGTCCTCAAGGTCGAATGCGGCACAATCAACGGTCATAGTTGCGGCTCGATCCAGCATGCGTTTGCTTGAACCGGGCACTTTTCACTCTTGAGTCAGTTCATTTAAATTCCATTTCCACCATAATTTTGGGAAACTGTGGAATCCGATGCGGCGTACCATAGAGGAGTGCGCGGCGGAGGATGTTGGTTACAGCCATAGGTGCTAATTATGCTCCTCTACTGAACAAATTCTAAATTGTGGTCAATTTCAAACACTTAGTAGATAAGTAAATCCTTAAAAGAAGGAATTGGCATGGAGCAGAACCTGTGAAGCACAACGGCACCATTCGACAGAAAACAAGCTTGCGCAACGCCCGCTCCGCTCGGCATCGGCGTTGCTTCCGCGGCACAACCACGGAGCGGAGCATCGTTTCTCCCTCCACCAAAGCTTGGCGCGTCCTCTCGAGGTAGCTGACGTTGGATTACTTGGCCCGAACAACCGTCCGACTCTGGCGTTTCGCGAGAGCTTTCCAGAGAGATAACCAGGCTTGATCTGGCCATGGATCAACAGCGAACTGGCGACCTCAACTGGCGCCTCAGTGCGCACCCGATCACCCTCTTGTTCTTCCTAGGTTTCAGAATAGGTGTGTTCATTGTTGCGTTGAAAGCCAGAACCACATCCACCCCGAGAAGATTGCGATTAATTTAGCTCTTGAAGCGTAAAAACATGCTAATTTTTGTCCTGCTCACCAGGGAGTCTGTTGATGTACCTATTTGGCGTCCTCTTCATCAGTGACTTGTGTGTCTCTTCTACAAGCAGCTCCAGTCCCCGCAGCCATGCATCATTGCTAACACACAGGTCTACTAGTGTTCTCGTCTTCATACTCACCCTCCTGCTGCTTTCAGCCGATTTCTATTACCTCAAAAATATTGCTGGTCGCCGGCTAGTTGGCCTTCGATGGTGGAACGAAGTAAATACCTCAACCGGTGATTCCAACTGGGTCTTTGAGAGCTCCGACCCGAATACTCGTACCATCAATGCTACAGATAAGCGATTTTTCTGGCTTAGTCTGTACGCAACCCCAGCATTGTGGATTGGGCTGGCGATCCTGGCAATCATCAGGCTTCAAAGCGTAATCTGGCTGAGCTTAGTTGGTGAGTTGGACCGTGCAACACTTCCATAATATTCCGTTCAGTCATGTTCAGCTCTAATCTATCACTAGGCATTGCACTTATTTTAACTGTTACGAATACCTTGGCGTTTTCTCGATGTGATCGCTTCAGTCAAGCTTCAACCTTCGCGAGTAGTGCTTTATCTGGCGGCATTACGAGCAATCTCACGCGTGGTGTGTTTGGAAGGTTATTCAGATAGTGCCCAGGAAATATTGTCAAGCCTGCCGAAGCATCGGAGCTTAGATGAGACAAACAAAACAGGCCGGATAGTGCGGTGAACCTTTCTCTGTGCAAACGATATAGTCATTTCCCTTCTATGGCTTTACTTTCCCAGGCTGTTTTTCATCGGTCCGGCGAGGCGTCTGGAGTTTATAGCAAAGTTTACTACGACTTTTAACCTGGATATCTTTCTGGGGAACTATACGGATTAATGTACTTTTACTTGTTTGAAGCTCATTGATATTGTTTCAAGTGACCAAGCAGGAACCTACGATCCGTCCTGATTGACAGCTGATATTTCACAGTTTGGCACGTTGGGCTTCTGCCATGAATTTTATCTCCTGTCTCACGGCCAAATCCCTCAGGATCTCCTCGCTTCCACCGCCCACGACGAATACTCTTACGTCACGGCTAATCGCCTCGATTCTCGCTCCTTTGCCTGCCTTGTTATACCCTGCACCACCCAGGATCTGCTGGGCCTCGCGGCAGACCTTCTCCAGACAGCGGGTACTCATTACTTTCAGGAGGGCCGTCATACCTCCAACGTCGATCTCCCTACCGGTTTTGGCGTTTAGCTGGATAGTGTAGGCTAGCTGCTCCAAAAACGCTTGACATGGTTCAATAAGTTGGCCGAATTTGCTGAATTTAGCCCGGATGATCTGATTGTAAATGAGCGGTTTGCCGAATGTTTCCCGAGTGATCGCGTAATTGTAAGCATCTTCGACGCAAACGCGGGAGAGACGGATGCAGGAGCTCGCCATCCCGAGACGTTCAGGGTTAAAGTCTACGCCCCATCAGCTTTGAATATAAAGATGTTAGTGCAAGGTTGGATGTAAGGGTCGCGTACTTGACATGATGTATTTAAAGCCTTGGTTTTCCTTTCCAATAAGATTCTCTGCAGGCACTTCCACGTCATCGAATTCAAGGAAAGTTGAGCCACTGGCGTTCACTCCAGAGTTGTACATTCTTCGTCGAGTGACACCTTTGGATTTCAGTGGTATAATGAGTAGAGAAATGCCATTACGGCCTGGTCCTCCGGTCCTAACGGCTGCCGTGCAATAGTCGGCAAAAATGGCGTTGGTGATCCATTTCTTTGCTCCATTGACGATATACTTGTTGCCGACTCGTTTGGCCGTGGTTTTGATCCCAGAGACGTCGGACCCGGCTGTGGTTCCAAATTAGTGTGAAAAGATAATCAAAGACACTCGGAGACGCAGATACGTACCGTCTGGTTCAGTGATTCCTAGGCAAAAGCGGATCTCCCCTCGAGCAACCTTTGGTAGATACTCGAGCCTCTGTTGCTCAGTTCCGAAATTCATGATTGGAGGGCAGCCTATGCCGTTCCCGCCATTCATGCCCCAAAGCACGCCAGAAAACCCGACTCTATATTTCAAATCAATTTAGCCAAAAGCGTTGCTGGTATAAAAAGATAACGGTGGATACATACCTCGCCAACTCGTCATTGACCACAAGATTGTGAAAGACGTCCCATTTTTCTGGGTCGATGCCAGCGGGCATGGTCATCCCTCCCATGTATTCCCGTTTTGTGGGCTTGATTATAGCGAAACCCTTGTCCACATATTTTTGAACAGCCTGAATTTCAGAAGGTAAGTTAGAAGGTTGCAATTTTTCATCAGCGATATGTGTAGTTCCATCCTAGTTCCTCCTGTCCGCTCGCTTGTAGGTTTAAACACGTACTTCAGGAGGGACTTGGCCATTTCGCTCCCACTCCTCAGCATACGGCATCAGATCATTCTCCACATATTCGCGCACGAATTGACGGAGTTTCCTATGGGACTCATCGTAGTATGGCGATGAGTCGCGATAGTACCATAGAGGTTCGGCAAATGGGGCTAGGGCAGGCATAGTGTTCAAGAGTAGAGCAGCAATTAGTGTTCTTCTAACAATGAAATAGAGATCTTGATAGCTCAAATCAATAGCTGGGAACCCCAATACAAATATCAAACTCGTCAATCAATGGGTATCTTAATCCTAATGACGGAATGTAAACACGTTATGTGGTATCCACGATAATGCCGTGTAACCGTTGTCTCTATGGAATACTCCGTCACTTGGGTTCCCACGGTATCTTAGGGCTGCAAGAGTTGGATAGCAAATACTTGGAAATGAGCCGAGTACCGATGTTGCAAGTTGCAGCTTGCGAGCTACTTAACTTGTGGAGTTCTCTGGGGATGATATTCTCCGCATCAACCCCTGGACCTCGGCTGGCAGAGTTAAATTATTTTGGGCCAGCCAAAAAGGTCTTGGGGCCTTGGGTTTCCCTGTCTTTCACTGTTCCTCTTGTGAAATATTGAAGAAGCTCGTCAAATGGAGATATCGTTGACGCGCCGACGGAGTACAGTTACTTAAGAATGTAGTCTACATGTAGCTTGGGTATCATTAACGATCGGCTTAAAGCTTTGAAGGCAGCCAATTCGGAGCTCTTCTCTCCTTAAAGGCTAGCATCCCTTCGTTGGCATTTTCTCCAGCGAACAACGCGCTGCCATATCTCTCCACGGTCAAGCGTGCAGCTTGTTCGACACTGCTGGTCTCCCATGCCTGTCTTATACCTGCCCGACTCACGATAACGCTATCAGGACTCATACTTGCAATCAATTTTGCTACCTTGACAGTTTCAGTGATTAATTCTTCAATTGGCACAACCTTCTGAACCAAACCCCAATCCAGAGCTTCCTGGGCTGTTAATTTATGTGCGGTTAACGCTAGCCACATAGCTCTCTGTAACGTAAAATTCCGACATAGTCGTGGAAATGCTCCCTCGAGAGCTGCAGTTCCGCGAAGGACGTCGGGTAGTCGAAAATCCGCGTTAGAGGATGCAATGACGATGTCACTGTTGAGAATAATTTCAAATCCACCTCCGTGAGCATGACCGTTGCAAGCGGCGATAATTGGCTTCTTGCCCACGCGCCGGGTCATCCCCGCAAAGCCGTTGGGAGGATATAAGTTTTGACCCGGGATACTTAGATCGCCTTGCTCGAAGCCAGATTGGCGCTCTAATCACCTAAGTCAGTTTAGTGTTAAAGAACCGGAGTGGATTGCTCGGTCGCACCCTTGAGATCCATTCCGGCACAAAAGGCCTTTTTGCCAGCACCCGTAATAATGGCAACACGTCTATAGAAGCCATCAGCATACCAGTCGAAACTTACGAGCATTAAAAATCTGTATGTGATGAACCCTTACAATTGCGGTTCTTCATCAAACCACTTCCAGACACGGTCCATCTCCCATACCGCGTCAACTGGGAGGGAGTTCATCTGTTTCTCCAGGTTCATTGTGACCAGAAGTACATGGGGGGCCGGAAAGTCCAGAAGGACGAACCTCACAAGGGGAGGAGGGGTATCAATAGGATAGCCCATTGCTAACTAGTGACCTCTTGGGTTCTGTGCTTTGGATGCGAGGAAGAGTGGGCTTTGCAACAGGTCAGCCCAGTGTTCAAGCTGCTTGTTTGCACAGTGCAGCAAGCAGAGGAGCCCAAGCTCCAGGGAGGTTAGTTAGTTAGTTATGTAAGCTGTGTCCCCAAACTTGCGAACATCTGGGGCCATAGGGAGCAACGTGTTGAAGCACCAGCACAAGTACCACCTGATCCACAAGCTGCTTGGAGGGTGTGAGCGTGGGAGACAGCAAGGTTCAGGCACCAGTTGGGGGCCAATGCTGGAATCGGCTATTGAAGATTGTTAAACTTACTGACTGATCTTGAAACTCAGTTGGTTGTGATTGGGCGTTCTGAACCTGGAATTTATTATTTGGATCAATCGATTGGACGGAAACACGGGCGAGTTAACCAACGCCCTGGTGATTAATTCAGATGATTCATGATTCCAATGTTCAATTAGTTAACTAGTTAATACCAGTCAACCAACTCCTCTGTACAGAGTAACTAGGCAACACAATAAATGAACATCATACAAGAGAGCACGTCACTCCCTTGTTAGCCATGCCCAGTCAGACTTAACTCCATACAGTTTCGAACACACGGTCTTTGAGCATCGAACACCAAGACGCGACAAGTACAGAAGTTGAGGCTTGACTCGAAATACGAACATGGAACCTCAATCAACACCACCTCCACTCCTGCTTTCAGGCAAGAAAGTTGCTGTGGTAGGTGCTGGAATCTCATGTCTTGCCTTTGTCAAGTCGCTACAGAAACAGTGGCCTCAGGGCCAGCCATTCCCCGAAATTATCATATACGAGCGAGACGCTCAGGATGCCGTGGGGCGTGAGGGCTATTCCATTTCTATTCGTGGTGATGCGCTATCTGGTGGAATGCAAGCTTTGGAGAAAATGGACCTTTTGGACCATGCGTTAAACGCCTCGCTTACGGGATCGCAGCGGCCTGAAGAGCGTGGGTCTTTTGGTGTATGGGACCCGGATTGGAATCGGCTCCTCGAAGTTGGCAGGCCAAAGTGTGACACCAATCAAGTTGAGCTGGGAATGCGAATCGCGAGGGACTCTTTGCGCCGCGTCCTGCTGGATAGTGTGCTTGAAAGCAATAGCCCAGATATCCGTTGGTCAACGCAGTGCGTCAAAGTCGAGAAAGTTGATGGAAAAGTCCAACTTCATCTGAATGACGGCAAAACAGATGTATGTGACTTGGTCATTGCCTGCGATGGTGCGAATAGCAAGATTCGAGAATGTCTTAGACCAGATGATAAACTCTCCTATGCTGGTGCAGTCATGATCATTGGCACGGCGAGGTTTCCTGAAGGACAGGTTCCTGCACCGGCAAATAAAGACTGGGGGCTAGTCCTTGGTGGGAAGAACGGTGTGGGCTTATTTGTGTCTCCGATTGACTCGTCGAGCGCGGTTTGGAGCCTGAGCTATATGGCTCCAGAGCCACGAGAAAGGATAAATCCTCCCATGCCGAAGGAACAACTAGACAACCTAATTCAGGAGGTGCTAGATCGAGGAACCTCATTCACAGAGCCATTCCAAACCCTGGTACGAGCTACCGACCCATCAACCCTCCGACTTTTCAACGCAATGGATAAACAACCATTCCAGCACTCGCATTGTACGGACGTGCCCGTGATATTCATAGGCGATAGCAACCATGCCATGAGCCCCTTTGCAGGAAACGGCGCGAATATGGCATTGCTTGACGGCTGGGATCTTGCAGAGCAGCTCTGTCGAGCTCAGTCGCTAGAATCAGCGCTCGAAGCGTATGACAAATCTAGCATTGGTCGTTCCCAAAACGCCATCGCAGGGTCCCGATGGGCTATATCTATGGGTCATGCAACAGGTTTCAGGCTATTCGGCTATGGCATCGCATTGAAGCTTGCCTCATTGATAATGGCACTTAGAGGGTGAATAGGCAGGAGCGGGATGGTGGAGCTAAATCGGCGCTGTTTGGAGTCAGTGGGATGCTTGTTGTCGCTTTTCCTTTTTTTTTTCTACCTTTTCTTTCTTTTGATTCTGACTATGGATATTCGGTTATGATTTGCCGACTGCGCGGCCGCAGTCCCTGATCGTTAGGTTCGTCTCCTCTCTGTATATACGACTTTAACCCCAATAGGCACCCAGGCATTAGGTAGTGCTCTTGACACATGCTCTCTTTTTGTGGGAAGATCCCCTTGGCATTAAAGTGCATTTACGACTCTGGACAAGCGGATTGCGCCATCATCCTGCGAGCAATATAAATCCTGGATGGTAACCCAGAAGGATGTGTCGTGAAAGATGCATAGATCCAGGAATTCATAGTTCAAAATTCCGCATTTTCATGCAAGAAGCCGCGGTATAGGGGGAGCAAGGCATGCAAGGGCTTCAAGAATCATCATAGATTCCCTTAATAGAATGAATATACAGGACAAACAGTGAGAAGCAATCACCGTATTGAGACGAAAGAACCAAACTAAATAAAAGACGAAAAATACACAACATTGCCAAATGTGGTAAAGTGGGAGAGGAGACCTGCAGCGTTTACTTCAGCTCTTTTGTCACCATAAATCCTTCTTTCTTTCTTCCTCACTCCTCCTCGTTTCAACTTTCTCATCTTCCAGATATTGACATTTACAGCCACAAACAACAGCTTTCTGGGAGGAGCAATTAGTTCTGCTCAGGGCACTGGTCTTGGAGGCACTCCAAGTAAGTATATATTCTGACCTCTTTTGCCTGAAATTTCAATCTTGAAAGCTTGAGAAGACCCTCTTGGGCTGTGGCATCATCTCTGGTTTTTTGACCCCACTGAAGGCCAGACATGCCGACCAATGTTGTTTCAAACCCTGACATCTGCTCACATTCCGTCTGAACTAGGAACAGTGGCATATCTTTGAATCTGAGAACTTGCTAAGACACGTGAACAAACATCCATCAACATGTCTGGAAATTGGAACAACACTAGTAAGTCTCGAATTTCATTTCTGGCTCTCTCAAATAAATGGAATCCCACAATTTCCTTCAATTTCTCTCTTCAGCAACGGTGCCGGGAGGGCATCAATCCCAAATATATAAGTTTCCTTGGAAAGAAGTAAAAATATTTACTGATATAAACATATGCCGCAGCCGATAACTGGAACGGCGGTGGTGCCGACGACAATTGGAACGAAGGTGGCTTTGGTGACGACACTGGATACCGCGAAGAAATCCCCGGCAGTGTTGGGGAGGGCGGAAAGACCAACAATAATGATGCCTGTCACAAGTAAGTCGGGTATTCATGCCCGAATTGAGTCTCATCTAACGTTTTCTATTAAAGCTGTGGACAGCCCGGGCATTTTTCACGCGAGTGTCCCGAGCCTCGCAAAGCGTCTGGTGCTTGTTTCAACTGTGATGAAGAAGAGTAAGCTGGTGCAACTATTAGGACCGTCAGTTCTCTAATTGAAGAATAGCCACAACAAGGCGGAATGCCCAAACCCGCGCGTTTTCAAGGGAACTTGCCGCATTTGCCAGGCGGAAGGGCATCCGGCTTTCGAATGTCCGGACAAGGGCCCAGACGTTTGCAAAAACTGCAAAGGCGAAGGTATGCATCCCACTTGAGAGGGGAAAACCACGACTAACGTAGTCATTTCTCGCTGAAAAAGGCCACAAAACTAAGGATTGTACCGAAAACCGCAAGTTTGATCAGCATGACATTCCAGACAAAATGCCTGAGGAAGCTTGGGCAATCCTTAAGAAGGCGAGCGATGAAAGAGACTTGGAAGATTTCCGTGAAGTAAGAATCGTTTCCCGAACATCCACAGGGCTCAAGCTAACATTGTTGCAAGGCCCTTAAGATCTATTCCAAGGCTGTTCCGTTGGCAACATTTGATGAAATTGAGAAAAAGTTTCGCGCAGACAACTTCAAGATCTACCTTATTGGGCTGGTAGGCCCATGAGAATTCCTTCACCTTCATTTCTAGACTGACACTTCTTCAAGGAAAGGGAAATTGGGGACACCCTCATTTCGGTGAATCTTCAAGGCAAATTAAATTGCAAATACGTTGTCGGGTTTTATTTTAGCGAAAAGCCCCATCGTGCGAATCTCAAGTCGCGCTGGCCACGTTCCCCAGAGGAGAATATCAAGCGCCTTGCCGATGCCGGCTTTCCCATGGATCGCCAAGTCCCCAAGTGTGACAATTGTGGAGGTATGTCTGCTTTTGGAAGAAATTAAGAGAGAGAATCAGCAGTACTAAATATCTTGCAACAGAAATGGGTCATACCCGCCGTGGTTGCAAGCAGGAACCTGCTACAGTTGAAAGAGTTGGGGTCAAGTGTGTCATTTGCAAAGAAATAGGCCATCGAGCTCGCGACTGTATCCAGCCCAGGATTGACAAATCTGGCTGTCGGAACTGCGGGTAAGACCGTGATATCTTGCAGTATTATCGCACGCGACTAACAATAGAAAGGAATCCTGACAGTCACGCCAAGCAATGTCCTGAGCCACGCTCCGCTGAGGGCGTAGAATGTAAGAAATGCCAGCAAGGTACGTATTTTCCGCTTCAAACGTTTAAAGGTCTGCTAAAAGAGCAATACGTATGCAGTCGGCCACTTCGCCAAAGATTGCCCTGAGAAAGGTGTCAACAGCAGAGCTTGTCGCAATTGCGGGCAAGTATACCCAAAAGTGACTCCTTCAGAACGATATGGCTGACATGCCGTATAGAGAAGAGGGTCATATGTCCAAGGAATGTGACAAGCCTCGAAACATGGATAACGTTACTTGTCGTAACTGCGAGAAGAGTGAGATCTATCTCAAGAAACGAGGCGCTGCTGTATCCTCAAACTAACACCTCTATCAGCTGGCCACATGAGTCGCGACTGCCCCGAGGAGAAGGACTGGTCAAAGGTCCAGTGTACCAATTGCAAGGAGAGTAAGTATTGAAAAGCGACCCGGATACATTTTGGCTTGTGAAACTAACACTCTCCAGTGGGCCACACGTTCAGACGCTGTAACAAACCAGCTGAAGGTGCTGACAGTGACAATGCAGATAGCTATGGTGGATTCTATGGAGCAGGCATTGGCAGCAAGAATCACCACGATCAAACACGTGGCCGGAAGGAAACCACAGCTCAATCCGCAGGAAACTGGTATGAAGAACCAACCGACGGCGGCGCTGGTTGGTAAATATGCAATTCCCATTTTGGCTGGACCTTGCAAAAGCATCAGCTTTCCATGGCGTGTTAAGTATCTTCCGGATCTGAAAAACGCTGTAAGCTATGGAGACGCACTCTGGAGCTTTTTTTTGACAAGGGAAGGACAAAAGGAACTTCAAATGGACTCTTACTCTGGGATATCTCTTGTTAACTGATCGCATCTGAAAACCCAAAGAAACAAAAAAAAAAAAAAAAAAAAAAGGAAAAAAAGAAAAAAAAGGAGATGCCAAAAAGGAAGAAGATAAAATTTTTATGGCGAATCCTACACCCAGATAGTTAATCAATACAATGATAGGTCTAAGTAACGGCCTTAATGCGTAATACGGCTATTTGCTGCTAAAGTGCTCGATAACCTTGCGAACTGGTCCCCGTCTCCCAGTCACCCGGCAGACGGGAGAGGTGGCCCAATAAGGATTCTTGCTCGGAGTACTCCGTAGGGAGCAGGCAACCAAAAAAGCCTCTCGACCAAATGACTTCCCCTGGTCAGGCCATCCGGACGCGGTGAGATCGAAGTAGAAACATTTTCACGTCGAAGATGGCATCCCATCGACAAAGATCGCTCGCGGAAGATCGATCCGAGTTGCTCTGGAAAACCCATCGGATAACGCACTTCCGAGCCCCAAAAAAAAAAAAAAAAAAAAAAAAAAAAAAAAAAAAGAAAAAAAAGGAAAAGAAAGAAGGGCAGACGTCACAGAGTGCTTTGCCAGAAGTGGTTTAAACGTGTGTGTCTTGGCACACGGAATTCCCAATTCGGGCATTCCCGGATGACTTGATGCGGTTTAAGCTTTGGCTCCGCGGGTCAGGGCGGAAATCTTAAATCCACCGCAGAAGACACGGGCTCCGCGCCGAGATGACGACGGAACGAGCTCTTGCAGGGCATTCGAGGTGCGAATCTCTGTTTGCGTTTCTACAGATGCGCTGGAAGAGCTAAGCTAGCTGGGCGAGTAGTACAGAGTCACAACGAGTTTGAATCACAAAAGCTGCAGATCCCTCAAGTGCAATGCTCTCTCGTTTCGTCAGCGCCGACGCATATTCTGTACATCCGTCTCATATGCGCTGCACCCAAACGATGATCGATGTCTGTGGGCCCATACTCTGGCTCCGCGATTTGGAGCCTGCCTCCACTAGTAAGTTACATGTGCTCGCCGAGTGCGGAGCATGGATTCGACTTCTCGCGCCCATTTTCGATTTCTCGTAGCTGCCTCTCGCAGCCACTTCCCCTCATAGTGAGCGACAAATAAGAGCAGAGTTTAGCTTCATATGAAGTTTCCTAACGGCGTTGTCCGAGCCACTCGCCGCCATTTTTCAGGAACAAGATTGCCAGAAAATTTTCATGACTCGGCATTGCCCCGAGGGGAAAATCTGAGTGACGATCATCGGCAGGAGGGGAATGCACACCAAGTGCTCCACGGTCTCAAACGCCATCCCGACAGCGCTACGGAGCATACGCGCCGAACCAACTTTCCTAGCCCACTACTCCCCACTCCATAGGCGGTTATGGTGGGCGACGGTTTTTGGGCGAATGATCCACAGGGACCACAACATTCTAGAAGATCAGTTCACCACCTTGAAAGACAGACCGCCCTAAATATCCAACATGTGCTCGCGTTACATCCAAGACGGGCGAGATTTCACATGCATGGCTCTCCCCGGATGACATTAGCCACGATTCTCCATATTTAATCTCCATAGAAATAACTTTCTTCCTCGCATCATTTCGCTAGGTTGGAAGATGGTGTCTAAAGGATACAGGAATCGTGGAGTCAAAAAACAGCCTACCGGCGGCTGGTGTGGAGATTGCATGGGTATGTAATAGGATGAGCCAGACACCGAGACGCCAAACTCGTGGGTGCGGGTACCTATGCTGTCATCTTTTGAAGAAAGGATGGGAGAGAGACTCAAAAATTCTGGGGGAAGATGGGATGGTGATAAAACCCTCCACAGCTCCAGCTTTTCGCACCGTTTCTTTTTTGTCAGTTTTGTGTTACGTACCTCTCCAGCTGGCTGACTGCTACGGTGGTACTATTGAGTGACTCGCCAGCTCTGGAAGCCAGTCCTACTCCATCATTTCTATTTCTCATGTATTTTGCTACCGAGGAGCATTGACTGTTTCTGCGAAAAAATCAACGTCCCATGCTTGTACCATGGGCGGAGCACCTTACTTTGGGTTTCGTGGAACGAAACTCAACGTCGCGATCGGTGTGATTGCTGGCTTGGACTTTTTGTATGCCATGTCAATAATTCAGTCAACAATGCTAACTAGCTAATTTCGAGAAACAGGCTCTTTGGTTATGATCAGTATGATCTATCTATTCCCGGATAACCGGGTCTCATGTTGATAATATGATTTTAGAGGCGTTATGGGAGGTCTGTTGACTCTTCCGTCGTTCGCGCAGACTTTCCCCGAGATTGATACAACAAGGGAGGGTCAAGTTGGACTTTCGCCAAGCGAGAAGAACCATAGAGCAACAATCCAAGGTGATTATATCTGGTTTTGTCATGCTAGCTTTGCTGATGTTGTCTAATGCATCGCCGCAGGTATTTCCATCGCGTCTTACAATGTAGGATGTTTCTTGGGAGCCATTGCCTGTATTTGGGTTGGAGATTTGCTTGGACGACGCAAGACGATATTCCTCGGCTCCGCTATTATGGTTGTTGGTGCTGCGCTGCAATGCTCCGCCTTCCAACTCTCTCATCTGATCGTTGGTCGTATCATCACGGGTCTTGGAAACGGGTTGAATACGTCCACCGTCCCAACGTGGCAATCGGAATGCTCGAAATCCCACCGCCGTGGCCAGTTGGTCATGGTAGAAGGTGCCCTGATTACGGGTGGAATTTGTCTCAGTTATTGGCTCGACTTTGGTTTTTCTTTTCTTGAGCCAAGCACCGTGTCATGGAGATTCCCTATCGCTTTCCAGATCGTATTCGCTTTGATTATCATGGCATCGGTCCTGGGATTACCGGAATCGCCTCGGTGGTTGATTCTCAAGGGCAAAGAAGACGAAGCACTTCGCGTTTTAGGGGCTCTAAGCGACCTTCCGACCGATGACCCGTTCATCCATAGCGAGTTCAGTGCGATCAAAGATACTGTTCTCGAAATGGCAAAAGGTGGATTTAAAGACCTCTTCCTTTGTAACAAAGACCGCCACTTGCACCGTGTCGTGCTCGCCTACGTTAACCAGATGTTCCAGCAAATCTCTGGTATCAATCTAATCACATACTATGCGGCTGCTATCTACGAAGGCAGCATTGGTCTTAGCGGATTCTTGTCGCGTATTTTGGCAGCTTGCAATGGAACGGAATATTTCATTGCCTCTTGGATCCCGGTCTTCATAGTGGAAAGAGTCGGTCGACGTGGACTCATGCTTTTCGGTGCTGTTGGCATGTCTCTCTCTATGGTTGTTCTGGCTCTCTCTACCAGCTTTGAGGGACAGACAAAACCCGGTATAGTTGCAGCTGTTTTCCTGTTTGTTTTCAACACTTTCTTCGCTATTGGCTGGTTGGGAATGACATGGCTATATCCTGCCGAGATCGTAAGTTTGAACAATTTTCCGTTCTTTTTTTTCCCCAGGAAGTCGACTTAAACTGACGTTTGTCCTCAGGTACCTCTCCGTATTCGTGCTCCTGCCAATGCCCTTGCCACATCAGCCAACTGGGCATTCAACTTTATGGTTGTCATGATTACTCCAGTCTCGTTCAGTTCCATCAAATATAAGACCTATATTATCTTTGCTGTCATGTAAGCCGATACTGCCCTCGCTAACAAACCTCAGGAAAGTATGCCGTACTAATATGTCCCGCTATAGTAATGCATTCATCGTGCCGGTAGTCTACTTCTTCTATCCCGAAACCGCATACCGCTCTCTGGAAGAGATGGATACTATTTTCCGCAACACAGACTCTATTTTCTCAGTCGTTCGTGTTGCCAGAGAGACACCTCGTCGCTTTGGCAAGAATGGTGAGCTCCTCATCAACTACGATGACACAGACGAACATCGCGCTCGCAATGCGAGTGTTGTTGGTGAGAAACCTCATCCAACAGTGTATAACAAGGACCACGCAAACCCTGATTATCATATGGAGAACGGAAGTCTTATCTCCTAAGCTGTTTAATCCGTGTCTGTGACTTGATATGTTGCCGTTTTCTCATTTCCGGTCTGCTGTGCCCCCAAAAAAAAAAAAAAATCTCTCAATATCTACATAAAGGGAAAGGTGATTCTGCATATTAGATCTATGAAGTTATGACGATAGAGGTCCTTGAGTCTATGGTATCTGTTGACTGAATCTTTAAATAAGGAGACAGGAGAAAATTTTCATGATACCCAAGCCAGAATTGTATGTACCGTCAGCGCCTGGGGGTGAGAACACAGCAACCTCAGGTGATATTTGCATTGAATGAAATAATACTTCGTACGGAGTACGGAGTACTAGAAACAAGTTTTGTCGGCAGGTCTAGGTCGCTGAATAAACAGACACCTCTTCAACCGCCCACCAATCATTGGCATCAATCAACAAGGTCATTCATTACGTCACTGCGCCGGCAAAGCAGGATATGTTACTACATCTACGACCCTTATGCTAGCCTTGTGATTACTGTCTAATCCACCTTTCAGATTAAAGCATCCTGAATCTCTATTAAATTGAATCATTATGGTGCGAACACGTGCTCAGGAACGTGCAGAGGCCAGTTCTGCTCAGAAGCAAGTCAAGGCAGAGGAGCACGTGCCACCGAAGGAGCTTGTGGCAGAAAAAAAGCACATGCAAAAGCCGAAAAAGAGAACTAAGAAGCATGAAATTCCAGAGGCAGAGAGTATGTGTGGGGGTGTTACAATCCACGAAACCCCTTAGTTAGTTGTATTGAGGGGCATATGAGATCTCTGATCAAAAATGCTGATTTTACTCTGGGCGACTAGAGGCCACAAAGCCGCTCTCAGAAGCCGCACGCAAGGACATCCAACAACTCTTGACGGAGCAAGGGAGCTTTCCTCTCCAAGAAATCGGATTTAGCTTTCCCCTTAGTTCGAGCTCGGCAACAGTGCTAGCACTCCTCTTCGAAGCCCTGCTCAAGGCGGCGCCAATTTCGCACAAGACAGCGGACGAGACGCTCAAGGAACTACTCAAACATGGGTATGAAGATATCAATGTATTGAAAAATAGTTCTTGGGACGAGCGGAGCGATGTGTTGATCGAAGGGGGTTATCGCCATTACTATAAGAAAACGTCATCGGAGCTAGGCGAATTGGCGGAGTGGGCGATGGATAAGTACAGTACGTAACTTTCCCTGCTACGCCTGTTAATCTTGCTGTAAAGAGATCAATGGCCAACGCATGATGCGATTTGCTCATTTACTTCTTTTTTATTGGCCACGCATAGATGGAGATTTGAATAATCTCTACAAACAAACTGCCGGCTCTCGCGCGGAAATCAGGACTGCTATCAAGCATATTAAAGGCATCGGTGATGTCGCTGTTGATATTTTCCTGTCCTCGATTCAGTCCTTCTGGCCGGAAGTGGCACCGTTTATTGCCGAAAGAAGCTTGGTGACGGCGGATCATATTGGGATTGGGAAGGATGTAGAAGCCATTTATGAAGCTGTGGGAAGGGATCCGAAACAAATGTGTATGTTAGCGAGGGCATTGACGAAAATAAGGCTGGAGAAGGAAGAAGCAGAGTATACAGTGCATGAAAGTGGGAAGTAGAGAAAAGGAGTTAGTCAGGGCTCGGGGCGAGTGAAGTTCCAACGTGTCTCAGGATTCCGAATGTTGGCGTTCGTTGGTTTGTAGGTCACAGAAACGTCCACTTTCAGGTCTTTTTGTACGGATGGATGGCAGTGCAGTCCAGATGTATGTCCAGTAGCCATCGTCGAGGGCTGAAGGCAATCGCACTTCTGAGCAAGCAGACTGCCTTTGGAGGCACGTGACCATATGTCAACCACCACGCTAGCTGCAATTAGTCATCGCATCAGAGCTCCCCAGCGAGGTTGACGACGATCCCTCGGCCAGGCAGCTGAATTTGAAGACTTCGTTCTGCTTCTTTGTTGTCAAATTCTTATCTGCAGCATCGAATCATTCTCCTTAACTAAGCTCTTCTTCTGGAACTTCATGTGTTGATGGTATGTGTGACCGCGTTGAGTGCCTGTCTCATCATTGCCAGGAGGCGCTACCAAAGCTCTGATCGCTGACCAGCCACCCGTTTTACCAGACTTAATCACGACCGCTCACATCGTTTCAAATACCTTTACCAGTTAGACTTCAAGTGTCAATTGCGCGCGGCTATCCGAAGGGAGCTCTGAAAGTTGACGAAACGAAAAGTAAACAATAACTTCACCCACTGTCATCGGAATCGGAATTTACCAATTCTTTGGATATAAAACGTCGGACATATAAAAAACAAGATGGACTACTCAAATATTTTGTATGTGGAACTACCATCTTCGGCGGACTACTCCGTATACCTAGACGAATGGCCTAGGAGGCTCATTTCGCTGGGAAGACAATGTTTAAAGGCATTTATGCTGATAAACTGCGTTCTAGTCGCTTGGTCAACTTGGCCATTGGTGTTATTATGGTGCTTGGCGGGATTTCGCAATTCTTCGCTGATCCCAAATTGTAAGTGTTAAAGCTGTCCACTGGCGGGGTTTTTCGGGGGTACTATAACTGGAGACCTCCTCGGTTCACTGGGTGCTCCGCTAACACAGATGCCATAGCCGGAACATAATCATCGGCATTTACGTTATTCTATTCGGGTTAGGTATGCGGATTAACCCTGCAGTACAAACATTCATGGCAAATGCTAACTCCGATCACAGCCACCGGTGCCCTCGAACTCGTCCCGAATGTCCCAACGCAGATTACTAGACACACCTCCTTCATGTTCTCGTTTATCGGAAGAGGAATCTGTAAGTCTTCAACTTCAAAAACGGGGTGGGCCCTGGAGTATTTTCTTACTGGAGTGTCTAGTCTACATCTTTGTTGGCTGCATTATCCTGGAGCACCACGTTTTGCGCATCATCGCTGGCTCGATCGTTGGAATTGTGGGCGTGGCCTATGTCGCGCTTGAGTACATCCCCTCAATTGAACCTCCTCAGAACATGCGAGAGGCAGAACCTGCATGGGGTGCGGAGCAGATCTAAACCCATAATAATCTGTTAACACCACGATTCTCCCCCGGGCTACTGGTTCAATGGCATTCGACGGCCGTGAAATTAGCGAACCCCAGCATGGGTCGCCTTTATCATGCATGTTTTGAAGGTGGCAATGAACCTTTGCACGATCCGATTACTGACGAGGTGGGCTTGGACTGGGAGGTCACGTCCTTCACATGCCCCGTTGCACTCCTCCATTTGTGGCAGCACAAATGATACTTTGGCCTTCATGCCCTCTTTTCTTTTAATTAGCCTTTAAGATAAGTTGATGATGTCCATCTTCGGCTTATGAATGCTATCTTTTCCACACTGTACTTTAAAAACGATTTCAAAATAAACTCATTCGTTGTGTCGACGCGCGCCTCGTCCTTAGTGTTGTGCCAGCCCCGGAACCCACGCCACTTCTGACTAAAGGGGCCCGCAGCCCTGCATCCACCAGTAGGAACGTAGCCAGTGCTGCTGACACGGCTGACCAGGCGCAGCTGGCGAATTAAAAAAGCCACAATGCTAATCTCTAATCTTGACCCATATTTTCTAGCCTGATAAGGTTTAGCACCTTGGAGGCGGATTGACGTCGACGGCGAAAGTCTATTTTTCATCAGACCGAAACTTATCAGATTGCGCCCTCGACATTCAGCCGCGTCGCCGCGCTAATCCAGGAGACGGTGAGGTTGAAGCAACTGGGAAGACGAGATCTTTGCAAGAGAATCCAGCTCTTTACAAAAGCCATACGTGTTAAATAGAGAGAGTTAATGTCCCGTTTTCCGGCGATTACAGTTGCGCGATAATCTAGCGGTGGGAAAAGCCCAAGAGATAAGATAATCGGCAGTAGAGATCCATATCTGATCCCTTGACCACATCGATAATTTGCTCAACAGGGATCCGTTCACATTGCGCAGGACAAAGCCGTGCTGGGGAAGCTGGGACAGGATTTGGATGTTGTCAGAAAGTAAATGATTATTCAACCCTGCTGTGCTACCATAAGCATAACTACTTCATCGGATATTATTTCGCCCTGGGCCTGCCTGTCTGTCAGGCCACTCCCATATCTGATCGTCAGCCAGATCACAAGAGCTCCTCACCCAACCGATCTTCACCAACCACAACCACTTTTTCCGCGAATAAGAAGTTTTGTCGAATTCCTTCCGGGTTACAGCTCGGTTCGGTTAGGCTTTTCTTGGAAGCAGTGACTTGAAGTCTCACGTCCTGCATTGCATTGCTCCCTACGAAGTACGTCGCGGCTCGTTACGCCTCCCAACATAAACTCCTCCTTTTGTCACCACTCCATCCTCGCTCCTCCAAAAATTTGTCCTCCTTCTTTGATTCATCCAAACTTGATGAATTCTGCCTAACCGTTGTCGCAGCATCTTTAGTCCTTTTGCGTTGGGACTTTCCGTCCTCGTCCTGCAGCTGGCTTATCTCCGGAGGCCACCGCCGCAACAGCTCTAGCCTATCTCATCCATCGCAACTCGGTGCTACAACAACTTTTTACCTCAACCTCAGCATCACATCAGATAACTTAAGCGCGTTACCCTTCCTATTCTCTGCCGTCTGCTGCGTTGTGCACATTCATACCTCGAGCATTCCATCGTGAACATTGTATACGGTTGCCTGGCGAAGATCTGATTACGATCATCCTCGTGCGAAGCCATCGAAGGTAATTCGGCCCCCGGAATCGGATTATTCGAGAACTTCCTATTACATCTCATTTGTCCCGGTCGAATATCATCCTATCGGCCTCCTATCCAGCTAAAAGACACGCTTGGGCGCCGAATAATTTGAGAAACGATCGTACTACCTTAGACAACTCAGTTTGTGATCGACAGTTGACCCGGGAGGGAAGATTTTGCAGACTATAGTGGTTGTTTCTGTCAGGCCGACCCGTGGTTTTCGACGTATCTATGGATATCGTTAGAGGTGTTCCGCCGTCAACGAACAGCATGATGCGCCACCCATCCGCTGAAGATCTTGATGCCGCGCATCAACTTGTATCTTCTGCCCGTGGAGCAAGGGATCAGGCTGCGGATCCTAGCTCTTCAGGGGCTGGAGTAAGATCAGATGGCGGCGAGATGCTGAATCTATCTGATACCGAAAACCCCCAGAACAGGGCAAGTCCTGGAAGAGAGAATCAGATGCCGATGGAATCAAACGACGAAAATCGGCCTAATGCATCACGCCAGTCGCCAAAGTCCCGTGGCAAAGAACAGGTTTTCCTCGGCCATTCGTGCGTGTACGTGGCTAAGTCCCTAGTCCATGATTTGCTGTGTAGTCTCTCCTTCCACTAACAAAGCCTGATATAGCAACTGCGGAACGAAAAGAACTCCTCTTTGGCGCAGAGCGCCCAACGGTTCTACAATATGCAATGCCTGTGGCCTATATCTGAAAGCCAGAAATGCTGATCGCCCCACGAATCGCAATCGTTCATCTGCCATGACTGGACCAAGTACACAGCAAAATATCAACGCACGAACCAGCATATCTCCCAGCGCCACTGGCGGTTGTTCCGGTCGCCAGTCGAATGCAACGAACGATGAATCGGCTTCAGTTGGGACATGTCCGGGTGGTGGCAGTTGCAACGGAACGGGTGGTGCTGTTGGTTGTGATGGCTGTCCAGCATATAATAACCGTGTTTATAAATCGTCTTCCCGACCTGCCCCCGTGCGACACGCTGCAAGAGTTTCTCCTCAAGCCATAAATCAGCCTGGAAATATGAGCCACGAAACGAACGATCTGTTAGATGTCCCTAATCAAGAGGGAGGAGTACCAACTGCATGCCAAAACTGCGGTACTACAGTAACTCCATTGTGGAGGCGAGATGATCAGGGTCATCCTATTTGCAATGCTTGCGGTATGTCTAGGTTTCCTTACTTTTCAATGAAATTTATGGCTAACGTCGAAATTCGGTTGTTGAAGGGCTCTACTTCAGGTTGCATGGCTGCGCTCGACCGGTAGCCATGAAGAAATCGATTATTAAAAGAAGAAAACGCGTTGTTCCAGCCCTGAGGGATAGGTCTCCCACAGCAGGTTCTTCCAACGATTCTTCAGTCTCCCCCGAGTTGCCACCCGCTTCCCTCGCCTCACACCAACTCGATACCCGGAGATACTCGCATGGAGAACAAACCAGCCCCTTCGTCGCGAATGCCAATGGGCAGCTATCTCCTCACATGCAAACAACATACCCATCAAATCACTCCGCTCCTCCGGCCATCGACTTCACCGGATACAACGCGAAATCGACTTCTCTTCCCCACCATGGACCACCACCAGGGGGTCTATTCAACGGTGATCGAGTCGTCCCAAGCGAGCATTTAACTTCAAGTGCGACTCCAAAAAAGCGTTCGCATGAAGAAGCAAATGCATCAGATACACAGGCCAACGCTCTTCCCAATAACTCCCACATCCCAGCATCTGCTCACCTCCCCCCAATCAACCCCTCAGCCGCGTCTTCCGTTTCTCATCCTGGCCGCTTAAGCTCAATTTCTTCCTTGCTTAACCACGCGGAAAAGTCTTACGAAGGTTCATCTATTGACCCATCTCTCAATTCCAACGGCTCCAGATCACAGCCGCATCCCCCTCCGTCGTTTTCCCCTTCACATGCACCTGCCTCATTGTCCCCTTCTGGGTCCGGTTGTACTGGTTCACTTCAGCCATCAGCCGCCGTTGTTGGACCTACGGCTCTTTCGGACGAAATGCTCAAAGCGGAACGAAGAGCTCAATTACAGCGAGAAGCCGAGAACATGCGTGAAGCTCTCCGTGCCAAAGAAAGGGAGCTTGCTGCCTTGGAGCCGTGATTCGTTCAGCACGGTCGTTCAGTGCTTGTTCGGGAGTTTGTGATATTACTTGCTTCAAATTGATTTGCCCGGATTGTCCTTATATGTATCGGTTTTAGGGAAAGGGATGGATAGCGGGATGCCATGATGCATTGGCTTGAATTTTTCAAATCATAATCTGTTTTCTTTACGGTGTTCTCCTTTTCTTTCCCTCTTTTCCTTATTCAAGCTGCAAAGTAGTCTGGTTGTAATCCCTTTGCTCTGCGAGTTGCAGGAGTCTCAGTCCTTTAACCTTCTCATTGAGTGGCTGAATCATTCAAAAAATCCATCCTTAATCTGGATTGGATGTTAATTTGTATCCTGATTATCATAAATTAAAAAGCTTCCAATCTGCGTGGGATACAGGATATGGCACTCAAGATCAAGATCCAGTCATGATAAGATTAGATTAACTAGACAAGCTGCCGTTTGTGGCTGAGGTGTCAGCGGGACAAACACAACACTCCCCCATCCACACGCTGGTACAACGAAGCTACTCTTCCATCAGAAGAACTTCTGTTGATGGATGGGCTACAAAAGGAGGACAAAAGATAAGTATGGTTTGTTTCTTGTATTTAAAGTGTAAGTTAGTTATAAATTCATCATTTGTCTATTCTCCACCGACCCGAGCTCTGTTGTCAAAATGCATTCGTGCTAGACTAGACAATACAACAACAAGGCCATGATTAGAGAACAAACATATGTAGTGGTGCTCTCAGTCGCAAGTAACAAACCGCAGCGCAATTTCTAACTCTCCCAGAAGTACCCAAAGTTGAACCATTTGCCCAAAAGATGTGCCCCGTAAGACATCACGGAAACTTTTGAAGTGTCCCACCCCTGGGCCAACCACTTTGCCTTCCATTTGGCCGGCACATCAGGTCAGCAGATAAGGAAGCATTTTTGGCCAACGACAAATGTGCTACCAAACTGCAGAAGCTCGAGCATGCTGGAAGGCATGCGAGGTTCCCTCTTGCGAAAATCGGTCTGAATCGGCGCGTCGAGCGAGAGATGAAAGGATGGGAAGACAAATACTGTGCAGAGGTTGAACTCCAAGAGATTTCTAAATATCCTCCTTAGCAAACGTGTCTCCGGATCCAAGGCAACCGAAGATACCATTAACCTTGATATCCAGGAGAGTCCGATGATAGATTCTCCTAGGGCGCTGACAGATATTCGTGCACAATCTCTGTCGGCAAATTCTCCCGCGCAGTTAGCTTCTTTCACACGGGCAAGCGAACCTAGATATGCCCGCTTCTCCGCCCAGGCCCAGCCACATTCGGGGGGACCCCACAGCCCTCGATCTAAGCCTGCGTTACTTCACCAGCCAGGAGCAGATCGTCCACAGCCCCCCCACAAAAAAGTGCCTGCCGCCATGAAAGCACATTTGTGAGGTCGGATGTTGACATAGTAAGGGAAATTTTGGCGTTGCCATCTCGCAGAGAGAGCATAGGTCGCGGTGCTTGCATCCAAAGGAACGAACTAAGGGGCGGAGATATATCCGCACTGACTAAAGGAGAGGATTCTGCCGATCGTCCATAACCTCCCACAGAGCAGGCCCTGTTTTTGCAGGGCGAGAAGAAAGTACGTCGCCGCCTTTGTACTTTCAACCAATGATAAACCGTGGGCCAACGGATATCCCGCCCACAGTAATGGAAGATTCGCGGAGTCCATGTGAACGATAGCACGGCAGTCCCACGTCCATGGTCAAAAAGATGTGGATTTTTCCGATGCCCGGACCTAGGCACCGCTGCCGAATAATGAAAGCAACAGGGATGCAACAAGCCGAGAAAATAATCCCTCCAGTCAAACTGTTTAGGAGGCGGGAAACCCCGCTGCGGCAGAGAGCATTCCTGCGCAGCAAGACGATAAGAATAGGGACCCACACCGACAAGCCATGCACCGCTTAGGATCGATGACACGAATGGGAACAAGATGGGTCCGCATGGCATTCGGAGCGCCCGAGATCACGCTCTCGGCCAGGACGTGAAATATCCATTTCACAAGAAACCCCGCAAAACACAGTGAACTTCCAGTTTCGCCAGGACGCGGAGCATCTGAAGGGCAGCCAAAACAGACCGCACGATGTGCTGAACGGGAAAAGAACCGCGAGAGTATCCCTTTCGGAGAACCTCCCGAAAAGCGCAAGGTAGCAGCGAAAAACTCACACTTGAAATTGCGTGCCCATGAGGCGCCGGGCACCATCGGTAGCAACAAGCCCAAAAGGAACCTATCGCGTCTGAAAAGTCATTGACGATGCGCCGAATAGTCATATGCATATCCGCAAGTAGCGGCAAGAGACATAAGTGGGGACAGCCAAGCTCCTGGAACTCGAGACACAGCCGGTAAAGCTCCGGCCGGTTGTCGCCAGGGTGAAAGAATCCAAGAGAATTCATATACCTTTCCGCTCATCATGGACAGACAGACAGACCCAGCACTAATATCTTGAAGATGATCTAGATCAACAAACATCCGCGGCAAAGGTAAGCCTCGAGCTTATGCTCTGGAGGATATGAACTCGAGAAAATCATGTATATTCTCCAGATCGAAAGCAAAATTCAAGGTCTCCGGCCGAATCACGGTACATGTATATACAAGGAGAAGAGTAGATCAAGGCGCTGTTATTCAAGAAGTTTAGGTAGGCGTATTTCCCAGAGCAGAAGAAACTGTGTCTCAGGCCCCAAGCAACGTCCCCCACATGTTCGCTGTGGTATAGTCCAGGAAGCAATCCACACCGAAAGCTAGACCAGAAACTTCAAGGTAGGTCAAGTACCTTGGCCCTGGAATTGTGAAGCAGAAGAAGCTGTGTCGCGAAGTCAAGCAACGTCCCCCACATGTTCGCTGTGGTATAGTCCAGGAGGCAATCTACACCGAAAGCTAGACCAAAAACTTCAAGGTAGGCCAAATACCATGGCCCTGAAACAGAAGAAGCTGTGTCGCGAAAGTCGAGTGATGTCCCCCAGGCCTTGTTCGCTGTGGTATAGTCCAGGAAGCAATCCACACCGAAAGCTAGATCAGAAACTTCAAGGTAGGCCAGATACCTTAGACAGAAATTATGATGGCGCTTCATTCAGTTCCATGCAAACTCATTCTGAATATCTCAGATTTCCAACGTTTCTGGAACAGGGGCTCGAGCTTCAATTCGCTGGTGGGGTCAACAACGGGTTAAACCTCTCCAACGGTGGGCTGAGACTTGGGTCAACAACTGTGCACGCTTCGAGTATGAAGGGGAAAAAAGGACCGCTGGGCCCTCTCCATGCTCGAAAACGGGATCTTAGGGCAAGGCGACTAGCATGTCCGATTGACGAAGGGTGGACGTCCACTTCTGTTCACTGATTGCCCGAGTTCTTGTAAGGTCTAGGTTCAGTCAGCCACCACTCCCTAGAACCGCGGAAGCCGGAGCACAATGCAACAGCTTCCCAGCACCCGGCAGTAATTCAGCGAATGTTGCCATCCTGGTGGCATGTAGCGACGGGCTATGCTGCATTCTTGTTGACACAAAATGTCTCAAGTCGTCGAGGCATGGTACATGCTTCTAAGCCATCCATAGTTATCTCTTCCGCCCATCATCCGTTGATGATGATAATACATATCGTATTAGCCGTTCACACGTGTGTGTCAGGACTGTTGCGGTTGCCCCCATCGATAGGGTAAAACCAAGCGTCACCATTAGAATGCCATGGTGGGAACGCAGACCGGACAGAGACAGATGCGGTGCACCACCGCTGTTTAGCTTTGACCGATTCTCCGGAGCCTGAATCCTCCTGGTAGAAACATCCTCCGTAGGTTCGAAATAGGTCGCTGCTATAGAACCAGCATCCAAGGCCTCTAAGGCACTGAGGACTCCAAGACGGATCGGGCGCTCGGAGCTTGGGCGGATTATCTATGGTCACGCCTGGAAACTTGAGGTCGGTGAGCCCACCATAGGATCCGTTGGGACAAGGCTAAAACCACACAGCCCAGAAGGATCAGAGGCGAGTGTAACCGGAAACCCAAGCAGCAAGACCGTACAGTTTCCTCCATGGGGAGAATCGTCTTAAAGTAAGGAGCCCTCTCTCCCCACATCGTCACCAAACTTCAAAGTATTCGGACAAGATGAACATGAACGATGGATTTTTGCCAGGAAATATATCGAGAAGCAAGCTTCCGTTCTCCCCCAATGCAGAACAGATCCATCAAAGTGTCCGTTTACCCTTCCATCATGACGCAACCACTGAGCGGCGAGCGCTGGGAAGGACGTGGAAACCTCCGCCGCGTCCATTTAGTTGCGTCCATGAGCCTGCTCGACTCCGAAACATATTCATGCCTCGTAGGGCAGAAAAGTGTTGCCATCCAACCGTTTACTGGCAGCCACGGCTCGGCCAGGTACATTATCGGATCCGCTGGATCATAACACGGCACACGGTCGTCCCAACCGTACTTATCTTGCAACCAACCCCCCTCTGCCGTGTAAAATTGGAAGACACGCCCCGTAATAGCCCTTAGCAATTCATGGCCCCGATAGCGAGCGAGATCGCCCCACTCGCCATCGTACAGGACTGGGTCGACAAATTTCATCGCCTGCCTGAGGATTGTTCCCACTCTCGATGTGCTATTCAGCCAAGGTTTTGGAGGGGTGAGGATGACGAATAGCGATACTTCAGGAGGAGTAAAGCTGCGTTCTGAGATCGGTTCCCCGAGCCAGTTGAAATGGTGCACGTGAGGTCGGTTGTCCATCCACCACCCTTGCCATGATTTTTCGAAATGGGCGATCGAAAGCAAGTCTTGCAGGCATTCATGATCGATCAGGCAATGCGTAAATGGAAAGTTACCATCTGCGTCTGCACAACGCGGCCCCTCTTGCGAGTCATTTGATTCCGTCTCGATATCATAGCGTTGCGTTGTTTCAACAATCAACGGCTCCGATCGAATAATATCAGCCTGAGGTAGCACGGAGCTTCCAGGATCCGATTTAGTTGTCGTGGAAGGTGTAACGCTCTCCAAGCAAGATTCCTCTAAAGTCGCATTGCCTGCACTTTTCATGGATTGGCCAGGCGTTTCTTCAGACGAACGGTCTCTGTTTCCGGTGATTTCGCGGCCATTACACGGGATGTGGCCTGGATTGTCCGTCCGGAACACTTCATCGTCGCAATCGCTCCAATCAAAAGGTTCCGGTTTGAGAAGCTTTGACAACTCAGCGTCTTCTGTAAGGTTTCCTGGGTAGGCATCATGCGGGGCTGTCGCATTCTTATCAAGAGGGCGAACGGCAAAGAGACCGAGATCATATTGGCTTTCGTCACGTCCGAAGTCGTCGGTTCTTTTCTTAAAGTACTCGATATCAAAAAGTATATCGACATCGGAGCGACTACATTTAACTTTGGATCCGTAATCGGAAGATGAAACTCTTGGCATTTCTAGCGAGGATTTCGAAGGTTGAAGGGCACGTTGAACCATGTAGACCGAGTCTCCCAGTCGCTCCGCACAAAAGTCATAGATGCTTGAGGTCGATTCTCTTGATGGAACAACAAACGTGGCGTTGCAGAGCATGAGCCGTCCGCTATAATCCCAAAGCGTAGCCTCGATGGTATAAGCTGGACCCGGATTTTTAGGCGTAATAGCACAATGATAGAGCTGGCTTCCGCGCCCACACTGCCTTAATCTTGTCGGGTAGTCGATTGAGCAAAAAGGGCCAGGAGGAAGATACCGGGGAGAGGAATTGACATGGTTCTCCAGTACTTGAAGGATGAACTGCTCCCAACGGAGGAAGCTGCCGGTTGGCATAATTCGGTGCGGGAATGTCGAGGTTTAAGTAGCTTTAAGCGCGAGTCGAGGCACAAAGGGAGGATCGAGAGAGGAAAACCGGATGAGTGGAAACGAATATGCCAACTCACAAAGAGACACTCGTTCAAGTCTGCAATAGGCTTTTGGATGTTTAAGAGAAAGTAGCCCGAGAGCGGACCTTATCTCCTTGTTGAGTTGCGCTGGATGAAATGGAGACAATGAAATAGTCCTATAAAGAGTCCAGGCTGAAGATAAAAAGGCTGGCTTTGCTTGTGGTCGACAGACAAATATAGGGAGGTGGAAGATTTGAAAGCAAAGGCCCCATTGTCGTATCGCCCGACAACGGCTCTTTATGCTGCCAATTTGAGAGTCTTCACGCCGGATTCAGTGACAAACATTCCTTGAAACTTGACAGGAGCAGTCACAGGGCAGCTGCATTAAGCTAAAATACCAGAATTCGATTGTTTTCATTCATAGTATTCATTGCCAGAACATGTGCAATCACTTTTAGCATAAAGAGGGAATGTATGACTCCCCAAGTTGGTGAATGGCCTGGAAGTAGTGATACACACACACACGCCAACAAGGCGTGAGGCGAGCATAAATCCATCCCGCATCACCATTCACATGGGATATGGCGGGATATGGAGTCCTTTGGACATCGCAAACATTGTTAACAGCAGGGGCAAGCCTTGGTCAGATATGAAAGGCTGGTGAGAGGGCAAGCAAACGAAAAGACATAGGAGATGTTGAAGTGGGGGTGAAACAAGCCTGAGTGAATCAAACAAGAAAAGAGAGTCTGCGCTACAAGCATTTCCAAACACAAAGCAAAGTCGCATTGCTATTCATTTCCTGAGCACAACCCTTCATGATGCTGGGTTGGGGACTAAAAAGCCAGCATGTGTGGTATGTTCTGGTAGTGACAGGAATCCGGCCGAAAACAAATGGCAAATGAACCAAAAACATCACACATTCTTTTGAGCTAGCTGCAATAATGGCTTCCTGTAGCCAGCATACGAATGATCATCGCTTCAGTGTTGCTTTGGCTGCTCGTGTCTGGGCAGCACTCTCCATGGCCCTTTGCAATTCAAGCCCAAGTAGTATGAGCTTAGAGGCAATGAATGTATAGGTTAAGTTCTGAGAAACAAATTCTTTTGCTTAAAACTAAAATATTGACTTTGCGTTGGAGTGATTGCTTGATATGCATGGGGGTTTGTGAAAGAGAACAGCGAGACTGAGCAGCGTCGGCGGTGGTTAAGATCGGCACTCGGAGTTAACGCCGGGGGTAACTAAAGCCTCCAGCGCGGGGGAAAGCTAACTAACTCAGATAGCAAAGCTGATGAGGCCCATCCCGCCCGCAAGTGACGAGCCCCGGCATCCTCCCGCCCTGCAACCTTCAAGGACCTGATTCCCCTTCCTGCCATCGCCCGCCGCAGCGTACCATCACTCGCTCGTCCTTATGCACCATTTCCGTCCCTGCATTCAAGCTCTCCGGACTTTCACGCGATATCATCAAATTATCTCCCGAAAGCCGACCCATTTTCCAGAGTTACGACCGGTACTACATTACAAGGGCCGTCCAATCATCCAGCAGGCGTACGCCAGAAGCACAATGGCTACAGCCATGGGAAAGCGCCTTGAGGGCAAGACAATCCTAGTGACGGGCGCTTCGTCCGGAATTGGGAAAAGCACCGCGTTGGAATTCGCCCGTACATCGCCCAAGAATCTGAAGCTGATCGTCACCGCGCGAAGGGTCGATTCGTTGAAACAGCTTGCCGAAGACATCAAGGCCGAAGTTGGCGAAGGTGTACAAGTTTTGCCGTATCAATTGGATGTGAGCAAGCCCGAGGAGATCGAGAGATTCGTAGACTCGTTGCCTGCTGAGTTCCGCGATATTGATGTGTTGGTGAACAACGCGTGAGTTCGAAATGCCGCGGATTCCTCAATCGTCAATTTATCCGTTCCGTATGCTTATGGATGAAATAGAGGCCTTGTCAGAGGCGTTGCGAAAGCTCCCGAGATCGACACTGAGGATATCAAGATAATGTTCGACACGAACGTTACCGGATTGATAAACATGACTCAGGCCATATTACCAATTTTCAAGGAGCGTCCCAATGGCGGTCGAGGAGATATCATCAACATCGGAAGTATTGCTGGCCGAGAAGCGTATCCCGGAGGCAGCATTTATTGCGCAACAAAGGCTGCGGTCCGCAGTTTCACAGATGCTCTTCGGAAGGAGCTCATAGCAACAAGAATCAGAGTTATCGAGATTGACCCTGGCCAGGTGGAGACTGTAAGTACATATATATATATATATATACACATATACGGAATCCATGGGTATATGTTATTTGGTAACTAAACAAACATCTCTAGGAATTCTCTGTCGTTCGATTCTACGGTGACAAATCTAAGGCCGATGCCGTTTATGCGTAAGTTCATTCATTCCTTGCTTTTTCACCCCAGCCGTCTCTTCTATGGCTAATCTCGTGCTGGGCAGTGGATGCGACCCCCTCACGCCAGATGACATCGCCGAGGTTGTCGTCTTCACGGCTGGGCGGCCGGAGAATGTGGTCATTGCGGACACACTCATCTACCCACAACACCAGGTATGTTTGACCAGTGAAGCAGAGCTCGCCTTAGCGAACACACGCGTGGAAGATAGTTAAACTCACTCTGCAAATGATAGGGCTCCCCAACCGCCTTGCACCGCCGCTCATAGAAGATAAAACATTTCCGAGCACGCCTAGTCCTTGCCCCTCCCTTGTATATGGTCTGAGGAGCGGGCTTGTTGTTTGAACCACCCGAAACACATAGAAAGGAAGGCCATCCATGATGCAAATAGGTCTAGAATCCTTAGACTCCAGTAGAACAAGAAGACAGCCTTTTTTTCTTTTTCCTTCCTTTCTTATCCATTATTCCTTGCCAGCTTTTAGCTGTCCACCGCGGCGGGGGAATGGAAACACAAACACCAACATCTTCTAGCACGTAGTCTCACTCTCCCTGTATTTTCCCTGGCGTACGTCCATAAGCCCTCCGCATCGAGCGTGATATCATCCAGGGTTTCCCACTGGGCACGGACTCACCCTTTCCGTCACCGTCATCAACGGCAAGCGGCCAACCGGGGGTGGAAAGCGGCCATGGCGCGACGTCACCGGAAAATCAGACATTCCCCGCATACTAGCTCGCGGCCCAAGCAACATGGCACATGCATGACTAGCAGTTAGTGAGTTTGTTAGTCGCAGTTGAGACTGTGAGACACAGTGCCAGGGACCCAGAGACATTCGTCAGGGTTGTTTCAGGATGGAACTTGGGTTGAATCCTGACAAGACGGCCCGAAAAAGAGGGGCGAGGAGAGTAAGAAAGAAGGGAAGACAGAGCGCAGAAACGCCCCAAAGGTTGGCGCAATTTAACTGCAAAATGAAGACATGTTGGGATCAGGTGACTATCTTCATATGCAGTGTAGGTCGATCTGAGATTTCCAGAAATTCGAGCAGGGGGAAATCGCTGCCATATTTAGGAGAACGGTCGTTGTCAAGCGATATTTATACTGGGAACGGCATTCACTCCACAAACAGTAAGCTAGGTTTAGGTGGTGCTGGCTTGAATCGCTCTTAACAAAATACTCTATATCCCGTATCTCCGGGGTATACGGCACTCGCTATAAGGCTGATCTTAATTCAGCGACAGATGAAGCGCTTAATTAGGTGCTTTGCAAAGTTATACAGTGTATTCCGTACTTCATATGTATGCCTGCATTTCTGTGGCGATCGTCTTTCTTGACAGAATCTTCCCCGAAACCGGGGTCCCTGGTTGGTGATATTCCCCATCTGATTGCGCTCAAGCAACGGGTATCGATGGCTATCCAGCGTCCAGCATACAGGTTTAGACGTCAGGGTGTACCTTCATATTCCGTACATCTCTAAGCATCCGGCGTGTACTACATCTGCTCAGTCGGAGGGTCAGTTTGTAGAATTTGTTGATAGAGTATGGAGTAGTACTCCCTCCATCACAAGGCCAAACCGGAAAATATTGTCATGCGGGCGACAGGTGCTGTTCTCGTGCTGACTTGAAGATATTCCTGCCCGAAGACGCCGAGTCAAGTTCTGTTTTCCTTCCGCCCCGGGGGGGATCCTCTCACGACAGAAACCTTGTCAGGGGGGTTACTTCAGCGGGAATTTTCAGGAAAATCTGCATCAGAACAGGCATGGATCGGTAATAATCCCAGCACGGTCGCTGCGAGATTCAGGGCTGGAATATCCTTTTGCTTCTTGCGATCCCTTTGGCTTCGGGGAATCTCCAGAGTGAGCAAGTGAACTTTCAGCCCGAAAAACGGGGGTGGTACATTGCTCTTGGGATTGATGCTGAGTGGTTCAGCGCTCAAATCGCATGCTTCCCCTCATGGATGGAGGTTGCATGTTCCAATTGAATTGCGCGAAGCAGACAGCGACCGTTAGCGAGGCACGAGGTCTTGCCCATCAAAGGGGTTCATCTTAACTTAATTGCGCCGATATCACCTCGGAAAATAGAGATGTACATGTCAATTTCACAAGTGATCATGGAGTCGAGATAACTTACGGAGGACATATTGTCCATACTTCCTCATTGGATGGGAGGTAATGTGGTGAGCCGGCGACGCATCCAACCGCATCGTCCGTCGAACCCATCGGACGGAGCGAATCACAACCTCTCCAACGCCAAAAGGATGCACCTTTAAAAATAGCTCCAGAATCAAGCCTTCCGGATCCATGGTTATATCGCCCACTAATATTGAAAAAAAGAGACACAATGATTGCACATGCATCTGGGCAAGAGAGCCGAAACCTCACTTTGACAGCCACACAACGACGTGTGTGGATGGCTGGGGGAAACTTGAGCATTCGATTGGATCTGATGAGTACCAAAAAAAAAAAGGGGGGGTTGCGATAAGAATGATAGTCCCGAAGCAACTTTCTCCCAGCCTCTTGTAACCATGTTGGAACCGGAAAGAAAGGGTTAAGTTGTGTTGAATTGAAGTGTTCTCTTAACCGACTCTAGGGTTTAGGCGGAGAAAATATAAAACTCCTACCAGATTTCGGCTCAGCAGGCCTCGAGACCTCAAGAGCCGAAAGGGATGCAAAAGCTCCTGGCCTGGCGGCTAACTAGCAGTGTGTGGAGCGAACAAGGTCACTCTGGCTGCCCCCGCCCCTATCCCCTTCTGCTACAATGCCCACCAAGCGGTCCATCCCGGATGCAGTAATAATCGCCGCCCTCCATTACGCTTAGCACTGCCAAAGATATGAATTATTGTCGTAGAGTCCGCTGGGAAGCGATTCAAACTCGAACGGCAGGCGAAACTACAGTACGGATCGATCCGGCTTGAAATCCCCTCTGCCGTCCCCGCCTCCAGATCTCCCCTCGTTTGAGCAAGTAAGCCGAGAACGTAAAATTGGAAATGGTTGTGTCGACAGACAGGTAGGAAATCTCGGGCGTTGCAGAGGCGTGTCGGAGGATTGTAGATCAAGAGAAAAGAAAGAAGAGAGACAGAGAGGTTTTTTAAACAAGATCGCCTCTTCTTCCACCAGAGTCCCAATTTTCCAACCCCTGACCCTGTCCGAGCGTGGGTTTCTAGCGCCATACAGATGTAGGTTGGAGGTAGTTTTGGGTGGTGAAGTGGACTGGGGCCAAGCCGTCACTCTCGACTCGCTTTCTCGCTCCCCCCAACCTGCTCGCTCGCTATCACCTCTTCCCGACCCCATCCAACAACCCTCTAAAGCTTGCCTGAGCGCAACAATTGACATTCTCTTGTGTCATAACCTGACTGCTGGTTGTCTCGGCAGCTGAACTGTTCGCTCCGGTCTCCTTTTTCACTCTCTTCACTGAACTGCACGCCTGTCACGCGCCGAGAGAAAGCATATCATGTCTTCAACCTCAAAGGTGAGCCACGCACCGACATGTGATGCGTCACCATGGCCCTCTTTGTGCAATCTCAATGAAAGGGCCATCGATCTAATCCTACAATACCACCTTTAGTTTCTCCGTGAATACAAGCTGGTGGTTGTTGGTGGAGGAGGTGTTGGCAAATCATGCTTGACCATCCAGCTAATCCAGAGCCACTTCATTGACGAATATGACCCGACAATTGAAGGCAAGTCGCTCCTCGAATATATCATGTGTACTGCGGCAGATGCTGATGTTGCTCACCTGCGACTACAGATTCATACCGCAAGCAATGTGTCATTGATGATGAGGTCGCGTTATTAGACGTCCTCGATACCGCGGGCCAAGAGGAGTATTCGGCAATGAGAGAACAGTACATGCGAACCGGCGAAGGGTTCCTGCTGGTCTACTCGATTACCTCCAGGCAGTCATTTGAAGAAATAATGACCTACCAGCAACAAATACTTCGCGTCAAGGACAAGGACTATTTCCCTATGATTGTCGTCGGCAACAAGTGTGATCTAGAAAAGGAGCGCATCGTTTCCAAACAAGGTAGGGATTATCTGCCCAACGTGCGATAGATCAGGTGGCTAGCAGAGGATCTCTCTATTTCGCACAAATCTTTCGTTTGCTCTCGCTAACACCATCGCCGCAAAAACAATAGAGGGCGAAGCACTGGCGCGCGAATTCGGCTGCAAGTTCATCGAGACCTCCGCAAAATCCCGTACCAACGTTGAAGATGCCTTCTATGATATCGTTCGCGAAATCCGACGCTACAACAAGGAAATGTCATCATACTCCTCTGGAGGTGGTGGCTACGGCTCCCGATCTCCAGAAGGCAAAATGGAAGTGGACGATCGCGGTGAGAGCAGCGGTTGCTGTGGAAAATGCGTTATCATGTAAATGAAAATTCACAGGCGAAGAAAAAAAAGGAATAAAAAGAAAAGAAGAGAAGAGAAGTTTCAACCGCGGAACTGCTTTCACGACGATAGAAACATGACCGGAGCCGGCCCTTGCGATTCTTTTTCAAATGAACGAGGATGTCATGACTGAGATTCACGCTTTTAAGGTCCTTGCAGTACGTGCAGTCGCCCTCCAACCGCTCTCTGCACTAGCTGGAATTCCGTGATGCTTTGGTGCCGAGACTACCTGCAACCGGTCGAAGGACTTTTCTTTCCACTCAATACTTTGCTACGTCTGTTTTGTTTTTCTTTTTTCCCCTTCAGGCTATTCGATTTTCATTTGTGATACCTGGCTACAATTCCCTGGATTTGTGGAACCTTCATACTCAGAGATATCGTTCGCTGGTCTGTGCTTATTTTTCCAAGGATCTCCTTCTATTCTACATATTAACAACTCCTTTTAATCTCATGTCCTACCCCTTTCCCCTCCCAATGTCCTCCTTTCTTCTGCCCTTTTTATTTTCTCTTTTTATTTCTTCCAATTCCTGCATTTACTCCCTTTTTCGCTGTGAGTATTATTCCCCTTTTATATCCGACTTGTCCTTTCCTTCCACACACACTCACGATCATTTTAATCAGTTGATTTATTTTCGCCGGGATCTTCTACCTCGTTTTTGAAGCCTCGCTGCAACTTCTGGGCTGGCAGGGTTCTTGACGTATGTGGGATATTCCTCTGCCGGCTGCCATGCCTTCTGGTAAAGCACATTTACTTGTCTCTCTACTATTTTACTCATTATGTGAAAATACTGTGCACGGAATCGAGTTGGAAAAAACGGTCCCAATGTAAAATGTACTTCTTGCAGCGATTCTAACTCTATTAGTTCTTGTCCATTTTGCGTCTCAAATGTCTCTTTGCCTCCGCTTGGTTTCCTTCGCCTGTGATTTGTGCTGAGGGCTTTTCGTGTTCGAATGGAATTGATCGTGAACTACGGAGGATCTCCCTGCGTTTCAGCAGCAGCCTACAACCCCCCAGTTCCAACCCAGCAAACCCGTCTAGTACTAGAGAATTCCATCTAACTTTGTTTTCCTGTCGAGTATTCCCATCTCAGTTTGGTCAGGATCAAGCACCTTGCATCGCTTTCCGGCCGGCTCAGGTCCGTCGGGCCCCGTAATATTCCAATCCGGGACAATCCTCCTATAACCAGATCGGAGACATATTCTGTCCATTTCGTGTCACAGGCTAGGCGCATCTAGTATATGGGGTCACTTGTCCAGTGCAGCAACCGGAGCTTGCAACCTCCACGGAAGCCTGCCTAACCCCACACGGACGAGTGACGAAGGGGCCATTTTATATTTCTTGTGACAGTCGAGAGGAGGGATTACTAGGCACTCTGATTTGACTTCCCTGCCAGTAAACAGCCATCCTCGTACCAACCTGACATCATTTTAGTGCATTAGATACTAAAGATCGATCGCTCAGTATTGACCCTCTATATATAAATATGCATACAGAATCCACGACCTTATACCTATTTTTGCTCTTCCGGCTCATCAACTGGATCATCCTCGTCCTCCCTGGACACCCTCCGTCCCTCCACGTTTTTCTCAACCTCATCCACCAAACTCTCCATATACTCCAAATCCGTGCCGACCAACGTCACCGTATTCCTCTTCTTCCCCCACCTCGGGTAACTGCCCACTTTAATCCCTCTAGGCTCCACTCTAGCAGCCAATTCGGTCAAATACGGCGCAATCGTGCTCTCGTACAGCGGTGTAGCGAACATGAGCCGGTGAATTCCCTTTCCCTCGGGGTCAATGAGTTTTGGTAGAAGGATGGGCCTTAGACGGGTGAGCAATCTCTCAAATAGAGACGGGACACCCGGGAGGATGTAGATGTTGCCATTGACCACGGACACGGGGACCCAGAGCTCGTCGTCGACAAAGAGGGCTTGTTCAGATATAGGCCGGGTCTCGTCGGTGGGAATGTGGACCATGCGTAGTCGCGCAGTTAGAGCGGGGGACGGGGTGTCCCAATCGAAGTCTGGCTTGGCCTGTTGGGGTTTGGACAAGCGTCTCATGCGGTTGAAGGCTTCTTCATGAAATTTGAGGGTAAGATTGAATGCTTTGGCTATGGATTGGTAGGTGATATCGTCGTGCCTTTGAGTTGCATAGATTGCCATCATCAGCATCGAACGATATACGGAGAACTAAGAATGGGTGGTTTAATGTACGTTGGTCCGATTCCTCCACTTGTCACGACAAGGTCGTATCTGTTGCTCATCCGCCTCACGGCTTCGATGATCTCATCTTCGTCGTCGGCAATGACCTCAACGCGCTTCAGCTGCACGCCAATGGAGAAGCAGTACTTTGCGAAAAGGGCGGAATTGGTATCAACGGTCTAAAAACATTCCACGTTTGCTCTCCCGACACAAGATGTGCGAGAGGCGTCATTAATGGAAGTCCGTCAGCCAACGGTCACGGCTTTTTCTAGGAATGGCCACCATAAACACGGATGCTAGAGGGCCCGCCTACCTTGCCGCCGAGAACCTCGTCTCCGATAATCAAGCACGCCGCCGTCCCGATTGCTCGCTTGCTGTTCTCCAGCGCGGTCCGTTCGGATGATGTCATTGTGCGCAAGGTGGAAATCGGGCTCAGGATGGGAGCAGGGGGAGAAATTGGAGATATGGAGAATGGCCGAGAGAGATGTCTTGTCAACTGAGCGATGCGACTAAACATCGGGTTTTGCGTGGGGAATAAAGGAATGTAACGGGCAACGGTGCAGAGATATAGCCGGTAGATCGCTTTGTTGGAAAAAAAAAAAAAAATATCGGGAGGGGCAGACAGGTTGAGCCGACCGGGGATGACTTCACCCCCCCACACCTCCTGCGCGCCTGGACTGCCTTTATCAGAGAGACCGTTCATCAGATCAACGACAGACAGTCTTTCAGCACTTCCGAGGGCTCACCAATATTCAACTGCAAAACATAGTAGATAGGAACTACATACTGCACTCGAGTCCCGTTCCAACAGCACTATGGTGGGAACTTGCGTCCCGCTCCCTCATCGATCTCACGATGGAAGCTAACAGGTCGCGACCAATATCAACAGTCTGACACAAGACTCTACACTTTCTCCCCCGAGACCCGAGAGAAGCTGCGCAAATTTCGCCTAGGTACATCGAGAGCGAAGGATCCACAGGCCATTATTTGTACTTAACCTCCCCCTCCTATCCGTCAAATCTCCCTCGACTTCTTTTCCAATGAAAATGATGACCTGCCAACACGCTTCCACCTCTGTCCGCTTCACCCGCGACAGACATGATAGATTCGAAAAGCCAAGAGATCCGACCCGTCGATGACCAGGTATATTCCAACATGGAGGATGTAGCGGACGAGCTGCCGGACTCTTCGCCGCGGTTTATCCTGCTCAGTTACCCCCTCACATTGGTATGAGCAAAGTGAAATAACGAGGATTTCTTATCTTTTTTTGTTCTTTCCCTAACCCTCATTTCTTTTTTGGTGATTATATAGCTAATGCCTGCGCCGAATACAACAGCCATCCGGACGTCTCTCTGTTCCCTACGTGCTCATCTATTACCTGCCCGAAAACTGCAACCCTGCTTCGCGCATGAGCTACGCCGGAGCAGTGGAACTAATGAGGAATACGGCAGAGGTTAATAAGGTTATCGAAGTCGAAGGGGAGTCTGAAGTGGCAGACATTAAGGAGAAGCTTCTAGGAGAAGCATAGTGTATGATACATATATTGAAAGGATCAGACTTGTTCAGGAGCTCGATTGAGGGTCATCCGAAAGGATAACATACGGCGTTTGGGAGGATTCCATTTTGCAGGTATTTAATATTCAATGAAAGAGGGATAGTTAGATCGTTAGTTCAGCTCTGTTGCAGAACGCCACATCTCCCAAAATAACATCACTCTGGTTTGATGTGAGGGCAGATATACAAGGATATCGGATGGGCCATGGCTAAGACTTTGCTCTAAACCGTTTCAGAGCCCGATGTTGAGTGCAGTAAACCCAGCAACAGTAGGAAGTTGGGATGCTGAAGCTTGCCGGACCGCTTCAAGACACCCGTAGGACATCCGTAAGGGATCTTTTCGCAAGCCAAGACACCACGATGCCGGAATGAGCTCATGGCACCTCATTTCAATGAGCCCTTCAAGCTGGACAAAGCTTTCGCTACCGGATTTTGATAATCAAGGCCCGTAATGTTATTCCCTGCAGACCCCGAAGAAAGGAGAAAAAAGAAAAAAAAGAAAGTACGGAGTAACAGAAGCAGAAATAAGCCCGTGTCATTAGTTCAAGGCTCATTTGAAATAGCTGGATCCTCCTGAGTCAGGTCTGATTTCAGAGGCGAGCATGCTGCATATCCTCGGCAGAAACCGAGGCCAGAAAAGGATCAGAAGCTCAGTACGTGCAAAATCATCGATCCTAACGATCCTCCTAGACCGAGTGTGGATAAGGATATTCCATTCGAAGGAATAAAATGCTTTGGACCCATGGCGGAAGGATGAACAACTTCATCCGGAGCGTTTGTGAATCAACAACAAATTGGTCCCGACATACGGAGTAGAAGAAGGGCTGAAAGGTCCAGGTTATATGATCGGTGTTATGGATTCTCCATACAGAATACTCCGCCTTCCCTGCTTGCAAGTGGATTTGAATCCAAGTGGTTCGCTTATCTTGCAGCTCTGCTATCCGCAACTCGCTTGATGTAAGCGATTCCAGAGACAGGAATATACCCGAAGGAAGAACGGCTCTTCTCCATAGATCCCTTTTAATCCGCCATTAAGGAGTGGTGCATCGGTGACAGGATGGAAATTTTTCAACACAAAAGGGCACGGGCAAAGCTCCGGACCAAATAACGGGCTCGGGAACAGAAGAGACGGCGGCAGTGTCAGATTTATCATCATATCTTGATGGATGCCGGAAAGCACCGGTGATCAAATTCCTGGCCACGCGAGAAACTAAATTAAAAAAAATAAAATAAAAATGGTCCGTTGCACAAGCCACACGAGGATCGGTGGCCTGGTAGTCCTCAGGAAGGCCATGATACTGAAAATATGAAATCATCCAGAGGGAATCGAAACACGGAGGATTTCAAGGGGATTTAAACTTCAAAACAGTCTCGATCAAGCGTCCTTCCACACGTTGCAAGAGCCGAACCAGGCGGTCTCCCGAGAGGGCTGAGTTTGGTCAAGTTCCTCAAGAGGGATTCTCGATACATGAGTCCCCGATCCATGACATCTCGCCGCCCCAGCGCTCAGGGGTTGAAAGTCCGCCTTTGATAATGGCCTTCTAGAAGGAGACAAGCGTGTCTTGGCCAATCATCTTAGCTCCAGCTCGATTTATTTTTTTAAATTTTTTTTTTTCCCCTCCTTGGCCATCAGTCCGGCCAACCACATCGCTTGCTTGCCCTTGTGATTGGGTATGGCGGCTTCGTATCCACGCGAATTTCGCTTGCAACAACCCTGGCTGCTAGATAATCACTCCGAGTTTATTTCCACGCGATCCTCTTTTCGCAAGCGTGCAGCGACGCGGGCGATTTTTGGGCCGGTCTTTCAAGCGGATTTACCGCTTCCCGGGCATCCAGGCGACAGTTGCCGCACCATGACAACCGTCTCCCGAGCTTGCAGCCCATTCAGCATTCCACGTCGACGATTCTGCTCGCAAACTGACTATAGACAAATCCAAAACTGAGATGGTGCCAGGAAGAGCGGTGACGGGGAGGACATCAAACCAGGTGATCGCTGCTTTGTGAAAAGCGGGCCACGAAGTGGGCTCGTGGAGAACTCTTAACTGACTTAGTGGTAAGTTTCGGGAGCGCACTGTGCGAAATTTCTGGTTGTCGGATCACTTTTTCTGCCTTCCCGCTGGCCTGGTTCTGATGGACCAAGTTTCTTCCGTAGGTCCCACCCGCTCAGCAAGGCCGTGATTGTCAATCAACATCGCCAGTCGAGGGACAGGGAAGAGCCGGACCGCTGCTGGTTTAGGCCTCCATTGTTTCGGCTCAATTTTGGGTCAAAAGTCTCTGCATCCAGAGGGACGAATTGGAGATGCGTACCGGCTGCGTCGAGACGTTTGATTTGCCACTTCCCAAACGCAGGCGTTTTGTCAACGGATCTGGCTCCGTAATCCTCGGGTGTTGGCCATCGGTGCAGGTGCTTCGAAAACGCCCTACCGTGGAGCATCACGCTTCAGATCAAGCCCGTTGCTTTTTTATATTCATGTTGTTGTCGTTGTTGGTGTTGCCTTTTTTTTAAAAAATTTTTGTTCTTGACACTGACGACATTTGTGGAACGTGTCTCAGCAGGTGGGCCAGAAATTTCTGCTGTCGGGCTCCAGGATCCTGGATCAACGGCCAACCGTGGTGGCGGAAATCCCCAACGATAGAGGCCTGGCTCTCATACGGAGGAGTTACCAGACGTTGTATGTCTGGCTCGGTTGGAAATGCAGACAGCTGCGAAAGGCTGCATCCGTGGTTCAAAGGCCGAGTTGGTTGAAAAGGGACAGCTCACCAGGCGAACCACGGACGCCGCTGACAGCCTTCAATTTTTCTTTCTTTTTTCTTTCTTTTTATTTTTTCCCAATCTTTTTCGTAGAATTTTCCCACGATATCGTTTCAAGACGTATTGATACCGAAAGATATAAAGTGATACCACCGTCATAACCGAAATCGCATGACGTGGTATTTTATCCATTGGCTGTGATTTAGACCTGAGTCATGAATATTTCACTCCAGTTTCACAGTCTTTATTTTTATTTTTATTTTTTTTTTGGTTCTTCTGGAAATCGTCACGCTTCGCTGGAATCCGGGGAAATCCATGTCCTCGGGTGCGATCTACTGCTGACAGCTATGGACTTGACTCCGATTTCTCTCTCCTTTGGACTTACGAGACATAGAGGAACACAATGATTTCGCAGATAGAGACTGAGAGAGTGAGAGGTCGTTGCCGGAGACGGGTGTCTGGGTCGACTAATGCAGAGCGAAAAGGGAACGGTAGCAGGTGGTTGGCGGCATCCTTAAGGTGCAACAGGCTCACCAGTTCGCGGGCAGTCCGTCTTTTGGTTTTTTTTTTTTTTTTTTTTTAAAGTTCGCCCATCACGCACGCCAGAAAACGTGTACTCCGTGGGTACATTCATACATTCATACGTACTCCGTACACACGTTACATACAAACATCGGTTTGACAGCCAGCGCGAGTCGTTGGGATCCAATGGCCGGGCCTCGCTAAGGGCAGCGGGCAGAGAGGGCAGGGCAACAAGCAGCAGCAGCAGCAGGGCGGGTAAAACGCAGCTGTAACGGAGCCGTATGACAGGCCCGCAGCCGGCGTGGAAGCTCTCGTCCCTTCCCGCGTCCCCGGCCCAGGCGGCGGGCTGTGACTGGCCCACGCCGGCCCACCGCGCACCGCCGGGTCTCCAAGCCCCGCCCGCCGCCTGTTTCCCCCCGCGAATGAGATCGCCGCGTCTGCGCTGGGCCGTATTGTCTGCGTATTGCGAAACCGATTCGGCCCTAGCTGCCTTTTTCTCCTCTTTTTTCGCTTTTCTCTCTTCTCCATCTGCTTTTGCTCTCTCTCTCCGTCTCCGTCTCTTTCTCTCTCTCTCCTCGTCTCTCTGTGTGTGCGTGTGCGTTGTGGCTCTTCGTCGCTGCATTGTGCGTGTTGTTCTCGCCGCTCCCTGTCGACCTCCTCCGTCCGCCGTATCCCGACTTGCGAGATGGACCTCGTGCATTAACTGGATATCTACCCGCCGCATGTATAGCATATATTACGAACGCGATCCCGATCGTTCTGCTTGAACCCCCCCCTCTTCCCCCCAAATCCTACCCTGGGCGGTTGCGAGTCTGGCTGTGGACGTGGACCAATCACCCCCGGACTCCCAGTTTCACGAAATTTTTGGCCTGCACGACCTGCGAGTCCCGACAAAACGCACTCTGCGGGAGTGTCACAGCGTCGATACATAACCAAAAAAGACAAAAAGAAAATAATAATAATAAATTAAAAACGAAAGAATCTGCCCTCTTCCCCATATTTTCTAGACGGGAAGAGAGCTGTGTGTCCGGGATTTCGATTTCGTCCTGCTACCCTATCCCAACACCACGGAATCGGGCTTCCGCACATTTCTCGACAGCGACGGGCAGTTCTACCACGCACACTCACTTCATTGGCCGCCCCTCATCTGCACATCGCTTTTGTCAGACAGAAAATAAAGCAGGGGTCTTCCCTCAAACTGGCTCGACCGAATCCGTCTGTCGGTGCGCAACTCGAACTGGCTCTGTCCACCCTCGTTCTGCATCTTACCGGCACATCGGATTAGGGGGAAGGATAAATACTACCTGCGTCTGTTCGTCAAAGATGTCGGAATCTGCAACTTCTGCCAAACCGGCAGGCTCCAAGGAGGACGGTATCTCCAAATACATGAGACGCATGAAGACCGTTCTCAAAGGTGGCACTCGTTCGAACAGGAATTCTATCTCCAGCTTTGCCGATATCACCGGTGATTCAAGCAAGGCAAAGGCGTCTACCTCTTCCCCTACGTAAGTAGTTTTGCAATGTTCTCGGATCTGCACATCGAATGATAGGAAATTGACGAGGCTGACGTTCTCTACTATGAGCAGTGCCAAAGCGTCTGCGACTGTCACCACCGTAACCAAGAAGGCGGAATCGATGAGTGCTCAGGAGAAGACCAACAGGTGGAGCTCCATGCGGGAGGAGAAAGCTCGTGCCCTCTTCGCCAAGTACGGGTTGACTCTGGAGCCTGGCGAATGGGTAACTCCACGATCCGCGAAGGAGAATGTCGACCGGGTCGAGAAGCCAATCCGTATGAGGGTCCGACGCAATTGCCACCGTTGTCTAACCACGTTCGGTCCCGAGAAGGTCTGCGTCGGCTGCAGTCACATTCGCTGCAAGAAGTGTTTCCGCTACCCTCCGGCCAAGTCAAAGGAGGAATGTGAGGCAAAGGGCAAGGCTCGGGAGGTGGAGAAGATCGAAGAGATCCAACCCAAGGAGAAGAAGTTCGTCTTGACGATTCCATCTCGGACCGGTGGTCAAGACCTTGTTCGCAAACCTATCATGCAACGCGTCCGGAGAACCTGCCACATGTGCTCTACGCTTTTCATCGGAAGTGCGACCGAATGTCAAAACTGCCACCACATCCGCTGCAAGAAATGTCCCCGTGATCCGTACGTGTGCCTTTTCTTTTTTTGTTTTTATGTAGGATTATATCCTAACTGACTGGTCTGCTACAGAGCCAAGAAACACAAGTATCCCGATGGATATCCAGGTGATGCCGAACCACCGTATGAGCCGCCGGAACGAGTATGGCGAAAGCCTAGGCGCAGAGTACGATGGACCTGTCATTCCTGCTCGGCTTTGTTCCCAAGCGGCGAGAAAATCTGTCCTCAATGTGAACATGGGCGTTGTCAGGACTGTACTCGCGATCCGTACGTATTTTCCACCCGTTATTACGAGGCGAATCTCAGCTAACTTCTCTTTTCTCTAAAGTCCTAAAAAGATCAAGCCTGAGCCTGATCCGGAACTCCTGAGGCGTGTGGAAGAGAGATTAGCGGCACTTGATGTATCCTAGCAGCACTGCTGATTTCCCATCTCATGTCTGGCTTATGATGATTACCCCTTTTTTGGTTTTGATTGTCCCTGTTCTCTTAATACTGTTTGATCCCTTCACCCCTTCAGCCCCCCCAACAATCTCCCCAAGCACCACACTTCCCTCGCTCCACGAATTTTGATGATCTAACGGCTCTGAGTGCGTTCTTCGTTTCTACTCCCTTTCACTTAATATCATTTTGGGTGAGCGTTACCGCCAAAAAAAAAAAAAAAAAAGAAAACCATTCATTCCGGCTGTCTACCTGGTAAACACAACGAGTACCATGTTGCGCCCCATCCGACTCGACGCCTTGTTTCTAGAGCAAAACACCCTCCATCATCCCGGCCTGTTCCCCTTTTTTGCCCCCCTCCCCCTATCTCATTTTCTTTTTTTTTTTCTCTTTTTATAATCTCTTCCTACTCCATTTATATGCATACAGATACCAAAGATTTGCAGCTTGGTTTTTGGAGTTTTGATCAGATGAATTCAATCCTTACAAATAAATCAGGGAGAAACAGAGCAGAACGGAGGCGGGGGAAAAAGAAAAATAAGACCTCAGACCCGTCCCACTTCCCTTTAACTTCTACCTATGGTCATTCGACCTCTATGTGATCATCAGAAAAACGGCAGTATTACCTAAGTCATTTGATGGAAACAGACAAGCAAAGCGGCGAGACCCTGAATTGTTCTTTTTTTCGTTCCTTCGGAAAGCCCTGCAGAATGGTCCGATGTTCCATTATCGTTCGACGCGCGAAGGCTGGATCCCTGCCGATTGCTTCTGCACTCGCTGCTTGCCCCGTCCATCCTTCATACTACCACCCTAGATAGACTTCCGTGCATTATGTACGCACATATTATGCGTCCACGTGTAACAAACTCCTCTGCTCTTCGATTTTGGTGTACCGGAAGTGTAGAAGAAGTACCGGAGAAACCACGCCAGCTACTCATGCCTAAGTATGTACATCCCTCCAACTGACTCAAGACAAAAGAAACCCTGGGGGCATCCCCTTCCCCCGGTAGCCCTGGTCTGTGTTCTCGACCCAGATATCCATACATCCTCCCGTACTACGGAGGACTATATGGAGTATATGAGATGATCAATTATGAAGCGTAGCCATTCAAAACGGCGGGAAATCTTTTTGACTTCGACATCAATTGGGGCTGGATGGGCTCCTGATTGCACGGATTTCATGGGAGAGGGGCCTTTTCCCTGCTCTGACCCTTGACAGGTCCTGAGAAGTGCGACTTTGTGTGCACAAAGCAGCAGGGGAGGGAGGTGTGAGTGTGGGGGGGCGAAAGCGGGTTTTTCTGTAACTGATTTTTACTTTTTTTCTTGTTTTCTGTTTTGCTTTTTCAAATTTTTGTTTCTTTTTTTGCCTTTCCGGAAGTCCAGGGTCTACAAGCTTACTGCTAGGTGCGAAATCATATTGAACACTCCGTTCTTTGATGTTGATTTGCACCCGAAAGTTTCTTAATGTCTTGGAAGATGATTTCAGAGCGGGCGATGTAGTCATTAACCTTCTGCCATGGGGGGGAGACAGGAGATGACGACCTTTCTGGTCTCTTTTTTTGCTTCTGGGTGATAAACGCGCAGCTCTCAGTTTTGTCGAAGCTGCCCATGCCACGTTCAAAACTGCTGGGGGTTCATGTTCGTGGGAATCCAATCGGACGAACTGGACCGAAGCATGGCCGCTGTCCGGGATTGGGCGGGTCGTGAGATTCTTTTTCTTTTTTTTTTTTTTTTTTTTTTTTTTTTCAATTCTGTGATCTGAGGAATCGATGCCGGTTGTGTTTTCAATTGGTAGTAAAAAAGAAAAAAAAAAAAAAAAATCCATGCACAAAGCTCTCCCTATCTGGACATGGTACACATAGCCATACATACATATGACTATCATCCTAGGTTCTTCAGCTCATATGGACACAAGGTCAGGGCAGAAGAAGAAGCAGAAAAACATATCATGCCACTTTGTGGATCATCAAAAGAGAAGGATGTCGCTCCATGCTTCAAGACAGGGGGTATGTATGTATCTCAATCTGCGTCCGAAGCAACCCCCTCCCCCCCATTGTAATTCCACCTTCCTGAGCCGTGAAGCGAAGGCTTGCAAACCCTTGGTCCACGTTGAAATGAGACAGTCGACCGACATTTGATGTTTTCTCGCTTGGAGCTTGGATGATTCCAAACCCTGCCGGACGGATTTGCCCCTTTGGGGAGTGCTGGCTGGGCGATGAAATGAGAAAGGGAGTGAGAAAAGGGGCGCAATTGACCGCCTGTTCTCCAGGGGAATTTTAAGCTTTCTAATTTTTTGTTATGGGCGTAGACATGCATGCATATCCCGTATGCATGTACTCCGAAGGGTCTGGCGGTTAAGGGTGAAGACCTGGCTAGGTGCTCCCGTCCCCGCGCGCTTCTCGAGCAATGTGGACCCAAAGTGGTTTTTCCGTAGTCAATATGTACGCATGTACGGAGTACCTGGCCCCATTGTCACCCGGGGTTCGAAGCAGTTCCATCAGAGTACGGGCTTGGAGCTCGTTGAGCCCCCTCTCTACGATGAGAACACGAAGGCTTCTTCACTCCTCCTGCTAATCCTCTGGTTGAGTGAGCGACGGCGTAGACATGTGCGCAAGGAACGACAAGTCAATGGACAAAGGGAGAAAAACACCTCCCCCGTGAGCGCACCGCTCCTCTACACCGGTTAGCTCGTTTCGCCCAATGCAATTTATTTTCTTCCGCGACGCCGTGTCATGTATGTACAGTAACTACGTATGCCTGCACCATGCACCCTCAAAGGCGCCCCCCGTTGGACGAGTCAGCCCGACACAGAACACCACGAAAACTGTCACGTCTCAAAGATTAAAGCAACCCGCAGCTCGAACAAGCTTTGAAGAATTGCGCCCCCACCTTCTGGGCGAGCACGGCAGTCGTGAGTGAATGGAGGCTTAAGGCCGGGAGCCGTGCGCGGCAAAAGGGACGAAACGTGAGAACCCTGAATATTCCGTGAATTTACTCCGTGCTCGGAGTTCACCACGGAATACAAACGGCGCCATGTTTAGAATTGGACAAGGGCGGGAAGCGCCTGGATCTGTACCTTGGAGTATTCTCTCAGGGCTCCTGCATTCATCGCACGCAGCCAGTTCCATGCCTATACTCCGTCCACGCACAGTGTCCAGTAAATTCTGAAGCTTGCTCAGGAGCCAGGGACTCCGAAGATCATCTCCAAATTCCGGGGGACTCCGTGCGCCGTGCGAAACGGGTGCATTGCAAACCAATGCTCAACAGAGAGTCGATCGACGAGCAAGATCAAGAAACATAGCTGCGATTGACCCATCGTTTATTTTCATCGTCGGAGCCACAGCGCTAAAAACTACATCTTTTGAAAATTGAAGATCTCCCGTCGTTAACGAAATCACTGAAATTGGTCAAGCACAACGTGCACGATCTTTTACTTCACTACTCCGTACTCTGTAGCAACGTAACGTACCGCAAGGGGGGGGAGTCACAACGCCCCCCAACTCCGAAAATCATTCCGGCTCTGTCAATCTCTCTAAGCGCTGAGAGCCTCGGCAATGTCAAAGTCCCGCTCATGGATCACCCGCTGTCCGTGGAGTGCAGATAACTGGACGAGCTTGTGGGGCCGAAACCTAAATGAGAGATCGTGCTTCGGGGTCGTTCTCGAAAGCCCGACAAACAAAACCGGCTTTTCTCGATCAGCCTTATGGAGAGGAACCTTGATATCACTTTTCCTCTGCAACAGTTTAAGCTCTACATTTCCAAGGCCATGTCTCTGGTTTCTTCGTCTCACAACGCCGTTTGAAGTGAGTTGTATGAACGCGCGGACTGCGCATAGATGTCACAGATATACGACAGATCCTGCTTTTCATGTGCCGCACCTTTCTAGATATAGATGGCATTACCGATATTAAGGCACGGTAACTCAGCCATGGATCCCGCACATGCATGGCCTGCTAGTTCAAGAAGTCCCCTTTGCATCAAGGTCCGAGATTCACCCGAAGAGTGACTAGTTGGTGCAATCCACCTCCCAGGCATGGCCAGAGGAAGGTGAAAAAGAAGAAAAGAAATTTCTTGTGACACCGATCAGCTGTTAGAACGCCATTGACCCAAAGATGCTGGGATCTCAAATCCTGAGATGCGGGAGCTGGGAAGAGCTTGATTTCTTCTGACAGAATTATCAAATGACAAAGCCATTTCAATTCAGAGTGACACATGTATCAGACCTTTTGCCAACTGCAAGCAAACAATATCCCACGGTCGCCCCGGCCCCCCCTTTGGGGGGGGGGGGGGGGTACTTATTGGTCGCGAACGTGCTGAATGCTCTATATTCTGTAAGTGATTGTGATAATGCCTTCAAAACCCCAAGCCGCTGGATCTACGCAAGCAGGATGACAGCTTGAGAAATGATGAGGATTTGGATGCAAACCTGACATGAAGGCAGGTTCCACTGCATCCTCAAAAGTTCGTAAGTGTATCTTTCAGCTGGTCCAATCATACGTAAGGCGAATGGAAAAATAAATCAATTTAGAAATTTTGTTTTTTTTTTTTTTTTTTTTTTAAAAAAAGAAAGAAAAAGAGGGAGAGGGAAGTCACTCTCCAACCAAAAATGCCGTCTGGGAGGCTGGGTTTTGCAAGAGGATACACTCCGTATCCCGGGTTGACTCCCTTGTTGCTGTCATCACGATGTACCGTCCCTGCACTTCCTGAGAGCCTGGTTGGTGCAAATGGTCGCCCATCAGCCAGTTTGTTCCTGCGGGCAAAAAGACACATATCAAATCCCAAGAACTGTTCTTTTGAGAGACGAATTTATTGCACCTAGAATTGGCGAGGAAAAAACAGGTGGTTGGGGAAAATGCCGTGACGCTTCACCCACGCCCCGTCTCTCCAAAACCTCGAACACCCACATCCTGGATTCCCAGGACAAACAGTGTTTGGAAAACAGTCCCGAGGTGGTGGTAGCTAATCGGATCGTTGCGCGGGCTGGCCAAGTCCTTCGCGCTGGGAAGAAGCGGGGATGGACGCTGTAACGGGAGGGGGCGGGATTTGGTTGCAGGCTTGTCCTGCATGATTTTAGCCCCAGACCAGCCCCCAGGCCTGACACCGACCTCGAGGATTTGGGAGAAGTTTGGTGTTTAGCTGAAAGCCTGGGTGCTGGGAACGCCTGTGCGGCAAGGATGCCTCTTGTTTGCCCTGTGCCACCGCTTGTGCGTCACTGGCGTTTTCCAATAATGAGAAGAAAATGTCCTCTTCAGTAACATTCGGGATCTGGTGTGTGAAGATGGTGGCAAACCTGGCCCTGTCCTCTGCGCAGGACGTGATGCCGCGTGCTGCTGCACGGTGAGACTCGATGGGATGCAGCTGTCCGGAAGCAGAAGACCGCCAAGAACCCCAGGGTCCCGCTCATTTTGCAATGAACAATAAAATAAAAAAAAAAAAATAAAAAAAAGAAAACTTACGGAGTAAACAGGAAAATATTAATACGACGTGGTGAAATGTCCTTACGTGTTTTGTAAGTATGTTATGTATGTAACCAGAATACACGTTCGCAGTACCAGCACGGTACCGTCCAGCGGAAGCGTCTTTCACAGCTCGCAAATCTCGCCTTGGACAGGTCCAGGTTTACCTCTTCCAACCACGCACTTGATATCGATATATTTATGTACAGAGTATATCTACGGAGTACATCAATCTTCAGTTGCAACCCCGTTTCAAAGTATCTCCGTGGAGGATGTCCTCTTTATGTTCTAGCTTTTGTGACTGTCCAGAGGTGATATTCCGGCCCTCCCGAATTCCCAGTTCGGTTCCAGAGATAGAAAACTACTCCGTGCTTCAGTCCAATGTTGTCCAGTCTCTCTGGTGACTGGTCTTACTTCATGTCTGGAGCAGACCTTTTTTTCTTTTCTTTTCTTTCTTTCTTTTTTTTTTTTTTTTTTTTTTGGAGAGTCCCTTCGAGTTTTCCGTTTCACACTGGTGATAATTGTAACTAACCCTGCTGCCACAGATCGATTGATGCGTAGCTGATATGAAGTGGTGAGCTATTTATCCAATTGTTCTTGATGTGAAGCCGATATGTCTATCTGTCATGCCCGGGCGAGTAATCTTGACCTGGAGAGTGCGACCTGCTTCTTCTAGAGACCGGGAAAGCCGAAACAAAGTCGAAACAAACTTCGAAACAAACTCTGATAAATTGGCGTCTCTCACAATCCGTGGTCTCGCAGGGGATATTCTGTGAATCATTCTGTGCCCAGAAAACAGAATATGCTCCGACAGTCGATGGATGAAGTCGTATGTATGCAAGAGACGGGGATGTTACTGCTTGCAACCGTACGATCTTCTGCATCTCAACAATGCATCCAGTCCTCCTCTCCCACATGTTGGTGGTCACTTCTTCCCTACCACGACGTTTCTAATATTGCGCTGGTGTTTGAGGTAGGATCCTATCTTCAAGCCACCAGTTTCTGTGCATCCCCACCAGCCACGCCATGGTCATATCGGGAATATACCTGCATGGTCTCCATCTGTCGAAGTTGGAGTCCCAATAATGAATCACCATGTTGCACGGTTGCAAGTATGACATGGGTCGCAGCCGGCTATCCAATGATCTGGAGTCTGGATTTGTTCTCGCACGAGTTGCGCGAGAACCTTCATCTTTAGCCGCAGTGGCTGGTTCTGAAGATTGGTTCAAAACCTTTTTTTCCCTCACCAGCGCGGCCCCCTCTGTCTATTGGGGTTTTATTAACGAGGATTGGGCCGCCGACATAGTTAACTCAATTTGACGCCTCCGCAGCGGTCTGACAATTCAAATGACTCAATAATAAATTACCGATGCAAAGCGACATTGGAAGGTCGATCAGGCACGTTTTACGAAAGCAGGCGCCCTGGACGTACCCAAATTGCGTATTCAAAACGCCCCCTTAGGTCGCCGAAACCAGGGTACAAAGTAGAAGCCTTTTCACCCATGCCCTTCGTACATGGGCTCCGGTTCAGCCAAGACCCAATTAGGGACAATCACTGTTCTTGGGCTAACAAGGCTGAGATGTGAGAAGGGACAGCACAGAGTATACGGCGTACAAGAGTCGACGTGGTGAGGACCAGATAAGGGGGAGCAGGCGCTGCGAATGAGCTGCTGGATGCAGGAACACGAGCAGACGACGTACGTGGACAGCGGCTGCTGAGGATATCGATAGGAGAATCCGGGGTACCATGTATCCTGGCCGTCCACCTTTCAATCTGCAAACCTTTTACCCAAGCGAATACTACCCAAAATAGATCTTCACGCGGAGAACCCGGCTCGAACGCACCTGGTTGGCTGGAACGCTCCACTAATCTCTTGTTGGGGATTAGTGCCGTGTAGCCTGACCAGGTTCTTCCCGGCCCAGAGTCTCCGAAACCGAAAAGCGTGCATGCCGAGTATATCCGGTGTGCTAGTTATTGTCTTCAAATCTTCAAATCTGAGGATTTCCCAGGTCCCGACGCACTCTCAAAAGGTTTCACCTCTCTGCCTGGCGATATCTAGCGGACAGGCCCTGGCATGGTTAATCGCAGAACACGCGCTGCTAGTTACTCCAGGCATCAGCTCTAAAGCTTCAGCTAACTATTTCATAGTCAATAGCTACATGATTTGAATATCATGGCTTTTGACAGCTTTATGCAATTCAGCCCTATTTTAGCTCGACGAATTAGCTCATGAAGTTTATCGACAAACATCTACTGCGCCTCCGTGCCTGCGATGTAGTTTATTAAATTCCATGCAAAGAGGCTCGGTTTTAAGCGAAGATGAAGCATATGTATACCTACTTGACATTTTCGTCGCTGGAAGAGTTTCAGAGTCTGTTTGGACGTTCCAATTTGCTAATTTCCTTCGCAGCGAGTTGAAGAATGCTTGAGCCGCCTATCTTAAGGGCGATGAAACAGGATCTAACCTTCAATCTGAACCTTGTGCGCGACTAGTTGTCGATCCTATGAAATTCGATGCTCCAAATCTCGTTCACGGTTCCTCGCTGACCAGGTTGCAGGGCAAGGAACCCGAAAGGTTAGCTCTCCTCACTATGCCCTGCGCCAATGACAGCGCTCTGCGACAAACCAGATTTAAGCCGTGTGGCTTGTGTGACCTTGGACGGCAGGACGATGCACCCATCAGCTCCCTGGTTACGGAGTACAGGGCAAGGTATCAAAACTCTGAAATTGCGGCCTGGTCTATGTGGCAGTGTCCTCGGCCTCGTACCCCTTCAAGAAACCTATAAATCAGGAAGAGGTGGACCGGCGTGCACCCAGTCTCTCCACTCGCCCTCGAAATCCTTCTTGTTTGCTTGGATTTATCCCTCAAATTCTCTCAATCATACACAATTAAAGAATTGAAGTCTCGGCTGCCAAGATCGACGCAACATGACCAAGGCTATTCACCTTCTCTCCCTCGCTCTCGCCAGCGGTGCTGCCACCGCCAGGACGATTAAGGTCAAAGTCGCCAACGGTGGCTTGAACTTCGACCCAGACGTCATCCGTGCGGAACCTGGAGACGAAGTCGCCTTCTACTTCACCAGAGGCTCTCATGATGTTACTCTGGGAGAATTCGACAACGCTTGCCAGCCAGCGGACAACGCATTCTGGTCTGGCACCATCAACCTCCCGGAGGGTACTCAAGGCTCTGCCGTCTTCACGATTCCCATCGAGGACACAAACCCCAAATGGATCTACTGCAGTTACCGGAGACACTGCCAGAATGGAATGGTTGGAGTGATTAACCCACCGTGAGTTTCCCTGATCGCCGTCAATTCTAATTCGACTTCTCTGTCACTCAAAATTCTTTTCCTTTTGCTCGTTGTCATTCTCCATCTCGGATTCGTCAACGCTTTGCTAAATCTTGTAAATGATATAGCTCCGAGGGCGACCAAAACATCGATGCCTTCAAGAGCAGAGCTGCTGAGGCTCCAGCCAGCCACCGACCAACAAGCATCAATGGTGGTACATTGAACGTGATGGGTGACGTTGATATTCCCGGCCATGATGAGGACGGCGAGTCCCAGGCCCCATCTGGCACTGGCGACGACTCAATCCGTATGGAGTCCCTCCCCCTATCCGATAATTCTGCTTTTTCTCTTACACTTCATCTTTGCAGCAACCGCCACCCTGATTCCCCCAAGCACCACCGACGGTCCTCCCCAGACTACGGGTAGCGATTCTCCCGCCCCTACTTTCACTGGCGCTGCTGCTCCAGCCCAAGGAAACGGCGCTTTGGGCGCAGTCATGGCCGGTTTGGCTGTTGGAGCTGCTTGGTTTGGATTGATTTAAATATGATTCAGAGTAACAAATTGTCTTAACATGTGACTTCGGTATAATACCTTTTTTGTTTAACTCCTTGCTTTTCTTGTAAGAGACATAATTGAGGATACTCTTTTTTTTCCTTCTTGGTTACCCCGGGATATATACTGCTTTGAGCTGTATGTATAGATATTGGGCGTGTCTGCGACCAATACAACAAAGTCATATTGATATATACTCCGTGTATATCTATATTTTTAGGCCTTCAGCCGTTGGCTTTTCGATGTTTCTGGCCCTCTTTGCTGACCGTAATCGGCATGCCTAGCCGGAATACTGCCAATATATTTCTTCGCATGATTTCAGGGTTTACGGGATTGTATTCTTGGGAATCTCTGGGGTTATTAATTACATAGTTGCTTGGTCAAGATTTTCATGAGCTGGTTTGTCGTGGTGTCTTTTCTTCGTGACCATTTAACTAGATAAGCTGGGGCCGCCTTGCCACGAGGGAAGAGAATCCTATGGTGGGTACAGTGTAGATCTGGTTGAACATGAGATGAACTGGCAAGACGTACTCCGTATTACTGATGGTATCCTAGTGAATTTTCCCACAGGCACGTGTGAAGCTCGACTCATACCAGGCAGCTCTCGCAAGACCGGAGTCTTCCGCACGATTCCTAGCAGACAAAGAGAATCCCGTTGTTTCATCCTATTCCACTCGAACCTTGCCACCTTGCCACCCAGTCAAAAGGTTTTCCATGAAACGGCAACCTCCAGGGCATGACTCGTTTTGTCATCTCACCGACATTCAAGTTTACCGAATCTGGTAAACTGGTGTTGCAACACAACAATAGACGACAATACCAAACCCACCCCCCCAAAACTAATACGCAATATGGTTGAATACCTGTTTATGGTTATTCTATCCTTCTCGTTAACTATGTCGTCCAATATGCCATTGAGTCCCATTGGGGTGGGGAGGGTAGGGTTTGGCTGATTTTGAAAATGTTCCTCCCCCAAAGGAGAACTTTTCCTTGATGGAGAGAGCGAGCGTCTTACTTTTCTTCCTTGAGAGCGTACTATTTCTTTTGCTAGCGAATATATCGCATTCGGGTACTCTGTTCTAAGCAATTTGCATCCTTATCTTTCAGCATCTTGTTCCGTTTCTGGAAAAAAGTCGTCAGAGTTTTGAGACTGGAGCTCGACTCCTACGCCGTTTCGAGCGAAGTTGGAGAGATTGTCAAAGCCTGCAGGCAGGATTGAAGAGCATATAAGCGCAGTAGTTAAGAATTAGGAGAAGATATCTCTAGAGTGAAAAGTTGACCTTGTGAGTAGCTAATCTGATGCTTGGTTATATAAGGCGAAGTTAACATCTTTATAGGACACTCTAACGAAGTCTAATCGGTAGTCGAGAATTGGCATCTTGAAAAAGAATTAAAAAATGGCGTTCAATTTTGGAATGTCTAACAATTCCACCGTTGCCGAGCAGCAGCGTATCGAGCATGGGCCTTTCGTTATCCCTTTTCCGAGGGGAAAAACTAGAGAAGAGAGCCCATTTGGTCTCCAATTGTCCGGCAACCATCGCATGGACAATGAACGAGTTCAGATCCGTATTGCAGCTCTTCAGCATGGAATGACCGTCTTAGTTGAGAACGGTGGCAACATCCTTACACCACGGCATCCGGGTACAAAGTCACGAAAGATCCTCGAAATTTCAGATGACTTGGATTCCATCTATGCTCGTTTCTATGCGGATAAAACATTCACGACCAAAGACCGTCCTTCGGGATACGTCGCTGCACACTGGAATGATCCCGCCAAGATTCAGGAAAGAATCCCGCGGAAGCAAGAAAGCCTGATGAAAGCGCTCTTCACGATCGCCATGTACGAGGCCAGCTTTCAACGGGCAAGGTTTGGTTTTGAGACCTTTCGTCGTCCAGCAAAACTCCGAGATGATAATACAATTGTTTCTGACTATTTGACAGAGCTGGTCAGCATGGAGCATGACGAGGCACATGGGCCACTTCCAGGCTTCGTCTTTGACTATGAAAGCAGCGGCGGCCATCCATCTATCGACATAGGCCCTGCTCATGACCACAAACTCTTTCGTGCCCTATGGCCTAGACTTCGTGCCATTGCAGCAGAAGACAAGGAAATTACCGCTATGCCGCTTCAAGATTATGGCGAAAAAATGGTGATCAGAAGGGTCGTCGACGATGTCATTGAAACAGTGCAGTCCGGGAAACGGCCCGACTTTCGAAGACTGGCGAGGGAGTACCACCTCTACAGGAATTTTGTCAAGCGGAGCTCGCGCGAGGATAACGTTATTATCTCACAGACCAACACTGAGAATCCACGGCCACATCGACGCTGGGCGGAGTCGGGGATACGCAAGCGGTCGTTGTACGAGCACTCGTATAGGGTTTGGAAAAGACAGCGGGCGTTCAAACTTATGCGGCAATCGCGGGACAAATTGCAAGAGGGGCTATTCTCATGGGACATCGAAGACTTAGTTGAATTTTTCATAGAGCCACGTCGGTCATTGTACGAGGACATGGCCCGGGACGAATCTGTGATTCGCACCGACTTTAAGAGGGCTTGCCGGGAAGTTTGTGGCGAGGACGACCGGTGGTTTCAGTCAATGTTGAAGGGAGACCCCAGCTCTGGACTGAGGTTGAAGAAGTATGAATACCCCAGTGGAATTCATTGCCCTCCGCTTGGGCTAGTTGATACACAAGAGTTGGATGTAAGGCTTACCGATGAGCAAGCTTTTGCCTTGATTGATAGTATGTGAACCCTAACGACCTGTGAGAAAAGACAAAGATATTTCTCGGACTTGGTAGGGTGTCTTGGGTGGGAGACTGGCGTTCAGATTCGGTAGATGATTCTAGAGAGTTTGCGGGCTAAGGGAATAGGAGTATGTCAGACGGATCAGGAGCCAAAAAATGGGGGGGGGAGGAGAGGGGGGAGGAGAAGAAAAAGGGAACATTGAGACAAGGAAGGTCTGAAAAATCTCTCTTGAATTTATGTATTTATTCCATGTAGTTAGACAGAACTACACGGACAAAAACCAAGAGCTAGAAAGATTTCTGGTGTAGAAGATCAAAAATGGAAATAAATTTACGCATCAAGTCGTTGACTCTGCAGTTCAGTTCCCCTACTCTTCTCGTAGTCAATCTGCTTGTGCAAATCGACTCGATTGCCTAGCCCTCGTCGGATGATCCAATCCTTACTTTTGATATCCTCTTCCACTACTCCCTTTGGAAGAGGCGGAATCCGGGGACTGCCCTCTAGTCGTTTCAAAAGCACATCTTCCTCTGGGCGAGAGAAATAGACGAGGCTGTAGCGAGTAATATCCGCTTGAGCGCCAGGCGGAGACATAACTCGGTGTATATTGGATCTTAACAATCCATTGGTGAACTTAACCATGGCATCGCCCAGGTTGATAATGGCGTGTCCAGGAAGTGGCCGAACGTAGCACCACTCTGAATCCTTTCCCGGTGGAAGAATCTGCAAGCCACCAACACGGTTGAAGAGAATAGTCACGCTGCCGAAATCAGTATGTTGCCCTAGCGCCACCCGGCGATCATCTACTGGCTGTGGTGGTGCCTTGATGAAGCGCACCTGATCGCCAGTAGCATGGCCTAGACGGTGCATGTTTGCCAGTGTTGATGCTGGGAGCTGCAGATGCTCATTTAGGAGGTTGAGGATAAGAGTGATGATGGAATGAGCACTGGTCATGAAAGATTTGAGCAACGGGCGGGACTCGTGGAGTAGCTCAGGGGCAGGCCAGTGGTCGGCGACGTCAAGAATGTCGTCCTTTGAGACCTACGTTTGATATATTTTAGCATCGCTGCGCAAAATATTCTTACCTCCTTATCGCGGTTTATGACAATGGGCTAGGACGAACATTATAGAACTCATTGCGGTCACGATTCCCGTCCCTGTCGACGACATTCGAGCCAGTAGCTTTGTAACCAAAATACGAATTCTTTTTGCCGAAATCGTATCTCTTCTTCTCCTCAAGGTCTAGCTCAAAGAGGCGCTCGCCGACACCAAACAGCTCATCTGCCTGGGCAAGGATCGCATCTCCTTGCGTGGTGCCGCGGAAATCGAGGTAGAAGAACCCCAGGTCCTCACATGCAGTGCAGAACCTCTTGACTTCATCATTGTCATGATTTAGAAGCTTTTCGAGAGAGAGACGAAACAGAGGGGCAGTGACGATGTCATCTGGGAATGGAGGGATATCAGGGAAATTTTCGAGGGAGGGCATGGTGGCTTTCTTGTCTCTTTGGTTGAGAATACCAGTGTACCGATGTTTGTTCCTGAAGAATGCTCCAGATCATTTGGGAAAACATGATGGACACGGGTCTCGACGGCTTTATATTCGAATATAGTTGAGTTTGGGAGGAGAATCTACCAAACGCGGGGAAATGTGAAGATGCCGAGGGGATTTGGCAGACTGAAGTCCGTCTCGAGAACACGGGATGGCTTGCGTTGAGCTTAAAGTCTTAGCGCGCTCTGACGGCTTGAAGGCATCGCGAGAAAATCAGGACGGCCGTCTCCAATTCTGCCGGCAACCTATTCCACGCTCTTGATCCTGAAGGATAAGTATTCGACCTTAGAAGCAAGACCAAGTTACATACATCAGCATGGGGACGCCACTGTCATCTTCCAACCAAGTCCAATCTCACGCCGCTCACCGGCTTCTCTCCCGCGCCCATTCCCCAGACACAGCGGAGCAGCTATTCGCCGAGAAGGTGAAAACCAAACCCCTTTATCTGCGACCTACCTCACCTACTCCAGCGGATAACCGGGAACGGAGACGTCTACATCGTCTACGGAAGAAAGGGTACTTTCTACGCAGGCAGAAACCCAAACCGCTTACGGCGCGAGAGAAGAGAGCCCTCGGTGTCCATGATCTACCAAAAGAAGAAATCAAATACGACATCTTTAAAAAATTGAATGACTTATGGGTGGAATACATGTGGGAGATTCTGGATTTGAAGAAACCCACGAATAAAGGCGCGAATACGGGACAGATTATCACTGCTTTGGCACACGGCGCCAAGCTAGCAAGTGCGGATTTTCATGGTGCAGAGCTTCAAGTCGTTAGGAGTCGCTGCGTTAGTCGGGTTGGCATCAGAGGCATCGTGGTTCGGGATTCGAAATTCGCATTTGTGCTTGTCACGGAAAAAAATGAAATGAAGAGTAAGTTGTTCTACACCCCTATCTGCATTCTATGGGGATTGCAATGATACTGATAGTCTGCATTTATAGCAATACCAAAGGAGCATACGGTCTTCAGGTTCAAAATTCCAGTACCTACCGGACCGTCTGCAGAGGATGAACAATCTCAGGCACCCGAGACTCTAAAAGATTTAGTATTCGAGCTTCATGGAAGTCAGTTCGAGAATCGCCCTGCGGACCGAGCAAATAAGAAGTTCAAATGGAAGAACCTCAATTATCTATGAAAGACCTTTCTGAAAAAATTTGGGTTGATAATGCATTGTGGCGACCTGCCCCGGGAATTGATTGGTCTATATTACGTCTCCTGTTGGGTTCCACTATGGGCATCGTGTTTAGCATCATGAAGCCACCCTTTCCCTATGAATAGGAGATTCCCCCCCTCGAGTTTCTGGTCATCCCACAACAACTTCACAGGCATCCTTGGTTGATGTGGGATGTAGTTTTTCGGTGGTGAGCATAACACGCCACGTGGAGGATCAAGCTTCGAACCTCTGCCTATCCAAGCAATAATGTCGTCGCACAGGCACCTGTCTTCTCTTGAGAGAGTTTTGGATTTTTCAGCACCCTTGTTGCTGACTCCACAGCAATCTGATTCGGCGAGGAGTCTCCTTGATATATTCATCAAGGACTATGGCCTCGAACGAGCAACAGGAAGGGGTTACAAGTCTGCAAAATTGATACACGCCACGCTTGACTATATCTCTTCAAAAGACTCATTCTTAACTCTTTTCTTCACATTCCTGCATGAGAATTTGGCTGGTGTTACGTCTAACATTACATTGGCTTTATCATATTTTGAGGATTTCAGTTCTTGGGAGCCGGCTGCGCGAAGCGTTGTGATGGGTTGAAGGGTTTGCAGACTACATGGTTATTCAGTTCTTTCTTCCACGTGCGTTCGTGATGTCTCCTACCTGCAATCACTTTCTAACTCAAGCAGTTCAGGTTAGAGCCTCATCCGTCAAGACACCACAATCAACGCCCACCTTAAGACCGAGTCGAAGAAGAATGTACTCTGGATTCTGGACATGTTCGACCCTGGCATCACCCACCTCATTCATGGCCCGAAGATCGACAGCCCATCGAACGCTCTCACACTAGCGCTTGATACCACCGGCTCTTTGGCGAATTCCAGATATATTTCGAGCCTACGGGCAGAGCCTATGAATATAGGATTCATTCCGCCGAGGGCGGTTTTTTAAGCGACCCTTTCTTCCCTGTCACTCGCACCCTGTCGCTCAGTCCCAATCATACGATTGACCCGCCTTCTCCTCGGTTTCTCGGCATTCATCGCGCCATCTCACTTATCCTTAAACTCAGTGGCGCTGCTGAATATATAGAGCAGACTCTTTGAGACTTGGAACAGGTGAGAGCGAAAGCAGATGGGTCAACCCATTTGGGCGATATAATGAGATTAAGATTGATGGCTGGATAAACTAGTTAGCTGTATTCTAGTTAGATCAAGTCATCTTTTCTTTTCTTTTTTTTTGACTGAGTCATTCGACCCGCGAATGATAAACTGAGACTAAGGTTATACGGCGTTTCGCTCTTGCTACCTGTACTGAAGAGTAGGAAAAATGCGAGGCCTGCCACTGATTGCTTTTAGAAGCTCATCCCGCTTCTTATCATCGTGAATCATCGCGAACTCCTGAGTGACTGTAGATTTCATCTTCTATATCCTCCAGCGATTGGACGCCCTATTAGCATATGACTCGAAACATGTGTACGGAAATGTTCTTATCCTACAAATATGGATCTGTTTTCGAACCCCAACCTCCAAAGACATAGCTAGTTCGTAAGAGGTCAATGTAATTAATTATTGGTGAGTGTCTACCTTGACAGGTAAGAGTTCAAGCAGGAATTTATGCGAGGGAGATGGAGTGAAAACAGTCTTCCTGGATATTGCATTAAGTTGGCCCAGGTCGTAAATCTACTGTACATTGTGGGGAGCCCGGACCGGAAAGGGGGGGTTGGATCACCAAGGCAACGGAATTCTTTACATTCCAGCCCATTCCAAACTAAACGTCCTCACAGTCCTTTCATCGGTTCCTTTTTCTTGCTCATCGGACGGGATTTCTCCGCCGATAAGATATCCCTTCTTTACACCGGTTCCTAGACGACCTCCAACAACCAAGTCCATTAAATTTATCTCCTCATCCCACTCAGAGGCGGAAACGAGGAAATGGGAGTGGAATCGAAGCGGATCACCTGGGTAAGCCATGTACTGGCAACCAAAACGGAGACCGGGAGACAAGAAATATCCTTTGGAATGCAAATGGGCGTATAAAGGATATGATGAAGGGACCTTTGGCAGAGAATTCCCACCTAAGGGTGGAGGTTTGGGAAAGAGAGCGAGAGAGTCCGCAGGAGTGACACCAAATACGGCTCGTGAAGTAACGGCTGAACTGGATTGGATGGGGTCGTTAGTACGGTCGTCTACAGAACTAAAAAGCAGGTCTTCTGACTGTCCCTGTCCATCTTGCAGGGAACTCGACGCTTTTGATGCATCTGAGGTCTGAGATTTCGATTTTTTGGATTGCTTCAGCGCTTTTTCTTTTAGATGTTCTTTTTTGCTTGATTGGACTAAAGCTGCTCGCCGTCCGTGTTGCTCCAAGCTCTCAAGATGACGTCGCCGATCTTCATCAGCCAGAGTCTTCATTCCTTGATTGTGCACTTGTGCATCATCCACAATATAAGCAATCTTTTTCTCAACCAAGAGCCTAGCCTCTTCCGGCATAAGCTCTAATGGTAAACCCAGGAAGATATTCTGCTGCGGAATCTGAGGCAGAGTCCCAATGAGAACGCCGCAAATATTGTGTTCTCGGCGTAGATAGGTGACTGCATCAGTTGAGAAGAGAAAATAATGGCCCGATATGAAGGAAATGGGAATCGGGAGCACTGGTGTGTTGACCATGACGGGCACTATTGGGGTCTAGGGCTGGTTAATGCTACCTAGAAGTAACTGATTAGCATCAGTGATTAGGGCGTCGGGCAGAAACACCAGGCAATGAATGCAACAAAATCATATAAAAGAGATACGTTTCTCAATCACGTAGGTCCCTAAGGACTTCAGGGGATTGACAGATTATGTATTTGGAATAATCATGTGTACTGAAACAATTGTAAAGAAGGGTATGATCTTACCACTAATAAGACATCTGCGCCCGACAGGCTTATCATGTTGGGGCCCCTGATGCGAGTCTTTGGACTATCGTCGGAGTGATGAGATGGGAGTTGACAGAGCGCGCTGTTTGTGTGGGAATTTTTTTGGCCCACATATGGACTTAACACGTGACCAGGCCCATCCCGCCAAGACCAGAAACGCTCTTAACCAACGTAGAGGTAATTATGTGACCGCTTCGCAGAGTGCTGCGAGAGGAGAATCACAGATCCCTTCCCCCACGAGCGAAAATGGCTATCCTGTGGCTTTTACTGTGTTCGTTTTTCTTACTCGGCGGTACGAAATTGAGTTATTGGCTTCCTGCGCCGTGTCATCAATTACTAACGCCATAACAGCAATTGGCATCTTCACCGTTTCCTTGCGGACTCTCTTCGGAATCCGAATCACGAACTCTCGTGGCGGGTCTCAAACCGGGGTGTATGATCGTAACTATCTACGAACAATGACAAATAGCGGCGCCGCCCTATCTGAGCAGATTGAACTGGACGAATTGACTCGTGAGGCGGAGGATTATGAAGATGACCATGTGCGATAGATATGGTAGGGACCGAAATAGAATTCAGAATTCGAGGTCTGCTTTGCTTTTCCCGGATGAAGGAGCGCCTTGCTGTGCTTCATTATCCCCGTCTACGGGGGGTAGTGAAAACGGCTTGATTGTGAACTTCCTTCTGCTGAAAGTAAAGGCCCAATCCTCACCCATGTTCTTGTCACCTCCGCCGCCTCGTTCGTGGAAAACCGGTAGCCGGTGGATTTTTAGCATCCCCTGTGGAGGCTCTTCCTGCGCAGTGGCGGCACCGGACATGGTAGATGGATTTGAATGCGCCGAATGGGGGAAGGGAGCGAGCTCGATGACGCCATCGGTTAGAAGTTCGATCCAACGCACAAGGCCGGATGACCGTGGATAAAGAGAAAGTGGCAGAGTTATCATCGCCGTCATGCGATTAGAGTGTGTGGATAACAGCGCCCGAATTGAATGTAGGAACTGTAGGACACATTCTGGCTTACTAGCTTGGGGCGGATAAAGAGCGGGAGAAAGGAGCGACGGGATGATTACTCTGTGGATTGTATGTGGGGGAGAAGTCGATATCGCTTGAGATAGCGTTTGACCAACTGATGCAAGCGGGGAGCTTTGGAAAGTTGGAGGGGAGAGCGGTATAAAATTTACGGACGACATTCCGGGATGTGTTAGGCGTTTTGTCAGGTCGAACGCATGGCAAAATACTGCAGGTACGGCTTGGGGTGCAGCCGAAAGATCGCTTTTGTCTGCAACGGCAGTGGGTGCTGTGTGTAACGCATTAGATTATGTAGGTCGTCAAGTTTGCACGGATTCTTCTATAAACGTACCTCTCGACGGAGTTATCCCTGCGCCGAAATCCCCCAACTTTTCATATCTCCATGCAATTTTCATCTTTTCACCTTTTTCTCTGGGCTTTTCATCTGCGGCCTCTGCTGCCCCAACCAGACCAGGAAGGGTTGCTGCCCATTGCGGATCAAACCCCACCACATGGAGTTGATGCTCTTGAACTATCCCTTCCGCCGCATAATACCTCAACAATGCGCCAGCGAAATCCGTAGTACCGCTCTCTTCAACTAGCAGAGAGGACCCGAGGGCGAGTCCGGCGTGTCCTGCAAGCAAGTTGTCCAAGGTGGGGGTGCCAGTAGAGGTGGTTTGTCGACCATCCACAGGCGACGGGCGGAGGCCAAGAACCGGATGTTGAGCTACATCTTTCGTGGGACCATGCGGACCAGCCGTGCGCTGTGTTCCGGTCGAAAGCCCTATGTTCCGCTTGCGGAATGACATGGCTATATTTATGAGAATTGATCTGGACGGAGCTATTAGAGAATGCGGGAGCCGGACGCACATGGCTGCTGACAATGTGTTCAAGCCACATTTGTGGCGCAGGAAGCTACTAATTCATTTCTGATGATAACTGACGCCGTTTTAGTGACTATCACCGGTGCTTCTTACTTAAGTTAAAGCAGCACTAAAAATTCTACGCGCAGAAGCTTTCAACCCCGAAATCCTTTCTCGGCTTGTATGAACCGACGACGCTCACCGTTTGAAGAGTCCTTTTTGATAAAGCAAGTTATATCCCCCCAATCACTATACTCTGGTGTTCAATCCACCTGTTTTAATACAAGCAATAACGAAAAGAAGCTTCCATTCCGCCTGATCCTCCCCGCCGTACCTTCTACCGCAGACATGTCTGACCCGATCCTCTTCGAAGACACCTTCACTATCACGTCAATTAACGCTCAAAAATACGATCGCGTCTCTCGCATCAGCTGTACGTCCACAGATCAGCTAACCACCTTCACTCTTGACGTAAACTCTGAGCTCTATCCGTGCGCGCCTGGTGAATCTCTTTCACTCGCTCTCGCATCCACATTAGCGCTAGACGGTAAAGATGAAGGTGCCGGAGGGCGAGCTGTTTGGAGAGATGTAGGTATGGGCGAGACAACGTTGGCAAATGACTATGACTACGTGTGCTATGGGAAAGTCTATCGATTTGAAGACAGTAGCACGGCAGGGAACATGTGAGCATTCCCCATTTGGCCTGATTATTGCATACAGGCTGGTAGATCGAGTGTTCAAGGTTATGAAACCAAAAGCTAATATGTTCTCGGTGAACCAGGGCTGTCTTTGTTTCATTTGGCGGATTACTTCTGTATCTGGATGGACCATACAAGAAGCTCAACCCGTTGAGAATCGACTACGTTTACCTCTTGATAAAGAAATAAGCTCGAACAGGTTCGACCTTTTAAACCCGATAATACCACGGTCAGGTTAATGCGGTAGTACGGGATAATACGGAACAACAAACGAAATAAAAAGCTTAAGAGGAAATACTCTCGGATTGCATTTAGCGCCGGCGTTCTATCTGGTTAGGTTCTAAAGTCTTTAAGGAATCACTGTGTTTGTCTAAATAAATAAAAACAGGGATGTTATCTAAGAGACGCGTCAAAGGGTGGGGACCTCATGACGGCGATGGATCCTGGCTTGTATCTCCAGATAATCCTTCTCATTCTCCTGTGTTATGATGTTATGCCTGATGAAGAAGTCTATAAGCACAACAGAGCAGTTGGGCTTGAATTCCCCATTGGCCAATGCAGCCTTCACTTCGTCAACAGTCCACAGGTAAAAGCCTTCCACTTCGGTATCGCACGGCTTTGGAACGACGCTCGAATCGACTTCCAAATCATAGACGTATTCACATTCCGGTTGGAGAAGCCCCGTTTCACCACCCGCGCGCGCATCTCGTATATATGTATATGTAACGCATCCAACAGCTTTTGTATTGGCCCTGACTAGATCTTCGGGCAAGGAAGCTTCCTCTATGGCCTCGCGGACCAAACTTTCGAATGGTTGTTCGCCAGTGCTGATCCCCCCGCCAACGGTGTTATCCAACATTCCGGGATACGTTTGCTTTGTCTTTGATCTTCGAGCAACCCAAATTCTAATACCATTCTCGTCGTTCACATAGACCGTCATATGCACTCCATAAGTCAGGATTCCAAAAAGATTGCTGCCGGAGCGCTCAATGCTGCCTAGCAATTTCTTGCCCGGCCCATAAATGGGGTATAACTCATTGCGCCAGCCTCGGAGGACCTGAAAAGTGTCTTCTTTAACGGCAGCGGCTAATGTGCGAGCAAGAAGGTCGGTCCGTTGTTCCGCAGCGGCATCATGGGGAGCCAGGAGTGTCACTGTGCGCGTCTCGTGGTTTATTTCCCAGAGATCCTTTGGCCAAGGGAACTTGTCAACTACAAAATTGGGGATATACCCCAGTCCCGCACTGCAGCCAGAGATTTTGAATGTGTGATAGTTGGTTATATATTGCTCGTAAAACACAGGGTCATCGTGGCAATAGGGGAACCTGCGTCCCGCGTGTCAACAGCTGCTTCTATCCTCCAAATCCAAAGAGGACTTCACATACCTATCACACTCGTTGACCAGGTCAAGATAGGACTTGCTCATATCTGAATCCCCTCACTTAATTCTAGTCGACAGCTGCTGGCCTCGGAGCTCGGATTCCGCATTCACTTCTTCCCTTCATGGCTCGCCAAAACCCCCCCTCCCCCCTTTCTGTTTCGCTGGATCGTTTTGCGGGGACCTCGCTAATCAGCACCGACTCCTCCGTAATCTTGATTACTAACCGAAATTCTATTTCTCACGTGACCTACAAGGTTCGGGCGGAATTCGCTGGGGCCGGCCAAGTCAACAACAGCTGCCCAGTTCCTCCGAGCTCCATTTGTTTCCGCGCAATGGCACAGAGCCTGCGGTTTTTCGACTATAGCTTATAGGATCGTGCTTTTACATTCCTTTACACCGCAAAGTAATGGATGCTCAATCGACAGAACGCTAATCTAGCAGCGTACTAACCCCGCATTCTACAGGTTGCCCGCCGCCCCCGAGCCGTTGGAAAGTTCAAGAACACACGAAAGCTCCTTCAACCCAGCTCAAGGGCTGACTGACTAGCAGCCTAGCCCAAGATGTTTTCCGTTGTCTTACCTAGCCGGCCGTGCCTCACGAATCCCACCCCCATCCAAGCAGATCCTAGTTCCCCCGCGACAAATTTCGTATTTACCTTCCCCGCATGGCCCAAGTTCTCGCACATTGTCGTCTTTCTTCTCCCCGGCATCACACTTCCCGCCGACGCAGCAGCAGCTGTATATATCCAATTCTCCACAGAAGCGAATCCAAACCCCAATCCACAGGATTTCCGCTTTCTCGGCGCAATTGCCAACGAAAAACCTTCTGCGATATTCAAAGTCAATGACCCCGTTCGCCAACGCACGGAAGCCGAAGAGGAAGATGAAATGCTTGACGCGGGATCTCCACCATCACCCAATATCAATATGACCGTTACCCTAGGCATATCCATTGAACCGGCACAGACCGTGGCTTCCAAACTAGCTACATTGAAGGCTCAATCGGCATCTACAGAGCTTGTCAGGAGGGGTGATATGTTTCAGAGACCGAATATACCAACGAAGCTGCTTGCTCAAAGGATAATTGGGAACGCTTTCAATTTCCTTTCAAGCTTTGCGACGTCAGACGGGCGGGAAGAGATGGTGCCGTTGAAGAGCTTCAGGGACTGGTGGTCGAAATTTGAGAGGAGAATAGAGTCCGATCCGGGCTTTTTGGAAAGAGAAGGGAGTGTGTGAAAAGAGATATCCCTTTGGTACTAGAAATGCTGGGAGCAAAAAGTTTTTTACAAGAAATCTTGGAGATACCGTGGTAGAATAAAAGATTGGAGTGGAGTCGTGAAGCAGAACACGACCATGTGATACTACACGGCCCTGTCTGCAGCTTTAGCGAAACCTATCTGTTGATCGCGATTTGGTCGAGGTACCACTGTTGCTGATGTTTCCGCAGCCATATGCTCTCAGTGGAGATACTCCAGGAAAGAAAAATTTGTGTCTGCATATTATAGAGATGTTGTACTCTATCGTTTCAAGAATCATGTCTGTAAACTAAATTATGCATATAAAAACCCCCCAGGAGCCAATAAGGTCTATTCACGGCATCTGTTTGGGACTCTATCCCGCTGTATCATCCATTGATTCTCAAAGTTGAGCTTTCAGTCTTCGAGCAGGAACTTAAGAAAAGACTTCCCAACGGCGAGGCCATCGTTCTCTTTTGCGACCGAGTCCATACCTTCTTCATAAATGCCTGGCGGGAACGCACCCATATACTTCCGGGTATGGAGTAGTTCTATCACGATCTCTTCGGTAAATTCAGGATGACCTTGGACTGTGATGAACTTGCGCGGAGAGTACATTCCTTGCACTTCACATCGAGGTGAGGATCCAAGTGGGATAACGTCCGGTGGATAGTGATGCACTATATCGCGGTGCATTTGCTGGAGGCGCTGCACATTTCGGCAAACATATTAGAACCCCACCTCTCTTTCACAACTAGTCCAACAGGACATCGGAGACATACCAATTTCTCCAGGCTAAGTAGTTTCTTTCCTTGCTCTGTGAGGTCTACATCATGGACAGCCACCTCCCATCCGGCGTCATTAGGACCGACCTTGGCACCTAGAGCCCGTCCAAGGATCTGGTGTCCGAAGCACACGCCGATCAAGCGGACACGGTCTTGAGCAACTATTTTCTTTGTGAATTCGACAAGTTTGAGGATCCAGGGCGTATCATCATATGAATTATATCCTGTAATAACGAACAAAGGGTCAGTGATACACGGATATATATGTACCGGGGCGATGGGGAATGGACATACTTGCGCCGGTGATCAGTACCGCATCGATATCCTCTAATTTCGGGTATGCATCACTCTTGTTCACAATATCCCATTTCGAGATCTGCAGATCAGAATCGGGGTTGATTTTGTAGGGTACGTCCAGACCTGTCGCCGAGGCACGTAACAAGGCTTCAAACACACCACCGTAGCCACCATATTTGGCCTTGGTGTTGGTCAAGGGCTCGTCGCATTCGAGCACCGCAATCCGAAGTGGTACTCTCATGGCTGCTTCGCAAGGACGTTGCAGTTGGATATGGCGTCTGCAACAGTATGTAAGGCTCTGTCAAGGGGGCAGTCGATGGCAACGAGGATGTGTGGCAGAGAGAGGGGCGCTCTTCAACGTGCTTTTCATGATCGAAGCGTAGACAAGGTATGGGGTCAGAGCGATTCTGCCTGTCACAGTGTCGGGCGTTGGGAAGAAAGGTTCATCTCCACCACATCCCTTGTTTCCTATTGCCCGGCGACGTGCGGCGGTGGGCGGCAGAGCAACCGGCCGATTGGCCCGGGATGCTTGATTGGCCGAGACCGCTCGCTATGCCATTTTTGGCCATCGGGACCGGCAGCTCACCGCCCTGGCGACCGGCAAAGGGGGCGGCAGAATGACTAATGCCGATCCACATGACCCCGGATTTTGCTCGCAATCACCGCCCTTATCACGCCAAGCCCAACTTAAATCGCACGCTGGTTGAACGCGGCTCGCCGCGACTAGTCGTCATGGACGGGTTCAGGACTCAATTCATGACCATTGGGTGAATCGGGGAGCCGCCAATCATTTTTCGCTGTGTACGGCAAGCGCGGGCTTCACTGTCCTATTTTCGATGCAGGTATGGTTTCCAGGTATTCATACGATTACAATATCACAGATTGCCGCCCCGGCCATTCCACAAATGTACGCTGAGGCTGACTTCGATAGTTCATTCCTCAGGTGATACGGAGTATATCCCGCCCCATGGTGACGGGAATTGACCTTAATTTCGCTACTCCTGGATATATGAACTGGCACAAGAGTGGCCTATAGAGAAGCGTTTTGGAAGGCGGGTGTTCGCATTGTGGACGGAGTACAGAGTAGGGTGGGACATTATCACGTTTGATTGCTGCAGCCGGCCGTCATGTCTTCGCCTCGGAGAGTCACTGAGTCGACGCCGTTACTTCACAATGGCACCGCCAGTGTTCCGGATATACCTGACGATATCGACGAGGAGTCCTTGGACCGGGACCTCGCCAACGTTCAGTCAGTTCCCCACGGCGGTGAAACTGAGCCTGGATTCCCTCCCGTATCTCCTAGAGATGGAGCTTCTGAGGCTGCCAAACAAACAACGCCCAAGGGATCGCACCATTTCATCAATGTCAGCCCTGCCCAATTCTGGGTTATCTTCACCGGTATTCTATTTTCGTATATAATCGCATTCTTCGATTCCACTCTGATGGGCTCCATACACCCTGTGGTTACGTCATATTTTAATTCCTCGAATTCGGCCTCATGGTTATCGACGGGGTTCCTCTTAACATGCACAGCTTTCCAGCCGCTCTTCGGCCGGGTGTCCGATACTTTCGGTCGACGACCGGTTTATCTATTCGCGATCTTCGTGTTCTTCATCACAACGGCTTGGTGCGCGCTAGCTCAAAGTATCGGAAGCTTTATAGCCGCAAGAGTTTGCTGTGGTCTGGGAGCCGGGGCTGTTGCCTCCCTTGGGATGATAATGAGCTCTGATCTGATTTACGTTGAATATAGAGGAATATATCAGTCGTATATCAATCTTGCGTATGGAACGGGCTCATCCCTTGGCCTGGCTTTCGGTGGACTCTTGGCAGACAAACTTGGCTGGAGAGCGGCGTTTGGCATCCAACTGCCCTTCATTTTTATCTATCTAGTAGCGGCGTACTTCACTACCCCCCAATCCCTCGGACCACAATTAGCGTATCAAGAAGGGTTTTCTTTAATGCAGGCCATCAAGTCAATCGATCTAAAGGGGTCGTTTCTGTTGGTTACCGGTGTGACTGCTTTGATGCTTGGCATCAACCTGGGAGGAAATGTCTTATCTTGGGATCATCCACTGGTTATATGCTCTTTGGCAGCATTTGGTGCGATTGTTGCTCTTTTTATCAGGGTTGAGCGCGAGGCAAAACGGCCCGTGATGCCGTTGCCTTTGCTCTCCAGTTTCCCGCGTGCGAACTTGATCCTCGGCAATTTTTGCGCAAATATCACGATTAACACGGTCCTATTTAACGCTCCTCTGTACTTCCAGGCGGTAAAATTGGAGTCGCCCACTAACGCAGGTTTTCGCCTCGTCGGAGCGTCACTCATGCTCATGATAAGCAGCGTATTTACTGGACTCCTCATGACAAAGACTCGCCGACTAAAACCTCCAATTATTCTTGGAAGCATATGTCTAATCTATGGCACGTGCTCTATGAGCATGCTACGTAGAGATGCGCCAGGCTGGATAGGGATGCTATCGGTTAGTCCGGCGTCCTTTGGACAGGGCTTTGCATTCCCCGCGACAATGTTATCCGTACTGGCTGTCAGCGAGCAGGGAGAACAGGCAGTGGTTACAACGACGCTTGGTTTGTTCCGCAACCTAGGGTCAGTTATGGGGGTGGCTATAAGCAGTTGGGTCCTTCAGAACTCGCTTCGTGTGTACCTCAACCTCTCAGTTACGGGGGACGATAAGGCAGAGATTATTCAACGTGTCCGAAGATCTGTTGCCGCTATATCTGAGCTGGATCCAATCCATCAGTATCAAGGCAAGTAGCCAAAAACTTTGAATACGTGAGAGGAAGTGCTAATAACACATTCTCTACTATAGTTATTGATGCATATGAACGTGCTTTGCGTATCACTTTCCTCTCAAGCATCGTTTCTTCAGCACTGGTCTTTCTTTTAGTTGCGCCCGTCAGGCTGCCTCGTTTACGCCGAAGGTAGCAGCCGGGTTCTCATCAACTCCTTTTCACTTCCGGGTATTCTTTGTTGAGACAGACGGTTTCTGTGTACAATTTGGGAGGGGCATATACGACCGGAGGGTATATTCTTCACATTAGGTGCAGGCTTTCATGCATAACCTTCCTCTAGATAGATTATTGATTCATATTTTCGGGCTTCGATTGTTGTTAGTGGACCCGCCAGAAGAGGAGGCATCCGTCTCAAAATGTCCGGATGAAACACAAAATTAATGTTAACTAAACTTATTCAGGGACAGCCGTATCAAAATAATAGCAATAGTGTCTTCATCGGGCTTGATCGATGCTCTTTCAAAACAAGTCAATCGTATTGCCAATTCATGTTCCTTGACCCCCAGGGTTTCCTCGAGCACCCCGGCTGTCAGCCGGCCAAACAGACAGACCTGAATGTTCCACCCCAAGCACCTTGGAGGGTACGGACTCCCTACCCCATAACCAGCCCCTCCATTGAGAGCCCTAACGGTTCCCGGGACCTCTGTTAATCTGTGATATTTAATTCCGATCAGCATCCGTTGAGTCTTGCTCAGAACCAGAGCCACGCCTTTTCGGCATCCCGTTCACGATCGTCTGTCTTGGTGCCACGAACCAATCCATCGGGACGAACACCTCGCCAGATCGAGACGTGATTGACATCGAAAGTTTTTCCTCCAACCCTCCGTGGTAAGCAAGATATATATTCACGCCTTTAGTCCCCGTCATTATCCCATCGGTAGAGCCTGCGCTCCTTGTGTCAGCCCTTCCCTGTTCCTGGTGCTCCACGGCTCCTTGTTTAGCGCGCATCTTCTAAATGGAATATCTTTGTGCAGCTCACCGTCATTCCGAGAACCACCTGCCTTCGACGCGCGCGATCAAATTTCAACAACGCCGAGATTCATTTGCAAACCGTCCCGTATAGATCCCTACAGACTGCGGACAGTCCCCGGCGCGATATTTAACAGATCCCTGCAAGCGAACAACAACAATCCTACATAGACCCTCACTCGCCGAATCTGCCCTTTCTTGCTCTCACTTGGCATATCCCATGGTACCCGAAAGCGCGCTACGTGTTACGTCACGGGGGAAAAGCATCGGGCAGTGAATACTGCGATAGATGTGGAGGTGAAAGGGGAACTCTTTTCATGAAATCGGGCGCAAAGTTGCGCTTCGAGGGAAAAGTTTCGCCTGCTGCCTCGAATCCTGGGCTATAATTTTATGGACAACAGTATATTACGCGATATCAATGTCATCAACCGTTGGCGGACACCTGCTCCCGCAGAATGACTTCGATATTCCTTTAAATCTCGCCGCTTCACCTTCTGTATCAGCGATACCTGACTGTTCTGGAAATGGAGGAGCGTATCAGATAGCAGCGAAGGTGGATTCGAATCCATCACAGAACGCTACTGTGAAGCAACAAAGTGCCGTTGGCAGCACTGTTGCTGGAGCCGCCGCCGCGGGGCGGGGCGCTGGGCCAGCAACACGGCCGGATGCACCCAAATCTAAGCGTGTCAGGACCGGTTGTCTAACATGCAGAGAGCGGCATCTCAAATGCGATGAAACTCTTCCTCGTTGCCAGAACTGCCAGAAGTCGGATAGACTGTGCAAACGTGGAGTTCGTCTAAATTTCATCGATACTCAGGTTGCCGCACCCCCATATGCCGTGCCCTCCAGCCATGATTGGCAGGTAAACTTCCATGATGAATCTCGCGAGATAGCATCGGAGTACCTAGGCGGCTACGAGAGGTATCCTTCATTAAAAAGGGAGACCCCAAGTCGGCGAGCTGGCCCCGCGTATTCCTATCGTGAGACACAAGCAATGGCAACGCCACACCCAGGACTGACAAGTGCGTCATTGCTGACTCCATTTGCGGAGCATCCGCAGCCAGACATTACAGCGGAGCCAATATTCCATAGCACGCCTCAAGCACCGGCCCCAGATTCTGCATATACGGAACACGCGATTGCTCGTTCTCCTTTTGATGCCCCAAAACATCCCTTGGCTCCAGCGAATGAACTTCGACCCTACTTGAATACCGCAGAGGAGGTATTACTTATGCAGGTGTACGTGGAGGAAGTAGGACTTTGGATGGATTCCATGGATCCTGGAAAACACGTATGTGAGCTCTCTTCGTGAACAAGGGTTTTGTCATTCGACTGACTAGAATAGTTTACCCAAATTCTTCCTTTCCACGCACTTGGGGAACCAATGCTCTTAAATGCTCTCCTGGCTTGCGGTGCACGACATTTATTTCTAGTAAATCCTTCATTCGGTGAAGAGAAGGCGCTATATTATTACAACATTTCGACTAGAGATCTCCTAACCTGTTTACAAGATCCGAATCGTGATACGGTGCTGTGTGCAACCACAGCAGTGGTCCTTAATGTTTATGAAGTTATGTGTGAAAAGGCCATGCAGAGAATGAATCATATCGCTGGTGCCCGTGCGTTGATCAAGGAATGCCGCTGGAATGCCAAAACAACTGGTATTGGCGGCGCATGTTTCTGGTTGAATGTTGGCATGGAACTGCTGAGTTGCCTCCACTTCAACTGGAAAATGGCCTGGGATCCGGATACATGGGATATCGATATGAACATGAGCCTGAATCAAGGGAGCATCGCGGGCGATGAGGAGTTTTGGACCCATCGAATGTTATATATATGTGCGAAAATCGCAAATTATCGAGCCACTATGGCGTACCAAGGGCTTGATCGAAGTTCCCATGATCCCAGGTTAAACCAGCGTTGTGAGGAGTGGAACGCGCTGCGAGCTTGGTGTGATGAGTGGGCAAGATGTGCCCCGAGATCTATGATGCCGCTGGGTTATTTACATCCATGGGAAACAAACTCGAAGTCATCATTCCCCGAAGTTTGGTGGGTACTTGATCGATACTTGTCGAGTCTTTCTTCTGAAAGCATTATGTGCTGATAATAGTTTAGGCTCATCAAACGCTCCGCTGTTGTTGGCCGCCTATTCTACCATACTGCTTGTTGCCTCTTGGCAAAAGTGCATCCTACGGAGTCAGAATATTCAGATGAGATGCTGTCCATGCAGCATACTCATGCGCATGATATTTGTGGCATTGTAGCACATGTGAAAGACAGGTGAGCTGATATTTACTATCTATCCATAGCGGTGGATTCTGACTACTGTTTAGGGGTGTTGCCAGCGTCTCAATTCGATGCCTAGCTATTGCAGCGGAATGTGTTGTTGGAAGAGAGGCTCAAGAGGAAGTGATTGCCATTTTGGATAAAATCATCAAGGAGACAGGATGGCAAGTTGGCTTTCTACAGCATGAACTTATCGAGAAATGGGGTTGGAATAGCGCCACCTCACATATGTCGCCGCATCAAAGTCAGCATCCGCAGATGGCAGCAGCTGGGCCTTCTACAGACCTCGGGTCCTCTTTGCTGAATTCCGCATTGCCAAGCGCGCCTCCATCAAGACCCAGGATGCCACAGGGCATCGTCAACCCACTTATGGCAACCGCAGACTTTTCGTTCGACAATCACCCGTATCAGAATCATTACGTTGCTCCGCATAATAATCATTTGAACAACTACCACTATGGTTCCTACTGAGAGTGATTCGGGGAAAGTAAGGTACCTCCAAAGGCTTCATTCACGAAGGCTCGATTGAGGACGAATCTTCTGTTGTGCCTCCTTGTCATGCATTTTGAGCGGCCTGATAAACGGACCTTAATGTATATACAGTCTTGCTAATAGCCCGCTCATCCTTGTTGCTGCGCATACGCGTTCAGGATCATTTTTCCGCTTGCAGATACGCTTGGCTCTTTTCCATGATATTGCCTGTGTATATACCACAACTGCAGTTTGATCGAAGCCTACTCATATTTTAGGTTTCTTTGGTCTAGCTCGCATATTTTGGCCAATATGCATGCTAGAATTATTTTGTGTCGTACTGTTTATTGTTTCCGGGGAGCATTCTAATATAATATCATACGTAAAGTGGTGACACGCATGGACATCAGCCTGCCTTGAGTGATCAACTGATTGAATGCTACATTAAAATAAGCATTCCATACAGAGTACTTCGTTGCATATCCGGGAGCGCGGAGAACAATTGCAGATACTTAAAAATACAGCGTACTCCACAAGGCTGAAGCAAAAATGGCTCTTAAGTAAGCCGCCAAGCAACCGCAACTCGTTCACTCTGGTATTGTATTCCATAGCCCGTCTTGTTTTCCTCGTTCACATCGACGGCCCTGCCGTTGTCTCTCCAAGATGACTTCTTCAGGTTTACAGTCTACGATGCATCCTCCGGCGACCCCGGTGTATGTTCTTCGTGGCCATGCAGCCCCCGTTCATGCCCTGCACTTCTACAACCAAAATACAAGGCTTGTTTCTGGCGACGCGGACGGATGGGCTATCGTCTGGAATATGACTACCAAGCGACCGGTTGCAACCTGGAAGGCCCATGAGGGGTCCATTTTAAATGTCAAAGGGGTCAAATTCGCTGCCGATGGCGGTCATTTATGTGATGCGAATGAGCAAGCTGCTAGTGACTCGTCGGAGATGAGGGTGTTTACGTATGGTTCTCCAGCCAAGTTTTACATCTGATTATCATTAACGAATTCTGAATAGCCATGGGAGAGACAATGCTCTCCGTGTATGGAGGTTAAACACAAAAGAGGAAGAGCTTCTCGATAAAAGATTGCCTATCGAAGAAAATTCTACCCCTAAAAATATGAAGGATCCTTGGTTGATCTATTCGATCACGGTGAACGCATTGAATTTCTGTGGCTTTTCTATTTGCTTCAAGCCTTCTTTGAGCTATGAGCCAAATCTCGAGGGTTCCTGTTTGGAGCAAGTCAGCTCTGTGGACGCTTTGCCTGGGAACTGCATGCCCAAGGTGTCCTCTGAAATGTTCATTGCTGTACCCAACGCCATGAATACCGGCGGAATTGATATCTTTCATCTACCTTCACAGAAGCGGATATGCATAATATACGCAGACAAGTCGGTTAACACGGGTATGGTGATGGCGTTGGAGATATTCTTTTCCTCGACTGGTGACTTATACGTGGTATCCGGGTACGAAGATGGCCAAGCTATGGTTCATATGCAACAAGGGCCTATTGTCATAGAAGACATGGATGATGCGTCAACATGGAATTGGGAAAGAATATATCTGCACCGTGCACATTCACAACCCATTCTCTCGCTAGACGTCTCTCCGATGCATAAAAGCCATTTCTTCACGTCTTCAGCGGATGCGATGATTGTGAGGCACCCGCTTCCTCTGAGAAGCGATGATGTGAAATCTGGGGACCAGGTGCCATTAAGAGTCGTGAATACCAAACACGCAGGCCAACAGGGACTGAAAATACGGTCTGATGAAAAAATACTTGTTACTAGTGGATGGGATGGTCGTGCGCGAGTTTACTCGTGCAAAAGTATAAAGGAATTAGCCGTATTGAAATGGCATCGAGAAGGCTGCTACGCCATTGCGCTTGCTGAAATTGAAGCCGACGAGTCGACCACTCACCTACCAACGGAACCAGCCGGCGAAAAGCCGGAGCTCTCTACTTTAATCCAAAGAAACCAGCCGCGGTCCCTTATAGCTATCAATCAACAACGCAGTCGAAAAGCACAGCTTACACATTGGATTGCCGTGGGCTCAAAAGACGGAAAAATATCATTATGGGATATCTATTGAGCAGACCCTACAAAGCAACTCCATCCAACGATATCACTTTTCAGAAGTCGGATCAAGCAATATTAAACTCGCTCGCTCCGGCCATGTGTTCCTTTAGTTTCTGCTGCATCTTTTTCCTCGCTTCAGCAGCATCCGTAGTTGAGATGTCCTCCCTTGCTGACATCTTTCTCCTCTCGCCCGAAGCAAGTTTACGATCCGCCTTGAAGGACCTTTTCGTGTCCTCATTACCTGGCCGTAAGCCCGGAACATTGATTTTGGCTGGCCTGTCGCGTAGCGCAAAACTCTTCGCTAAGTGACCCAAGTGTAAGTCTTTGATATTGAACATGTGCCGTTCAGCAGCGATATGCGTCGCATACGCCCGGATATGAGACTGATAAGCGCGTCTGGCCATTTCCAAAATGGTTGAATCCTCGAGAGCCCAGCGCTCAATATCAAGCTGCCAGTCGGTAGCTTTATCTTCCCAACCTTTGCTAACGGCTTCACTGTTCCCACCAAAGCCTCGTTTAAGGATTTCGTTCACTTCGTTTCTCGTCACAGAATTGCTACTACCTTCGCGATAGCTGCCTTTCAATATGTCAACGTACCCTTCCTCGTTGCCAGGGAGGAGGAAAATCAGTGCTCGACCATCGCGGCCTAATCGTGCCGTACGACCGATACGGTGAAGATGATCATCCGAGCAAAATGCCGGATCATACTCGATAACGAAATCAACATTCGGTAAGTCGAGACCACGGGCTGCGACATCTGTACAGATGAGAACGGATGCGTCTTTTTGCTTTGCGAAGGCTGAAAGGGTTGCTGTTCGAACGTGTTGTGGAAGCGAGCCGTGGAGTTTATGTAGTATAACATTATTCGAAGGATTAGAGAATGCAGACGCCGTAGCAATGGTACCATGAACATTTGAAGAACTGGGCGCATTTTGATCATCAGCATCGGGTAATTCTTCACTACTTTCACGTCGAGTGAAGACCTCGAAATGAAAATCCACAGAGTCTGCGCAAGAAACGAAAATAATCGCTTTCATGACTGATCCTTTGCGTGCAAATGTCCGCTTCAACAGGGCCGTAAGTGTCACTAATCGAAGCTTCGCCGCCACAACTGCGTACGACTGCTTCAGTTGTGCAGGCGCAGAGAATTCAGGCTGCTTCGAGCCGTCTTTCTGCTCATCATCTTCATCGGCAGGATCTGCCTTTATATGGATTGCCTCTTTCAAACTAATCTCTCCCAAACGTTGCACATTCATCTTCAGCGTGGCCGAGCATAAAATCGTCGTCCTCTTGGCCGGGAGGTCTGGAGTCTTGGACGGTCTCCGCCTTTCATCCAGCTTCTTAATAATTCCCTGGATCTCTTCTTCAAACCCCAAATCCATGAGCCTATCGCCTTCATCAAGCACAAGCCATCGCACATTGCTAACATCAAGAACCTTTGTATTCTCCAGATGATCCGCCAATCGGCCGGGCGTAGCAACCAGAATATTCAATCCCTTCCGTAACCGTGCTTTTTCAGATTTCTTCTTTTCTCCTCCAATAACAGTTCCCGCCACGATCCAGTGTGCACACCGAAGTAATCCATCCAAGACGACGGAGATCTGCTTGCACAGTTCTCTCGTTGGAGCCAGCACTATGGCGAATAGCCCCGAATCTCTGTGAACAGTATTTCCCTCGCTATCCTTCTTTCCTTTGTTATGGCTCGATATCCTCATCAGCCGTTCAACGATCGGCAAAAGGTACGCTAACGTCTTTCCAGAACCAGTCTGCGCTTGTACGAACGCATCGCATTCTTCCTTGAGTAGCTGCGTTATCGAACTTTTCTGGATAGCCGTCGGGGTTTTTAAATTAAGTTTTGTTAGCAGATGTGTCGCTAAACTTGGGGATAGCCCAAGGGACGTAAACGTGTCGATTCCATCGATGAGAGGCGCATTCGAAGGCTTCGCTGGCTCAGTGGTATCTTCATCGTGCGTCGCGCCATCCGTGCTCGTGACCGTCTTCGCGGTAGGATTATACGTAAACAGCGAAGAAATAACTTGTCTATCGCCATATGACTTGCGATCAGTCTGTTCGTCGTTTCCCACCCCACCGCCTCCAGCACTCGACTTGGTCGTGGGTTTGAAATCTCCACCATCGATCCTCTGTCTCTTCGTCGGTCGCTGGCCCGTAGGAACATTGATTTTATTAGGATTCTGCGGATTATTGCTGTTGACAGCTCCTGTCTCTGGGCTGTGTCGGGATTTATTCTGTCGCTTGACGGCGATTTTTTTCGCGACCAGACGATCCTTCCATGTCCCGCCTTTGAAGCGCTGCTGGGGCTTGATGACGCTGTCGTCTAGGCTGAAGTTGAGAAGCATGCCATCTTCGGCCATGGTGATAATCAAGGTCGTCTGTGCCCTCTTTGAACTGCTTCACCACCACGAATATCGAGATATCCGTCGCCTGGTTGTTGATAAAATTGATACTGAGATATTCGGAAGAAAATATAACTTGAGCTTTGAGAATAGCTGATTGGCCAATTTTTGTCGGAATACGATTGGTTTACATATATTTAAGCTTGTTTCAATGGACGCGATCCATTGGCTGCTTAAATGGAGCGCCAAGCCAGTGACATGTTACTGTATATGGACTCCGTACTGTATATCGGAGCTTGCTTGTCATAATCAACGTGTATGTACAGTGTCTTCCGTTGTAAAGTATATAATTCAATCGTAAATGTCCTTTATATGTGGCGAGGGTATATTGGAGTTGATCTCAACAGAGAATTAGAATCCAAAAGATTCACCAAACCACTGAACAAGTCAAGGCTTCGGCGGAAGAATTATGTTATCAATTAGCCTCACTGGAACAGTGCCTTCACCCAGTCCGCAGTCCTCCCCGGGTTGCGGATCTTCGAGAGGGTACATTTTAATTGCGCCACTCAACACCGCTCCCTTGGAGCTATCGACCGCATCCAGCTCTTCGAGCGATTCGGGGTCCGCAAGGGAAATGTAGTCCACTTCAAATTTTGCTCGTTGAAACGGTTGAAGGTTTTCCTGTTCCTTGGAAATAGCATCTGAAATCCTGCGCGCAGCTCTGAGAATATCTTCCCTAGAGTGTTTACCGGAAGAATACGCGCTCTCAGCTTGTCGCAAGGCGGCCGAAAGGACGAGGCCAACCTTTCGTCGTCGGGAGCCCAGGTAGACATTCCGGGAGCTAAGGGCAAGCCCATCGGGTTCACGAACAGTAGGCCCAATCTTCACTTCCGTGTTCACGTAGAGGTCTTTAACCATGCGCCTGATCACCACCGTTTGCTGCACATCTTTCTGGCCAAAGTAAACGCGTTCCGGCGTGACGATGTTGAACAGTTTCATACAGACGGTTGCGACTCCACGGAAGAACACGGGACGGGATGCTCCTTCGAGCAAATAGGACAGAGGCGTAATGGTAACAAACGATCCGTTTCCGTTTATTTCAGACGTTGGTGGAAGGGTTGGGTACATGACTTTCGTCGTTGGCGCGAAAACGGCACTAATACGTCCTGGAGGAGCTGCAGATTGGTCTTTGGCTCCAGCGAGGGAAAGCTCGCGGTCCAACTCCTGGAGCCTTTGGATATCCTCTGCCCACGTCCGCGGATAGCTTTCCAGGTCTTCATTGACTCCAAACTGTGTGGGGTTGACATAAATACTAACGACGACATCTGTATTCTCTCTAGCCGCTTGTCGGATTAGGGAAAGGTGCCCTTCGTGCAGGGCGCCCATCGTAGGAACCAATCCGACTGTTTTTTTCGAAAGAAGGAGGTTTCTCCGGTATTCGCGGAGGGGTAAGACATCCCGGAAGATTTCGAAACCTGGAGAACCAGAATTTGTCCCGCTGGAGAGCCTATAAGGGAGGGCTTGATGCAGCAAGTTAGCGCTATATCACTGAGACAGTCGATCAAGACCTTACATGAGAACGATCTCACCCAACGGGACATGGCTTTGAAATATCCAACAAACAGACGCGAACTGTAGACCCTGTGGAAACAATTGCGAATTTCCCAATCATTGGAAATAAGAGCGGGTATATTATACAGCACAGGGGATAATACGCAGATATAAACAAAAGGTCTGAGCCTACATCTTGAGTCAATTGGAAGTGCTTTTTTTTTCGAGCAAGCGAGGCTGATTGTGATGGTGTCTGCTGCGTTGCCGTCATCCTTGGGCGGAACTCCCGAGCAGGCACCATCCCGTACTAGGACTAGCGTGTTATTCGGTGAACTAAGCATAGATCACAACCCAACGATGTCACCTTCGAAGATTTCATGCCATGGAATACAAACCTGATGCTCTGTACGCTGTTAGATGAAGTGATGGCGTGAATATGGGGTCTGCTTCCAGCTTCGACAGCAGACATGGGCTGTCCGGACCCAGGGATGGCCGATTCAGCTGGCTTCATGAGCACTCCGTGCATTTGGAACTACGGAGTAATGCGAGGGAAATGCCCCATACCAAGCTTTTAGTTACCCCTCCATCCAACTCCAGAGGTAGGCCAAACCAGTAGGAAGTTGTCGCCGCATGCCTAGTATTCCGTGTTTTAATCCTCGAAACTAGTAGAGACACGGAGAACCCTCCATGCACATACAATGCAGCCCTGAAAGGGGCCTCTCTAGCCAAATCGGCCGGCTGTCGGAATTGCACTGAGTGGACCCGCGACCGGGGAGTACTGCCGAGGTTGGAAACCTTATCGGAGATGGAGGATCTTAATTCCTGCGCTTGTTGGGACAAACGGTGATTTGGTGAATTGGTCACTCCGTTTCGTGTTGGCATATTCTTCTTGGGTTGGATGCAAAGCTGTGAGAGAATTGTCGTCGGGGAACCGGGATTATGGACTGTCACAGCGAGCCCTTCACACAGACGCTGATTCCCCTATTGCTTTGCCAATAACGCAACCCACACCCTACATTTACGCATATAGTTAACGCTCTCCTTAAATCGCAATGTCTTCCACAAAGCCAGCGGAGAACCCAACCAGCTTCGCGCCCGATCTCGAGATCGTCGGAGATAAAGTCCGAATCCAGCCTACCGGCTTCACTGCCGGCGCCAAGGTCGAAGATGGCGGTATCACAGAACGGCGTCTAGTACAGCAAATGGGCCGCTTTCGACAGAACCCATTCGAGTTTCTACGAGAGATCAGCTTGTTTGTGTCTGGTACAGGATGGCGAGCATATGATGATTTTGTTGGCCAGCCAATTTTCTATTCTGGCTTTACGGAGAAGGTAAAATCTGAAGTTCTGCACCACCCGTTGCTTCAGGGAAAAATTGCCGAGCTGGCTGAGCTGAGGACAAAAGTGGAAGAGAAAGATGGGCTGCTGAACGGGCCATCCAATAACAACGGCGACAAAAGCTTACGTCGGACAAATGAGATTATAGCCAATTTGCGCGAGGTGGTGGATACTATGATTGATAATATGATTTGCAAGATGGAGAGTAAGACCTTCATCCGAGGCGCTTACTATCTCTGTACCCAGCTCCTCACAAGAGCTTATCACCAAGGTAAGACGTTCATGGATTTTTCTCGGTTCAGCTACTTTTGCGTTTATACTTGATACTTAGCTATAGATTTGCAGGAATCCATGTTTCTAGCGAAGAAGTCCTCCGTCTAAGAGCAGTGGCCAAAGAAGCAGCAGAGAAAAAGAAATCTATCATCTTCCTTCCTTGCCATAAATCTCATGTCGACTATGTCTCGCTCCAGATTATTTGCTACCGCCTTGGAATTGCGCTGCCCGTTGTTGTGGCAGGAGACAACCTCAACATTCCTCTTCTAGGACCATTTCTGCAGCACGCCGGTATGTTGGAGGATAAAACCTCTGTGAATAATACAATTGCATAACTGCTAACCGCCAATAGGTGCAATGTGGATTCGACGCAGTTTTGGAAACGATCCCTTATATCATACTCTGGTTCAAGCTTATGTCGATACCCTTCTCAGCAATGGCTACAATTTTGAATGCTTTGTAGAAGGTGGCCGGTCAAGAACAGGAAAGCTCTTGCCACCAAAATACGGTATTTTGAGCTTTTTGTTGGACAGTGTCTCTTCAGGTCGAGTGGACGACGCCATAATATGCCCGGTCAGCACGCAGTACGACAAAGTCATAGAAACAGAGTGAGAAGCCTGTCAGGGATGGGTTAGTTTTACGGACACATGGAGTACTGACATTTAATCAGGTCCTATATCAGCGAGCTTCTTGGCCAGCCAAAGCAAAAAGAAAACTTGAAGGACTTCTTGTCCTCGTCATCGGTATTGTCCCTGAAGTTGGGGCGCGTTGACGTCCGTTTCCACGAGCCTTGGAGCTTAAAACAATTCATAACGGAACAATTGACGAGGCTCAACAAGAACCCCAGCAGTATCAGTCTTGTTGATCCTGCCGAAAGAGGGCGCATTCTCAGAACGCTTGGATATCGAGTTCTTTCACAAATCAATGATGTTTCAGTAATCATGCCTACAGCCTTAGTTGGTACCGTCCTTTTAACTCTCCGAGGCCGTGGGGTTGGAAAAGCTGAGCTAGTTCGCCGTGTTGACTGGCTTTGTGAGCGTGTGAGAGCCAAAGGAGGACGAGTCGCGCATTTTTATCGGGCTGCAACCGAACATGTGGTGGATCGTGCTCTTGAGGACCTAGGTCCAAAACTAGTTGGTGAAGTAGGCGGACTTGCGGAGCCCACCTTTTACGCTGTGGACAGGTTTCAGCTCTCGTTTTACCGCAACATGACGATACATCTCTTCATCACCGAAGCTTTGGTCTCTGCTGCGATGTATACGCGTGTGAAGCAAGGTGGCGGACCAGCAAACCAACGAATTTCATACGATGAATTGCTCTCTCAGGTTTCATTTTTATCACAGGTTTCTATCACCAGGCCCGTCCTTCGCTATAGCTTGTGCTAATCCGTTTCTTAGATCTTTCGTGGTGAATTTATATTTCCTCCAGAAGGATTGACTACAAATCTTGAGAAGACTCTACACGGCTTGGAACGTGATAACGTGATTAAAGTGACCCGTAATTCGACAAATGTTCCCACGGTGATTGAATTAAGCGACCAAGAACGGCAGTGCGGACGGGAGAACTATGACTTTTACTGCTTCCTCGTCTGGCCCTTTATCGAAGCCTGCTGGCTTGGAGCAGTCTCCCTTCTAGGACTCACGCCACCATTATCCAACCCACACACCTTCTGGGTCGATCTAAAGAAAGCACAAGATAATGCTCAGCTGGTAAGTAATGCGTATACGCCACATCTCTTGCAGTGGCTTTGGGCATTATTGACCGCTTCGCGACATAGCTGGGCAAAACACTTTATCACCAAGGAGATCTATCGTACTTCGAAGCCGTGAACAAAGAGACACTCAAGAACGCTTATCAGAGATTCGAAGAGGAGGGGATCATAATTGTCGCCAGAAGCAAGGAGTCCGGTACCGCTGCAACCCTGCGGATTGCCCCCAATTGGATGCCGGAAAGGGACCCTGAAACTGGGAAACTACTACCTCGCGGAAGGCTTTGGGATTTTACAGATTTGATCGCCCAGTCGCGACGCGAAGGGTATGTCGAACTTTGATCCCCAACTTGCTAGACGCCAAAGCTTACCTACCATCCCCCCTTTAGGAAAAACAGACGAGACGGGGCGACCGTCTCTTCCCGTGTCTTGACCATGAGCGATGCAGTAGGACAAGTATTATTCCGGAAAGCAGAGCTCCCAAGCTCAGGGACTCCAGAAGATGACGTGAAGTTATCCACAACCAAGATGAGACGGAAAGCAATCGAGACACCATCAAAACTGTGAGTGAGAAGAGTCATTTGCTCTTATGCTCTGATGTATTTACTGTTTATACCCCCCAATTTTTTTTCCAGCTATAGAGCCTGTGATCCTAGATGGCTTTTTGTAATATATCTATGCATTGGGCCATTTCCTACCGGCAAGAAATAAATCTATTTCTTTTTATACTATTAACTAAAAATATAGTTACTGTATTTTTTATTATTATTTCCTATCTCTTTATAGAGACTCTGAGTAAGATACTATTTTAAATTTTAAGAATATTCTTAAACTTCTTGCTTTAGAATCTTAAAAAAGAGACATATCACCTTTGAAAATTTTGTTGTTCAACTACCTGATCCAGGCTTTCTCATGTGCATATATATGTTGCCATTCTTCAAAAAATTTCTTAGCAGCATCATTTGCGCTTAACCACCTGCTGAGATGCGAAGCACACAATGGGCCATGCGCCTTGCTTGAAGTGATCTTCTATCTTTGCCCTCTATTTCCTTTTCATTCAAAGGAGCCTTTCCATTCTTTCTTTGAACAACTTGTGCTCATCCTTTCCAGAGTAAACTAGAGCAAAGGCACACCTTCACTCCAACCCTCAAGCAAGTTCCTTAAATCACCTGCATTCCATCTTTTTACGCTTCCCTTACATCATTTGCCTTTGATGCTCACTCCCCCCTATGTTTTGCCCTTATCTCTACTTCAATTGTGCCCTTATGCTTCTGGCTCTAGCCTCGATACTTGTTCATCTGTCAATTCGCCAGGAAACCCCTTACACACGCCTTTGCTCGCATCCTCCAAGGGTATCAGACTCAAGCCCGAGGCCCGCTTCGAATCTTCGTTGCCTCAACGACCGGAAACGTCCGAATCCGTTTTCGATCTAAATGGGCACTCAAGGAGTGCCCATCTCTGCCAGCCCTCTGGCTGCACTTACATACATCAGGCCAACCCGAGGTAGCCCCGGAATTCTAGGTATTGCAGACTTCGGTTTGGAAGTCGTACAAAATCCAGTCTGCGCATTTATTGGCGAAGATGGAGAGCCGGTTCTCCTCCAACGATTTCCCATCGTCAAGTTCAAGAATCCTCTCAAGCTGGTTTACCCGCAAGAGGGCCACTTGTTTGTGCACTGCACTCTCCACCTCCCGGACGGCACGGGTCCCCTCGCTGACCATATGAACGGAACGACAATCGTACCGTTCCAGCGGCTCAAAGGCCTAGATGACGTCCGCGATAGCTATTTCATCTTCTCAAACCTGTCCTTCAATGTTCCAGGAAGATACAAGCTCAAGTACTCCCTACTCGAGGTCGCTGAAGGGCGCGTTTCCCACTTTGCGGAAGGGGAATCGGCTGTTTTCCCGGTCTATGGCCAAAATACCGCACGTATTCTACCGCTTCCAACACCGCTTCAGCTTAAACTCGTTGAAGACGATGAGTATAGAACCTTCTTTCCCCATAACGACACTGAGGAGGCATATACATCACCACCTGGACTCTATAGGGCCAACTCCGTGGTGCTACTGGATGCCCCAATCGCCCATATCCTCAATGGCTGGAAGATCATCCCGCGCGTGGAACGATTCGATGTGCACGGTAACCGACAAGTGTGGGTAGCTTTAGAGCCAGGGACGGAATAGAATATTTAGACCATGAGGAATCCTTGACGGGAATGGACCAGGTCGAGTTGAATGCTAACCAATTGTAGGAGGGCATAGGTTAGGAGCATCAAGGAATCTTTCTTGCGGATAGGATCCTCCTTAGAACTTAGAGATAGGCGTTCGATCTTAAATAGTTCTTTATCTTTCACTCTGACAGAGGCGTTGATACCACTGATTCAAGGTCGAATGATCCAATGCATACATTGTCACAGAGTAATAAGGTATAAAGGTCATCCATCCTTCACGGAATCACGCATCTAGCCCATAGCTCCAGGCCCAAGGAGCCCACTCAAGAATGGCAGTCTTGCCGGGCAGAAAAAGGAACCATATCCGCCGTGGAACTCGCTTCCTGCATCATGGCGTTATGGCAGCGGGGTAGCTTCCGCTAATTGCAGCGAATTTTTGGCTGCACGCCACACGGCCTGCGGCCCTTCCCGCTGAGACAATGCGCAGGATCCTACCTGGCCTCGACGCCCGCTGGCCCGCTGGCTGGCCGATCGTCTATCGATGTCGCAGTTCGATGACGCTGGAGGGTTGCACCGTGTGACTAAGCGAATGTCTCAGATCGCTACGGGCGTCGCGTATCAAATACGAGCTCGATACCGGCCATCGTAACGCCCAGCCCGAACCCCCTGGTAACTAACTGTTTTAGTCTCTGCACGGGCCCCAAATAGCAGCCGTCTATTGGCCAGAACTGCTAATCTCTCCGCGGCGAGCCAGTCAGCGTGTCCCGTACACGTAATCCATTACGCCCAGCAAAACGTACTGTAATGCTTGCTTTGCTCGTTCCAAGCCTCGCGATAACGCTGCGCCCGGCTTGCCCTTTTTTTTTTTGTCGTCATCATCGTCTCCTTTCTCCGTCAATTGTATGATATCAGTCTATAATTTTTTGTTTTTCTTTTTTCCTTCTGCGATATAGGTTTTCCTCTTGCTTCTCTCATTCTCGCCGCTCGTTTCCTGCAGAACGTGTTGTCGGTTGCCGTCCGAAGTATAGCTTTTTCGCTCTCCGGGGGCCCAAACACTACGCAAGTTGTGAATAAGTGGTTCATGAACTGGCTTTGTGGTCTCGCGGGGGGTCTGTCATGCATTTAAGGCGTTACTAGTCTACCGATGGGGAAATGTAAGTCCTGCAGCTGATGATCTTTCGACAGTGGCAGTGTGCTAATAGAACTTTTTCTGCTTTTAACAGGGAGCTATGCCGTGATCCTGGACGCTGGCTCGTCCGTACGTCTTGCCCACTTTTGTTTGACTGGAACATCGGAATATTTCTTGAACAATGGAGGGGTGGCCTAACATATAGCTGCAGGGGACTCGTGCACATATTTATCGCTGGCAGGATCCCGTCGTGTCGCGTCCAAGCGCGAAATTCAAGAACATCGATCAGCTGCCCGATATCAGCACTCGCAATACTTGGACGAAAAAGATTAAGCCTGGTACGGGTGTAGCCACTTCAACGTACAAGCTCCTGGTGTACTGACCAGCACAGGCGTTTCATCGTTCGCCCAGAATCCGGAGCGCCTCGGTCCTGAACACTTGAAACCTCTGTTTGACCATGTGCGCAACGTTATTCCCTCTGATGCCATCCAACGGACACCCGTGTTTCTCCTCGCGACAGCTGGTATGAGATTGTTATCCAAGCGGGAACAAAGACATATCCTCACGAGTATCTGTTCTTACATACGCGAGAATACAAGCCTGTCTTTACCGGATTGTAGTGCCCATGTAAAGGTTATCGATGGGAAAACAGAGGGTCTATATGGGTGGATTGCGACGAATTACCTGTTGGGCGGTTTCGACGAACCGGAAAAGCACAGTCATGGAAAGAATCACCACACCTACGGGTTTTTGGACATGGGTGGTGCATCGGCACAGCTTGCCTTTGCCCCAAATGCTACCGAAGCACGGAAACACGCAAACGACTTAACGTTATTACGTCTGAGGACAATCTCCGGACAGCCTAAGGAGTACAAAGTCTTCGTAACGTCGTGGCTTGGATTTGGCGTTCGAGAAGCAAGACATCGTTACGTTCAGGATCTGCTGGAGGTCACCGCTTCCAGCGGTCGAGAACGTCCTGATCCTTGTCTTCCTGAGAAGCTTATTGCAACTATTGATGGTACCATTCTTCCAGATCGCTCCCTGGTCCCGGGACAGGATCCTTATCTTATTGGAACTGGGAAATTTGATGAATGTTTACAACGAACGATACCACTACTAGCTAAGGACGTGCCCTGTGATGATCAACCGTGTTTGCTCAATGGAGTCCACGTTCCGGCTATCGATTTCGACGTCAACCACTTTGTCGGAATCAGCGAGTATTGGCACACAACGCATGAAATATTCGAAATGGCGCACAAAGACAAAGCATATGACTTCAATACCTACCAAACGCGTGTGAAGGAATTCTGCAGCACAAGTTGGACCGAGATAAAAATGGGAGCTTCTGCCAAAAAATGGGGCAAAAAGGTCAACGAAGAAAAAGCGTACGAAGTTTGCTTTAAAGCTGCATGGATAATAAACATTCTTCATGATGGTATTGGCATCCCGCGAGTAGGGATTGAGAACACGCAAGGCTCAGCAAGCAATGGGACCAAGGAGGTTTTGAAGCATGGAAAAGAAAAGGGATACCTGGGTCCTTTCCAAGCTATCAATAGTATTGACTCCACAGAAGTCAGCTGGACCCTCGGCAAGGCCGTTCTTTATGCTTCGTCACAGATGCCCCCTGCTGAGGATGCCCTGCCGGTTGGCTTTGGCAGCAACGTGCCCGGCATTCCCGATGATTTCCAGTATCCTGCATCGCCACATGTCCCCATACTCACGCCACAGCCGCCTCAAGGCTCTCAAACAAACGCAACTAGCGAGCACTGGCACGATTCTCTCTTCGACGGCGACTCTCCTCGCCGAATTCCGGGAATTCTTCTTTTTATGTTAATTGTTTTAATTGCTCTTTTCTTCCTATGTGGTCGCGAGCGCAGATCGCGTATTTATCGAAAACTGGGCTTATCAAGGGGTCGCGGAAGTCCATACAAACGAAGAGGTTTGTTTGGTGGGAAGATCCCATTTCTTCGACGAGCTGGAACTTCGGGATATGAACGTGTTCTCGAAGAAGGAGCTCGTGATTTCGAACTTGGTGGAGCAGACACGGATGAATCTGACCATTCTCCCACATCTGCGTTCCACCCGTCGAAATCTGCCCCGAGCTGGGGAAATTCTCAACACCATCATCATTCCATGCAGAAATACGCCCTTGACAATGCTTCCACTCACAGTATAGGGTCTGCGTTGGAGATGGGTGCCATCCACAGTCATGTTGATCGAACGGGTTTAGTTATTCGGACCGAGAGTCGAGATCGACTATCCCCCATTACTCTTGGCCCAACTCTGAATGGACGGAAATCGAGAACGTCGAGTCCCGTGAGGCATAAAAGCCCTCTACTGAATATATAACAGCTCATTTCCTAATGGATGGTGTTGATCAAGGTGGAAAAGGCGTTGCCAGGAGTGAGGAGATCCTCCATCGTATTATCTGTATTATGTTGGCGTTCGGGCAACTGGGTTGAGGTGGGCTATTATCCCAATCAATGGCCGGCATTGTGGATTAATTGGACCAAAAAAGGGAGGGACCGTCATCAATCAACCTGCAATCATCACTTGTAAAAGTCGATATATTCTGCTTTCATCCGACTCCCAAGGCATGATTAAGAGTCAACCTTTACTATAGGTGCATTACATACCCTGTACATATGTATAATTCTGCTGAAAAATATCCACTGTACTTGCGTTTCCATCATATTTTACAACCCGCATGTGCTCACTATGGAAGATATGAGATACAACGGACTCGATCTATTTTCGTTCGCCATCTGAGCGCATATCAAAAGGTCGCCTTGCATATTATTCCGTGATTGAAGTCCTCGCTCAGTACAGCACCTAGCCAAAAGGACAATTCACAAGAGCCGGAACTCCGCCGGCATCTTTTGGGGGAAAAAAAAAGTACCCTCAACAAACCCACGGTAAAGAAGCATTCTAGGGGGAAAACATTTTGCAAATTACATCGTCATATCCACATCCTCATCGTCCATCGCTCCCTTGGGTATCCGTCCTTCGTTTAATTCTCTCTCCAGCCTCGCGATCTCCTGCAAACTCTTTGCCTCGCGGATCATCTTCTCTACCCTCTTGCGCTCCTTTTCTGTCAACTTGACGCGTACTGGCTTCTCGCTAACTTGAGACGGGGAATAGCCACGTTCCGTGCCCGTCGTGATGGCTGCGGAGACATCGAATGTGCGTGATTTTATGCCCATGATCTTAGAGGCAAGAGAGGATGGCTGGCTCTGCGAGCCAAATAGTTCAGCGGCTTTGGCGCGTTCGGCGTCTTTGACTTTTTGGTAGTCGAGGAAACGGACGGAGGGAAGGAGCCAGATAACCCAGTACCGGTAGTGCTTTATTTGTCCTCAGTAATTAATATGAAAGAGATCAGGACCGAGAAAGAGGAGCATTCCCAGAAAGACGCATGTTGCTTACCTCTTTTCTAGTCACGGGGTTTTCCAGAACAGTCAAATGCGTCAATCTTGTTAAATTCTTTAATGGATCTAGATCTGCTAATTCTCCTATATTATTCGCAGTAAGGACAAGAGTCGTGAGGTTCGGTATGGACTGCGCGATTGAAGGCTGAATATGCGAGACTCGATTTCGCGCTAGAAGTAACGTTCGTAGGCGGGGAGAATATGGGAAATTTGAAATGGAAGATATATCATTGTCCGTAAAATCAATTGCATCTTGTTCCTATCCGCGAAAACAATCGGTAAAAGAAAATGAGTCAGCCAATGTATTTCCGACTGCTCTGATGGACATAGGAAGAGGCATCGTACCCGCGCAACACCTAGATTCTCAATAACAGGAATCTTATGGCCTATAATCCACTCCCAAGAAAAACCATGGTATCAACGGTGCTCATTTCTCAAAGCGTAGTATCTGTCCTTTTCAGACTTTGCCATACGCACCTCGGAGGTCGAGCTCTCGCTCTTTCAAAGGATTGAGATAGGAAAGGGAGTTTTGAATCAACTCCGCAGTGAGACGCATTGTCGTTTGATTTTCAAGTAAATTCCCCTTATAAACTAAAGATTACCCGATATGATTAAAGGTATCATTAATGCGGGAGTAGCTGGAGGCTTCTCAATGGTTTACGAAATAATATCAAGCTACGAGAGCCAACGATCTGAGAGCTTAAACTGAAATCACGTGAACTAGCTCCTTGGCGCCTCCTGGAACCGCCTTTACAAATATCGGCCTTCGAATAAACGATCACTGAATCTTCCATTTCATCGTTCTTTGACTACCTCTAAATGTACACATACAATTGCATTATCATACAGCTCAGCCCGAGAAACAGTTATTCCAGCCTGGGATACCAATGAAAATAGGTGCTAACGGAGATTTCCTCTGCATAAAGGTCTTCTGCAGTCCATGTCGGCGCGACCGGCGCCGCCTCGATGGATCGGCGGCGTTGGGAGGGCGGTGGCATCCGCCTCCCGTGTTCTCTTTGCGCTTCAGTTTCTGGAACCGATGGCTCAGTGCGCATGGTGCGGTGGGCCCTGGGCTGGTAGCGGGAGTGGAAGTCCCTGGCAGATCCCTCCCACCTGGATGTCAGGAATTCCCGTAATTGGGATTCGTAAGTCTTCGAATAGTTCACGGTCAGGGATATGGACCGTGAATTCAAATCCTTCAAGACCAATCCTTAACTCATCCTCCGTATCATAATAAGAAGACAACTTTTTGCGGCCAGCCCAAAGGGAGCGTGAAGATCTGTTCTGAAAGACAGGTTTGCCATTTAAAGGATCGAAATTAAGAGAAAAGCGATGGTCAGTTGAGGGAAGAATGATGTCACTGTCACTACGTGCCCCAGAAACAAAGCCCTTGACGACGTTTTTGGGAAGGCAATCGAGGCTGAGGCGGAGAACAACATATGTGCGGCCAAATTCATCGAGGCCCGATACTAGGCGGTTGGCATTGGCCGGGTGTGTTATGGCTTCATGTGCTCTGGCACTTTCCGCGGTGAGGAACATGATAGTGTCGGAGAGAAGAGGGCTAGACATGTTGAGAACGAGGATCAGTAGATAGAGGATATTAGACTCCTATATATCAAGAATGTCGCTCAGGTATTGAAGCAGCGGAATACTTCAAAATAGAGGTTATAAAGAATGTATAATGCGTAATCGCAATGTCAGTGTTTAAAAGGAAACTCATTCGAAGCAATTTCAACGGCTTATATATCCAGCGGTGCAATATTGGCCGCTAGATGCGATACGCGCCATGAGACCCATTCCAAAATATCAACCAGCACGCCACGCCTTATATAGCCTGGAAAGTTGACATAGGCAGGAATATGTGCCGCAAAAACGATGTGGTCAGCCTAACCAACAGCGTTGACCTATCCACCATAGTCGACCGGGGCAATCGATTTCATTAGAGAACGACTTGCACCGCCTAAGGCCACCTGTGTAAGTGGAATTGGCCAAACCGTGAATGTAAAGAACAAAGCATCATACCAAAAGGAAACATAGTGGTACTTGAAAAGAAATTTTGCCCAAGTTAATTTCTTATCAGTCTGTGCCGCTGTGCATAGGAGGGAGCAAAGGCAAGAGCATGTCACGTATAGTCCACAGTAATCCAATCAACAATATTATAAATGCTTAAATGCCATATGGAGAGTAAAATGCGTTGGCAATAAACTCTGTGCGAGAGGTTGCCTAGAAGACTTTCAAGGCTGATTACCCCGGCTCAGTCGCAATAGTGGCTATTCAACGAATATACACCACGTTGGCGCGGGAAACACTCTCTTTCCCGGAAATTATAACCGGACCATTTGAAACATAGGTTGATGGATGCAAAGTTCTTGCACTAGAAAACATGAACATGCAACCCTACCTGATTTCAGAAAAGAGGGAGGCGAAAAACAGACTCACGTGGGGACAACACAGCCCATAAAGGCGAAGAATGGTTCTTCACAGGGCACTGAGAATTCGGGTCAAAAATCGATTCTCTGTAGTTCTTTTTGCGTGCCCCTGTCTTTGTTTTCGCGGTAGGGTTCATTTTGTCAATCTGGCGGCTAATCGGAACACTTGTCTGCCACCACATCAAATCCACCTGAAACAGGGGCCTTAGTCACATCAACTTTGCACCAGCCACTGGTTTCTTTGGACATTCAACGAATGATGCCATTCTGACTCGATCTATAGTCGCAACATGGCCACATCGCCTTGTCAAACTGGTGTAACTTGACATTCCCCAGGCTGCGAAGTCGACAATCGTCTTCAACGCCTGAAACTCGTCACGTTTTTCGCAATGATACCGAGTAGTTGCCTGAATAGTGGCTGTGGCGGAACAATTTCTCATAGCGCACTCATGATGCCATTCAAGTTACCGTAAACGAAGAAAATGTCCTGGTAAAACTTCAGTGGCATACACAGTAGGCACCCCTTGAGACAGTTCATATGATAAAAATTCTGGTAACGGTTGGATAACATGTGCTAGCGATAATGCTAGAACATAGCTCATGATGTAGCCAATCCAAATGGAGAAGAGACTGGAGCTCAAGGCATATTGGTGATGAGTTTGAGGCGTCACGGACAAGTCACGGACGGGTTGGTGCACCAAAGTGATAATTTAGAGATAAACTGCATCTCCGAAGCGCCTGAACAGAGAGCCCGAAGTTGACTTGCTGCTCTGACCTGTCCGGCTTTTGCGATGATAATGGGAGAGAGTAACTCCATTCCCAGGTGTGAGGTCGTAGCAGGAACATTTGAGGTTGAAATAGGCTCGGGCGACGGGGCCTTGGCGCAGGTTATGGGAGTTCCTCGGGATCATCTCGTAAGATGAAAATCAACTTCAACGGCAGAAGGTCGATCGGAGTGCTCATGTATCATTCACTTTCTTCACCCGTCAGTGCTTGCCACAGAGTGCATATTGTTTTGTTTCACTTTTACTCTACAATGACCCTAGAAAGTAAAGAACCTCTGCCGCGTCCGGCACCCTGGCGTCCCTTATTCCAGGCAAACTGCCCCAAAGGGATGCCGGCTGAATTCTCCTTGTCCACCGTTCATCTCGATCCCCTCACAAGGAAGGCATATCCACGGGTGCGGACGTGCATGTTTCGCAACTTTTGGGCAGACATGTTCCTTCACAGCTGCGCAATGGATGCGATGAAGAAGTGCCATAAGACTACCTCTTCCAAGGCTATAACGCAGCCTAATGACAGCTTTGCTACCGGAGCTGCCATTGATTACGAGAATGATGGCATTGAAGGACATGACAAGGACCCCTGCAATTTTGGCCGCAACCTAGATAAGGTTGTCAATGATGCGGTATTTGAGAGTGACATGTTCACATTCACCACCGACGTGAGGATGACCAAAGTCGGCGACCTCATGGACGGCAATGGTGGGTCCGGAGGATACGTTGAGGGGGTTTTCTGGTTTAAACAGTCTTCAACCCAATGGAGGGTGAAGGGCCAGGCGTTCATTATCGGTGGGAGCCAAGAGGATGAAAACGAGAAAATGGCTCGGGAGGAGATCAAGCGCGGTATGCGACTTCGCGAAGGCTACTCAGATGAAAGAGCGTCAAGCTGGAGTTGGGAAAAGGAGATTACGGCCCAGTTTGCGAATTTGAGCCCTTTGATGAGAGGTAGGTATCCGTCTAGGAACAATGCCCATTGCAGCTGTCTTCTTCCGCGTCCGCAATTTTGTCCAGTCTGGGAGCTGTCAGTGTTTATTATTGCATTGTACTTCCTTCAGTTATACTTGTACATCTCTGTGACTCTGAATTCTTTTGGGCGGAAGTCACCCCGCATACCGGCGCTTTGTTCCCAAACATGGATGATTCCCAGTGTTCTGTGACAACTAGAGGAAAAAGAAGCTTAATGACATATGAGCAAAAGGTACTTTCAAGAACCCGCCGCCAGGAACCCCCAAGGCCAATAATGTACAAAACCCGGATCTTAAGCAGGGCCAGAGGGTGTACGACCTTTACGACCCAGTAGCAAGAAGCAATTTCCGCGTCGTCGTCATTCGTCCGGAGGAAGTCGAGATGGTTGATCTCTCTAACCCTGAAGCTGCAAAAAGAACGAGGTGGTTATTGCTGAGCAGGGGCAGTGGCCAGGGAATGGAGTGGAAAATGGAAGAGTTATGGCCATGAGGGGGTGTTTTTAGGGAGTCTATAAATGTAGCGTGAGGCAAAGCATATCCCTCCCTAAGATCTTGCTACTGGCGGTTTTGATGATGGGATATCAATGTGTTTATCCATGGGGAGAGTTATCCCTGGCGCCATTGTATAATGATAGAGCTATGCATAAGCAACTTCCCATCATTTCTGGCATTGTGATCTCTGTAACAGCGTATTGTTAGTACTGATAGGGAAAAAAAAAAAAAAAAAAAAAAAAAAAAAAGGGAAAAAAATTCAGGCGCCGGAAAGTTCCTCTTTTCAATGTGTTCCTCTCTGCACATAGCAACAGCCATTCACGCACAGAGGATTACCTGCCGCGTAAACAAACCTCCCCAGGAACACTTGAACTGAAAAATCTGCTCTGCTCTCTTTTTCCAAAATCACTTCCCTCCTTCCAGCTCACTTTCTTCTTTACAACTCACCATCTCCTTGCTCCAAAGCTTCTCATCAACCCTTTATCAGCCATTCAATTGACTGCCCTGAGAAAGAAGTTATCGAGCTTCCATTCTTCAAGAGGATATCTCATCGCTGTCACAGCCACTTCTCTCTTCCTCCGTTTCCTTCTTCAATTTCTTTGACAAGCCCATTGTGCTTTGTCTCAAGCTCACTGCTTGACATCCGCCTTCTTGCATTCTCATTCCCCGTTCAGGTAAGCTTTGCAAGCTCTGCATTTCGCTTTCTGCAGAAAATATTCTTTGACTGAGGTTAATCCTGGGAGCTGAGACAGCACGAAACGCCTTTCACTCGTTGTTGACGAGGGCTTGTGGTACTTTCGTACCTCCTTTTTACCGCGTCTCTTCGCAGTTTTTCTGCTGCTGTTCTTCGTCAAGATCGTCAGTCTTTGCCGCAAGGTAGACTCCCCTTCCTCCTCCCCCCGGCTTCATTTTTTTCCCTTTAGACCTGTTCCCTTTAAATAAAAGAGAAGAAAAAGAATAAAAGCCAAACAATGTGGGATTACAGTGACTCCGAAGCCGACGAGATGGTCAGTCGCTGCTCGTACTGCGGCAAATTCTGCTCCCGTGCAAAAATCGACGCGGCCAGCGGTCTTTGCTTGCCATGCAAAGCCAAGCTCCACCCTGCTGAGCCTGAGCCAGCGGGTGATGCGCGGCAAGCAAAGGCCGACAAAATGGCCATCGATGAGGAAAGCGACGACGCCGCCGCCTCCGACAGTGGGGAGTCGGTGGGCTCCAAGGCGGAAGGCAAGGAGGAGGTGCCCCTGGAGCTTGACTCCCGCTCGCAAGGGCTCGGTGAGTCGAGTGATTCAGAGGAGCCAAACCTCTGCGCCCGATGCTGGACGAGACCGCCGACGAAAGTTCTTTATAACTCTCCCACCTGTGAAGAGTGCTACCAGGTGGCAAAGGAGATGAAGGTAAGCAAGATGGATCCCCTTGACCCCATTTAAAACATAGAAGCTAACACCTTTCCAAAGGAGGGATCCCGCGGAACGAAGGTATGCCAAATTTCACAGGGGAGAAAATTTTCTTTTCCTTCAGGAACAAAATCAAAGAGAGCCCTCAATGCTAACATAACAGCAGCGGCGATTCCAGCCACCGACACCTCTCGAGCCGGGCAAGAAACTGACGCGAGTCTGCGACTCGTGTCGACAGAAGCGGAAGAGGTGTCAGCACCGTCGCGTCGTAGACGCTGACGACCGTAAGTACACTCCGGAACATGATTCCATTGGATATCAGCTTCAGATTATATAGAGACTAACGTGTCATGTCTCCAGCTGCTGTGGCTGACCGCCGACGCAAGCGGGTCCGGGTAGAGGCACCCATCCCAGAGGACGCAGAGTCGGAGGACCCGTCCTCAAGTTCGGAGGCCAACAAGCCGGGTATGTTAATATATTCAGCATTGGTTTTTGTTTTAGAAAAGAAAAAAAAAAAAAACTTTCCAAGGCCCATACTAATCAATACTGAATAGCCACCGTCTCCAAGACCTCCACTAAGGAGGCTGCGGCCGAGCACTGCGGCTCTGCGGAGCAGAGCATGCAGTGGGCAATCCGACAGTCAGTCGAGACTGTCTATCGCAGGGAGATGGAGCGGTTGGTGGAGGTTGCTGAAGCCAAGATGGCAGAGGCGACTGCGGCCTACGACGCCGTCACACGGCATATGAACGGATGGCTCTACGAGCTATCGAAGGGCAAGCTGAGCGGTTCATAAGCCAGACAATCGAAAAACGGCGGATGCGGTGCCCACCTATCAAGTCAAGTCCGAGGAAGCACGAGCGCGGATATCCCAGATTGCCCAGGGAGCTTCTGCGAACTGGATGCAATCTTTGGTGATTTGGCCTCTGCTGCCTCTTAATATTTCCTCCCCTATTCCTTTTTTTTTTCCCTTCTGGTCACGGAACGAGGTCCTTCCGCAGCTGAGTTTAGGGTCTGCACGGGTTGGGTCTGTTGGTCGGAGGTGTACTCCGGTGCACACTCCCCCCGGCCCAATACCAACAGGCTTGTTTAAGAGGCTCGCGGGGGACGAGTGTTGTTCAGTGCGGTTGGGATTGTTTTCAGAGCCCCCAGATGACTCTTGTTTGGCGACGTTCAGGGACGGTCTTGGGCTGGTTTTTGGCCGGTTTCGATGTTTGTTTCTTTTTCTTTTTTTTTTTTTTTTTTTTTAAAAAAAAACTGGTTTGGCGACTTTTCAGGTTGGTTTTATTTGTCAGTACTCGGTACGGTGCCAGGACAGGTATCAGCGGCTCGGAGAAGGATCGACTGCACGGAGGAAACAAAGTATGATTGGCTGTGGCGGCTGTACTGGCCTTGTTTTACAGACCGGGGGGGTTCAACAAAGGGCGGAATTCTTGTTCGTTTTACGAGTTACCAGGTAAATCAGGAGGGTGGCATTTCGATGCATTGGGAAATCGCTGGATCCTTGCTCTAATTTATTACATGCTTATTACTACATATGTCCAAGGTCCATGACCATTAATTGCTCGGTGCTTGTCTCAATCCCATTTCTCCACGCTTGTGCATGTGCTTCTGGGCTTCACCGCTTGGTCGTGCAGGATATGCCTGCAGAGAGCTCCCTTCGATGTTGTATCCCGACTGTAAGCTTGCCTCCTCCCCCCCTCCCACGGCGCCCAGTGACAAGTCACAACACGGTGAAGAAGGGCTTAGCAGCAGCAGCAGCAGCAGCGCTGGACGAGCAGCGCGGTGCCCGGCAAGCTCGTGACAGGACGGGCGGTAATACCGTACGCGAAACGGCTGCGTAACGGCGTGTAACTTTTCGCTGCACGCTGTCGGGGAAGGCATTTTAGCGCACCACGTGACGCAGCCTGCGTAACTTTCCGTTCGTATTTGTCAAGTGGGCCAATCCGCCCGCTGCGTTTCCTGCGTCTCGTCCGCCTTCTAAATGTTCTCTCCCGTCCGTCAATTGCCATCTCGACTCTTGCTTGCCTCTCGGGCTCAGGCAGACAGACATATCATCTCCTCAGCAGAACAAAGACCCTCCTCTTCTACTCTCCTCTCCTCTTCCTCCCCCCCCACAAGTTTCGTTTGCTCTCTCTCTCTCGAATGGAAATGCTCGCTTCACATCTATAGTTTTTTTTTTTTTTTCGAGTTTGTCTTGGAGTTGTTTTTGTCCCCAGTGATTAGTCCCTCCTAACTTAACTCCATACTACCTGCTCTCCACACCACTCCGAAACTCAACCCTCCCCACCAACCAACTCGCCTCCCAACGGCCAAAAAATTGATGACTTAACGAGACACACGACACAAATTCAGAATACAGCCGCCTGTTGGGCAAGAGATACCCTTGTGTGGAACTCAGCCGTGATGAGTTCCCACAGCGCGGAGTCACTCAATTGCTTTTCCTTGCTCTCGGACAAGATCCCCTCCTGGATCTCTCGAGTCTCCGAGCTCGCCGTCCACACCGCCGCAAAGCAGGAAGAATTCAAGTCCGACTACATCAAGTACTCAGTCAAGGAGAAACGGCCGCGAAGACGGAAAGGCAGCTCCCTCCACACCCACAGGCCCGAGGATGAAGAGTCGGGGTGCAAAACCCGCGTGCCGTCCGATCCACACGATCCGTGCTTGGAGCCCCTTACCCGTATGAAGATATTAAAGCAGCCCGGCGGAGATGTTAATAATAATATTAATCGGAAGCGCCGCACGGGCGAAGACGCCAGCGGCCCCTCTGATCAAGAAACGGAGCGGGCGATCAGACCTCGCCATCAGTTCCTCATCCACTACGATTGTCATTCCCAGGCGGTCCTGGAGAAACTAGTACGCGAGATCGGTGGGGCGAGAAATCAAATACGGAAAAGCAGGATGAGCTACATGATGAAGTCCGGGTTTGGGCGGAAATCGGTGCAACCAGGCTTCTCGTCCGATGACGGAATGAAGCCCATTTTCAGAAGCACCAGGAGCTTTAACAAATCCGCAGGAAAGGAGTCACCGTTCGATGTTGCCGATATTCACTTGGAGTCTGCGCAGGCCTTGTGTGAGACGGCTGCGCACCAGTTCCTACGGAACGGTGATTGTTCGTTCGAGTTGAGTAGAACTAAAGAGAAACTCGACCTGGCTCTTGACGTGGCAAAGGTCGAGGTCGAGCGATCGTCGGAGGCGGTCAGGATTGAAGAAGCAGAGGCGGAGGCGGAAGCAATGGCCAAGGAGGAAGAAAATCAACGCGAAGCCGAACTGCTGCCAGCAGAGCAAAAGATTGAAAAAGACGGAAAGGGCGCGGATGGTCCACCGACTGCTATCGAGGTCGATGATGCATCCGATAATTCTTCTATATCCATCGACATTACGGCATTCCGATCATCCAGGTTGAGAAGATGATTGAAGATAAAAATATTGTTTGGCATATTTTGAAAGTTTTACGGCCGGCAGAGTTTTTGATATATAAAAAACTTTCTTGATATCCCCGGATACATTTGCGCAGGGCTTTTTTTTTTTTTTTTCTTTTCTTTGGCATATTGACCCATTCTCGCTCATTTCTTCACCCCGAAACTTTCGTTCCTTTTTATTTCTGTTTGTTCCTTCATGTTGGCATATACAAACAGGAAGTGTCGGATCTTTCAACCGCACTTGGTCTCCTGCTGATGATAGCGTTGACTAAATTTTGGGCTTGCATGGCGTTCATGATATGATATTTTGGTCTAGCGACTTCCTGCTCATAATACAGTCTCTGTTGTGATTGCTATATTTATCCTGGGCCTTTGATTCCTGAGTACGGAGTATTCGCACCCAGTTTCATAATAAGAGACCGGCGAATCTACCACCTGAAAGCACCTCTTTTAGAGTTTACAATCTCATCCGGGCCTTATTTCACAGGCTTAGTATGAGACAATGGAAAGCATGCGCATCTCATTTACATTTGTTTGGGACGATGAAGTGTCCGACAGGGCTTGGAGTGGATACAGTGTCAGACAAGGCACATTTTTTGCCCTCGCACAACAAAAATTGAGCCAACCACCCCCGCTCTACCCCCCTGGTCTTTTTAGTCTCAACGCTCAATGGACAGATATTGTTCACAACCGAAAAAGGAAAATGCAAGGGGGGGAAAGCAGAGCTGGTCTTCGATGATCTAAGATTGGCAATTTTTGATCGTGAAAGATTTCTTCATCCATGTTTCACCTTTGCTGAAAGATGAGTGAGAATTGGGGTGTTCAACAGATCTTCTCGTAACCCTCCCCCTGGGAAGCAATCCAACAGAAGCAGGATGCCTGGAAGGGGGGAAAAAAAGAAACAGTGAGACCATACAGAGTGCATACACTTTGATTTCCGCCAGCCACCCAAGAGAGCGAGACACGGCAAGCGCACATGGCGGGAATGTCTCCTAACCTCGTCGAAAGCACGAGCCACGCTATGAACAATGTGATTCGTGTGAGTTCATTGAAGTCCAAGAGTCCTTATTACGAAAGTATGTATGAATACTTCCCAACAACTTTCTCGAGCGTGCCCTTTTTTTTACCTTCGTTGCGAAGCTCACAAGAATTTCGCCTTGTTAGGGTAATTTGGAACACTTCCTTGGAAATACCACAATCATCCAAGATCTTATTTTATTTTATTTTTCTTTGCTGAGTTGTTGCTCTTTGTCGCTGTCCCCCCTGACGTAACAAGGACAAGGCTTGTTTTGGAACGGAATTTGAGAAACTCCCCTCGTTCCCAATCGCTTTTTTTATCCCCATTCGTTCGATTGCTATCAAGCATCCCGCGGCACGGTCGCTTGTTTTCGACTTGTACCTGTCAGAATTTTTTTTTTTTTTTTTTTTTTTTTCGCGGCGTTTCTAGGCTAGATCAGATCAGATCCCCAAGGACTCAAAAAGGAGTGTAACCCTGCCCTCCTTTAATATATTTTGATGATAAGTCGAATTTGCTGAGAAAATTCATGGAAGGATTTATACGACAGGAGACAGGGGAAGCGAGAGTGAGGGCCTGCCCCTGATCTTCTCATCAATGTCGGCTTACCCGGAAAGCTGGATACCGCCGTGGGACGGAAACTCTTGTTCTCGCCTTTCGACGGCTAGGTTCTGAAATGGTGGACGATACCAAAATTATCACAGTACTTGTACTCCGTACATTCGGTGACAAATCGAGATGTTTATCACGCTGAGTCGTTGCACCATTGCGCCGAAGATACTTTGTATACAACGAAAGTGAGAATACTTGAAATGGTAAGCCGGGGACGGTTGTGTGGACTCGCGACCGTTTTGCCGATCCTGTCCCCGCCTAGGCGCAGATCGGCTGATAATTACAGAGAGAACGCTCTACAGGAGGGAGAAGACAATTTTTTCCCCCCCAATTCGCAGTCGTTCGGAGAACATTCATATGTGAGTTATGTTAAGATTGGCGATTCATGACGCCGGTTTTACAAGCGGGTTTACGGTTGCGAGCAGGGCCCGGGATGTGGGCCAAGACGGTGGAGAGGCAACCCCGGTCCACTTAGCGCACCCGTCGCGGAATCCGCTCCCCGCCTGCGGCTTATACCGTTTCTGGGCAAGGGTCAACGGAGCGCCAAGACACGGAAAGACGGGGCTGTACGGAGCACGGAGTATCATTACATACACACCTCGTACTAGCAGGTAGTATGGATGTCCTGCTGCTGCGAGAGGGACAAACTTGTGTGGGATCGCACGCAGCAGGCAGCGGTAATTTTAATCTCGGTTTCAAGTTCGACGCCCGCGAACTGGTGGCCTTGCCCACATGTTGTACATGTCGCCCGGATCTTTCCGACGAGCTTCGCAGAAAAAGCAAAGAAGAGAATGGGTAAAAATAAAAAAAATTAAAAATTAAGAGAAAAAACCAAAAAAAAAAAAAAAAATAAGTAAATAAATAAATAAATGAAAACCAAATCTGAGGTGCGACTCATCAAGTCGATATGGGTCATCAGATCTTCTCCCCTTTGGATGTCCAGGAGTACCCTTACGGGGTAAATATTGCAGTTTGCTCCCTGGGGTGGGCATAACGTGTGCGAATGAGAAAGCCCAGCTGCTCAGGCTCGCGGGGGAGTTGAAACTTGAGAGCGTTTTACGGAGTCCTCCGTCCGGACAACGGAGAAATGGGGCCGGCCAGAGGATGCGATGTCGTGCAGGATCTGGAGCAATCAAAATTCGGGAGAGGGATGGGGACGAACAAGGCCAGGCCCTCTTTGGCCTCAAGATTTTGATTCGGATGCCAACTGATGATCTGCAGCCAGCGAAAAGGCTTTTCGACTTCGGCCTTCTCTGTCATTCTGTGGAGGCGGTTTGGTCCACTCACTATGGAGTACTATGATCGGTTGGCGGGGGGCCCGATGGAGGAGACGGCAGCCCTTGATTGGCACTGAGGTATCTGTCGGCTGTCATGTGACTCCTGAGCACTGTCCCATCTTTTGCGAGGAAAAGAGAGAGGTAACAGTGTGTGATCGGGTCAATCTTTCTTTTCTTTTTGTTTCAAAATTAGATCGGGAGCTGTTTGTATCTTGGGAAATCAGGCAATCTGGAACTTGGGGCTTAAGGCGAGATCGAACTCTTTCCTGGCCTCCTGAACCTGGTTCCCAGACTTTAATAGTTCATGGCAGATCATCTAGCCATTGGGCGGATGGGCGTGGTCCGGGAGGGGTGCCACAGGAGCTTTGACGATGCGTCGCCATGCTTCTCTCGATGTTGTCTCTTGAGTCAACGAAGAGGCTGGGGCGTCCGATTGGCCGCAGGTGCATGATCTTGGAAAATTGTCTGCCCAGCGACATCTTATTGACTCTGAAATCCTCTTCGGAGGCGCCAAGCTTTCTAGAAGGAAGATCCGAACGCCGTCCGGCTGAATGCATGGCGTGCTTCTTCTCGCCTGCTCGAAATTCTCCCAAGGGCCGTGTGGGCTGCTCTTTTTCCTCGGAAGACCGTCTCCTACATCCGCTGCATCGTGACTGCGGACTTCATCGACATGATACATACTTGGCTGAAGGCTCCCCCCTTCTCCCCCGCCACCTGCTGACGAGGAGCAACCTGTGTGCGCGCGGGCGAAGCACGTTTAGAGCACGCCTCGTTGGCCTTTTTGGGAGAAATTAGGTTGGCATTAAGCATTGGGCCGGTGGAATTTGAATTTGCCCACGCCCACTCAAGATTCAGCGCGAGACAGATCACTTTTTGCGGGGAAAAAAGACACTTCCGCCTTTAGACGGTCTGGCCGCCGGCGCCCGGGCTTTCTGCAACGTGACTGGGTGCTATATTACTGAACTGTATTGTAATCAAACGTGTATGTATGGTGGGTATGTAATTAATACACCATACAGCTTAAATACATAGTACGTATGGAGTACATCGATACAGGGTACACGACACCTGCCTCTCGCCCCCTGGAGCAGCGACCTGCGCCAGCTCTGCCAACTTCAGCTTCTGCAATCTCAGCTGCAGAGGGTTGGATGCAAGACGGCTGTAAGGGTCATCTGCTCATCTTCTTGCTCTCTGACGCTTCCTCCTCCGCCAGAAAGCGAATTTTCCGGCGATGAATTCGATGACGCCAAATGCAACCGCCAAGCGACGAGCACTGCAGACTTTCACATCTATCCAGACCTCGCAAGCTCCGGATCCAGGTAGCTCTCAGCAACCTTTCCTTTGGCCGGACTGGGAATAGTTCCCACTACACCGGTTATCGAAGCTCCTTTCATCAGTGGCGTCAGCTTTTGAAAATGGATAACGTCAAGCTGTTGAAGATTTTGTCGTTTCCGGATACAATTGTCAACTGAGTCATTTTCTGCCCCTTGAATCGCTACCTGTGCGAAGTATTGCCTCCTGTCTGCGCACGGAGGAGGACATTGTGTTTCCGGCATAAACTTTTTCGGTATCTATGGGATACAGCCAACATCGGCACTCCGTGCATCAGCATATGGCTTGTATAGTTTGGACTATTTACTTACGACGTAAAAGTACCCTATGCGATGGCGATGGCAGACTTGTGCTAGTAGACAAGGAGTTACAGCCTTGAAATGCCAAACCCCGAATTTTGAATCTGCATTTCTCTTATGGACCTTTGGAGTACGCCTTCCCGAGTTAAGCAAATGCATTTTGGTCTGCCATTATCCAGTTGCGTTTTCATCTGGTGGTCATCATGGCTGAAGTTAGGGATCTAATTGTCTTCCAGCCTCATTATATGCGTGTTCAAAAACCAATTCCGCTACGGAGTTCCTGTTTCATTTTTATTCTATATTCTCATCCCGATGAAGCTCGTGATTCCAGCTTTGGGATCACCACATCCTCACTGTTCATTTGGTACAATCCTGTTAAAGGAATATGTTTTTCTTCAATTGCCGATAGAGTTACCCAGCCATTAGTTACCATTGATCCAATGGATGCGTCTTGCACTTCCAAGAGAGTACGCTCTTTCGCATTGTGGCAGAAACTGTTCTCTTCTGGCCTTGCTCGGTTGTAGGCTACTCTTCTGTTCAAGTCTGAATATCATGGCCGTCCATCCTTGGTGGATGCTGCCTCTCATATCATCAATCTGCAGTACACTACAAGAAAGCAGAGCAGGGAATCTTGGTGAAAAGCACTATTATCAAGTCATTGATGGTCAACATTTTGCTTCTATCTAAGCAGCACCTATATCTGAAATGCCATGTAATGTCTTCCGTCCCAACTGCAGAAAGCTTTTTTGCTCCAAAGCTCCTTACACACCTTCTCGTCGCATCCAATTCCTGTGCGTGCAGTTTCTCTCTCGGCTTTGCTATCTACATCTGGTATCCTAGACTTTCTACCCTCTCCTGACACATTCACAGCATTCTTGATGCCGACAGCATAAGAGCAGCTAGCCCTGATAGGGCATATCTGCCCAGGCGTCCCGCTCTTTTCCCGCCGGACGCCT